AGACGCCCAATTTATCACGTTTTGAATTGGTAATGTGGCATACAGTGCAACTTCAGTCGGAGAAAAAGGCCCTACAAAAGCAGTCGGAATGCAAATGTTGATATAGATTTTCAGAGTTATGGCTTAGGATCATTTGATTTATTGCAGTGCAACCCAAAACCTCGTCTTGTCTTTTGGACACTTCCTGGAAAATTCGATTTAATATTTGCATATAAGCGAGATGTGACACGATGCAATGTAGAGCAAACATTGTAGTTGATCGGAAGTGTATTTTGTTGTTTTTTTTTTCTCTCTTTCCAAGTATAATTAAATGCATTTATGCACATATGCTGTTCACCTGTTTAATCGTGCGCGTTTTCAATCTCCGGGGCGGACATCAAAAGTCGTGAAATTCTTGAACAAAAGGCAAAATAAGAAGAAAGAGAGCACATGGGAGCAAAAAAGAAGACACACAGAACGGTATATTTTCGCGAAACGTGTTTTAATGTACGAATTTTTCACTTTTTTGTATAACTGAATATACTTTTCATTTTTGGAAGTTTATGTGACAATCATCTCAATCAGTATGGTTTCGCGGTGATTGCCGTTACTTGTGTTATTTTAATAATAACACACCGCTAATTGGTTACATGATGATTGTTATTAAAGTCTGTTATCTTTTCCCTGCCAGTTGATGTTTTTTTTTATACGTCTGGTCATCAGATGTGTGCGCCTAAAGGAGGGAATGTCGAGAGTAATTTAATGAGTAAAGAGATCATAAAAACGTGGTCAGAAAATCGTTACATATACGCACAATTGCATTTACGATATGAAAATGTTTAATTGCCTATTTAGAGGTGATGAAAGTGATACTTAAAAGCATTATACGATTAAAGTTGTGGGCCTTTTTTCTGCCGCAAGAAGGAAATCAGTGATAGTGAAATGTTGAATAACATGTATTTCTCTATATTTCTGGTATGCAGAGGGAGAAAAACACAGCGCGATGAAATTGTTGAGGAAATGATGCTCTGTGGTGCGCTCTAAAAGTTCAATAGTTTGTGATGAACGTTCTAGTTATTGTTGAAACACCCACACATGATATCTTCTCAACCATTGCCGGAGCATGAAACAGTGTAGCAGATAATCAAGACGATCGACAAGGCAGAAGAATTAGATGATCAGTTGGTGTTGGTGCAATAGAGGGAGATTTTAATAGCCATTGAGCTAAAGTGATTGAGTTTATATTGTCGGAAAAAAAGAGGGAGAAATAATAGTAAATGATGGATCCGCCTCGTAAATCCAACGGTATGCAGAAACTCTATACGAAGATCATTCACAAGATTGAAGATTTTCCGCCCAAGATACACGCAAAGTTGCACAAGACATCGTCAAAGTATCACGTTCAGGCGTCCCCTGGTGGTGCTCCTCGCCAGCCAAAACGGTACTATCATCATCATCAGCAGCATCAATTGGTGGCGTCGCAGCAGCAAGTGATTGGAGCGTCAGGAAGTGGTGACCGAAGGCCAGAGAGACCCGTGAGGAGATCAAAAGTTTCACCACGAAATTACGAGAATGTGATTGTGTCACGTCCATATCCACAGAATGGTCTCTATGTGAGTGATCCTGAAGATGATGACTTAGAGGTGCAAATTGTACATCCCGTGCTTTCTTTGGAGGATGAGATTTTTGAAGAGCTGGAGAAAGTGGCTCATGATGAAGCTAAATTGAATGCAGTGCTTCAGAATTTTGATAAAATCCTGGCGGATTTTAACGCTCAGGCACAAAAGGGTGTCAAAGTGGCAAAGGTGTCAAAGAAGGAGGAATTTGGTCAGGACATTAAAGAACACTCACCTAAGGAAAAGCCTTCGAAAATCCCTCAACCTCCGCAGGGCTTGCAGAAGTCCAAGACGTGCAGCATTATCGAATCGAGGTGCATTCTCAAGAAGACACCCTCAGACAGTGGTGAGTTTGGTGATGTGGATCGCCTCAAGATTAACTGTAGCCTCGATGCGCGGCTCAATCTCTACAATCAGGCCACGCGGAGTCTATGGAATTTGCAGGATTTTGAGACATTTGCCAAGAGTGGTGCCGAATCCATAAAATCGGAGACAAATATACCTGAGAAGTGCAGTGAGGGTAATGGAAAGAATTACAATACCTACAAAGTGAAGGCAGGTAACCGGGTGACTGAGAGCCAGCTTAAGTCTACAGCAAGTGGGCTCAGCAAATCTGTGTCACAAATTAATCAGGAGTCGAAAATTAGTCCTAAGAAGACCCAAACGCCCGACAAGGTAAAGACACAGTTCACGAGGGCGAAAAGTGTTTGGGAGTTGGGAAATTCCACTGGAAATCCCAATCAGCTTCGTCGAACAATTTCAAACAGTCGAATACCCGTGAAGATGTCAATCCCTTCACCGACCAAGAGTGGCCCGGAGACAAAAATCGACAACATTCCCACGAAGAAGGTGATTAAAGCGTCAGCAAGTGGAGGTTGTCAGCAGAGCACGGCAAAAGTCACGGCGGTGAAGTGTCGTGAGAAGAGTGTGGAGGCCCAAACTGGAGCCATTAGCAAGAGGCTCAATGTGTCGACAAATGCAGTCAGCAGAGCTGCCAAGAGTGGCCAAAAGCCGATTAAAGGCACCGTCAATGAGGTGGCTAAATCAACCCAGCAGACGCGCAGTCAGCGAAAACGTGAGACCGATGTGTTGTTGGACAAATGCCTGGAGCGTGGTCAGGCAATCCTGAAGAAGGTGGAGGCTTTTGGCAATGCCACCAAATACTCCTCTGACACAATTTTGGCATCTGTGCGTCAGCTCAGTGAGGCTGAGCGGAAGGGTGATGTCGTGGATGGCGTCGTGATGACATCCCTGGCAAGAGAATCACTCGCAAAGACGGCTCAACTGGCCACTGTGAAGCGTAGCAGTCATCCGGCCAATGATGCTACATCAATTAAACGGGCTGCATCCGGTGGCAAAGCTCGCACTGGCAGAGATTATACAGTGGAGAGTAAAGGTCATCAATCAGGTGTGGAAGTGGACAAGAGTTGTGGGAAGAAGCCTTCAATGAACTTTGCACAGGAAAAGAATGTTTCCTATCCGCGACTGGAGTCGTGCAAAATAATACCACCAGTTATGGGACCGTCTCAGCACGCGAAGGTTCTCGTGTGCATGAAGTCTATCCAGAGTCTCCGCGATACACTCCCACCGCCGCCGCCACCACCTGTTGCACCCCAGAAGACATCGGACACGGAAAAGGTCACCACGGAAGATTCAGCCTTGGATTTGAGGAATGAAAAGGAGTATCAGAGTGATTGTAGTGACGATTCTGGACATATTTCGAATGAAAATGAGGAGATCATAAAAACGCCGGGCACAGACAGTGATGCCACGTCTCAGCAACCAGATGATTCACTGGAGATGAAGGCACCCACGGGGCGGATTAGTGAGCATCTTCTGGAGAAGTTTGAGCCGAAAATGTCTAAAGGGACGGAAGATGGGAAGGGTGGTAAAGTGACCGAAATGAACAACTTGAATTTGATGAAATCTACCATGGCGTGTCGAGATCAGTCATCTGAGGTAATAGAAATTACTTCATTCACCATTTTACAGTTGTCTCCTTTTTCTCTAGTCAACAATTCATTTGATCTGGTGCTTCTTGCATCTTCATCGTCATTTCCGCTCCACGACTGTCCAGACAAAAGAACAGTCTGCGCAGCTGGAGCGAGAGAGATATTCAAATGACGAGGCCATTGCAAGATCATATGAATGCACACACGGGTGGCTCCCAAAAAAAAGGGCAGTAGTTCAGTATGGTTAATGGATGGGAATATGTGTGTGAGAGAGGAGAAGCAGAGAAGAATTTCTTTGCATTTATATAACGGTTTAAGCTGCATGATACACTCATTGAAATGGTGATGAAGAAGACTAATAAGCAGTAAAGCTTTTAGCCTCCAAATCATTCTCCTTTATTTTTCTTATTAACCGATTCTCTCTGTCTATTATTTGACATTATGGGACACTTTAATACTCGAAGGGAGAATTATTATGTTTTATTTACACATTTATTTTGTGCCTCGACAATAGATTGAAAGTAAAATCTTGGAATTTTCTAATCTCATTAGATGAATTCACTGTTTTCTCCACACTTGAGATTTGTCTCCATGGGAAGTGGAAGGAGAATAAGAAAGCGAACATAGAGAAATTCTTCTCAGGAATACTGTGAAGTAGTCTTATGGCAATTTATATTAATTGCTTTTCCTCTACTGTACCAGCTAATTGAGTGCACATGAGGGCATTCACATAATGAATTTATCCACTTTACCAAATTTTGATCGGTGAATTTTGTCATAAAATCCCTTTAGTCGTAAATATTATGACTTTGAAGTTCAAATATTACTATAGCTTGAAAAACACACCCACACAATTAATGAATATTTACATTTCTGGATGTCCTATTTACTTTTGACTGACTGTAAAAATTTCGTGGACGTGTATTAGATTTAATAGTTGATAAGCCATGACTCGCGTGAAGGAATAGAAGAGAATTTGATTATCTGTGAAAAAGAAGAAAACGTCAGAAAGTTCCTGCATGGACAATAAAGTGCAATTTCACTGAAAGAGTTCAAAAGCGTCGGCGAAGAAGCCATTAGGAAATTCTTGCATGCCAAGACTATTAGAAAGGTGTGCTAAGCGATTCATTCTGCGCGAGACCAAGACATCCTACCTTACCAATTAACATTGCCTTCTATGTATGTCTGATAACAAGTGTTGGTATGTTTATTAATGCAAGAGAAGTGGATTATTTTCAACACATGAATTTTAATTGACTCTTTCTCCATATTTGGAGCTTTTGGAGAGCTAAAAATACAAAATAAAAAAGCAAGAAATGTGTTGAAGAAAAGGCAGATGAGGCTAATGAGGCAAAATAATGACTGAGAACAATTCAATAGGTTGAATCAAAATCGATGAGAAAATATTTTCTAATGATATTTTTTGTGTTTGTTTCCAATTTCCACACTGTAGGTGCTCTTCCGTTCCGGCGTTCTGGGTCAGCTGGAGGCGAAACGCGATGAATTGCTCTCTGACCGCATCATTCAGTTCCAGGCGTACTGTCGTGGCTATTTGGCTAGACGCCGAGTGGCTCAGAGGAGAGTTCAGGTGAGTTGTGATGATTGTTGGTGTGTACACTTCTGGCATTCCTCTAACTTTCATATCATAATCTCTTGATTGTTTGCAGGAATTGGCGGTAAGATGTATCCAGCGCAATGTCCGGGCATTCCTCACGGTCCGTGATTGGCCGTGGTGGCGTCTTTTGGTACGAGTGACCCCATTGCTCAATGTTCATCGCACGGAGGAGCAACTGAAAGCGGCCAACGATGAATTGCAGACGCTAAGAGCGAAATTGGACAAAATCGAGACGGAGCGAGCTACACTCAAGGCAGAAAATGAGAAATTAGAGGCCAAGGTTAGTGTTCTCTCTCTTGATGATCTTTTCTCCTCTGCGGCTTCAATATGAGCCTCAAGAGTGAATTATATGTTTTGCATGATTCCGAGGTGCGTCCGAGGGGTTTTCCACATTGATTTGAGCGAGTGTGTGCTTTCTGTGTGATCTCGTGCGGTGAGATAGAATTTTTGCAGAGTATGTGGCAAAGTGTGGTGTGATCACCCACTGAGAAGTGTGATCCTCTCTTGTACTCTACCACCTTCTCACCCGCGCGACGAAAATACCTTCTTGCCAGCTCTCACAGCAATTTATCGATGGCTTTCGTTCTCTATCTCTCTTTGCAAATGTTTGAATTTTTGGGAGGATTTAAATATTTAGCAATGTTGTGAAAACAGAGAGAAAATGAATATTAATTGAAGGCTCAGTGTCTTTTTTTTGGAGGCGGATTCAAGGAGTGTGAAAAGGAGAGGGAAATAGAAAGTTTCTCAAATGGCTCATAATAGTATAATTGATTGTGCAAATATCTGGACAAATTTTCAAACGTAAAAATTATGATAATTGAAGTGTGTTTTAGCCATTAAAGTGGCATGAAAAGCAGTGGGGAGAAAATGAGATGGAATAATGAAAGGTGAAAGAAATAATTTCTAAGACAATAATTTGCTGTTGACCCCATTCTTGGATGATTTTCTCAATTCAATTTCTAACCAGTTGACGAGTTGCACCTTCACCATCATTTTTTTCTTTCTTTCATCTTTCAAAAGATGCGATCATCGTGGGAAATTATCTCATTCATCTCTTTTCTGTGCAATCTAATCGCACTACTCGCGGCAAATTGATCCACAACTTTGCCATGAATGAATGACTTTTGCAAAGCACAACAATAACATTGGCGTAATGAAAGGAGAAACGACGATTGAAAAGGTCTTTTGCGGTATGGAAAACACCCAAAATAGTGGGAAAGAATATACTTCAAAAGAGATTGACTTTAATTGCCACCAGATGCTATCCCCGATTTAACATGCATTGTGAAATTGTGTATAAAGAAATTAATTCAATTTACACATATGATATGTATATAGAATCAAATAATGTCAAAACAGACATACTGTTTTGCCTCCAAGCGATATCTTAAAAGTATAAAAAAAGGGGGAAAAGTGGTAATTTTCTTGACGTCTTTAAAAGTGAATGCAATGTAATCTCGTCCGTATGTGAGTTTTACGATGGACCATTTTCACTTTTATTACTGATCACCGTGTCTCAATTAAAAGACAATTTTCACGTGTGGCTTGTCGTGTGGATTTATTAAGTGACTGCCATAAAGTCTATACTTTTCGTTACAATCTGTCATTTGAAATAAATCGAAAAGGTATGCCAGTCGGCAGAAATCACACGAAGAGATAGAAAATTTCGCTAAATCACAGTGAAATTTTTAATTGAAATATTCATGGGTGAGATTTATAGTTTTTGATGTTAGTGATATATATGCAAAATATATTGGCAATCTCAATTAGAATATTTAAGTGAATAACATTAAAGCTAATGGCTTAATTTATGAGTGATTTAGTTCATTTTGTGAATGGAAAAAAAGACTAAAAGGTGGGATTATGTGATGCTAAAAACGTGAGTGTGGCCTATCACCTATGCAAAATTCCGCAAATTGGTTACCACTCTTCCCAAGCCTTGTGACAGGCGAGCGAAGAAATCGAAAGTGGACGTATACATAATTGTTTAATGAAGGCGTTGGTGACATGAAATGAACTGGGTGGCATGTTTAAAAGGCCGAAATTGCAATTTTCACTATAAATCTCTCAGTGTGAGGAAGAATTTTATGAATTTGTTTTTCTTCCTTCTCACAAATTGCTGTTTCTTCTTGTTTCCCGTCATTTCTTCAACACTGTGTTTTTTTAAAAAACATCACAGCTCATGTAGACGGAGGAAAATTCTACTTATCCGCCGATTGATATAATAATTAGGAGTAACATAATATTACAAATTCATCCAATGATATACACGGATAATTGAATCAAATTACTTTTAATTTCTAAATACTTTATCCTTTTTTTAAGTTATATCAAGTGTGGAACTGAATCACAGTTCCTGCAAGCTTGAGAAGTCAAGGCCTATTAGTCGTTTTCCCTTTTCATTTTTAAATATTGTTGACGATCTCGTCGCAGTGAACCAAAACTCTCAGGCTATTATTGTATCAATCCATCAGTGCGTTCTCATAAGTTGCCTCATGTGTGAGAGTGCAAAATGCCGTGGCCGCTGCTGTCGTCAGTTTGTGTTGCCAAAAGATATTAAAGTGTCTGTTTTTTTTCTCTCTCATTTGGGATGCGCACAAGGCGACTTTTTTTGCTCTTCCTGACTTTCGAGAAAAGGAGGTCCATCAGGCGTCCCAAAAGAAAAGCGTGAGCGCACAATGAAAAGCAGGCACAGAAATGAGAAATTAAAATGCCAAATGATTCACGCATACGCAGATGAGGTGACACAGAGTCAATCTGACGAAGTTGATCTTAGTGAAGAGAATGAAGATTCAGTTTCAAGTTGAATTCTGCCGAGAAATGTACACACTTCCGAGTTGATGACGATCGACCACTGAATGGTCACAGACTTCGCCGAGAAGATCATATATTATTTTCGCGAGTTTCCGCTGTATTAACATTTAGAATTTTGTGCGAGCGAGTCTCTGGGCGCCAAGCAAAACAGTGCGCGCACACAGAAAACGACTATTTTGAGAACTATTCTCGTTTGGGACACTTGACTTCCCCACAAGCCACTTGCACTGATCAATTTAATGGGTGAATGTGGATCAGTGTAGTGTGAAAGAGATGTAATCAATTGCACAATATTCTGTGAGACTGGGTTGATTTTTGCATCCTTGAGCCTCTACAGTGAATTTAATGAATGTAGAGTGTGTGGGGCGGATTTCTGGTGCGCGCGGCAATGTGACTCCCCATTGTGCAATTGAGTAACACAATTCTGTGGATTTTCAAGTGCCAAAATGTCATAGGGATGCTCATGCGAGAGCAGTGAGTTTTGTGCTTGGTGAGCGAGAAGTGGAATTATATTTGAGGCTACTCGGAAATGCCACTCACCCCGTCACAGTCACAGAAGATCAATGGAGTTCCGCCGAATCCACGCTTTCACCTGCCCGTCGGACTGGGGGCGATTGGAGGAACTTCGAGACGATCGGATTGTGAAGAGTACAATGTCCCTAAGCGTATTGCCATTCGACCGATGCAGCCTGTCAAGACGGTCCTGCCCAGTATCAATGGAACACTGGGGAATGGGATCAAGGCTGCGTCGCGACCACCACTTCCACAGATAAAAATGCCCAAGATTATCTCACCGCCTGTGCCGAGAGATGGCTACCCGGGGAAGTTAACTGTGAAAGGGTTACCGCCGAAGAATGGGATATTGGAGCCAGTGCCAAAGACACTGAATCCTAATTACCGGCCTCTAGAGAATGGAATGGGTGTGAAGAAGCAACGTCCACTGGAGGCCACTCTGACGGTTCCTGTGACTCCTCCGTCATCTTGTGGGAGTTTGTCCAGAGATTCCTCGTGTGTCAGTCTCACTCTCTCTCGATCACCGAGTCCATGTTCCACTAGGAGTGGTGTTAGTTCGAGATCAAGCCTTGGAGAATCATATAATCGTGGCCCATCGCCCAGACGAATCTTCCCTCAAACGTACTCTGGTGCCGAGATGAGTCTCAGTGAGCGTGAATTCCGAAATCTCGAGCAATCACCAGTGATTTTTGATGCTAACATGTCCTTTGTCCTCGGATGTACGAAGCAAAGTGTGAGACAATCTGTTCGACCTTCTCCAGCGCACACAGACGCCGCCACGGCGTCGAATTACCTGAGCAGTCGAATTGAGAATTTCCTCAAGAGGACAGATCATGTTATGGAAGAGTGGGCAGCTCTGGGCAAAAAGTCATCGTGTGACGACGACACGATCAGCCTTATTGAGCGACAGAGGGAGAAAAATCGCCAGACGAGCAGTGTCGGTCGCTCCAGGAGTGTTACCAATATCATGATCAAAGGGTATCAATTGCTGAAATCCGACAAATTACCGCCAACGAGCAGTAGATCCAATTCACTGGCCCGTGACTTCTCAGATTCGGACACTATTATCGATGATGGTGAGGTAAAGTGTCGTGCCCTGCGGCCTGCAAAGTCATATAAGAGAGCATTTCACTGTGGATTTTTTTTTGTATATAGGCATTTCTGACCTCAATTTCCCCTCGTGACCATGACCATAGAGAATAATCACCCATCTCTCTCTCGGGTGGAATTCTTTGTCGAGATTTTGCAGTGAAATTCTATGATGATCGCGTAATTGCACACAATTTCTCATTGTGCCTGACTCTTTTGGTTCGTTCTGGGTCAAAATCCCACTGTGTTTTATTTTTATCATTTTCACTCTCGCATTTTCTCTTGGGGAGAGTGAAAGAAAAGAAAAAAATTGGAAAGATAGATCACCACTGTCAATTTTATTCCTCATCCGCCTCCGTACTGTTTTCACCCATGCATCCTTCGCAAGGCAATTTGGTGGGAAATGAAATGTGTGCAGCTACGCGGAAATTTATGAAACATTTCAAAATACATTCCACTCAACTGTGAGACGTGCGTGTGTTCAGATGTAAGACCGGCTTTTGGAATGATTTTGCCAAGATTTATATTGATGTTATTTTAAAGAATGTAATTCCGTTATCAATATATTAAATTATACAGATAGTTTAAAATCTTCACTGCTCTGATTGAATTACACAAATTTTTTTTCAGTGCTGCGAAGACAGTTAATAGACAATTAAGGAATGCAGAATACTTGAAAATTCATTTGCCATTGATTTAATTATATGTTTTTTTACCCATTTGCTGAACTTTCATTTAGAAACTTGATAAGAATTATGCGCTGTAGTTGATTGTTGGATTTATTTGTGCAAATAAGATGGTGAAATGCGAAAAGAAGATTAATTTAGTATAATAAAATTTGCTCCAATTAGAAATAATCACTTCTTTTACGTGTGCTACAAAGTGAAGTCAATGATAGTATAATGTCACGCCTTTCTTCCATGTGAAAAATTTCACTTGGTAATTTTTCCGCATATGAAAATGAGCAAATCTAACTTCAGATGAGTTCGTATATCTATTGCGTAAGCCTTTCTAAATGACCAGTTGAATTAATTACATCTGCTGTAGATCTTGATGCAAATCAGTCCGGAAAGCTGGTGAAATGGAAAATAGAGAAATATTTGATTTCTGCTTGCATATAATGGAAATATGGATAAATGATATCACTTGTAATTATCGAAATTTCTCACCAATGTTATGTCACATGGAAAATGTATGTTTGCGTATCGGCATGGATATGGCTGAGAGAGAAAGAGATTTAAATTTGGCTGAATGCCAGACTGTGAAATATTGTGCTTTTATCACAGCACTGTTTATGAGTGTCTCACAACATTTCTTTACTATCATTGCAGCTGTCGGAAATGACTGTGGACTTGGCTGAAGAGCGTTCTACGGCCAATTTGGCCAGCGAACGTCTTGAGGCGGAAGCGGCGGAGAGGCTGAAGTTGGAGAAGGAATTGCAGGAGCAACACGGAAAAATTCGCACCCTTCAGGAGTCATCGGAAAAGCTGGAAATGGAGTTGATTTGTGCCAAATCCGATCTCAATGGGTAAATGCTCTTGAGATTATACATTATGATTTATTTCTGATATTAACATCTTGATCGCGATTGCCTCTGGCGGGTGTGGAGAATAATGTTTGTAATTTTTACTTGCTCTGGAGTGGTACAAAAAATGGCTTTCCACTCTAATTGATGCCCCATGTGGAAGGAAAGAGTGATGATGTTGAGCATAAATTCCCAGCGGATTATTTCCCACTCATTAGACTATAAACTTGTGAACTCTAATAATACTTTCTGTATTGATTGATAGAATCTCGGAGGATGAGGATGGTGATAATGATGATGTTGGTGGTGTCTACAAGTTGAAGTACGAACGTGTTGCACGTGAACTTGAATTCACAAAGAGACGCCTTCAGACTCAGCACGAGCACGACTTGGAGCAATTAGTGGGGCTGAAGAAGCAACTGGAAAAGAAAGTGAGTATGGCTTGTTTACTCCATCGTCATGTGGATGTACTCTAAATGTGCTTTTATTACTTCTTCCACCGTCCAGTTGGCAGATGCATATGAGGAGGTAGAGGAGCAGCGACAAGTTGTTGGTCAGTGGAAGCGAAAAGCACAGAAGATGACGAATGAGATGAATGACTTGCGAATGCTACTGGATGAGCAGAATAGTCGTAATAATTTGCTGGAGAAGAGACAACGGAAGTTCGATTCGGAGTGTCAGTCACTGCAGGAGGGAGCTCGTCAGGAGAAGCAATCGAAGGATCGCTTGGCACGTGAGAAGGATATTCTGATAGCGGAGAAATTCACATTGGAACAGAATTTGGCGGTGAGTGTCTGATGGCATTTTTTACTGTCACACACTTTGCTATCTTATCAGTTAGTTTAAACAATTATTTGATAACTATACACACCTCACCGTGCAGCTCGACAGTTGCCTCGAGTAAATCCAGGTGTTTTGTGTTGTCTGGAGTGTTGTATAGTAATTCAATGACAATACACGTAATCTTGCCGAGAGAAATCTCTAATTTTATATCCAATTTGCAGGATACGCGTCTTGAGTTGGAGCTTAAGGAGGAGAAATTGTCATCACTGCAGCGAGAACTGGAGGAAATGACTTTCGGTGGTGGAACTGAAGAGGAAGTGGCTCAGCTGAAACGATCTAAGCTTGAGCTGGAGCGTCGAAACAAGGAGCAAGAGGAGGAACTTGATGAAATGGCAGGACAAGTTCAGGTGAGTACAGTAATTAAGTAAATTTGTTTGCTGATAACATCTGTCTGACTGACTATCTGTTGTGTGATCAGCTATTGGAACAGGCGAAATTACGATTGGAAATGACACTGGAGACGATGCGAAAAGAAGCAAGACGGGAGGCTCAACAGCGCGATGATGAGCTTGAGGAGGCTCGAGGGGCGTCATACAAGAAAATAAAGGCTTTAGAGTGTCAGCTGGAGACTGAACATGAGGAGAGAACACTTCTTCTTCGAGAGAAGCATGAATTGGAGAGAAGATTGGCGGCTGCAGCGGAGCAGGATCGCGCCGATAGAGCTGCCGAAGAGTCAGCTATTCAGAAGTTGAAGCGGGATTTGCGAAAGTACAAGGCTCTGCTCAAGGATGCCCAATCGCAATTGGAGCGCGCCAAGGCAGATTCACCGGGTAAGGTGCTGATTCGTCAGCTGAGGAATCAAATTGAGGACGCTGAGGCGGCACGCACTATTGCCGTGAAGGCACGCCAGACGGCTGAGACAGAGTTGAGTGATCTTCAGTCATTGCTGGAGGAAACGCAGCGGTCGAAGAGTGATGCTGAAGAGAAAGCCAGTCAGGCGAATCGCGATCGGTCAGAGCTTCAGGCGCAAATTGAGGAGAATGAGGAGGAGATGGCTGAACTTATGAAGAAGTACACAGCCACCGTGAAGCAACTCAACACGGAACAGATGGCATCATCAGAGTATGAAATCAAAATCAGTGAACTGGAGGCTGAGAAGAATTCGCTGAAGGAGCAAATTGCCGAGCTCACGGCCAGAGTGGAGAATGTGGAGAATATGAGTGATCCATCGGCCAGTGTTCTCACGAAGAGATTGGAGTTGAGGACGAAGGAGTTGGAGTCTAAGTTAGATTTGGAGCAAGCGACTAAGGCGCGTGTGGAGGTGCAGTGCAATCGCCACAAGGAAGCCTTAGAGAAGTTACAACAGGAGATGAATCTTGTGAGGGCTAAAGAGATGCAATCACAAGAGTCACTCAAGAAGACACAGAAGAATTTGAGGTCAGTTGAATATGATTAAGATTTCTTCTAAAAGCATTGACTTATTATTATTTTTCTTTGAATCTCAGGGAACTCAAGGAAGAGCTACAGACAGTGTCAAATCGTGACCAGGAGAGTGCGATCAAGCGGAAAGATCTGGAGAAGCGTCTGGAGGCTGCGGAGTCTGAGTGTGCGAGTGCCAAGAATGATCTACGATTGGCTCTGCTGCGAATTACCGACTTACAATCAGCCATGGAGGAAGGCGATGAAGATCCAACAGACAGGTTTGTTACCCTCACCAATCTGGATGAGACTTTGGTAGCTTACTGATTATCCCCAAATGATCTGTTCACAGTGATCAGGACAGTGACAGTACGGACGATTCGTTGAGTGACTTAGAACAACGGCTGAATCCCATTCGTCCTCGTCTCACCAGTCGGATTGCTGTCAAAGAGACTAACGGGGTAGCAGATGACGCGCTTGTGATCCGTGAAGGAAAATCAGACAACGGACCAAGGTAAGTTTATTCGACTATTTTGTATCTTTTATATTCCTCATCCTTCTAACATTCCCCGTGAGATTTGTCAATATACTAACGTAAAGTCAGTCTTAATTGAATGAGAAACAGTTTTTTCTTACTGTAGGATCTCTGTTGCCTTGTCACCATCGTCTTCATCGCACGGAAATGGTGACACGTCGTATGCTTAAAGAGGAGTTAATAATAATATTATAATGAAATTTTTCGTAGAAACTTTTCTATCCGACATACATATTTTGGTAGAGTATACTTAATGAATTAATGAAGAAAAAAACCAAGTATATAGGAGTAATATATATATGAAAACTATTGTAATTTTTTCACATATATATAAATGAAATATTTATTAGAACTGTGTATCAATATTTTAGATCTTATTATTACAATATCATCTCTCAATGCTTATGAACAAATTATTAAACGATGAACGAGGTTGGGAGGAAAGAATAAAAGTCTTATATTCAAAATATTGAGTACTTGTTAATAATTTTATTTAATTTTATGTAAATTTTATAAATATTGTATACTCCCGCTATTTAAAACATTTATATATTAAAAAAAAAAGAATCGTTTTACTTTTCATTCAATATACCTTCTTATACTTGTATTTGTTCTCTTATACATATATATCAGAAAAAATAGAAAATTCACTTTCTTTTAACTAAAACGCCCAAATGTTTAGAAAAAAAGGGGCAAAAGGAATGGCAATGAGAGAAGAAGAAACGTGTCAGAACAACGAAACAATCCGGCTAAATTAAGATGAATAAAATGTACAAAAGGATAACGTCAGAGCTCTTTTTCTTTAACGCTGCTGAATTGTTAAGAAAAATTGCAGCTCACCGAGAAAAGATGCAAGCAAATTGTAATTACGAATAACAATCTGAGATAACAACACTACTAGTCCTTTCGTTGTGTATTTATTGTCTTAATTAATTTGCTTCCAACGCCTGACATAATACCATTTTTTCTGTGAGTGACACGTTTTTTTTTTAAATTATCTAACAAAATATAGACAGAATTAATAATCATAATTCATATCAGAAGAAAGAGAAAAAAGAAGACGAGGAAGGTGTTTGTTTACTTGCAGAAGGAGTTGAAGATTGTTGAATTTCTCGTCTATTAGTTCAGAAATATAAGTAGCACCATTTAATTAATTGACGAGAAGTAATAAAAAAAACACGTTTTTGGCGTTTCAATGTGGGAAAGTATAGAGATTGATATAATGAATGTGCGAAGATGGAATACTTGTATAATCATTACTAGCTTAATAATTGACAAATTATTCGGAAAACAAAATTTTTTATTATATATGAATGGCAAAAATCTAATCTAATATTTGAATGTAGTTTAATTATTACATGTTATACGAGTTTCTCCAACATTTTTATTTCATCCCTTTTTGCCACGTACTTTCTTTTTTTTTTTTTTCTTCGAGAAGAAAAATAAATCAAAATAATTACTATGAAATATACTGCTTTTAATATATACTACTGAGTGTGAATGTAATAGAGTTTGTGATTGTTTGTTTGGTTTCTCTCGCCTCTAAATTCAACACCGCAGGATTGTTCATATTGAGAGCTGTGTATAGTAATTGTTTACTGCGCGACATAGCTTGTTAAACTGAATGACTTAACCTTCTGAAGGACACCCATCGAAACTCCCTGCAAAAGTGGTTCGTTGGCTCTATGCATAACAGCCTCATCTTGGTGCTTTTTTTGGCTCTATAGTGACGGAATTTCACACTCGTGCGAAGCCCTTTCAGGTGGGATCGACATGCAATGCGCTGCTCATTTCTGGAGGCACGAGACTCAGCCAAAGCGTCGTGAAGAATCATCCGTTTGAGCAAATCCCAATGTTTGCACCTAAATTTATATAGTGGTGTTATTTGTATGTGATGGATAACCAGCGAAACAAATCACGGTTATCGATTTAACAAATTTCCCAGGATATTAAATAGAGGCGGCAGCCAGCAGCTCACCTCAGTCGATGTCAAGCAGTTGAGACAGATTCGAGCCACCGCCACGAGATCACTTACAACTAGATTCCCCTAATAGGAAGAGAAGTACGGGACAAATTCAGTGAAAAGAGGAAAGATAAGTGTTTGTGCGACAGAAATCCTCGGATAGAAAGACGCCAGGATGGATGACAGGACGATTGATCACATTTTTGCCGGCTCGCTGGAACATTTGCCGCCAGTGAGCTCCAAAATTGTGCGCATTTTCACAAGTTCGACCTTCACAGGTGAGTTTTCACGTTCTTGAGGCTCACAATACACAATCGAGCCTGTGATAAATCGATATGCTCTCTCTCTCTTGCCTTTTGGATGGGTGGAAGGATGGATTTGCAACTATTTCAAGGCTAAACGGTATTTTCAAGTCTTGATGTGGCGGGGAAAAATCACCCCTTTGTTTTCTTTCGGTGACTTGTGTGTTTTCACTAGGCCGCTTTTAGGGGAGAGATTGACCTAATTTCTTTAATTATTATTGAAAATTAAGAATAGAATTTGCATTATTATGTTTCTTTTCGATTTCGGGCAGAGAATATAAAGTTCCCTTTTAATATACAAACAACATACCAAAGAAATTATTATAATTAAAGTTTTATGATTTACGAACGCCTTCACTTTGATTTCCATGGTTTGTTTAAGTCTCAATATAACAAGGAAATATTCCTTTTGATCACTTGAATTTCCTGTATGCTCAGCTTCAATTTGTAACGAAGTTTCAAAACACATTAAGATTAAAATGAAGATCATATCTGCAATACAGTAATTAGAAAAGTTCATCTACTCACTGTGAAAACCATTCACCGGAAAAACTCAAAATAAATGGAATTGTATCCAATTCAAATATTTTATTTATATTTTCTCCTATTTATTGAGTCACATTTCATCAAAGACGTATTGAAATTAAGGCACTTCACATGACTTCCGTGTGATTGAAATTTTTCAATTTTCCTTTGATATGTTATTTCATATCACGTCAATAATCATAAATCACAAATTTTCCTCTGTTTTGTTTTGGCTCTTTGAGTCTTCAATTTCATTTGTTCACTTTCAGACAGTTTTTTTTCTATAATCTTTCAATCCTCTTGCATTCAAACGACAATGAAATTGATCTCTCTATCGTAATTGTTGTTACACTAAAATTATGTTACTTTTAATTATCCCTGAAAAATTATCCAATAATTATATCAACTTTCATTATGTTGGCTTACAATCTATAGAAGAAAGTTTATGCAAATGCGCAATAAAGCGGACAAAGTACAAAATTACTATAATAACCCGCGTGAGATTTAATGTGTGATGGAATTCCTGCCCGAAAATAATGGACTCGTGTTGAGAGATGAAGATAAATTTCATAATAAATGCATTTCCATGTGAATTATCACGGGAGTGAAATTGCGGAAAGCTGGGTGAGAATTTTCGCCCGGTGCAATTATTGGCCAGAGTGAAAGCCACACACGCGGCAATTAATTTCTCATTTTCTATCAATTAAGCGTTAGGCAAATGATCAAAGCCGCACGAGGCTCTTGAAAATTTGCAGCTAAACTTCTTTCACTGCGGAGCATCAGACACGCTCGCCAGGTGGATTAGGTTCACCCACCCGCGGCGCTCCAATTGACCCACATTTCAAGGGGGGCCAAATGGGCCAACAAGAGTGGGTGGAGTTTCCAAATTCAAACGATTGCTGGTATAGTTAAATATGCAAATTGCCCTCAACCACTCTCTCTCTCTCTTTCTCTGTCTCTCCCAAAACACACAGACACCACGATGGAGAGGAACACGCTGATGGCAAAGTGCTATCCCCGCATTAAGGACTACTGCAGAGAGAAGCATGGATTGGAGTTCCAGGTAAGCCTGAATTTCCGTCGTAGCCATAAATTGCCCACACCTGGTGTTTATTCTGTGACTTCACTGCGCAATTATCAAATTCCTGCTGAGAAATTCACCCTTAAGGCGGGCCCGCCCCCAGTCGATCTACCCACACCTGTCTGGCTGAGACCGAGAAATTGGTTCGTGGCACGACATGCTGCTCTCTCTGGACATGTGTTCAAGTCCCCAAACGACACATTTGAACGTGAAAATTGCCAAAGTGCCATCGAGTTCTTGTCGCTCTCTGCATGAAAATGCGCCCATTTGCATGATTTACACCCAACTCTCACTGCACGCTCTTAAGCATTCCGACCAGCCACATTCCGCGGTGGTTGTTTTCTGTGCGGCAATTGCTTAATTTCACCCCGTATGCAGACTTTTCCGTTGGTAAATATTTGCAGACATTTTGAATGATGTTCTCATGATGGAAAAGTCTGCATTTTTGACTGACACCAAAGAATTTCCATGAAAATTGTGGAGCGAAGGGTTGTCGGAAAATGCATGGGATTGCATGAGCAGTGAAAGGACCCATAATTTCTCAAGCTTTCATTCCCATTCCCATTTTCTATGTTCCAAAAGCGCAGCATGGATATAAATTCTTATTGCAAAAAACCGGTTGAGAAAAGTAACAATCATAAATTAGTGCGCACAGAATGTAACGATAAATCATAGAATTTTGGTCAGGAATTCTCATGCATTTCCCGAGAATCTTTTTGCATTCATTTCTGCAGGTTGTGGACATGAGATGGGGTGTTCGTGACGAGGCCACAGATGATCACATGACAACGGAATTGTGCATGAGAGAGATCCAGAATTGTCAGCGTCTATCCATGGGACCGAATTTTGTGGTCTTCCTTGGACAGAAGTACGGCTATCGTCCAATTCCAACTCTAATTCTCTCATCAGAACTGCTCCTGATAAGGTAAAAAAGAGATTCCTCATCGAATTCCAGCGCTGTAAAATCAACACTTCACAATATATTTTCCAGAGATGAATTGGCCTCGATGGGAATCGATGTCATCCTTCTGGACACTTGGTATAAGAAAGACAGCAATGCTGTGCCTCCAATTTCCGTGTTACAACCAATTTCGTCAATTCTCATCAACTTCAACAACAAACGTGTGCCGAAGTTGCAAGCAGAGGATCAGGCCATTTGGTGGGACACACTCACGAAAATGCAGAAGCTCTTCCGCAAGGCCACAGCCTCTCTGCACGCCGCCGGGAAGCTGGACAAGGATCAAATGCACAACTACTTCATGTCCGTCACCGAACGTGAGGTCATCAATGGAATTCTCAACGTGAAGAACACGAAGAACCATTGCTTGGCGTATGTGCGCTACATCAATAACATCAACTTGCAGAATCTCAAGAAAGCTGGACTCTTCGTGGACATCATCAATCGCAGTCTGGACACGGAGGCGTGCAAGTTACTCGCCAATCTGCGTGACGAGCGATTGCCCAACAAAATTGAGACAACCAACATCCAGAAGTACACAGTGGAGTGGATTGGACGAGAAGGACTCGATACCGAGACTCATGAAGAGTATCTTAACCACTTCATCTCCCACTTCTACAAGAACATCATTAAATTGGTGGATCGGGCCATGCGCAAGGAGGACTCGAGTGCCCAAGGACAGATCGTGACGGAAATCCTACAGCACCTGCATGCGTGCAACAACGCCGACAAGGTCTTCTATGGACGCGAGGACGAGTTGGCCCACATCAAGGGCTACATGCTGGGCGACTCTGAAAAGCCACTCGTGCTATATGGCGAGGGTGGCTGTGGAAAAACCTCACTGTTGGCCAGGAGTGCAGCACTCTTCATGAAGGAGTGGTTCAAGGATGCTAAACCCATCAGCATCATCCGCTTTCTCGGCACCACACCAGACTCCAGTGCCCTCACGCCCACACTCATTTCCATCTGCCAGCAGATCTCCTACAATTACATGCTCCCCTTCGAGAGCATCCCTGACGATCTGGTGCCCCTCACAGCTCACTTTAAGCAACTGCTCACGTACGCCAGTCCCGCTCAGCCCCTCACACTCTTCCTCGACTCGGTGGATCAGCTCACGGGCGCCCAGGATGCCAACAAAGTCTCCTGGCTGCCTACGCGAATTCCACCAAACTGCAAAATCATCGTCTCATGCGCCAATGAGGAGTCCAACCCCACAGTCTCCCGGGAATACCATCTGCTGCGTCGCATGATCGATGTGGAGGATAATTTCGTGGAGGTTCGTGCTCTCGGTGAGGAGCTGGCCATGAATGTCATTAGGATGTGGATGAAGACAGCGTGCAGGGATCTCAACAATTATCAGTGGCGCCTCGTGGCCAATGCCATCGCCAAGTGCTCCTTACCCATTTTCGTGAAGCTCGTCTTTGCTGAAATTTGTCGCTGGCGCAGCTATACTCGTCCCCAGGACACCCACTTGGCATCCACAGTTATGGACAGCATCATGATGCTCTTTGAGCGCATTGAGAAGCAACACGGACGCATTCTCGTCTTCCACGCACTTGCTTACATCACAGCCTCCAAATCTGGCCTGTCTGAGAGTGAAGTTGAGGATCTCATCTCTCTAGATGATCGTGTGCTGGACGACGTCTTCCAGTATCACTTGCCGCCTGTAAGGAGAATTCCACCTCTGCTCTGGACACGAATCCGCAACGATCTGCCCAATTATCTCAGCGAGAGAGAGGCCGATGGCGTCAGTGTGATGAACTGGTGAGTTCAATCTATCCTTTCCACCTGATAATTACCTCATAATCACTTCAATTTCCAGGTACCATCGCCAGTTCCGAGACACAGCACGTGAGAGATACTTCAAGAACATGAACATGGCCATGTACTTCCACTCTTCCATCGCTGATTACTATCTGGGCATCTGGGGCGGTGGGAATCCCAAACCCTTCAAATTTACAGAGATCCAACGCCATCGCTTTGGACTCACTGAGAAAGAGGGCTCAGCTGACAGGAAGGTTCCCGTGCAGCCCCTTGTCTTCTACAACAAAGACGGGAAAGTTTCCCGATACAATCTCCGCAAATTCGGCGAATTGCCTTTCCATCTCGTGCGATCTCGTCGTTTCACTGATCTCTATGAAAATGTCCTCTTCAATTATGACTGGTTGCACGCCAAGTTGTCTTCTTGTCCACTGCAGGCTGTTCTGGCTGATTTTGAGGACGCTTCCTCCAACATTGACGACAAAGATGCGCGACGAGAATTGATGCTGGTGGCTGATGCTCTGCGACTCGGTGGAGCCATTCTGGCGGTGTATCCAAATATGCTATCACCTCAGCTGATTGGTCGACTTTTGCCAGAGATCGGAGGAAATCCCAATATCAAGATGTTGCTGAGTGCATGTGATCGCAGTGGTCCCAAGGACTGCTCTTTGATTCCCCTCAATCACTGTCTCCACACCCCTGGAGGTCCTCTTAAGTACTCCCTGGAGGGCCATCAATTTGCCGTCTTCGCTTTTGTCCTCACCAGCGACTATCGCTACATGGTGTCCATATCCACGCGCTTCATCACATGGGATCTCTCAACGTCTGACCTCACGCGCGATGTCAACCCAGGCATCGAGGGAATTATGCAGCAGCTGGTGCTATCGCCAGACAATAAATGGGCGGGCGCGTACACCAATAACAACCAAACTGTACTGCTCAATATGCTCTCCAGTGAATTCGTCATCATTGACAACCCCTTCGAGGCGTCTGATCAAGTCACCGGCGTATTCCTCCTCAATCAGAATCTCTTCATCCACACGAAGCTCAAGTGGGCCAGATTTGATATGCGTGGAAATTTGCAGGAGAAATTTGACGCTATAAATGTGACTGATGAGTGGGAAATTCTCCTCATGGAGTTCTACTCCATCAATGAGTACCACGTGGTGTACTGGACAGGGCAGATCAGCAATGAGAAGTTGCGATTTGACACTTTCCGCGAAGGCTTCACGATTCCAGCAATGAACTTCCACAGCGCCATGGCCATGAATCGTGATCGCACAAGCTTGTTCTGCTGCACCCACGACAATGACTACCAAGTCACAGCATACCAGCTGGATGGTGATCATTGGCGCGAGGAGAAATCCCTGTCACGCTATGAGAATGACGAGAAAGAGATGCTTCTGCAGTTGAAGCTGGATCAGCACGATCGAATGCTTCTGGGCACAGCAGGCAAAGGCTTTGTCATATGGGATCTGGACCCAGACAATCCTATCTCCACTGATGTCCTCTATCTGGCCCTGCCGCACGGAGTGCGAAACATCACCACACGCATGATGCAGTCCAACTCAGTGATGGTCAGCAGTCAGCTTAATTACGCTGTCGCCGGAGTGCGAAAGAATCTCTACGTTTGGTGTCTGGAGTCGAAGCAACTCATGAAAATCCTGGACGCCCACTTTGGCCGGATCATACAATTAGAGGCACTCACCATTGGGAATTGGAATAGCGTGATCACGTCCAGCATCGATCGCAGTGTCAAAGTTTGGAATATCAACAATATCTTTGAACAGGTGCATGTGATCGATCGACATGAGCTGCAGATCGACAGCATTAGTCTGTCTCAGGAGACAGACTTTGCCGTCACAGTGACTAGAGGATGTGTGGGCGTGTGGGAAATTCGCCAGGGAAGACTCCTTTCCAAGTTGGCCGATTCTCCACTGGGCGCCATTGTCACACACGCTGAGATTACTCCCGACGGTCGATATATCCTTTCCTCGGAAACGGGAAAGATCCTCATATGGAATCGCGTGTCTGAGCAGGTGCTCTTCCGCGATGACCAACCAGGCATTCAACAGATCACATTCCTTGAGGGCGGTGAGAAATTCATCACAGTCTCCTGTCCCAACATCACTAGCACCGAGGATCAGAATAGACTCACGGCGATCGCGACTGTGAGAACCATTCCAGATGGTCAGATACAGTTCTCATTTGATTTCCCGGTGCGAATGGTGCCGGGAATTCCCTTCCGCTGTGCCGTGATCACGGCTGATGGGATGCACATTGTCGTGGCTACGACGGACAAAGGCAGCAAGGATTGCATTGGAGTGTATAGTGCCACCAATGGTTCCCACATCCAGAAGATCACACTCAAGGGCTGCAATATCAAAGAGATCATCTCTCTTGTGCCACTGCCGCACAAGCCCAACCAGGTGGCCGTGATCTCCACAGAGAAAGGCAGCGTGATCGACATCAAGACAAAGCGTCATGTGAGATCTGTGCCCAAATGGCAGGGCAGCTGCACGAAGGACGGCAAGTTCGGTCTCTACGCGCCATCACGCGGTGGCCTGGAGCTTCTGGAGTTGCGCAAAGGCACCACTGTCAAGACCTTCATTCCCAAAGTGGCTGAGGGCGTCTTCACTGTGATTTGCATGTTCACAGACACTGATGAATATGTGCTGTACTATCACAGTGGCAAGAAGACTCTGCGTGTCTTCCGGGCCTCAGACACTGAGATGATCGCCAACTATCGTCTGCAAGCAGAGTTGACGGCCATCAGGAGCACAAAAGATGGTCGTGGAGTGGTTCTAGGCACTGTTGACGGCTGCTTATCTGTCCTCGCCATTGCCGATCCAAATCTCCCAGAGATGCTCGAATATCTCCAGAATCTCCCATCTCGCGATGAGCAGTGGAAGAAGAAGCTGGCTCGCATCAAGGCACGCACGAGATTCAAGGCGGCAATCAGAATTGCCCGAATCTCCACACGATTCTCCAAACACACCGGCGATCGTGAAAGTGTCCTCGGCGACATTGACACCATATCCGAATTTAATGATGACTAATAAAACAGAAAGAGTAAAATATAATCATCACTTCTACTAATAAAATTTTATTTTTACTTTCTCCTGATATTAATCTTATGTCATCAGTTATTGTTAGTCTCAAAAATTACTATCTGCTTTTCTACCATGTTTTCACTACACGTGATCTCTTTTATTTTTTTCTTCATCTTCTTCTCATCAACTAGAATAATTTAACTTGATATTAAAGTCAGTAGTATAATTATTGTGTTATCCTTGCAATAGTAATTAGGTAATTGAAAATTCTTCAGGGGTATTGGCAAAAATAACTATAAATGGAAAAATACTAAATGTGGTAAAAAGAACATGACATTTAATTAACACTAAGATGGAAATTTTATGGGGTCCACGAAATTGCTTAATTTAGGAATCCTTTCTTTCTCTTTTTTTCTCCTTGTGTGTGTGTGTGTCTGACATCAACATTTTCACTACATGATGTATGTTGGCTACACCGTTGCTCATTTTTTTTCACTATCTCAACGTAAATAGGCATTAACAATACATTATAATATAAATTTGCAATAAATATTTCATGTGTAACAAGGGACATAGAAGTAATATATAGATGTAATGAAAGGAAACATCATCGTAGAAACAATGATGATCCATAGAGAAAGATACTAAATGCAATTTAGAGATTTTCAGTTAAAACTAAACAAATAATGAAAAACATGTGAATATACCCGCTTTTAGGGTGCTTCAGCATTTCGATCTTGCATTGTAGGGAAAATTCACAAATGTGGGAAATAAGAAACTGAATAAAAATATTACGCAGCTATGGAGTTATCTCCGATTTGTCTCTCTTCTCACTGCTCACAAATAAGAAAAAAAACACATTCACTTGGGCTGACGAATTTGGGCCAATTTCTGCTGAAGAAGTTCAAGACGATTTGATGAAATTGGTTCTGGATTCATCTGTTGACAGAGAAGAAAAAACCAATTGAGTTTAACATCAAATTGAACATCCAAAAGTCATTTATCACACACTACTCACATCTTTTTTCAGGAGAGACACTGTCGATTTACCGCCAAATTGCTGATTGACATTCAAATTCTCATCAGCTGTCTTATTATCCATCACCGAGGAGGCATCGTAATTGGTACTCGCGGCCGCTCCTCGAGATTTTACCTAGAAAATATCAATTTGTATTTTTTCGGTGATCAACATTCAATCAAAAAAGATAATTTGTAATTGAGCCAAATGAATTATCGCTCATTTCACAGCCTAAATAGACTAATTAACCCTGACAACATGTAGCACATTTAGACTTCTCTTTTGGCTAATTAGGTTTAACTGCAATTCTTCACCAGTGTAATATTTCAACTCACCACCATTGTGTTCAGTTTGTCCAACCAGTAGTCTGAGTTGAAATTGTTTACATTTGAGTCAGTTGCTGGTGTCATGGTTTGTGTGATGTTATCGCCTTCACTGCCACTTCTCTGCCGCTCAATTTCCGCCAAACCATCCTCAATATATTTCTGGAACGTCGGACTGGCCCCTTTGAGGAATGGAACAACATCCACTTCGGGATTCATCAGCTGAAACCAATTAAGAGAGTTAAAGTTAGAATTAGGTCTTTTATCTCCCCACTTCACACACTTTCTCTGCATTCATTATGTGTTCATTAAATGTACCTTAAAATCATACAGCTTCGCTATGCCTTCCTTGCTGGTTTGCGTGTCGGAAATCAGTTTGAATATGCAGGAAATTGTGTCATGCGTCTGCTTAGTCAAACGCTGCTTTTGATCTTTCACACTTCCCTGTTGACTTCCGCGCTGCGGTGATACCAAATTTGAATTTCCATTTGTAGGATTTCCACTCGATCCACCATCTTTCTGCAATGCGAGAACAAAATATCCACATTCATATCAAGTTTCAATTACTATTTTTAGATTTCTTAATAAAAATGCACACAAGTGCATTTTATTTACCTTCAATATCCGAATGAGATAAGTATACAGCTCAGAGTGGGAGGGAATCTTATTGAGGTGTTGCAGAATGGCATTGCCTTTGATCTTTGCCATATTGTGTATGATGGTCTTGATTGTTCTCAGCGGTGTGTCCGATGGACGCTGATGCCACCATGCACTCGGCAGAGCCACCATGAAATCGTGCAACTCCAGCAGAACAGCATCATAGTCCAGCTCACTCGATCGTTCAGGAATTACTTTCACATTACGCCAGATACACTTCATGAGGAGATCTGTAAACTTAGGCAATCCTGTACTGGAGCACGTCTCCTTCAGCAGCCGAATGAGGGCACAATTTTGATTGGTGAAATTGGTCCTGTCGAGTATTTTCAGGCAAATTCCATTCAACACACGCATGTAATTGCCATCACCACTGTTGGCAAGCTTCTGGTCAGTCATCAAGCCCAGCAACATTGACATCACATTCTTCACATTCATCACACTCAGATTCTTTCCCAGTTGCTTCGAGTTGAAGAACGAATACATGCTGGACAGCAGTGGCTGACACATTACCATCGACTCAGCAATTGGCAACTGCGACAGATTCTGATACTGCTTCAGTATACTCTGAATGTACAGTTCCTCATAGTCCCGCAAGACCGCCTGTTGCTCTGGATTGTTTATAATGTCGCCGAGTTCATGTATTGCCGCTCTCGCCGTAAGCGAATCCGGTGATCCCACTGCGCGGATGATTTTGACTAGATTGGGATCCAATTTCGGGAGTGTGTCTGCCAGATTAGAAGACACTGCTGGCATAGATTGATTCCGTTGCGGACTGTAACTGCTGCTCACACGCGACGGTTGCTGTGACTGTGGCGGACTCATTGTGTAGTTGCTGTACATGCCAGCACCAGTAGACATCGCCGAAGCAGCATCCATGAGTTTCTGCAGCTTATCCATTGGATATCCCACTCCGTCGCGAGTCACAATTTGCAAAGGTGACTCAAGGAATGCCACATCAATCTTAGATGGATCCCTCAATGGCATCTGATCCACTTTCACCCAGTCTTTTTCAATTTCCGCAATGACATCAGGATCCAGGCGGAATGGTCCAGACGGCTTAGGCGGTAGAGATTCGAAGGTTCTAAACAGAAAAGAGATATTTTCATTACCAATCAGTTATAGCGACAAATATCTTCTCTTTTGGATTGTGCGGATTAAGACAAATTCCTACACAAAATGACATGTTATCAATAATTGAGGCTTCCAACTTCACACATCTCTGGACAAGGGATTTATAAAGTCCAACACAGGGACAAATACAGTGCGAAAGGACACAACAATACACTAACTTATCTATTTGTGGACTAGTAGAATCAGCATCAACGAGATGTATGGATTTGAAAGCTGCCTGAGTTTTCGCCTCAAAATTCACATTTCTGTTCAGTCCAAGAATAAAGTAAAGAAAGAAGCATAGCTAAAGACACAAAAAGAAGAAATGTTGGATTGCTGTTCACTCACCTGATCGGTTGTGGTGCTTCCTCTTCCGGTGGCAACTCTTCCTCACAAGGCAACTCTTGTGGTTCCACAATCTCCTGCTGCTGATGCTGAATCTGAGGCTTCCCAGGAGCACTTTCAACAGGCTTCATCACTCGCGTTTTCTTCATTCGTTTAATTCGCTCATCCAGCATCGATGAATCCTTATCAGAGATCTGTCCAATCATCTTATAAACTCTGTCTCCGGCCAAGAAGTATGCCTGCACGATACAATTCAGTGCAGCATTGCGCACAGAGTTGTCCCTGTCGGAAATGTGACGAGCAATCTCCTTGAGGGCCGCCTGAGGAGTTGGTTGACACACTGTCAGACCATGTGTTTCAATCAAGTAACCCAACTCATCGAGGCACTCCGTCCTTTGTCGGGCATTTTTCGACTTCAACCCTTCCATTATGTACGTGGAGAGCTTGGAAAACGGATAGACAAGGCAAATTTGTCGCAATAGCGATCGAACTCCGTTCCTCACGGCATCCTTCGGATCTCCGATTTTGATTAGAAGATGCGGAATGAAACAGGAACCCTCACTATCCGCCATCATATACTCATTGTCAATGAGCACCTGAAACACCAAACTCAGGTACTCCAGTCCCTTCAGCAGCACTGAAGGATTTGTATCATAGAATCTCAGCGAGAGCCACTTGAGTATAAGATCCAAATTGCAAATAAGAGCTTTCTCATTGGACGGCAAATCCTCAATGAGTGAATCAATCACTTTCAGATGATAGCGGAAGTCATCGTGAAACATGTTTGCCATCAAGCCCTTATTCACATTCGCGGTAGTCATCTGGTCACGAAGCAATTCAGTGAACTCTTCACGTGGTTGCGTGAATGTCCACTTCAACACCTTCAACTTTTGCTCATCAATCAACCTTTGATTCTTCGTGTTATTAATGGCTAAAAGTGGCGAAGTGTCGACATCTTCTTCCTTCTTCCGTGATGATGTGGTTGCAGGAGCTTTGTTAGTCATTCCTGCCGACTTCTGTCCCACCTTCTGCCCACCACCACGCACAGTCTTCACCGGTTCCTCTGGAATGGGCGCCTGCTGCTTTCCTTTTGCCAATGGCTTCACCGGCAAGTTGGGTCGGGCCTTATCAAGAGCCGCCTGAATATCCTTCTTCGATGCTGGTTTTTGCTTATCCAATGCCTTGATCATCGTTTCATATCCCACATGAATCATAATGCCCAGGACTGCATCATTGGCATTCTTCCTCACTTCGGCATTTCTATCGCAAATGCTGGCGTATAGATGCGGAAGACACGCCACCAGTTCATCCCTAGAAATGGATTTCACTGGCAAATCGCCCAGTTTCTCCGCCAGCCATCCCCACAATTCAGTCTTGAGGCCTGGTCCACCAGATTTCAAAGCCTCAGCGATCATCTCACCGTCAAAGAACTCCTTGTAGCCACATGTGTCGCCCCAAGTGTTGATGCACGCCAGACAAGCATTCCGAAGAAATGACTTCATGTCGCCCAGTCCATGTAGGAATCCCGGAAACAAAACTCGCACATGTTGTTTGCACGCAGGACCCATTGCTGTGGCCAATTGCTCACAAATAGCCACAGCCATTTGGGCAATCTTGGCATTACTGTCGACAATTCTATGGGCCAGGGCTTGAGGCAAGTCTCCAATGGATGGTTTGATCAATTTAGCGTCTCCAATGATTCCCTGTAGTTTTATAAGGCCCTCATTGCGTGTCTTCCAGTTCTTATCAGCCATCTCTCCCAGAAGTGCATCAGTTATTTGCGAAGAAATATCAATGCGTGGCAGAAGATCCGTTGTTTGCGGCATTGCCACTTCCTGGTTGTCGTCGCCATCCTCTCTGTGAAGATAAAATATTCCATTGTTAGTGAATCACGAAATACACCCAATAATCTGCAAATACTCACTCATTATCAGAAATAGATCCTTTGCTAGAACTCTTCTTCACTCCACGCATCGGAACTGGTGGTCTTTGATCGGTGTTCTTCTCAAATTCCGCGAAGATTTGTTGTCTGAGTGCCGGCTTTTCTCCATCAAACACCATCTCGAGGGATTTTCCCATGAAAAGATACATTGTTCCGAGAAGAGTAATGCCAGCACCCCTCACGGCTGGATTAATGCTCTGCACAGCTTTTCGGGCATCTTCCAGAAGCATCTTCGGATTGATTTGCAGACCAAATTCACGGAGAGCCTGATTGATCCACAGCAATGATTCCTGTTGCACTTTTGGAGATTTCTGCTCAAAAGCGAATGTTGTCACTTTCGACACCACATAATCAAGATTTATGGCCTCCGCAATGGCTGTCAATGCAGCTGCAGCTGATGCACTGTTTTTCGTATCGCCCAGCTTCTCCGTTATGTCATTCAATGCATAGTCACACGTGGTCACGGTGATAGGCATTCTCTCAGCTATGACACGGATGATGTCCAAGCGATACTTGAGAACTTGGAAGTGTGTGTCCTTCAGCCCGGGCTTCTTCAAAACTGTCCGCACCAACACCTGTGACATCCCACTCTTTGGATCCATGTCATGCACAAGAGCTGTAAGTGACTCCATCGCACTCAATCGCGCTTTCCAATTGCTATCCGAAAGTCCAGCAATCAAATCAGGCGGAAGAACCTCTGACGCCTTCTCGTCCACCTCTTCCTGAGACAAATCTCGCTCACTGGGAAGGGTTTTTCCCACCACTTTTGCAGTACTGCCTGACTTTGCCAGACCACCGCCGACTTTCTTCGCCACAGGCTTCTTTCCACCCGCTGTGGCTGGACGAGTGACGGGTTTTGGCTCCGTGGAGCCTCCTTTAGTCACGCCAGCTGACTTTTGAGGCGCCGTAGCTGGTCTCTCCTTCTTCGGACTGCTTATCTTTATCACAATTACTGCTTTCTCGCAGCACTCCTTTATCTTATTCAATTTTAAGGCATCCACGTCCGTCAAGAAGGGAGAAATGTTCTTCTCGCCGATCAACTTCATCGCCGTGCCAATCGCCTCAGCCGATGCGTCTCTCACGACCGGATCGGATTCATTGAGTGTCTTTAGCAAGGCTGTTAAGTAGGCTTTCAGTAATTTTTTATTCAGGACTGTCGGAAGTGTCTTGGTGAATGCGCGCGCCAGGAATGAGGCTGTCTCTGATTTCACATTAGGATTCTTATTGTTCAATGCCTCGAGAATATCTTCCTGGATGGCATCTAAATTTGTCGCTGGATAGATGGCATCAATCGCGTCTCGGAGCGCTGTCACGACATTTGTTTTCTTCTCCTTGAATTTCTCAAGGATCGCCGCAGTACAGACAAGAGCATATGGTGAGAATTTCTTGCCCAGTCCTTTGGCAAGTCCAGCCAAACATTTTCCAGACAATGCCACGAGAACAACGTTGGTATCCTTGGTGAGGACCTTCTTCAGCGCCTTAACAACCTCCGCATAATCTCCGGACTCCAATTTGGGATTCTGCACAAGTGGCTCCAACGCCTCAAGAGCCTCCTTTCTCTCCTGCCACTTCTTCGACTCGAGCTTGTCGTAGAAGTCTTTCGGGATTTTGGACAGTATATCAACCGGATCCATCAAATCGAGCGGATCTATTTCACCAGAAGCATTCGCCTCGTCGCCCTCCTCGCCATCGTCAGCGTCGTCTCTGTGGGCGGCGGCCGCTGCAACGGCAGCAGCTCTCTCCTGCTGTGACCGTAAATATCTCGTCGGCTCTGGCTTTTCATTTTTCATCTTGTCAAATTCGCCCTCGAGTTCTTTCATCAGCACATCCGCCACGGAAGTGAGCTGAGCCTTTAGCGCTGCACCAATCCACCGATAAATCTCAATAGTCAGCGACTTTGCCTCATCACGCACATTCTTATCTCGATCACTCAACAAAGTGGCTATTTTCTTCACTATCGGCTTCACGGCAATCACCTTTGAGCCGAATTCACGCAGAGCTGTCGTCGTTGTGGCAATACAGGCGGCACCAATTTTGGGATTTTTGTTCTCCATGCCCTTTATCAGTTCCTCCATCACGATCTCATGCTTCTCAATCTCAATGTACATCAGAGAAATTTGAATTGCCAGATCCTTGGTTTTCGCTTTCGGAGCTCCAATGCATTTGGATACAATTCCTGACATTACCTGCAAAGGCATTAGTGCATATTAGTCTCTCTACACTTCAATCTATTCATTAATTACGCATATTTCTATATCGTGATATATTAGCTGAACACCACGTGTTAAAATTGTGTATATGATATGTTTGGAAGGCGTTACTTTATTCCGTGTTTAACTCTGCGTGGTTGCTTTCTTATTTACAGTTAATGGAAGTACATGTTCCAGAATATATGTATGTAGGGTTATTCTATGCTCCGATTTTCAATATACGTACACAACACGCAGAAACAACATAAAAATGTCTTAAAAAGGAAATCAAAACGCGTTATGGATTCTTCTATGCTGACTTTCAACCTAAATAAGTGCGAAAATAGCACGTTTCAAACTTACCTCACCAACCGTCTTGCCGGCAAATCCGCAATTCTCCACAAACACCAATGTGGCCTCCAGTCCCTTCTCCTGTGCCATCACATTGCTGTCCACCACGAACTTCTTCACCAGGCCCAGGAACTTGTTCCATTCCGGTGACTTCTCATCGACAATCTCCCGGAAGATCTTTGTGGCCTCCTCGTAGCCATCAACACGAGCCTTCCACAACTTATGGACGCACCTCTCATCCACGGGCAATTTCTTGAATTCCGTGTCCTCTTCCATGTTGTCCCTGTCTGGAATTCACTTGACAGACGTCTGCTGCTTCAAAACTATGCAACACTCACGGATCTGTAGAGAAAATGGAGATGCAGAGGATCTATTTTAGTTCATCAAGAGAATCTACACTGTGCCTTTCTGGTGCAGTAGCGCGATTGGACTGTGCCTTTGCGCCTTTCAAGAATCTCTGCCGACTCAGAGGAGAGCCAGGAATTGTGGTGTGAGGCGATGGAAATAGGTGAATTGCAACAGGGTGCTTGGTGAGATGGAGACAAGCATTTTCGGTGTAATGGCTTTTTTCGTGGGTAATTGATCGTCAAACAATCGAAACATTAAATCTCAAATCACTCCAACTTCCTGCTCCGCATGCGCAGGGTGGTGTGATCAAGGTGTGACTTTAGTTTTAGAATTAGGCAAATAATCCCATGAAAATGTTTGTCTAATCTCCAGCTTTTCCTCCTTTGTAAATACCAATTGGAATTTTTTTTTCCAATTCGCCATTTTTCCACAAACAGGCGAATCTTATAAGGGATACGGAAGTGAGTGCCGGGAGCACCTGGGCCGGCAAACACTGTATTTCCGCGACATTGAGGATTTTTGTGGACGCCGCCATGCGCAGTTTCATTGTTACCTCTGCACTAATTTCTCAACAGCGACTGATTCACCCACAGAATTGAACAATTACAGATACCTTTCCACTCCCCAGGCCCCACAAAATCGGCCCCCGAGGCACTTTCAGTGCGTTTCACGGCTCCAATGCTCCAAATAGGGAGTGCGAAGTACAACGAGATGCACCCACTGAGCCCACTGAGAAAACTTGTGACGTATTTACGGCTTTCACGCAAGATATCCCAATGGGGAATTGTTTTGTGGACCCACTGGTGCCCCAATTCCCTCACAATTCACGCTGAGATATCATGTATTGTACAAAATTACCGTCCTAACGGTTTTCACTCCGGACCAAAGCTTCAAACAAAAAAAATTCTCAATGCTACAAGCCATTTTTCAACTCAGCTTTTCTGCAGCTTGAGACACTTTGTGCACTTACCTTTTGTCGCTACTTGATTACTTAGACACTCTTCTGCAAAATTTCACAAAAATACTCAATATCACGTATAGATTTTCACTACAATTTCTCACTACAGCCAGTCGCAGATCTTTTCACCACTCCGTCTCCATTTTTTCTTCTTCTCCGGAGACTGACAATTGACAACCGATCGGCAAGCGCGCGCCAGCACTCGGCAAAGTTCGGTGTCGGAAAAACACAAAAGTGTGTATCGGCTAATAGGCTTTTTAGCAGAGACACAAAATTGCACTCACAAAAATATGAGTTTACCCTTTCAGTCCTTCCAGAGAGAAAGCCAGATCCAATAATCAACAAATGATAATCGGTCATATTCCCAATTGTCTATGAGTTCCATGCGACAGAAACATCAAATGAAAATGAATTTTATTCTTCCGGAACCTCTCTTTTGTGAATAAGAATTGTGCTTCGATTAATATGTTTTATTTAACAGTCGAATATGGGTTTTACAAAGAGTATTCTCAATATGCATTTAGCACCTAGAACGGTATAATTCGGCTGAATTAGCTCAAATATCCAAGTGGAAGAGGTAAAAGGGGAATTGTCTGTGGAGGACGTAGAGCATGCAATTTATTCTCATCTCTATTTTGGTATCAAAATATTGGACGCGTCTCGTGGACTTGGACTACCTATCGCAGCACACTGAGGCCAATCAGAGCGTGCTTGGCGGTGATGAGCTTCTCCAGCTCGTGGCTCGCCTCCGGCTGCAATTCCTCCCAGACGTACTTGCCAATGAGCGACACCTCCTCCAGTGGCGGCCGGAAGAGCACAAGGAGCGTGAGACAGATGCCGTCTGTGGCTGTGCTGGCCATCTCCGAGGGCGAGTGTTCGACGGAGAAGAGCCCTTGGGGCTTGTGCTGTGGCAAGTCGGCGCCAAAGATCTCCTTCATGAACTTGATCAGCGTGGAGTAGATGCTCCTCTCCGGGTGAATCTCAACAGTGGGATAGTGGGAGGTCTGCTTCTCGCTGTAGAGAATGTGGAATCTGTTGGTGGCGCGCTTCCGGATGGCCAGCACTAGTCTAAGGTGGCTCTTCGTGTGCGCCTTCGGCTTGGGTAACATTGCGCGTGGCCACAGAGCCACTGAGATGGTGCTCTTGTAGAGGCGGCCGTAATTGATGAGGGCCACAATATCTTGGCTGCGGAGGCTGAGTTTCGACACGTCCGCCACCCAACTGGCCTGCAGAGATTCACTGTCTGCCATCTCGGGCGTCTTCAGCTCTCCGCCCACAATGTCGCCGGTAACAACGAAGCGAAACCACAAGCCTCCGGCAGTTTCTACGAGCAGGAGTGTCGTGATCTCCACTATAAGGCCTGTCTCCTCCAGCACTTCTCGTGCGGCTGCATCGACAATCTTCTCGCCAGGCTCCATCCGGCCGGCCGGCAGGTACCACTTGCCCCGACAAGACTCCCGTGACTCCTGCATCATGAGGATCTCGTTGGCATCATTGACCAGGACGAACGCCACGATGTAGTTGACGGTCTTGCCCAGGATGGGCAGGTAATCGGGACTGGTGCTGGGTGTTATGCCGTGCGCCTCACTCAGGGCATTCTGCTCTGCCAATGAAAAGTCGCATAGATCGCTGGCACCGTTATCGATGCTCAGCTTGCCCATCAGATTCGACAGATGCACCTCCATTTCCTCACTGCGTTCGCTGCCTCTCAATTACCTGCTAATGCTCTCTAGCACACGTAGACACTCCCCAGAGTCGCAAACATTCCACAGCGTCGGACCATGCCAGGGCACCGCCAAGACGATCACTCGGTGACGAATCTCTAATTTCGGTGATCTCAGGTGTTCTGTTTGCACAAAATCTCTCACGACCTCTCAACTGGTTCTCCGCTCTCCGCCTCCCGGCCGCAGCTGATCACACAGATCCACCTAATAGCCACCTAAGAGTTCACTCAAATTCCTCAGTGTCTCTTCCGAGTCCAACCACACTCTGCAACTCTCTCCGCTCAACTACTCGAGCAGTGCCGAGCAGGGCCTCCAGCGACTCCCGCCTTGGTGTTTGTGGTGTGACGGATTTTTCGGATTCAGCAACGCAGAACACAAGCACTTGGCTGGCTCTCTGCTGTGTCTGTGTGTTGCTGCCTTGAATCTTGATTACCATGGGACGTATCCAGGAACATCTAATGCTCGCGCGCTGCCTGAAAGTGTAACACAAAAGGGGCGTCTCAGGTTCCGAACTTCAGGGCTGGTTAGGCTTGAGAAACTTTCTCAACATTTCACGTGGGTTGCAGATGATTCACAATAAGTGGGCAAGTTCTTTGCAATTGCTGAACTCTCTTCTAAAATTGTGTCTTCATTCAATATTCAATAAACACCTGAAGAGCTCTGATGAATGCTTAAAAAATTCCTCTCCGATGAGAGCATAGTTGGCCAAATTTGTTGTCACACATGAATTCAAAAAAATACATTAGATCAATTTATAATAAATTTATGATTTTCTGAATAATTTCAAGGAAGAATGAATTAATCTCTAATTGACCACTTATAGGAATTATAAAACAAATTATTTGTTGAATTTCTGCTATTTGAAAAGAACAAAAGAACTCTCAAACATGATTGCGAGACAAAATTTCGCGAAACATTGAATCCTCAAGTGGTGGAGAAGAATAGAAATTAAGACCTTTTGCCCAGGTCGCTTCTCTGCATATGTTTTGCATTCTTGGAAATCATCAGCAGCAGAGCAATTTCGCAAGTGAGTTGCCCACTCTGGTGGGTTAACGTGAATGGGGCAGCGGAGGAATGTCAAGTTAACCGCGGAACGAAATAGCAAACGGAAGACAATGGACAGAGGAGCCGAGCTGCATGGTCTGCGATACTGCTGAAGAACTTTGCATACCAGTCACCTAGATTGCCACCTATCCAGCAGTCCATTGGAATGTGGTCCTCGTAAAATGCCGAGGAGCATTGCTAAACTCTCCAACTCCACTTCTGTCGGAGTTCCCCAACGTGAGATTTTCGCCTTACCGTTAGTTTAATTACCTGGTGGCTCTCGATGACGGTCTCCAAATGCTATTTCAACTTGTTATTAAAGCACACGACTGATTTCGCTCCATTTCACCGCAATAGCTCTGGGAGTAGATGCAGAGACCAATATGTTTTGGTCAGAGAGCAAAGTGATAAACTTGACAGGGCCTTTTTATTATATGATTGCTCTACATCTGCAAAATCACATGCGCACGAAAAGTGGCGGGAAAGCAGAATGGACAAACTGCAGAGATGAGATTCTAGAATGTTTACCTACATTTTATTAAGTAAATTTTAAAAGTCAATTTCTCATAATGCTTACAAGACACAATAATGTACTGAATTAATTCGTAATAATCACAGTTTTTAGCAAAATACAGTAAAAACATTATTATAAAAAAAAATTTATTGCGTTCTACTTGCCAAAAGAGTTATGAACGTTATTTTTAGATAAAAATATTTCTACTAAATAATATTTAAAGTAAATTCTTAACTTGACATGGCACATTTCCGCCGTGAATATTCATTCGTAGAACCACTTCAGAGTGTATCAAATTCATCTCTAGGAGTAACTTTGATATCTTTACTATGGTTGCTTTTTGGTTGAATTTCAAAGAAATTTTCAGTGTTGTGCCCCAGATTGACCAACATCAAGCTGTGAATATTTGGGGCCTCTAGACGTGCACCTCTGGGCAATCCTCGTCTTTGATTGAAGTGTATTGCACTTTCTTCGACACATTGCTGAGCATGGGCGTGAGCGTTCGGCGTAGATTGATACGATCGCGACTCACGTAAATCAGAGCCGCCACAAGGCCCACAAGGATAAAGCAAAGCACCACAAGCAGAAAGACCAGAGTCGCCGTGTGACCAGATGTTGTCCTTGTGCTCTGCGATTGATTCTTGCAGCGCTGAATCTTCAGACTGAGGATGACCTCCGTGTCAAAGTCCTTGCCATTGCGCCGACACGTGTAATAGTCTCGATTCCTGGCATCCACCTTCGTTTGCAGCAGCCACTCGTTCAGATAACTGATTGAGCAGTCGCAGTGGAAGGGATTGTACATAAAATCCACCACGAGATTAACTTCACGTCCAGGCAGTGCTTGGAGAGCGTCCAAAGTGGCGAGATCTCGTGGCTTCACCATCTCGAACTTATTCCGCTCGAGATCCAGAAAGCGCAAGTGCTTTAAGCACATCACATTGAAGTTCAGCTCCTTGAGACTGTTGTCACCCAGATGAAGATCACGCAGTGCTGGCAAATCGCAGAACACACGCTTATCCCGGAACGATGAGATCTCATTCTGCTCCAGATGTAGCTTTATCAGCTTCGTGAGATTACTGTTCACGAAGATGTCGTGCAGATCCTCCGAAAGCTGATCCGATGTGTTGTCCGCGAAAGCATTGGTCAGGTGGAGTTCCGTGAGGTTGACGAAGTTGGAGAAAACCCTCGGATGGTGATGATTGAAATCATCGTCGTCCCGCGAGATGCTGAGATTGTTGTGATTGAGAATCAGGCGTCGAACATTGGAGACGTGATGATAGGATTTCCCTCTGATTTCTTGAATGCCATTATTGGACATATCAACTATCGTCAGGGATTCCAGGTCATTCATCTGTCCAAAAACATTCCATGGCAGCTCTGGAATGCGATTCCCCGTGAAAATCACCACTTCGGTCTCGGGCGGAAGATTCTCCAACACTGCAGTATCCCTGAATCCTGTATTCGTGCAGTTGACTATGTAGCGACGACTGTTGTCGTAATTTCCATATCCGCAGGAGCATTTTCCCTTAAAAACCGACCCACAGCCACCGCTCCAGACACTCGAGACATTCAGCAGCACCAGAGTCAGCAGCAGTTTCCAGCGCATGATGGTTTTTGCCTGTCGAGTGAGAGCAAATATGTACATAAGACTGTGTGTTGTAGCATTTAATTTTATCTAAATTTAGGAAGAGCGACAAAGCCAATGATTCTCCACTGGAAATCACAAAGATTTCAAAAATAAATTTCCTATGACTAAAAAAACGTGATCACGCATTTCTTTTAACCAAAATAAGATTTTTTTGTGAGTGAGGAGAAGAAAGAACACAAAACTATGATTTAGGGACACTATTTTAATCCTATTTCTTTTTCACATTTTCTATGCAATCGAAAAAACTTACTTTCTTTAAAATTCACCGCTAGCGAACGCTTTAATATACATATATGGTGCATCTAATATGAAAATTTCATTAGAAAAACTATTAATACCGCTAGGTTTTGCCAACGTTGAGAAATTATAATAAAGATTATGCAGAAACATCACCTAATTATGCATATTATTTGAGTTCATCACTCAACCAATTCTGCCACTGACACGGAAAAATAATATATTTTAATTTTACAGACGCGATGGAATAAGCTAAATTTCTTTCCGTTTCCACTGAATGCAAATTTCTTACTCTCTTGCAAAACAATCTACGTAAATTTGTACAATTTCACCTTTATATACGAACACATAATTGTAATACTTCTTGCATGTCTTCTTTCTTATCTGTTCTTTACGCTCTCCAAAGATTTCTCAATCATTTCAATGTATGAAATTATCATTATTTTTATAAGAATATTATGAACACAAGCATGAAACTGATCTTCTGATATCATCTCTCACTTGTCAGTCTTTTTATAAAGTAAGTCATATTCCGTACAAAAATAAACACACACTGTCACCATTGTGATTCTCTTATATCTCTTATAAACTTCAGCTCAAACGGTGTTGCGTTGTATTTTATATTTCTTCAATTGCAGAAGTTTTAACAAATATTTCAAATAGGACATGAATTATAGTGTTTTCACGGTTTTTTGGCGAACTTTTCACAGCATAATTGTAATTTTTTATCCATTCTCTCTTCGTTAAATTTGCATGAGAGACCCTCAAATGGAAAAATATAATACATGCTTTCTGACGGGCACGAAAATGTGAGAAAATACAATCGTGAAAAGGTGCTTTTATCGCTCTCCGGTGAGGTAAAACACGTACAGAGGTAACAATCTTCAATACATATAGACATGTTTTCATTCTGGAATTCCACCAGTGCCACAGTAAGAGCAAAATTGAGCTATTATCTGGATAGATTATTCAATAGGAACGTATGAATTGTTTACCCCACAGATTTTTTGCACCTTTTGCTAGAGTTATTCCACATTTCAGTGCTAATTGTATCGATATTAAACGTTCAATGGCCCATTTTCTCCCACTTTCAGGATAATTTGTGCACACTACAAGTGATTTCCCGTGCACAGTTAGTATCCAACCTTGGTAATAATGTCACAAAGGTGTTTCTCGATGAATTATTAAAGATTTTCCACATTATGCCGAACCTCTACAAAAGGTCTATTTGTCTCATTTGTCCTCTTTTTCTCAGTCGTCTCTATGACTCACAGTGCAGATGGAATGGGTGTTCTTCGTTGTTGCTACTCACCCGTTGTGTAGAAGTGCTCCCAATGCAATGTGAAGACGGAAAAATGGAGAATGTTGATGAGCGGCGTGTCTGCGGGAGACGATCGCGATTTTTTTTTCAGTCTATAGCTGGCCCGAACAGCTCAATGTGTAATTGCTCGATTCCCAATGGGTATGTCCATTTCTCACACTTATAGAGCACTATTGTATTTATCAGCAATCATTTGTTTGATACTTCCCACTGAGGGGCTTCCAGGGCGATGGGACTCAAAGTGAAAAACGCCACACAAGTCACAAAATCAACAAACCGGAATTAGGAGTCCACAAAAGTAATCAACGATCAAGCACACACACCTTTCCATTGTACGTCTTCGCACTGTTTTGAGGTGTTTTCCCCCTTTTCGGAAACACTCAAATTCTACCGCACAATTGCCCAAGGCGGCAAAAATACATCCAGAATTTCACTGGCAAAACTATTGCAATTTCCTATTGTCTCGGGAAATTGGGAGAAATTTTGATGAGAGTGCCGCGCAATGGATAGACCGCCTCTCAGCTCACAAAGGTGACTGGATCGCTGATGGTGAGTTCGGTTCTGTGTGAGCTGGAGACTGGTTTTGTGTGGCTGTGCTTACGTGAACCTCGAGAGTCTAAAACCAACACCGAGGCGCCCAAGAGAAGCCTCAATGGAAAGCACTATACATTTCGCATTGAAATTCACCGCTCTTTTCGCCGTCTCCTCATGCCTTCCTCCTCCTCCTCCTCCTCCTGAGAGGGGCTCTCTGGAGCGGAGTGGAGCACGAGGTGGGCTCACATTGCGCGATTGTTTCACTTTTCCGAACAATGACTAACTTCTTTGGCGTGATTTATTGCTGATTCTCTCATTGAATTTCAGCAATAGTTGGCGCCCATAAATGCGCGCTGTGGAGTCCGATAAGAGCGATACAAAGGTGTGCCCAATGAGTAGTATTGTGCTTAAATTTATCCTAATTTTCTATTTTCTAGAAGGTAACCATTCTGCAAGGATCCCCACAAATATATTCACGAAAACCAAAAGAACAGAATTTTCTTTTAAAACCAGCGAGATCACAATTCAATCACATTGTAATTCCTTCTTTATGCTACTGTAATCTCATTTCCTGTTCTCTAAGAATAAATATCAAATTAGAAACAATCCACATTTGTTAGTCAACTTTACCTTCGAATATTCATGTCAGTTCAATAGGAGAAAGTCTCGAAGTGTTCGTCAATATTTGCTGATAAAAGACTGCTCCAATTGTCGGCATTGCAATTGCTATATTTGGAGACATTCTTCGAGTCCTTGCAGAGGCAAGAAGTGAAGCAACAGAGCGGATGGGGCGCTTTGTCGCACTGTTGCATACAGACACTTTTGTTGGTTGTCTTCCGGAACGCCATCATGGATAATCCGAGCAGAAGTTCTTGGTTCATTCGACGTATGCAATGTGTACTTCAACGAGATCATAGCTTTAACACACCACGTGCACGGAGGCTTCGTAGGTTAATTCAGACCTCCGTCCGGGCCATAGACGTGTTGAATGCATCAATGATGGAAGAACTGTTGCAAATTGTTGATGAACCGGTGTCACAATCAATCGACATAATTTACATTATTTCACGCTGTTATTGCTTTATTTTACTACTATCACTTGGTGTACACTTGCACTGTGTGCAAGGGAATATTAATAATTACATAATTGTTAGAAATATACTCAAATTTTGGCTTTTGAATGCTGCTCAATCATTCAAGAAAACAATAATAAAAGCAACATCAAGTGTTTCACATAAACACACACACACACATACTCAACACCACAAAATTCTATGTTTTATGGATGCGATGTTCTCGGACTGAGCGCCCCCTTTCCGGTAATAGCATCACTAATAATTTGAACAAAATGTGGAATGAAGTATATACAGAACTTGGTAAAAATAATTTTTTCTTTACAAATTTCTTTTGTACCGCAGCTTTTTTTCCAACTACAATTAACACAATAAATATCTTCAGCTTATCCACTATAATTTTATAGACATTTTTCAAAGAAAAGCGATATATTTCATAATATGTGCGTGGGTGAGAGTTGTGTGCGCCAGTGTTCGAAAAGCAGGTTATCAGAGTTTTTGGAGGGAGATTCCTCAATGGAGTATAATGAGAAAACTGCGCCGGTTCAGAAATTCCTAACCCGTGTGGACAGACATTTAAAAGGATGCCCCCGATGCGATGTGGAGCGATTTGTCCGAAGACCGTCGCTGAAAAATCAACTTGTTGAATGGTGCAAAGCGCTCTCGTCGTTGAGGCAAAGAGGTTGAGGCTGTACAAATTGGCATTTTCGGGATAAGTGACCGCACTCTCTCTTGGATTAATAAAATCTGTGTGGAAAAATTTCAATAACACCAGCTCGTAAGTGAAGTGACTATTTTCCATTCCATTGTTACAATTTTTCTCCAGTCTTGTAGCTGTTCGCAATTGAATCACATTTATCAGTGGGTGTTTAATTTTCACAAATGACTTAACATTCGGTGATTCACCGTCTTTGAACCATATCACAATTATCATTCGCGAGATAGTAAAATTTGATGTTCCAATTACGGTGATGTGACGATAATAGCGACGCAAATTCTATTCTTGATATACTTTTTGGAGCCATTATGATTTTGAAAAGAGTTCAATGTCGTTCAAAACTGGAATCCTTTATGTATATTTCTGTCTGATTTCTAGAAAACCCTCTTGTGAATAACCTGCTTTTGTGGAGTCAGTGTCAAGTGCAGATGAAATGTGGAAAGGAAACATTTTCCTTGCTTAAACGATTTCTCTGGTGTCTCCATCCTTTCAGCTTTTGAAAAAATCATTCTTTTCTGTCGTTCTTTTTGCAGTGAATTCATTATGCCTCAAGTCAGCATATTTACATTATAAAAAAATATATCAGTGAATTCGTGATTTAAGAATTTGAGGGGAAATTTAATTTCAAGAATTTCCATCAGATTTCTACACTTTCTTACACATTTGTTTGCCAATAAAGTAGAAAATCGCGTTGCTATTATAGTTACGACAGAGTAAGAGTCGTAAACGCACATTAATATGTTTGGAGACTCGGGAAAATTTCCTATAAATTCCTAATTAGTTCAATCACATGGAAAAAATCCTGAGAGAAAGCGACCAATTGCAGCGTCGCTATGTGCTTCCTCTAATTAATTTTAATGCCGAGATTAAAGCATGAGTGGGTGCCCTTTCGCAAGAGACCACCCCGTCTAATGAAATGTTTGCCGAGAGGAGTGCGTTCGTGGCCCAGAGATAGTAATTAATTTCCACTCTTAATTCAATATTCATTATTACGTCCAGTACATCTTCATTTACATGTTGTGTGAGAACTCACCGAGGTTTGCTCAATAATTCAGTTCACGAGACCTCAAATATTTGGTGGATTTTCTGTGGTGATGCGATGCGGGAATCACAATCACCTTTCGCCACCCTTTCGGGGTGGCAATTTCATTAAAATGGCACCTCCTCCTGTCCGTTGATTTCATTCCCATTCTCAAATCAATCAATCAGACAACATTTCCATATAATCAATGCGAAAAATTCGTACCCAAAGCGTTGACGATGTGGGTGGAGATTTGCATGAGACGCGGCGAGATATTCCTATTTCAACAAAAAAGTCGTTAATGTAATTAAATACTAGAAAGATCACACAGAGAGAGGCTTAAGGGTGGAGCACATCCCTGAGATTCTCTCTCTCTCTCCTAGAATATAAATGTAGAAAGGCATCGATTTGCTTTCGCTGTTGGCGAATTGTGTGGGAAGTTCATTTTAGTCCGATTAGACGACGTCAGAGTTAAATAAAAAAAGGGAGAAAAGGAAATATTTTGGGCACAAATTCGATAATATTGAGCAACAAGTTGATTTTTTCGCCCTTCTTTGAACTCCGACATATCAATTTCAGTGATGAAACATCTTGTTCGCCTAGCAAATTGCGGCAGACGATGGTACAAAGGCGCAAACCCTCACGTTGAAAATTGCAAAATGATAGCTTAGAATATTCGCATTAAAATTCTCTTACCATCCTTTCTGCCATCATTCCAAAGTCGAAGGCATTGCGAGAAAAATGAATACCTTCCACAATCAATTGTCGAGCGGGACAATTTGTAAGGCGGGTGAGGATTTCAAAGAATGAGCCCCTAAATACTTGCGAATTGGAGGGATGGCTTCTTAGCATAATAACGCAACAGAAGAGAATATTTAAATACCTTTTTAAATATGCCCCAACGTCATTTATCTCTTTTTGTAAAACTCCTAAACGACAATTTTCATGCTCTCTCTCTCGAATTTCCCTCATTCCACGACTCAGTTAAATTCCGAGAACACTTTTTTGCCATCTTCGAGACTCTGTTGAAAAGTGTGTAAGAGATTCAGAAGATTTTTGTTTGTACATGGAAATATTTGACAATACTTTTTTCGATTGTTCAAGAGTAATAAATTAATAACACACACACTCTAATGGAGAGAAAACTTATCGATAAACTATTTAGTATCGTCTAAATGACCACTATACCTTAATGTATTTGAACTTTTCCCACCTATCTGTCTGTCATCACCCTTACCTTGATTGCCTATATAACCGTTAAATGTAATCTCTGGAATAAAATTCACAAGAGAGGTTGTTTCGGCGTCAAAAGTTGCCTCGGGTTTATTAAGACCACTCAATTTCCTAGATAAAATCAACCTCGAATTCTAGAGAGAATACCCTCGATATAATAAGCAAGAGTAAAAATGCTATTGCAGTAAAACCGTGTAAATTTGTGGCTCACTCCGCCTGCCTTTGGGCTTCAGGCATTTTTATGAACAGGTACACGACGTATGTTTAGCCCATATTTACATTATTTAACACACAACGAAACCCTCTTTCCTATTTGATCCTCTTGACCGCCCCCACGTGGATTGTACACAAATTCAACATTTTATTACCATCATCATCAAATCACGAAGGGGTAAATGTGCTCAAGGGAATTTCGTTGTGTTTGCCTATGAAAAAGTCAGATGGATATTTTGGGATTCGTGCCAAGCTGGGGATGATAGAGAAAGGAAAGTCTTACGAAATTAATGACAAAATATTTCCTTCGCAAGAGTGTTCATTTTTCTGTACGCTCCGTGAAAAAACTCTGGTCGTCCCTTTATTCACACTGTGCTCCAAGGCATAATTTGCTCAAATATTGCTCTTGCCTTCGCATAATTTTCCGCCTTTTCTTTATCAAGCACTTCTCTTTTTCCAAACAACTAGAGACTCTATTCAGTTCGCAAAGTCGTCAATTTATCAAATCACCAGTTCACAATATAATCTAATATCTTCTTGGCATATGATGAACTACATATTATACACATAGTGAATTCAACTCAATTTCTCATGTTTGGCTTGTGCGAGCGTTTGCAAAATTCTCCCCATTCTCACACCACATATGTATTTGAGCATTTTTGCTGGAGGGAAAATATAGTCTTGGGCGATTTATTGGGTCAAGTATCAAAGCAGATTTTAAGTGGAGACCTTACCCTTGCACTTGCATATATTGCAACTGAAAATTAAGTTACTGTCAAGTGCAAGAGGGAAAATTGCAACTAAGACAACGCTTCGAAGCTCACATTACAGCCCACACTTTATGGCGCAATGTTAATAATCAATTTATGTAATCCCGATTAATGCCGAATGCGTCCCAACAACCAAATCAAATTTTCGTAAATATTTGTAGGTGATTATGTTGAATGAGAAAAATCCATTTGACGTTATTTATCGCGCGTCATGTGTTCTGTTGATTTAATTGTAGTGATAAGTTTTCCCTTTATCACTACTTCATCGAGCTATTTTTGTCCATTCCTTTCTATTCTCAGCCATTGACATATGCACGGAATACGATAAAATTGTCGGGAAAATAATGAGACTCTGCATGGGAACTTATCGCAATGCTTGTTGTCGAATGAATGTTGAAATATTCCAGAACATGTTTTCCAACAAACAATTTGATGCATCAAAAAGTATTTTCCTTGCTCAGGTCACGAAAGCCAGCATTTCTCGCTCTTACCGAAAGGAAAAAGTCAATTCTGTTTTTCCGTAAACATAATGAAATAATTATAATACGCATGCTAAATTGATGTTCACGTGTATTACATTCTCATTATTCATTTCATAAATATTTGCTCTCAAAAGACATGTAGGTACACACTTTTGAAATCAGTCATTTATCAGTGAGAACCAGGTAAATATTACTCCAATTCACTGAACGGATGTGTAATTTCATATATATATATGTATTTCCACGCATTTTCAAATGTTCTACATAAAAGCTGACTGTTCGAGTAAGGTCATGCATTCTACATAGACATATTTATTTCAATTATTGGCATTAATTGGATATCATGGCGCATTAAATGCGAAGGATATATAGCGAAGAATTTAATTTAGGGTGTAATTTGACCTAATTCCACGCAACACAATTCAGAGTTTCGCCTGGAGTGGCGAGTGCGAGGGTGGGTGAATGAAGAAGAATTGTATTCTGTGAAAGGAGAAATTGTTCCAAAGGTGGAATGCAGTTTTATTCCTACCTGTTGTCTGGTGCCTGGAAAAATGTTGCAAGAGAAATCATATAAACACATTGATATTGACTTTGGCATAAAGGCTTTGTTTGAGCAGTTTCACGGTAAACAGAAACCACAATCATCCATTTGTGCATCCCACGCGAAATGCCTGAGAATCTTTTAAAATTTTCTCGTTTACCCAAAGTTTTTATCCAACAGAAATATGAAAGCCACGCTGTGGCTCTGCACATTGGCAACAACAATGCTTTGCTTCACTCAAAGTATTCGGGCTTCGCCAGCTGCAACTTTACAATATAGCGATGAGCCACGAGGGAATGAGCTTCTGCAGGTATGTTGCAAAATATGTTAATGCAATATTTTATGGTTATTATTAAGGCTTGAACAACTTGATTGAAGAAGAGACTCGTAGATTGGGAAGCATTAAGAATGAATGACAGAGAAATGGAAGAAATTTGTTGGAAGCTTCTCACGGAAATCAAATATTTGCCAATCCTTAAACATCAGGATTCAACATCATCAGAGTTAACATTATTGTTTCTCGTTTCTTCCCATGCTTCTCGCAACAATGGAAAAGGATAAATTTGAGGCATCAAAGCGAGGACATGCATCTCTATCAATAGTGAATCCACTGGATGTCCTGAGGAAGAGACTTTTGCTGGAGATTGCCAGAAGACAGATGCGAGAAAATAACAGACAGGTGAGTTTGCTGGAAGGAATTTAAATTGAATCCCGAGACATTTCTCAACTCTTCCTCTCTTCCGCCACTGAAGATTGAAATAAATAGGGCAATCTTGAAGACGATTGGCAAGAAGCGTGCAGAAGTGCCACCGGATTACGTGTATGAACACCAAATGGATTTCGACGCCGATTCGAACCCCACGAAGAAAGTCGTCCTCAGCAGTCTTGATAACGATATTCCAGTGATGTACAATGAGTACAGAAGTCACAAGGAAAGTTTATTTTAAGCCCTGTGTCCCAATTTCACTCCCGCCGCATGTCAAATGCGAATCTCCCGCAGAGATTGCTACATCAGATGTTAAATGATTATATTGACCATCCCGAAATGATTAGAGACCTGTCCTGTCAACTCTACTAGCTCCCCTTGGAAAAGGATATTAGTGTTCCATAAATAGTTGGAATAGTTCTCATTATATAGTGGGATGATTTGTAGACAGAGAAGACACACTATATATGGATAAAAGTTTAGCTTGGGATTTGAGACTCATGCTGCTGGAAATGATTTCCAATTTATCATTATTTACACATCAACGCCCATTTTTAATTGAATTGCATCAGAGTTTTTAATGGCTGAAAAGCGCATAGTGGTTCACACTCAATTTTTCATGGAATAGATTACAAAAACTAATAAAGCGTTTAATATATTTTTAATTGCATGTGATTTCCAATCAATTTCTCTCCCATCTAATCAAGTTATTGTAAAATCATCAAGTCTTCTAGAAAATAACTTAAAATAGATTTAAAATGAAAATATACATAAAAAAAATGAGAGGACAAACAATGGAACAATATGTGACAGAAATAGAATACTAACCAATGTGCAACACAAATATTTATTAATATGTAAAACATGAGAATGAAATACATGATAAAATTAGTGACATCCTATTCATATGGAAAATTATTTCATAAAATAAAACAAAACACGTGAGAGATGAAGAAGTGTGGGATAAAAGAAGGAGAAATATATTGACTAAAAGTGAGATGATGTATATAATAAAAATTTAATTTTTAAGCAATATATAAACTTTTGGAAAACCTAAAGATGATTTTACTCATCGTGGGATAAGTTGTTGGGAAAGAACTTGACTCACTCCTCAGTCAAGTGCGACGAGACCCAACATTGTTCAGAACAATTCAAATGATAACTTTTTCGCGATGTCTTGACGAAGAACAACAGAATCACGGAGAAAGAGGGTGGGGAACTTTAGGCGAAATTCAAACATCTGAAATAAAATACAGAGAGGAGCAAATTGAACAATGTCTTACACCAATATTATATCGAAATGAAAAGATTTCTCTGACAATGAAAATTTGCACTCCACTGTATTTATTTGTCTTATTTCTGTAAGCAGGTGTAAAGCGAAACTTTTTATTCAGCAGCAGAGATTGTTTGCAAAGTATGCTCGAATGCGTAGGCTTGAAAAACCTTCCTAAAAGCTGGTGTATCATTGGAAATTATTGCAAAACTTTTTGCTCACTTGTGGCCACAAAGTACGAAGACATACTTGCCAAATTCCCAAATCATTGTTCACTTAATATCGCAGAGCAGAGCCACGCCGCGAAGTACCCAATGTCTTGAATTGAAATCCGTTTCAAAGTCTATTGAGCCCACGTACTTTTGGTCCGTGCGCTGGGGCTTTCGGTAAATGGGGCATTCATAGAGTCGCGGATCCTTTCCGGCTGTTGTGTTTATGGCATAAATGTATGTCACTGGCATCTGTTCGTAGAGAACTTTTGGTTTTGACTCTATTAATTTGCCACTACGACGATCCAGAGATGCTCCTGGTGGTCAACAAGAATACAAGAGGAGAGAGTTAAACTCAGCACTGAAAGTCTTCTGTGTTTGCCAGAGAAGACGAGAAAGGAGGCGGAGGATTTTTTATTTATTATATGTCATGAGGCGCATGAAAGAGATTTTGTATATATTACACATTGAATATAGAATAACGCCTTCAGTCATAAAGAAATGCCGCAAAAGCCTTAGAGGCTCAACGAAGGACACCGCAATGTCTTTATTTTAATTTCAAATCCTCATTTCTCGCTTCGCCTTCGCAATTTTCCTCCACTGTGCACTTTGATTACAGCAGTTTAAGAATGAGGCCGAAAATTAGCATTGAGAAAATAATCCTCACCTTCGAGAAACAATCCATGTACGTAAACACCCTCAACTGGTGGCTCAGAGACGTCTTCCTTGTTGAATCGCGTTATTTGATTCTGGAGCACAACGGAGTCCAGAGCCCATCCTTTGTGCGCTCGAGTTACCTCCTGATGGAAATTGAAGAAAGAGATTATCATGACAGTCACAAAGAGGTGATTTCGTGGGTGGACTGCCATTGAGAAGTCTGCATACTGCGGAGACTCGTCAGTGAGAGGAAAATGAAGGAGGAGCAGGAGCAAACAATAACAGCAATCAGAAAAATCATTTTTCCCAACTTTGTTTATACAAATTGTGGTTTCAGGGTAAAACAATTCAATAAGGTTCGTTACACCATCTCAAGGGAGAAATGTGACGAAAGACATCCCATGTGCGCAATTGACTCCCTGCGAAAGCGTCGAAAGATACAGGTTTTACCTTGCTTCTCAATTTCAGTGTCTGACCTTTCTAAACTAAGTAAATTAATTAATACATAATATCATTTAGAACTGTTGCAATTTATGTTTCAATGCTGTTCATACTATTTAATTTAAGGAATATTTGTAATAATTATATTTATATTCATACCAGATGGGTATGAACCATTTGCAACCAACAAGGCTACCAATTATCCCTCAAATCCCCTGCTCTAATTAAAGATTCAGTATAAAGGGATAAGCATTTGGCTTTATAATTGTGAGTATAAATATATGAATAATCCTATTACTTTTCCAATTAACATTCTTACTTACAAAATCTTTCATTCTGACATTTCTTACCACATATAGTTACAATAATGATGCTGTAAGGCGTGCATTTTTCCTTCTGTTCTCCTTTTCATATTAAGTTGATCTGCTTAAGAAGAGTATGAGGATGATGACAAGAAATATTCTTGTTTTCGCTCTTAACTGTGTTTCTATCAATTGTACAATTCAATATCAAAGAGATTTAAGTTGATGATGTATGAAGGAACTCATAGATCCTTCAATACAGCAATCCTCTTATTCAACAGTGACCATCAAAAGGTACAGCAAAGGTATTGATACTTATCGCCATTCAACATGAGAAATTGCTTGTGAATTTCAGAATTTCAGCAGGAAAGCTTCCATTCATGGATTAAGTTCAAATGTCACAACTCAAAGTTATATATATACCTTTGTTGTCGTTATTTATATTTCTCATACTTTTTGAATGCGAATGGAAGAAGAAAAAATGTAAATATAACATTCAAACACTACATTATTTCGTCTAATATGTAAGCGTGAGTAAACTGTGAGTGTTGAAGCTGATAAGACTGATGGAGAATTAAGATATTCATTCTACCAATCCCCTCTTATTTCCGCCAAAGCCAAATTCATTCTCTTTATTTGATTTTTCGAGAGAGATTAATAATCGAAATTTCTGAGAACATTTCAAGAAATATCAGCAGCTTATTGGACTTTTTTCGAAATATCCGAAGAATATTGCGTAAGTCTGAACGTGGGCGAACTTAAACTGTTTAATTGTCTCAGTTCCACCCACTTTTGCTTAACCCTCCTTTAGCGAAATGATGTAATAAATTCCTAAAATTGGTAATTTCTAGTAAATTAGTATCATCTGCATGCTAATATTCAAATATTAAGTTAATTTCTGCACGTGGGTCATGGTAACTTCTGCAGAAACTTTGAAGGCGTCAAGAGAGCTTTCAAGGGGCGTCCAAGTGCTTTTGAGAATCAAAAATAGATTGAGTGGAAGAGAGAAAGCGGTGGAAGCTTCTGCGACTGTTAAAATTAGTTCAGAGAAAGACAAACATGTTGATGTTTTGATAAAATAATTGCTGGGGAAACCAAGGGACAGATTTCTCGAGGGAAGGTTTTTGCTGGAAAAGCAGAATGCCTTCGCAGCGGGGGGAGTTTCTCAGCGGCATGTGACAAGAATTCCAAGTCTCACCTGTCGCATTGCGGTGAGAAAGCCTTGTGGATTGAAGAATCCCGTCATCCAGAACACTTTGGGCCTGTCGCTGTTGCACCAGTGTCGAAATTGCGTGTTCCTTTCCAGCAGCTCCGTGTACCAAAATCCGAGAGTTGTGGACTCCCACGACACCTTGGGTGGGAGAAAGTGTGTCTCTAAGTAATGACGCTCATAATCTAATCACACGCACGTCTCACGCCTCACCTTCATCCACTTGTCCGGGATGCGTGCGTCATACATGGCATCCAATGATTCCCTGAGGTACTGACTCATCACGATAGTGCCATCGATGGCCAATTTCAGGTCGGTGAGGCTGGAACGCACGGTTTTAATTACACGCTGCATTCGATCGATTTCCTGGCGGAGGAAGATGTTCATGGGCAAGAGCACTCCCATCCGCTGGAGAGCCTCCTTCACCTCAAAGGCATTGTAGGCGGGCGGTAGTTTGCGCAACATATCATCCGCTAATTGATACACAATGTTCTCCCGCGACTCCCCGCCCTGGCTGCCACCCTCTTTGGGCTGCACGGAGAGAATTGTGTCCAATATCCCCTTGGCCGTGTTAATCTGATATGTGATATCGGCGTTTGGGTGTAAACCAAACACCTCTGGCGTGTCAGATGATGGTAGGGAGTTGATGTAATCCACATAACCCTGCAAATTGCGTGTCATTGGGACCTTGTAACCTTTGTAAAACTCAAAGCTGCTACTCAAGAGGGATTCGCAGAACCACACTTGGGTGAATGTGGTCAGGAGGCGTTTATCAAAGTCGTCCGTGACTCTGCCACCGTACTGAACCTCGCCCAGCATATAACACAGTGTTTGCCAAGACACTCCTTTCTTCGGATCCATTTCGTCCAAGTGATTCTGGATGAATTGTACGGAGGCGGCAAAATCCGCTTGATTAAACTCATATGGGACGTTCCACCCGAGCGGCCCGAACTTCCTACGCTCCTGCACCACAGTGTGGAGGAAGGCGATTGTGTACAGAAGCGGCGGCCACTGCGGTGCCGATGTGTAATCCAGGAAATCTTGAGTAAATGTCTGGTAACTCCTCTTCATGCTGGCCCTAATCCCCTGTGGGGGCTCATTTGTGAATTTAATGGCCATCTGGAGGAGACCAATGGGGAACTGCTCGTGAACCTCTGTTGTCACCCACAATCGGAAAGTCTCCTCAACGTGCTCCGTCTCCACCAGAATGTCGATTATTTCAGCACAAAAGGTAATTGATAGATGAGCGTTTTGCAGCAACACCCACCCACCTGACCCCATGCAGTCAGTTATCAGCTTGCGTGCATGAAACTCTTGGCCTTGACCCATCGAGACGGCTTTGAGGGCTGAAATAGAAGAGTTACAGGTATGTACGGTTCATTCATATAAGTTGTGTAAATAGAATTGTGTTGATTCCGCTGCATAGAATAAAGCTTGTTTGTTTGCTTGTTTATTTGCTTGTTTCAATGACAATGGCAAAATAGGAATATTCATTATTACACTATATATCATACTTACGACAGTTTTGTACTTACGAATGCTCTTTAATTTGGCCAAATTTGAGATCTGTGTTGATGGATCTGAGCCAATTGAGAGGATGCAAATAAGTGGAGTTCGTGGCTCAGACTCTTCCCAGGTCGCCTCCAAATCCAGAATCTGCATCTCTCCGTATTCCGGACCCAGTGACTCCTCGATGTACTTTCGCGCCTGAGAGATGGTACGATCAGGACTCCAGCTCCGAACCAGAAGCAATTTTCTGAACACATCCAGATTATTCTGATATCCACAAGGAATTTCCTCCATTTCCGGTTTCTCAGCCTCATACCAAACGCGCCACTCTTTCTCATTCGTCTCAATCTTCTTCAGCAAATCCGAGAACGTGCCCAGATGGCTTATCTCCACGAGATTCAACCATACCATATCCAGAATCCATCTGAATGGTTTCGGTGTAACAGCATTGAGGTCCAATGAAGCACCGCCTTTTACGAAGGACATAAATTCCTCGTGACTGATATTCCCCTTGTGATAGTCAATCTTTATGGCCAGCATGAGAGTGAAGAGCTGTTTATGCCTCTCATAGAGGGATCTGCTGGTGAATGCCCATACTTCGTATGTCAAGTATTTGAGAATGATGTTAATTCTCTCCTCTGTAATACTGCTCTTCACAGATTTTGTAATTGAGTTGTCGAATATTACGAGAAATTGTTTAAGAGAATTCTGGTACATGATGTTAACATTACTCATCTCCACAATGAGGAAATACAAGATAGAGCCTCGACTGGCCACAGCACGAAATTCCTCTCGCGCCACCATAATTTTCTTCTCTGTTACCTCAGATATTTTCAGCTTTTGATTCACTTCCTCGGCTGTGGTTTTAGTTTCCTGTAGCACTTGAATCAAGGCTTCATCATCCACAAGAGAGCCTTCTGATGAGGTCAATCTCGAGAGCAAATTTGCCTCCAATTCCTTCATGCTCCGTTGGTTCTTCATGACGCTCTCAAATAAATTCACCCTTTCCGCCTCCAAGTCTGACTTCTCCATCAGAATCACCCTGCCCAGGAGCTGATCCTCCAAGCCTCGCATTGTCACTGTGAAATCAATAATTGATGTCTTGGCGCTAATCTCAGGACTGAAAGCAGGATTGGGAAGCTTTGTGGTGATGTATAACATAAATCCCGGCATAACGTCGCACTCCTTATCGCCAACTAGCACTTTCTCAATGGTTCCGGACTTTATAAAATTCTTCTCCAGCACGTTGTCAATCACCGGATCCAACTCCACCCCAACGTCCTCAATTAAGAGTGGTCGACCGAGAGACAAACTGTCCTCAAGGTGGGTTCTGAAATACTTGTGATTGAGTGATGTTATCTGCAATTCATTACAGTCCTCTTTGCTCTTAATCCATAATTTTCCCTGGTTCTGAGGGTCACAAAGCAATGGATAGCTGCTAGACTTTGTAACAATCAAGGCATTTTGCACAGAGAGCTCATCATTGGGCAGGCCTTGCAAGGTCCATTCGGAAACAGTCGATGATTCCACCAACATGTTAATGATGTTGAGATTGTGAGTGTAGGGAATATTGCGAGTTTTGAGAATTCCCATCCAAGTCTTCAGCAAGTTTGCCCTAAACTCCTGATTGTAAGGACCACAGTATGATAGAAATCCTGTGGCCAGAAGCACATCTCCCACAAGTTTACCCAGTTGAATTTTAAATTCTTTGCTCTGTTGTGTCCAGCGGTGCTTTTCTCCGCCCAAACCATTAATAAGAGCTGTGGCAGCGGTCATTTTTCTTAAGCACACGTTTGCAGCATCCGTGAGTCTCTGTTTCTCAGCTACGGCTGAATCGTACTGTTCCTTCACTTCCTGTAGAGCAGCCTCTCGTTCGGCGAGTTGATTTTCCGCTGCCGCCAAGTCATCCATTGCAATTTTCAAACGAGCTTCTTGGAGGGTGAGATTAGCCTTCAAAGGAAGGACTTCCTTATTTACACCATGGAAAAATGCCATAGCCTTTGTCCAGGACAATAATCCTGCCACATCACCACATACTCTTCTCGCTGTGTCCATATTGTAGTCATCCATGCGAAAATAGGGTTGAAGAAAGTCAATCATCTCATCATTAATGGTGTCTTTTGGATAATTCTGAAGTTGCAGCAGGAAAGTCGTACTGGCCATCATCTTCAGCGATTCCTGCCAGGATGGTTTTGGACAAGGAGCAGCAGTGTCTGCAATCATCTGATGCACCTTCCTCTGGAAGAGTATGAGCACACAGTCCATGATTCTCATGATCAGATGAGGAGGTCGACCAAGTTTTCGCACGGTGGCGATATGGGCAGGTTTGATGGTATTAAGAGCAGCCTCTGCCTCTTCTAGGGCCGGTTTTGCGGCTTCCAATTTCTCCTCGGCCAAACCCTTCTCTATAGCTATATTGGCTACCAATGCTTCGGCCTTCTCCTTCACTGTTTGCACCTGATTCTTCACGATTTCTGCTTGCATGGCCCTCTCAGTCACCTCGAGGAGCACTCTTTCTGCCTTCTGAGATGCCTCGGCAAGCTCCTTCTCCATCACAGCCAAGTCTTTCTTGAGAATCTCTACTGAAGCACTCGCCTCGGCCAGTTTCTCCAAGCCAGTATCCATCTTCTCCACGCCATCGCCCAACTCCTTCTGCTTCTGCTGGTAAATATTCTTGTATCCAGCAATGAAATTTAGGTATGACTTGGGTGTGACGTGAGTAGCTCGCCGAAAGCGTTGGAAGTAATCCACGGATGTCTCTGACACGACATCCTGAATAGTTCCCAAGGCATTTACCAGTTCCGACTTCACTTCCTTCGTACACTCAATCTCGAAGTCCGAGAGGAAGTGCTTGGCCACTGCCACAAGAGCATCTTTCGGCCACGGCTGGAACCAATCGATAGTGCATCCAGACACGAGGGCCGGGAAGCGCAGAACCCGGTGACGGAAGGTCTCTCCTACGGGTGAGAAGCAAAACACCACGTGGAGATTGTGGCATGTCCTCTGTAGGAAGTATTCCATGACAGTCTCTGCCGTGGCTGTTTTCTTCTGATTTTCCCTCTTCATGATTGGTGTGAGCTCAGAGACAATCTCTGATTGTTCATCTCGGTTGAAAAGGTTGGATATAACACCCGATGAGAGGATATTGTTCAGATACTCCAAGAAACCTTCCTCTTTGATGTCAAGATCCGAGAACAGGAAGGTCGTCCCCTTGCCCTGAACACCACATGCGCGATACAACAGCTTCAGATCCTCAAGAAAATTGGCCACATTGTAGGATCGCGTCATGTTGATTTGGAATATTTTGTAGCCTGCGATAAATGATGCCAATTTCGTGAGTGATTGCTTTCCAGATCCGCCAACGCCCACCAGCATCACATTCCCTCGCGGATGGCGGATGATGCGGGATATTTTCACCAAGTGAAGCATGGCATCAGGGAAGAAGACCAAATCCATGCCAGTGCCGCGCACCATCTCATTGAATTGTGATAGGAACATAATAAGACGCTCCCGGAGAATGTCATACTGCGACACTGGCTCATACACTTTGGGCAGCTCCATATCGGTGTCCTCACCCTCCTCACCAGTTGGTTCTGGTGCGTCACGCATAAAATCAACAAACACAGGATTCGGCTTTGCCATTTCCACGTAGTCCTCCCCGAGCTCCGAGCACACCAGCGACAGAATCTCTGTGCTGAACCACTCCTTGTCGCTGGCCACGGTGAATCTATCTGAGAAGACCCTCGTGCATTCGTGCTTCCACAGTGACACCATGACGCTCTCGGACGTGATTACGGTGGAGAGGGTGCCAATCATGCCTTGCCATATGCGTGAGAGATCCCTCAGGCTGAAAACATAGTGAAATTTGGCCGGTGTCGGCAGTAATTTATTGCGCGTGTGTTGCCATAAAAGTCGAGTGAGTGGGATTAGGCGCCTCACCAGATTTCTCACTTCTGGCTGAAATCCCCTCTTCGTGTTGTAGTGACCCTCACCCACTACGCGGAATATCTTGTCAATGGACGCATCATCGGGTATGTTGCAATTGAATACAGCAAATTGCCTCTTTAGACGCGATGGTATATCATTTCTACCGCCACCGGGCAGACCCATTGCCGCCACAAATTGGACGTCCACAACATTGGTGAAGTCGCCAGGCTTCTCGAGGCTGTAAAATCCTTTCATGTCCATGGTTTGTCTCACAATCTCATTGGTAATCTGATCACCCCACTCATTAATTTGTGGCAAATTGATGTCATCAATGAAGACAATGAGTTTCCTCCCACCTGGAGGACCGAAGGTATTGCCGAGGCGCTTTTCCACGTAACTCTCGATGGTCTTCTGGAATTGATATGGACTCGTGGCGGAGGAGAAATTGAATGAGCGCCCCATAAAAGATTCAGGATTGGTTTTCTTCATAAAATTCTTCATCATGACCGTCTTGGCCGTACCTTGCTCCCCAATTAGCAATACCGCCTTTTCCTGGTTGGCTATTGTGCTGATGAGGTAATCTATGCGCACATTATCCGCTATTGGTACGAGAATGCTTAAATAGTCTGGAGTGGAGAACTCAGGATATACGTAATTTGTCACCAATGTGCTCCAATTTTGCCACGCTCCCGTGGCGGTCACGAAGAAGTCGAATATCGTGGCATTCGGATTTCTATCATCCGTGGGGAAATCCATTGTGGTGAATCGTGACTTGACGAACTCGTCCATTTTTCTCTGATCAACAGTGTTGAGGAAGGCCCCCATTCCCCAAGTCATAGCAAATATGTATAGACGATGGAGGTGTTCAGGAGTACAGACTTCATCCTTCACTTCTTGCTTCTGCTCCTCTGGATTTTCCTCCTCCAAACTCTCAGTCGTAGACATTGCCACATTGTTCTCCTCCTCCTTGTGGACAGGCACGAGACCTTCCAAGATATTGAGCATCTGGCTGACAATATTGCATTGCAGAACCTCCATCATGAGAATGAGATTCTGTGAGCCCCAAGAGTAGAGAGCGGCGAAGGAGAGGTCAAACAATTCCTGGAAAACTGCCTTCTCTCTGGGACTCCTTGTCAACAGCCATGCCTGAAGGACTGGAGAAGAGGAGAGTTAATAAATTATATCTGGATTTTTGCGCACAATCATCTATACTCACTTGGCATCCAATCCAGTCCTGAGGAACTCATATACACCATACCATTACGCGACACCGTCGCTGGAGAGGCATTGTCAATATTGTGAGGCTCAAAGATAATCTTACAAGTGGAAGCCATGGCCAATCTATCTCCATTTGCCAGTGTAAGGGTTTTGTTGTCATCCAGCACGGAATTCAAATTCTCAATCCAAATACTGTCCACAGGGCCATCAAGCACCAACCACACGTGGTCGCTCTTCTTCATCTTGAGCGTCTTCCTCCAGAGAGCAGAGAAAATACCATCCGTCCAGTCATTTGTGGCCACATCCAGGCGCCCGAACATTTGTGCTGCAGTGATTGCTTTAGGATTCATTCGCATCTCACGATGTGAATCACCCAATTGGGATAGAGCTTTCATCAAAGTTTGAATACACGATGTCTTGCCCGCTCCAGCGGGACCAAGTGTCATAATGCCGTGACGTACTTTCTGCGTCTCATATAGTTGAATAAGTTTTAGCACCCACGGTGGATGGAAAATCAATCCTGCCTCCTCCACCTGCGTCTGAATTGCAGACTCCAAGTCCGGGTAAGTTGTTTTCTCGAGGGCCTGATTAGGGAATAAATCGGCAACGAGGGAGATAAATAGCGGCTCATCTTCGTCTATTAATTTCGACAAATTCATGTCTCGCAGCACTCTCATCACTATGGTGCTCTCGCTGTCTTTGCTGTTCTGTCGCTTGGCAGCTCCCAGGGTTCTCAGCACAGACAAAATATTCCTCAGACCGAAGTCATAATGCACTTGCTTGGTCAACTGCTCTTCACACAATTTGTAGAGAGTGTAAAACTTTCTGGCCAGCGTGATATTCTCCAAGAAGCCACATGATGCGAGTTTCACCCTGATAATGATCTGTCGATCAGGGACCATCATTGCTACAGTTCTGAACTGAATCTTCAAGTTCTCGGGCAACTCCTTTCTTCCCGCATATCCTGGATTCATAGTGATAAATATCCCAAATTCGGGATTCATATCAATCAAGTCACCGTCTGTGAAGACAAAGTTTTTGCGCTTCTCTTTGCGGGCCGTCAGCACCACTGCAACTTGTTGCGCCGCCACCGACAATACAGGTAATTCAATTCGATTGAATTCGTCAAAACATCCCCATGTTCCAGACTGTGCTAAACCCTTATATATTCTTCCAAGGCCTCGATAGTCCATTTGGTCTGAGCAATTGAAAACCACTACGTACTTTGCCAGAGTTTTTCCCATGTCCTTCACGGTTTCCGTCTTGCCTGTACCGGCAGGACCACAGGGGCTGCCCCCCATGCTCAGAGTTAATGCTTGAGCAAGGGTAATGTAACAGCGATCAGTTAGCGGCGTGATGACTAATCTCTCAGTGCATCCCAAATATTCATTCTGGTAATTGAATGTCACATCCGTAATTGATATCCACGTCTTGTCTAGATCCTCCTTGAAGTAAAACCTCGATTGCTTGAGCCACTCAAAGTCATTGGCTGATCTCACATTGATCCTGCAGAGTATATCGAAAATATCTCTCTGATGGACATGAATAGTAATGAGAGTTTCGAATTTTATCCTCTCAATTCTCGTGAGATCCCTTGTCGTCTGATCAATGAGTGTATTGAGGAGTTCAAGGAACTTATTGTTGGTCTCTGACATGACTTTCTTCTCATGTCGTGCCTGCATGAGAGCCAGCTCGGCATCACGGGTCCATATCATTTGAATGCCCAGGATACCGACCTGGGCCGGCATTTTCTCCAGGAAGGGAAGGAACTGGAAATTGGGATCGTTGATGTTCGTGTGAGCTTGTCTGATGATTGAGTGAAGGGATTGCTGAGAGGAGACAAGAAGGGATGTCAGCCATGTTTCCACTGATCCTTCTGCTCTTATTGCCCGATCCAACTGAATGGTCTCGCCTTCAGAGGATACAATAGCCATCATCTTGTTATACTCGATATCGTGGAACTTTACGTAACGAGTATTGTCAAAGATGGATAGCAAGTGGTTCTGAATAGTGTGTGAATCTGATGCTTGACCGAGGATCTCCAAGAGAGCCGGGTCGGAAACGAAGAAAAATCGTGGGAACATCATTCTCTTGCGCTCAAGATAGCCGCTAAGAGACTTTTGACAAAGCTCCAGTTGCTCCTGTAAGTGTGGCAGGAGCTGTTTAAGGAGATCATCTCCGACACAGCAAGCTACAACTCCGGGAGTTTCATGAGCTCTCTGCATAATCTTTTGCCAGGATTTGTCAATCTTGGAGAACCTCTTCGCCTCCTTCGGCAACTGCTTCGCAATGTCACCTCCCACGAAGACCGCCTCCAAGTACACCCACATGTTCTGCACAAGGAGCCATCGCTCCAGGATGTCATTAGAATTGGATAGATCGAAAACCCACTGTTGAATTTGCTTTCTGAATGGAGCATTGTATCTGTTGGACATGAGAGATCCCAGAACCATCAAACTATCCTCTAGTTGACCAATCGTTTCTGCTGTAGTATCTCCTCTGAGTAATAATTCTCCACGATTGTTGAACGTCATAAATTGCAGTTCATGCACTGACCATTCATTGGTAACCTGTTTCAGCTTTGCTTCTATATCCTTCTCCTTCATGGCTGAAATACAGATGTCCTCAATGTCCTCCTTGTACTTTAGCAAAGGAGCTTCTAAGATGTTTTTCAGCGAAAATCCTTCACTATCAAACTCAAAGGTATACTTGGTCACTTCCATAATCCTCTGCCAATGCCTAGGTTTCATCGCCTTGTTGGCCATCAACTCCAGTAAGGGACACATGTCGTTGAAGTCATCAATGGTCCGCTTGAGTGCATGGAAGGCTGGCCACTCCTTGAGACCTTTCGGTAACTTTCTGCATCGATTTTGGAACTCCATCAATTCATTGTTAATCTCCTCAATATCCACCTCACCCCATGGAATGTCATAGTAGCTGCTCACACGATCGATAACATCATTGTAGAGTTTGTATAGCTTCTGTAATAGATTGAGCTCCTTGCGGATCTGTCCCAGTTCAGGATAGTCAGTTTGGGGCAGACCAAACAATTCCTCACCACTCTGATACGTCTGAAGACGACGCCACATTCCATCGAATCGATTTTGGAAGAGTATCAATTTGTCACTAGCTTCTCTAGGCGTCAGTCCTGGTTGCATTGGACCGGCAGTTCTATATTCATTCACATACTCAATTTTATCTTGACGGAATTTGTCCAGGTTATTCCTCAGGTCAGACTCAAAGCTAGGCTGCATGTCTAATAGTTTCACCTGAGCTTGCAAAGCTAAGCCTTGGAGATTTTGCCACGTGTACCGAAGGTTGTCCACTTGATCGTAATGTTCTCTATCCACTTGCACTTCATACTTGGTTAAAACGTTGAAAGCCTCCTCAATGGGATCAATCCTAAGTTCCATATCCACTTCCTGTTCACGAATCTTGGCCAGTGTATCCATGATCATTCTCACATCGTCGAGATCCCGAATTTGCCGATCTAGCTTTCTCTCCATCTCATGCATCACTGCATACACGTAATCCATCTCCCTCTTGTACTTCTTCTTCATCGCTTGACCAATCTTGTGAGTGCACGATTTAATTTCAATGGCCAGGCCATACTTCAATTTCTCTGTTGAGATCGCAATACTCTGACCAAAGTATTCCATGTCAGGTTCTATAAGTAGATTGGCATCCAAGTCCGCAAGACAGCGAAGAGACGACTCAAACTCATGAAGCCCATACTCCATCAGTTGTCGAGCAGTCCTGTCATTTTTCCACAGGAAATGGTAAGGTTTCCATCTCTTGATGAAACCTTGAATATCTTGCTTCACATTTCTCGTACATGTTGAGAGTAAGGAAAGAGTCTTCACAACTTCCTTGTTATCCATGATGTAACTATAGAAGCTCTTAGTCATGTGAGGCATCTGCGGCTTTTCTTCCGATACCAGACGATACACTTTACGCCTCCTTGTCTTGCTATCCTCCCGAAGATTTCGACTTTGCCTTTTCTCAGACAGTGAGTAACCTCCAGTCGCATCTTTCCCACTTGACCATTGAGCCACACCCTTGGCCACTCCGGTGATGTTCTTCCCCGCTTGGACAAGTGATTCCTGCAATTCGTCGAGGGTGGGCCTTATGGACACATTTGGGATCATGAGAGTAGCGTTCATCAAGAACACTGGCTTCCTGGAACCCTCGCCATCGATTTCGGACACGAAACGCCGTCTTAACATGTCTAGGGACGATCTAGTAACCCTTATAAGGACGTCAATTACTTTCCGGCTGTAGTAGCGACGCATTTCCGCCACGGCATTATGCACCATGTCCTGCATTCCTTTCGACAATCCACCATTCTGTGAGGATAGGAGCGACAGAGGATTCTCGAAACACGACCACAGGATACTCCAATCCTGTTGCTGGTTTTGAGAACTGTCAGCTTCGTCATCTTTGTTACTGGACGGAGTGCTCTTGGTCTCATCATCGGCCATTAAGTCGTTCTCTGCGCCCACCATCTCCTTGAATTGCTGTGAAGCCTTCTGCACCAACTCCAGCACCTCCTCCACAGCCTCCGCCACCATTTGACTCTTTCGATTTAACTCAATGGCTGCCTGTCGACAAGCCTCCTCATTGTTCTCTAGGAATTCCTCAATTGTCCACATTTCATCGTCTGAAAAGGGTGAAAACGCATTGGCATCTTTACGGCCTTTTTATCGCTCATGACTCTCACCTGTAGGCAGCGTCTGCAGAGTAACGTCCTGCATTGACATGAGGACGTGGAGAATACGGTTGGCATAAATATCATGAACTCGAGCCACGAGGATATCAAAAGTTGTTATTGCCACTTTGCAGTTCTCGTAAAACTCCACCCACTTTGGGTCGGTCCACTGAAAAATTATATGTTACATAATTTCATTGCGGGTCATAATTTTTGCAAAAGGTGGCAAAAATATCTTACATTAATTGACTGTAATCCAGGACGAAGCATTGATGTAAGACGCACAAGTTGAGGGAGAAAAAGTGGCCTCACCTCGAGTTTCACCTTCTTAACAGCAGATAGGAACATTTTGATAAGACTCTAAATAAAAAATAATGTAATTAACACCTGATGAGACTTCATGTTACACATAGTATATGTATCTCGCTCGAAATGCTATCATTCAGAAATGTACATGCGTATTATAGTTATGAAATTGAAATTCGGGAAATTTTCCGTAATTGGAAAAGTTTCACGGATTAAATAATGTTGCATTAATTCAGATTAAACGTAATTGGTTTTACAGTTTTGAATTAAAACAATGCAATATAAGGAAATTAATTGAATCGCGGAAATATCGTTACAATGCGTATATTTTTGTGCCACTGCACATGAAAATCGAAGAATAATCGCAAAAGTAATGTGACAAATCAAAAAAAAATATCCTCCTTTTTACCACTCAAAACTTTAAGTACATTTGTGATTGGCATTCGAAGATTAAGTGTACACTTTGCCTCACATTTAGTGAATCTTGTATGGTGCTGAAGTGATTTTGCTTGGCAAGAAGCGTCGCTGCCACTATTGGCAATTCAATGTTCATCTTAGCCAAACACTTGGCCTCTCTAATAAGCAGTGGAATCGTTGAGTGCAGATTGACAAAGAGTCTGTCGTGTTGTAGAGCCAGCACGGGTTGAATGAGACAAGCATCCGCCACTGTAACGTCCTGGTTGAGCCAGATGGACACAATCTCCTGCTCATACTCCGACAGGATGATCTTGACGGAGTTGTAGCGATTCTCCAGATCTTTGGTCGCGGGCAGACTCTGGAGAATGGGATGAGCCGACACACTCGACACCAGTTCGGCCAAATGGCACTCCAGAGAGCGACACCACTTGATCCGTCCGGCGATGGGTGGCACATTCCGAGGCAGAGGCGGATCATCGCGCTGCTTGCGGAACAACTTGAGTATCCTTTCCACCTCCTTTTCGCAGTACTTGAGAATTCTCTGGTATTTTTCTTCCATTTGCGTGAGAGGAATTTTCTCGCTCACCTTCTCGAAGCGTATAAGAAATCGAATGCCTTGTGGAGTTTCCCACACGGTGTCAAAATTGTACTCAATCATCGATGCAATGGACTCCTTGAGTGTGTTGGTTCTGGAGAGAAAATTCTGAAAGTCAACGTTGAAGTCTGCATTGCGGTGATCCAGGTAATCATATTTCTTGAACACCACTTCTTTCTTCGCTTCTCCAAAATTGTTCATCGCTTCGTCGAGTGCCTCCCCCAGCAGAAGACCCTCCAAACGTCTCTCAAAGAGGTGATTGTAGTCGTCAATTAAATTGAACATAGATATTATCTTCTGCAGCCTCTCACAAAAGGTGTCGAATTTCCCAAAGACAAAGTTCTCTGAGAAGCCAAACGGTGTCTGGTTGGGGAGAAATGGCTGGGCTCGAACTGCATAGTATGTCTCTCGGTAAATGTGATTCAACTTGATGCAATTAGTAAGCTTAGTTCTGATTAGATTTCTATCCTGTGACCAGATGGTCTCCTTCCCACGACATGTGATGTAGGATTTGCACGTCTCAATCATCTGATTCGTAATCTTCACCATCAGAGCCGAAGTGCGCTCTGAGGTGTTGTAGAATTGTGATACACTGTAGATAAGTCTCACGGTCTGGAGGAGACTAAGAATGGATTCCTTCATGTTGACCGGATCATCAAGATAGAGAGCATGACAGCACTGCTCCATTGATTGGATAAATTTAGAATTGTCCCTCGCCTCGTTGTAGCAAAACGTTATTTTCCGATCAGTCTCCTTCCACATTTTCATCACTTTCGATCCAGAGAGTCCCAGCGTGGTGAGTGTGTACTGAACTTCCTTCTCCTGACGTCAGAAAAAAACATATTTCTCATTATAGTCACAAGATATTATGTGTGAATAAAACATGACGAGAGAAAAAAGGGTCGAACATGCACAGATACTTCACCTGTAAATGCGATAAGAGCTGGGAAAATTGCGCTCCTCGACATTTCCAATACTCCAGCTCATCCTGAGGGCCACTTGAATCATTTTCACGCCTGAGTTGTTCACTTTCCATCAGTATATTGACATTAATTCCTTTCATCCATGCCTTGACACGCTCTTCAGCATTTTGGCAAAATTCCTGATTTGTCGCCAATTCCTTCACCTGTACCGAGTAAAAGTCGTGTTGGATGAGATTCCCAAGATGTTCTCACAAATTGGACACATCTAATATTAATAGATACTCCCAGAGCTTAGAATATTTTCCATCTTAGGGGCTGCTCACTAAGGCTTACACAATTCAAAAACATATTTTTAGAAGTCTCTAATCATCTCGATGTGAATTGAAGATGGGCAATAAGTCGTGGTATCACATGGACTCATCTATTATCCAGAATTACGTGGGAATAGGATAATGAGGGAACATCTTGTCTAATTTATAAACACACAGCGTCATGACTCAGGTCGAACGTCATGAGCACATGATTTAGTGAGATACCACCCCTGCAGCCACCCTTTGAGACCCCCATTACCTCGTTCACAGTTGATTGGACTGAAAAATGATGGATATTATCCTCGAAGACGTTGACGTAGTTGCAAACTTTCTCACACACCCGGAGAGCACTGCAAAATGATCTCAGGCCGGGCAGCAATTGTCCCTTGATGAGCAACTGATTTATTTCCTCATCATCCTCAGTGGGGAAGCCCAGCGCCTGCATGAAGATGTACTCCACAATTCTCTCCACCGACGCCACCAATCCCACACGACGTGAATCAATTACGCCACAGTATCTGAAATTCAATATTTATGGGTATTCATTAGGGCAATCACAAAGGATGAACCTTCGAGAAGTGTTGCGGCGATATTATTCTTCCAAAAATGCCACGTAATCCTAGCAAATAAACTCACAAATCCTTGTGAAAGCCCTCTTCGGGCAACTGCTTAGAGTTATTTATGCGAAACATATAGATGCAGACACCAGAGAAGGCACAATTCCATCCGTCTGTCAGAAATAGTTTGTATCTCATGGTTGGTCCACTCGATGTTGTACCTTTTAGGATTATTATACAAGAAGGAATTTTGTACTGAACGAATAAATGTGGCACGGGAAAATTTTGGCAGAAGAAAATTTGAAACTTTTATACCTTGAGGCGTTTTGGAAATGTTTGACATTCCCGCCCTCGATGGTCCAGGCTTCGGGACATCCGAACTGGGCTGTGGCTCTGGTTCATCCACCTCCTGGTAGAACCACATTAATTTATTCCTCATGTTCGGCAGGAAGAGTTGATTAATCTCATCCAGCTGAAGATGTCACGTGTGAAGAAAAAATCAGAAATTATTTAATTTACAGATTTTCTTTCACCGCCTCTCACCATATCGCCCTCGAAGATGTGATCCATAATTTGATGTCTGGGCAATCCGGTTCCGTCCATTAGCAACTGTGATGGTGGTGCCAAATTGTGGATAGAAAAGGAGAAATAGTTCCAGACTTGCTGAACAGAATTAAGTGAATTTCCGAGAATTGTCCTCATGGCCAAATAGAAGGATTTCCCATCAAACGAAAAGGATTTATCACCACATCAAATGCTAAAGGTTTCTATTTAATTAGGCATTTTCTCCGTAAAAGTTTCGTCTCCACACGAGTGGAACGTTTGGAGACTGAAAGCTCTTTGTCTCAACTTTATTAACGAGGTGCGATGAAAAACTGGTAGACTCGAGTTCAAAATACAAATAAAGGATTTTATTCAACAGATCCCATTTAAAAAGTCAATGAGGAAAAACTCAGTATTGATTGCTCAATAGAAGCGCTCAAAACCCTTCATAATAATTAATGAATTAATTACACGCTAAACTGTATCGATTGAGAGCAATTTGCGAATTTTGTATAATTTACTCGGCGAATTTTCATTCGACTCTTCTGCCTCAATTGAAACTCACTCATGCAATTCCTCCTTTCAAATGATTACTTTTCAACTCCCAGAGCAGTACAATTTTTTTTTCTTCATTCCTTTCGCGTGGAAAAATGTGCCAAATCGCTCTGTTACAATGTTCATCCTCTCAAAGGCTTTGCACAGACAATTCATATAGAAATGTTGAATAAAATGGGACACTGTGATGGGACTTTGTTTTACCTGAAAGGTGAACTCCAAGCGGGGGTCCATCTCCCCGCGCCGCGCCTTTCGCTCGCATTCTTCCCGTCGCCTCTGCGAGTCCGGATCCATGGCGGGATTTTAATTTTCAAAAATAGCCAATTGATTTTAGATACGGTGGATTTTCAACACATTCAGGTTTGGGAGTGGAAAAAGAGAGCAAAAATCAAAACATTTATATTCATTCACTCAAAAACTCTCGCATGAGCTGAAAATGTCAAATTGATGGCAAACTCCACAGTGAAAAAAATTGTCAGTTCTTTTTTCAAATTATTGTGCTGTGGGTGGAAAAAGTGTGTTGAAAAATGCGTAATATTCTCTCCTCCTCAGAAATCTGTGTCTCGTATATGCATATATATATATTTATATATATATCAAAATGTGTGTTCTCTGTAATCAGCTCCGTTTGTTGCTAAGAAAATGAGATTCGTGTCAAAAAATATATTTCTTTTCTCAGTATAGTTTTGAGGTGACTTTTTTTTGGGTGTTGTATCATTTGGAAAATTAGGCATGTGATGTGTTTGTCTGAAAATGAAAAGTATAATATTTTTACAATATTAATAATAATCTGTGTTGATATTTATTGCTTCGACATATGAAATGAAAATATATACATATATATATTATGGAGTTAGTGTGAGGGAATATAATCATAAGAACAAATATTTTCGCAATATTGTGCTTGAGTTTATTTTTAGCCCATGGAATTTTATTGGTATTGATTTGCCGAATTCATTGATCAAACAAACTCTTTCGCCAACATACGACCATTTTTCATCTTGCATAACATTTTCTCTACCACTTAACTTAAGACCAAATTGTGTGGACAAAATTGTCAAATTAGGCACCAAATTGAAGGGCAAAGTATTATTATCAAATTTGTAACCTGGAGCAAATCACCCTGAGGAATGTCCTCCTCCTCTCCGGAGTCCGAATCATGAGCACGTAGGTCGTGCACAAACATCTTGCTCTACCTATTTTGTGGTTATCCTATCAATTATGTGCTAATTAAAGGCCTGTGGCAGACAACCTAAATGCTATTTTCACTATTATTTCACTAAATTTAACAATTTTCCTACAATATTTGCTCGCAAATCTCTTCTCTGTGAGTCTTTTCTCCTCAAAACTTTTCCTCCGACTAGTGAAAAATTCAAGATTTTGTTGATATCGATCAAACACATCTCCAATAGCAGCCAACATTTGTGAAAATATCCTTTAATCATGAAACAAAAGTCACCTGTTGTCCCGAAATTCAACAGTTATCCATCAACAAGTTGTGCCGGAGTTGCCATAGTTTTGGCCTTTATATAATTTTACCCGAGAGAAGCAACAAATGTGAATGTAATATTCGATGTTTTCGTGCTTAGGCTTCATTCATGTAACTTCCTTCCGAGCCATATGGCACAAAATCATTGAGGAATATTCATTCACCATGCCAGAGACACGTGGGGTCGTGGAGCTTTTTCCACTATATCAACAAAAGTCACTTTCGTGTCATCCACCCACAATATTTGCGATAAAAATTGGATATAGCAGCCATGCTATGCTAATCAATTCTCTGTTATCATATGGACTTCTTTTGCGCTTCTATTCGTAAGTCGCAGACGAGCTTTCAACCTAAGTTTATTTTTAGACAACTTCTCTGATGGGCATAAACTTTGGTCAAAAGTTTATATGAATTTTCAAAAAAAATGTCAAAAACATAATTCCTGTCGCTTTGAATTCTGCTACAGAAGAAAAAAAAACAGAATTTCTCCTTCCAATCAATATCAATTTTCATCTTCATACAACGTTATGTGCGTAATTGTATAAAATTTACTTTAGGTACATTTATCTTCAAAGAAGATTGACGCTGTTGTGTTTATTTTTTAAACACGTATATGTAGATAATTGCCTTGCAGCCAAATTTTGGGTTCGTAGAAACATCACAAATATGTATGAATTGATTTTCAGTGTGATATTTATATGACAATAAAAGATAACCTTTATTGGAAATACCACGAATTTGATTCGCATGAGAAATCTCATTCCAGTAACCTGAGGGACTGAAATTTCGATTCCCGCAGCATGATAAATACAAATTGACTCAAACATGAGAAATTAAATAGGTATTATTTACATCCTTATTTGATTTACTTGAATTGTTTTTCATAGGCATAGAAGAAATTTTTTGAAATCATATAATTTTTGTATTTATATAAAAAGATGTGCTCATTAAATTGTTTTTTTTTTGAGTATGAAGGATAAAAAAAAACGGTCGATATCCTTTGAATTTCAGCAGCGAAACTACAAATGAGTAGACTCTTATCGCAATCTCTTAACTTAGCAGAGACAACAACCAATCCTTAAAACACCTGAAACATTTCCCTCACACAATCGCTTATCTTTTCACTCCATCAGTTGCCTACATATTGAAAGCGGAAAGGAAAGGGTGCAAGGAAAACACATGTTTTGAGCAGTGAAATTAGATGTAGCACGCCTTTATTAAATTCACCAAAATCCCAAAAATACAATCTTGTAATACTACAATAGGATACAATGTTATGTTAACGCCGTTAACGCTCTATGCTTCATTCAAAGTGCTATTATTGTGCATATTATCGATATGCTGCTGCAAGTCCTTCTTCGAGGCGAACCTCTGTGGGCATGAGGAACATTTTAGGCGCTTTGGAGGAGTCTTCTTCTGTTTCGGCTCCTCCAGGCCCTTGCATTTGTTGCCCAAGATGTGTCTTCTCAAATGAGTTTCTCTAGTAAACATTGAATTGCATTCTCTGAAAACGAAGGACAGAAAAGAGAAATGGCATTCGTAAGAAGAAAGGATTATAAACATGAGTAATAAAACAAAAGGTGAGCCTTACTCGCACTTGAACTGTTTCTGAGTGCGATGAGTTCTCCGATGGCTGGAGAGATGCGAGGAAGTTGTAAATTTCTTGCCACATTCGGGACACTCGTACGGGCGAAAGCCAGTATGAGTGCGCGTGTGATTTCGCAGTGAGTTGTCACTGCGGAAGGATTTTCCGCAGGTCTCGCAAACGAGCACATTCTCGTGCGTGAGCAGCACGTGACTCTCAAGATATTCCTGACTCTGGAAAAAGTCACCACACACGGGACACTGCAGGGTGACTTTCTCCGGGTGCTCCAGGATGTGTACGACCAATTGACTGGCGTAGCGAAATGCGAGATTGCAGTATTCACATTTGTACTGCGTTGCTATCTTGTGTCTCTTCGCGTGCACCTTAAACAGATGCTTTCTGAGGAACGTTTTTCCACATTCCGGACAACGGAATGTTTCATGAGGTGTTTGCTGTGATAGAATCCATGTGAAGTCAATCTTTTCCATTGGACTTTCCGTATTCTCCTTCCCCACCTGATCACCCACAAGAGTATTCTTCCTCCTGTGCAGATTGCCGCACACATCACACAACAGACGCGTCTTGTGATTCCTGCCAGTGACCTCTGGCAACTCTTGACTCTCACAAATATCATTGCAGAACATGCAGTAAAGCGGGAACTTTCCAGTATGGAACATCTCATGTTGTAGGAACTCGTTAGGATTGTAGAAAGTTAACTCGCAATATCTGCATTTATAGGAATTGAAAATCTTGTGTCGCATCAGATAGTCTTCAATCAATTTTCTCTTCACCGCATTGTCTTGATTTCTCGTGCAACAAGGACACGGCATTACCACGGAGGAACTTTTACCCTTTGCCTTCTTCTTCATCATTGAGTTTGCCTTTGCATTCTCGCAGTTCTTCATTGTGTGCTTCTTCAAATCATAGGATCGGGTGTACTCGGTGCCACATTTTCTGCAGAGGAAGAAATTAAGTTGAGAGGAGATTGCATTAGAGTGATTGGGAAATATCGAGAGTGTCACATATCGCTAAAAAACATGTCTGCGCAAAAGAAAGCTCAAGATATGAGTTATAAAAAATATATATTTCTTCTACCCCTCCAAGATAGCATAGAGAGAAAATCAATTTTTCAATATTAAGCAAACAGAAAAGGGAGTTACAATTCCCTCCTCAGACACGGATAAATGGATGGAGAAAATACACATGGGAGTGTTGGAAGTCCCCCTATTTTTTGTGGATTTAGCATTTTCTCCCCATGCGTCGTCTTATACATTTCATTTTTCTCCGCATAACAAAAAAATTGATAGGAACTTCCTCTTTAATGCCGAGGAGGGATAAAAAGCACTCACACTGACTTGTATAAAATCATCATTATAACGAAGGAGGAAGGAATAAACTCAGGGTGTTCTCCTGCACCATACGAAATCTTTCATCAGCTTCTTATTTTATGTCCCATCAGCATTTCCATTTGCAATATTTTTTCTTGTCAATTTGCTCAAAGCTATATGGAAAAAGGCTCTTTCATCAAACATGATTGCCACGCAAAGTCGTATCGCGTTGCTATGATATGTTTTTCTCTTTTTTTTCATTCAGATTCACCCCTGGACTCTACGCAGCATTAAGTTTTGTAATACTTCATTTCACCGAGAAACAAACACCCAAAAGTCATCACTTTTCATCCCCAACACGTTTCCCTCCTTATTCCTTTTCCGCGTACAAGAGACACAAAAAAAATGCTAAAGAATACACACGACGGAAAAAATTTGCAAGAGGGGTTCTCGAGAATTTTTACCGCGGTTTCCTGGGCATGAAAAAAATATTAGATTACGGCCTCATACGAAGGGAGAATTCTAGGGGTGAAAAGATGGCACAGTCTCTTTCACTCTTTCTCTCTCTATCTTCCTCTCCTTGTTCAACCCTCCGGGCCCTCATTTGACTGTAAATCTAAAAGATTCTGGGCAGTGAAGGGAAATTTTGAGCTTGCGCTTTTTAGACGTTCTACTATTGTTGCCAGGTCCCTCTTAAAAAATATATTCCTTCGTCTTGCTTGCAACTTGAGGGGAGACATACATATCCAAATTGTTTCATCGTTATCCATTCATCCCTCACCAATTTCCCATACTACAGGTTTCATTTCCTTTTCGTCCCTTCTCCAGACATGCGAAATATGACTTCAATCAATATTCCGGTGGAGGCTCACTCACAATTCCCTATTTGGGCAACCGTATTTTCACCGTATTCTACACTCCCTTTAGAAATTACATTTGGCTTCAGTTGAACAAACAGTAGAAAAAAAACGAGAAATATATGTATATATATTTTCCCTCTTTTGATGGCTAGAATTATATATGAAAAAGTAAAGAATGCTTCATATTTTATAAAACAAAAGCAAGGAAAGACGCAAATGCCTATGGGGGCATAAATAATAAGGGTGATTATCTCTTAGGAATGCACGGATATTGCGATCAGAAGGCGTACAACAATTCTCATCGGCCTTGCTTTTAAGAAAAACAGCTAATAATACCCATACAATTTAAGCAATTAAAAAGGACTCGCTGCAATCAAGAGCAGTGATTAAAGTTATTTAAATAATAAGGGCTATTTTAAACCTAAAAGCAACGAGTCCATGATCAAGTATTTTGCACCACTCACATCGCCTCCAACTTCTCTCATCTATTATGTTAACCGCGTTTACCGATCAATATATGGTTTTCATTTGAAAGTCAACCATCGAATCACGACCTCGATGGGATATTCTGCATTTACCACCGGCTTTTTACACCCTCACGAAGCGCGTCTATCACGTTCGCTTGATTAAGAATTCAATTGATTCGGAGCGGGAGGGAGAAATATTAATGATTTCGCAATGCATTTCTACTTTCGAGCTGAATCAAATACCAAATTTTGTGATGTTTCGACACGAAGGGGAGAAATAAAATCGATATAAAGGGGTGAAGGCGGTAATTATTTGAATACAAATGAATATGTTATGATAAAGGGGGTCTGAGAAATGAAACTCTCTGTCTCTCTAACACACTTACTCGCATTTGTGTAGTTTCGCTGTCTTATGGATGCGCCTGTGGCTCGACAGATGAGAGGCCGTGGCAAAGGTCTTGTCACAATCTTCGCATTTGTACGGCTTATCGCCAGAGTGGAGTCTCAGGTGATCTCTGAGGGATTTCCGGGAGCAAAAGTTCTTGCCACACAAATCGCAGATCTGTAATTTTTCATGAGTATTGACGTGATCTTTCAGCTCTTTGAGATTCACATGGACAGCCTTGCAGACGGGACACTTGAGTGGAACCACTTCGGGATGGCTGGCCAGATGCTCCACCAATTTGCCGGCATAGCGGAATGTGAGATTGCAGAGTTTGCACTTGAATTGGGACGCCTTCAAGTGCCTTTTCAGGTGAGCACGCAGGACCAATTTGTTCGCGTGCGGCTTCATGCACTGCCAGCAGTGGAAATCCTCGCCGGCCCCCGCCTCCTTCTTCTCACCAGCGTCTCCCGGACTCGTCGTGGTGTCTGCCGGCGTGTCCCGCAGCAAGTATTGCCAGTCGTATTCATTCTGGGGTGTGTCTTCTTTCGGAATGTAGTCCAATGGCTTCACATCGATTGCAAGAATATCACTAAAGCTTTCATTTTCAATAGGAACTATACCGATCGTGAGGAACGGGTCGATTTCAAAATCACAGATTTCTCCCTTGAGATGATCTTGTGGAATAAAGAGCCTAAAATCTTCGTTGTCATACAAGTTCTCCAAGGAGTCCATTGTGATGTCTCCGGGAGCGACTTTCATGCTGGAAAAACACCCACAACCGTTAATCACCTGACAAATCCCACAGTCAAATATAAACTTACACATATTCCACAAGACGCCTGTGATAGTTTTGGAATCGGAAAAGGAGAAAATGTAGGAAAAAAGAGGAACCACGATTTACACTTCTGTCTGTATGAACTCCATTTTGACAACTAACAATGGAACTTCTCGCCACACCGAACACAGGCGATTTTCCTCTCCTCCGCACGCGTCCTGATTGCCAGAGACCACAGCTCATGTATTCGCTCCACGAAGTCACCCGCTGGACCTCGCATTATCTCATTCCAAGAATTATCATCTACATAAATTCCACCTCTGCTCTCTCTTTTCCGCATTTCTTTGTGGAGAATGTGACAAAAACCTCGTTCAATTGCAAGAGTTCCCAATAGAACAAATCTGGATAATTACAGCGGATATGAATCTCATTCAATCCAAGCAAGAGCGTGGAGAAGCTTAATTATAAGTGCCCGGAGTGGGGATGGACCAGTAGCCAAAGCTGCAGAATTTTTCAATTAGCCAGAGTGGGATTTGTCCGGCATTCCATTGGACGAGTCCACTCGATGGTATTCGATATCGAAGGCTTGCTTTATGGGGCAGATTTAACATGGCTGCTCAGTAGTGTCGTGGTTGATTGTACTTTTTCTACATTCTTCAAAATCTCTGAAAAATTGTATATACTTCCCCGATTTAAACATCATCATTGAAGAGCGCTTGCAGTATTCTTTACATTAAATGTGGAATTTGTCCGAGAGAGTCGTGGAAACGTGGAAAAATCACCGATAGAAAAAAACGCACGCCATCGCGAGAGTCACTGCGAAGTTTTCAAGGAAAAATACTAGTCTGGTTGATGGATTGCATGGCGCAGCTGTTTTTATCTAGTGTTTAATTCGGTGATTTGTAGTATTGCAAAACCAAAAAGTAAGTTTAGGGAGAGATGGAGTTCGCCCAGCCACCGCCGCCGAACATGGGTGCTCCGCCACCGCCATCTGGCATAAACTATTCGATGCCGCCACCGGGAGTGCCCCGATCGTTCCAAGGTGGCATGATGGGTGGCGCCGGACGACCTGGACAGCCCTACTACCGCGGCATGTCGGGTTTTCCACGAGGTCCTGGCGGAATGCCCATGAGTCAGGATGATTTCGATGGAAAGCGCCTCCGGAAGAGCGTCATGCGGAAGACCGTGGACTACAATGCTTCCATTATTCGATCCTTAGAAGTAAGTGTCTTTCGATGGTTGAGTAAGATGATATTTGAGTGGGATTATCTCTTGATTGCAGAATCGCATTTGGCAGCGAGATAATCGAGATCGGAGAGCACTTCAGCCTGAGAGCATCTACACACCTGAACTCCTGCCACCGCCAAGCTACATGGATAACCCCAGCAACTCCGTGACAACGAAATTCGTGAAGACAGCCACAAACAAGATGAAGTGCCCCATCTTCACCCTAGCCTGGACGCCAGAGGGACGACGTCTCGTCACTGGAGCCAGTTCCGGAGAGTTCACCTTGTGGAATGGACTTACATTCAACTTTGAGACAATCCTGCAGGTTGGTGAATTCTCGCAAGTTTCAATTCTTGGCATTTCCTAACAAATTGTGGGAATGGTGGCTTATTTGCACTTTCAGGCTCATGATGCTCCCGTCCGGACGATGGTGTGGTCACATAATGACAACTGGATGGTGACTGGCGATCATGGTGGTTACGTTAAGTACTGGCAATCAAATATGAACAACGTGAAAATGTATCAGGCTCACAAGGAACCGATTCGTGGCATAAGGTACACTACACAAAGGTTTTTACGAATATATTCCCTTTATCATTGTCTGAGGAGATGGGAAAGAAATATCAGAAAACTGCTAGTCATTCTGTTGATGAGAGTAATTGGATTCTTAGAGCATGTCCTTGTCCTTCTTTGGCTCTGTCCTTGTGTGAGAAAAAAAAATGCAAATAAAGTGTCTATTCGCATGGCCCCTCATCAAAAATAGTAGCTCAACACCATCCGAAATGACTTCACCCTTCCCTCACCGTGGGGATGATCGTTCCAAGGTTGATATATTTGATATACTAAAATCGTTAAAATCACAAATTATGATAATGTTTTTAAATTCAAGATTGAAAATCTATCTAAATATTAAACTTGAAACGACCAACCCGGTGTTCAGATATTAAATTTGACGAAAGTTTAATCACGCAAAGGGATTTAAATTTAGAGACCTTTTCCGAGTCCCGTGTCTTTGCCCATGTATTTGAGAGTTGAGAAAAAAAACTACGATTCAAGACTGATTGTTTGAAGAAAGAAAAAAACTGTGATAAGATGTGATTCGATGAAATAAAGAAAATCTTTATAATAATGGAGAAAAAAAAGCGAAATAAATAATGCAAAAAAGCGAGAGAACCACCGATTCCATCATTAGTTGTACAATTTATCTCTCAATAAATTAATTACATGAAAGTCGTGGTTTCTTTCATTGGACATTTCCTTTGCGAGCACTAAAGAAAAATGATGGATGAAGTAGCGAAAGTAAAGAGCATCTCCAGTCACTTGGACTCCCGGACTTCAGGAGATTCCACTTGTAGGATCTCTCAATTTCAACCTTCACTTCCTCCCCTTCTTTTGTATATTGATGGCGAAGAGTGAATATTTTAATAAAGAATATCGAGCCCTCCCAAGCAAATTGAAATAAAATAAAGATTCTCCCTCACAATCTCCCACAACCCCCCGAAATCAACCACTTTCACGAATGCAAACGCAGAAACCACGAGGAGTCCTCAGCGAATAGCAATTGGAGGAATATTTTCTGTACCGATTTTCATAAATAAATCTATAGCGAAACATTTTTTTGAAGATGAATAATAAAGATCCTTAGACATTTTGATAAATAAATACAAATTGCTCCATCGTCCAATTCTCTTTTCTATCCATTTGCAGCTTTAGTCCTTCGGATAATAAATTTGCCACGTGTAGCGATGATGGGACACTGCGAGTCTTCGATTTCTATCGGTGTGTCGAAGAGAGAGTGCTCAGAGGTGAGTTTCAGATTGCATTTAGTGTGCACAGAACTTAATCCTGTACAATTTCTTGCTCTTCAGGTCACGGAGCAGATGTAAAGTGTGTCCATTGGCATCCCCAGAAGGCTCTCATTGTGTCAGGAAGCAAGGATAATCAGCAACCAATAAAGCTGTGGGATCCCAAGAGTGGTCAAGCTCTAGCCACACTGTGAGTTCCAGCATCTTTTAAAACATGATATTGTAACAACTAACAATTCCTCACATATCGCAGGCATGCTCACAAGTCCACTGTGATGGATCTCAAGTGGAATGACAATGGCAACTGGCTCGTCACTGCCTCCAGAGATCACTTGCTGAAGCTTTTCGACTTGCGCAACTTGAGTGAAGAAGTACAAATATTCCGTGGCCACAAGAAGGAGGCGAGCGCCGTGTCTTGGCATCCAATTCACGAGGGTCTCTTCAGCTCTGGGGGTTCAGATGGATCCGTGTTGTTCTGGAATGTGGGAACGGACAAAGAGGTGGGTGCCATTGATGCGGCGCATGACAGTATTGTGTGGACTCTTGCATGGCATCCACTCGGTCACATCCTCTGTTCCGGCTCCAATGATCACACCATCAAGTTCTGGACGAGAAATCGTCCTGGTGATCAAATGCGAGATCGCTACAACTTGAATACACTTCCGGCGAGTCTTCAAGGCTACGATGACTGTGAAATTGGTAAGTGTGTGTGTGTGTTTTGTGAAGAAGAATCACACCCTGATTTGCTGCACATGTTCAATTTTCCCCAGATGATCACGTTGTGATCCCCGGAATGGGTCTCGAGGACAAGGCTGACTTCACTGAGAGCTTGACGGCAGAACGTGACTATATACCAGGGCTGGATTTGGAGCCCGATTATGATCGGCACAGGGAGAAGAGGCCCTACAGCAAGCCCATTCCGCGCAAGTTCCAGGCGCAATGGAACGACACGGGTAAAATGGACGAGGAATCAGCATCACAGGAGATTAAGGAAGTCATTACACAAATTGTGGAGAACACACCCGGTGCTGTGGCACAGCAGAAAGGTCCACCGTCAGCGATGCTTGTATATGGAAAGATAATTCAAATCCTGCGTAAGTTAACAAAGTCTCCGTGTCGTACGAAATATTCCTACATTTGCACTCCCTCCTTTTTAAATAGCTGGCACTCCACTCGAAGCGGCAGTTCTCGAGGGATCTACTGCCCTCAATAACTTCATCAGTTCAGGAGAGATTGAAGAATTGAAGGATCTTCTGCCGCAAGCTGATGAGACGACAGAGAAGGAGAGCACAACTGAGGAGTCTGAGCAGCAAGATGGTGAAGCACCGCCAGCAAAACGCGCGATGATTGATCACAATGTGCAGCTCATCTATGAGAAGATATCATCCCCAGTCATTCCTTCCCTCATGGACCTCAAGTTGGATGCTGTGAATCTTCCGGCCAGCTCAGGTCCGCCCACGTATGACAGAGATCGCCTGAGGAATGGCACTGGAGAGCCCGTGGCGGCACTCACTAGTCCCTGGCAGCAGACGGCCGCTGGTCAAGCTGCCGCCGCTGCCGCGGCAGCAACTCCAGTCGCCGCGAGTCCCTGGGCATTTGGACAAGCGCCGCAGTCCCTCAATGAGGTCACCATGAACTTCCGCAGTAATCTCAATACAGCCGCCTTTGGGCCCGCCGTCACCGGTCAGCCGCCAGCTGATTGGACAAACGGAAGCGCGGCCCCGCGAAATGGGCGAGACAGTCGGGGTCGAAACGGCGCCAGCACCAGCAGTGGAAACGGAAGTGCCAACAGTCGTCGGACGGGATCCTCTACCACGTCAGGGGATCGTAGTCGCAGATCCGGCGGCCGATGGGGCAGACGCTGAACTGAACGTTTTAACAATCCACATAATGTCCATTTTTACAATTGCTTGTACAACACGTCATGGCAAGGAATTTAGTTTAATGGCGTACGAAAGGTTCGGTTAAGCGAGAAGTAACAGAAACAGCGGATAAAATGAGACCGCTTTAAGATATCGTAGATTTTCAATTGCCCATGGTGTATGTATTCTATTAAATTCTAGCAAAATCAAACATTTATCTTTTCAATTTGATAGAACACACGCAAATGATGATAGAGTTCGAAAAATATAATTAAACAATGCATATTCATTACACTTTCAGATGTAATTCCAGGAGTTCTTTCAACTCCGCTTTATTTGTAAGTTCAACGGGGAACAACAAGTGAAAAGAATTATTAGATAAATCCAGACTATTCAGACGGCGCGTCTGGTCGATTCTTGTTTTGCTGAACAATGTTGACCAACTTCTTCACTGTGAGATTCTTATTGAGAATCCCTGGGATTTGCCTGATTGAGCCACTGTTGGGCTTCAAATAGATCGTGTGCGGTATCTTGGACGTGCCATCTGACGATGTCGATCTGGCGCTCGCCTTGTCTGCCTCCACATTGATGATGATGGGCTGAAGCTTAGAGCTCGGGATTGGACGCGATGTCACCAAACCACTGCGATCAATCTCACTTGCTTTCACTTTTACCATCTTGTTGGTCACGATGGGCAAATGACTTGTGACCACAGAAGTTCCAGTGTCCATCTGTCGAATGCCCGACTGTCCAGGAGATGATGACACGACAACTTTGGTGTACTTGAGCGGTGGAACATTTTTGGATATGATATTCGGCTTAATCGTGCCCGTGTTGCGATTAATAAAGACCACCTTGTTGCCAGGCGTTGATGTCTTGTTGCTGGAAATGATGTTGAAGATCCTGCTTGTATTGGGAGATGATTCCGATTCCTTCTGCGGACTCAATGCCCTCACTGTGCTCTCACTAGAAGTGTCAGCATCTTCAGTGGACGCTTCAGACTCATGGATATTCCCCTCGTTATCAGCAAAAACGATGGGAATATCAAAAATATTGGTACTAGTCAGGTCCGGATGGGATTTGTCCGCATCAGATGATGCCACAGACTTGGTGGACTTCATGATGGTGTACTTATTGTGCAAACCAGCTGAAGAGACTGTCACCAGTTGCGGAGCCGGTGGCGATTGTTTCTTCATCGAGATCACCTTATTGCCAGAAGACGTCTTAATTGTGTACAGTTGCGGTGTCTTACTAGGCGCCGAGATGGTAGTTCCACTCTTGATAGTGTAAACCTGTGATGTGCTTCCAACAGACTCAAGATTTCCCGGCTTTAGCTGGACAAACTGATTGGCAGGCACCATCTTCACTTTGGGCCTCTGGATGATGGGCAGCATGATAGGAGTCCCTCCGACACCGGAAATAGTCGTAGAATTGGGTGAACGCGACACCAAACTGCTCACCGCTCCACTCGCAATCTTCGGATTGATCTCCACTTTCTGGGTGATCTTCCCCTGCACAATCTCGTAGGATGTCAAAATAGGTGACTTGTTCTTCATCACCTCACTCGTTGACATAATCGTGTCCGTGGCTTCGCTTCCGCCGTCAGTGGGAAGGATACTCTGAATGGCAATATCAAGAGCTTCACTTGTCGGCTGCACAATTCCCGGGCCAGTGATGGGCTTCTTCGGTGAGCGACCCAATATTGGCTTATTATTGAGTCTGGGACGTCCCACTGGCCGCGGCGTCTTCGTGGGTGTCGGCTTATCATCACCACCCTCAGAATCACCCGTTATCTTCCTCTTGCGCACAGCCGCCGTCGCTCCACCAGGAATTCCATTAGATGTCAAGATAGTGGATTGATTGAGTCCTCCGCCAGGTGTCTGCCTCGGTCCTGGTGGGCTCACAAGACACGTCGTGGCAAACTCTGCCACCTCATCCATCACCATATTGTCCACCATGGCCTGGGTCACCTTCTCGATGCGCCTCTTCTTCGTATTCACCCTCAGAGCGTCATCAGCTGAGCCCACAATCACTACACTCGTATGGGCAATCATGTTCTCACGCAGTGACTCAATCTCTTCCTGACTAGTCCTCGCCGAATTCTGACCAATGACGAATAAAATGGGTGTTGTTATCTCCTGAATCATATCATCGGGACATCCCCTGACGCCCTGCATCGTATTACAGGCGAATCCCATGCACACAATCGAGCTGGCTGGCTCAAGAGCTCCGATCTGCAGAGCCAGAGCAGCTCCTGAATTGAAACCCACGAGAATAATCGGTCTTCCAGGTGACTCTGCCCGTATATCCTGAATCTTAGCCCTCGACACCGTCACCAGCTGCTCAACAACAGTCTGCATTCCCTGCTTCTGAATCGCCACACCGCCTGCGTGAATGGCTATGGGCACCACGGAGCCCATTGTGGCGAACAGAGCAAACCACTTCTGCATTCTGTTGCTGGCCGGACTCACAGATGGCCCATTCGGGAGAATAATTATAATGGGCTGATTGGGCAGCTTTCGATTCTTATGGTTGATCTTGGGCTCCCATGGCTCCTTCATCACAGGCCCCATGAGATCGTGTGTGATGTGTGTATTTCGACCAAAGATCATCTTGTCTATCATCGCCGGCAGTTTCGCCTTCAGCGTCTGCAAAATATCAAGATAGAGACTCATGTAGCTGGGCGGCAAGTGGTCCATAAGCACGCCATGCAGCCACTGTGTCAATCGCATATCCCAGCCAACTGTGGCCAGAGCCTGTCTCATCCTCTGACAACTCTTGTCAATGTCCGCCCGCCTAAACACGGACTCATGTTCGCGACTCTTGCGCGCCAGGCGAGCTAGCCTGTCCAGATCCAATATGTTGGCCACCTTCGCAAACAGATTCTGCTGCACAATGGACCAGCCAAACTTATTCACTGCCTCTACCCAGTCCTCCTCGTCGGAGTTACTATTCTTCACACAGTACGCTATTTGAGTTGTGTACTCCATAGCCTTCATGGCCTCCTCTTCGTCATATGGCAAAGCCGAGGACTTGTGTTGCTCATCGACATCAATTCCCTGTGAATGAGAACATTGGTGAGATTACGGAACAACTTCTGACGCTCAAGAGAATCAACTCACCTCATCATTAGTGTGGGAGTGGCAGGAGGGACACTGAGGAGCCCTGTTCACCATAATAGTTCTCGTAGACATGACTTTACTGTTTTCTGCAGGTCGCCAGTCCCGAGAATAGCTATGTTCCATTTCTACAGCCGACTCACAGCGAAACTGCAAAGGGAAGGAAAGCTGCTTGAGAGTTCCATCAAGTGTGAGGTTATGTTCAGTCGGTGGGATAATCATTTAATATGTTTTCAAGGTCGTGCAGAGGCTTCTGATTAACTAATCAATCTACCCTCCCCAATTATAGTCAATGAATTTTGCCACTATGCACGGAAAGACCGAAAATTCATGTATTATCTTACCAAACGTCAGCAACTTTTAGAATGTACAATTGTGCCGTGAAACACGAAAAAACACAGTTTCTTGGCATGCAAGATGTAAGAGAGTGTATCAAATATGATTTTAAAAGGGAAAAAATGGGTAAAAATAATTCACAATTGTTGTAATTTATGAAAATACGATGTAAAATTTTCTACGCAAAACAATGAATAATGGCGTCGCCTCTTGCAGAAAGAAAGCGAGATGGGAAGAGCAATTGGGTTGCCGCATGAAATCGTCTCTCCCTTTCGCACCTCAATCTGGCAACCCGATGTCATATTTCGCAATTTGAGAATTTTTGAAGGAATACAAGAAAAAATCATGAAAATCTGCGTTTCACACTTATACGCGCCCCCCTCGCTCCCAATATTGATTAGCCGAGACCGAAGCATCTCGTCATGGGAATTTACTACGCAATATCATGCAAATTCCATGCTCTGACATGTCCAAACCAGTCCAAACTTATGCAATGTAAATTGGGCATTTGGAATTAAATTCACGGCATATTGAGAGATAATACTCACATGTGAATGCCTGTGATAAGAAATCTCGTAGCTTGAAATGCGTTGTTTGAGTTCATTCACTTCATTTGCCATGCCGCATGACATTGTTTTGTTTTCCGCCGACACCTTCATCCTCTCCCTCGGCGTATGGCACAAGCCAGCACCTGTGATTGCCCTGAAGTCGCCCTGCGTCTGTCCAACTGTTAAATCTTCAGATTCTCAATGCGATTATTGCCACTGAAGGAGTATTTCGAGAGAAATTTTGATTATCTTCCGCACTTGCTCTCGCTCGCACCCGGACTGTATGACGATAAATTCACACACACACCATCGCAATATCACTGATTTCCCAATAAGCCACCATGCAGTACGTGTGGGACATTACAATGGACATGTCCGCATACGCATTTTCGAATTTCCCAACTTTTCCAACATGGCGAAGTTTTTTTCACAAATAGTTTTTTTTTCAAATGGATTTCGAAGTGTTTATGCGGCCGTTAGAACAAAAAATGTCATTTCTTATCAGAATTCAAAGCAATTAGATATCTTGGACAGAATTTCTAGAAGACAATCCAACTGTCGCGTGTCGTTCGTATCGTTCTTATTGGATATGTGTTTTCGGTATTCCAATACAAGGACAAGGATTGTACGGGGAAACAAGCCGGTTGAGAAAACAAAAGCAGAGTTTGTGCGTTTGGCGAGTTCGTCGTGATTCCTCTATTTGCTGACCACAAGGCCTGAACATTTCACAAGCAAGGATGAGTGATAACGAGAAGAAGTTCCAGCAATTGGATCTTGAGCTGCAAAAGGCGAAGAAATTGCCACACTTCTTGCGCACAGACTACAATTGCGTGAATGACGACAGTGGAAATCTGGAGGAAGTCGTCCAGAAGATGAAGAGCATCAGGTTAGAACTTCTCGCGTCAGTGGAGTTGTATGAGAAAAACACGAAAAGTGCTGAAAAAATGTGCAATAATCTCAAAGACAACGAGACCAAATTGAAGGACGCCATGAATGAATTGCTGCAAATCGGGCGATTTGGTCAAATCGACACTTCCGGGATTTTGAAGCTGCAGGAGGAATTTCCAGAATTCTGTGAATAAAAAAGGGTTATTTGTAAGTCAATTGAGTTGCATTTGATAAATTATAAATTTCAAATATATTCGAGAAATGATAAGACTGGCAAACGTCTCTGTCGTTCTACTGATCACTCGGCAATTCCCCAGAGTCTGTCGAGTTCACCGTCAGTTCTTCTTTACTCTCAAGCACGTTGGCGGCTTCAATTGGGGCCACTGACTCTGCAATTTCCCCATTTTCCTGCTCGGCGACTGTTTTCTGTGCGTCCTTCTTCTTGCTCTTGCCCTTGGTCTTCTTGCTTTCCTGAGACGAGGACGGCTTGGTTATCGACGCCAATTGATTCTGCAAGACTGCGAGATTCTGCTTGAATTCACTGCAATTCTTCATCATTCTCTCGAGTTTGTCATCCTGTGCAGAGGTCTCGGGCTCCACGGGCTCGGGCTCCGGAGGCAATTCTGGCAGAGATGGTCGTTCGATATTGTTCTCCTTCAGAGTGTTTACCAGCAGAGCACGATCAGCCTGTAAAGAAGAAGAAACTGATGATCAAAAGGATCCATTGGCAGGAGAAAAAAAAGAGCGTGTGAACCTGTAGGAAGCGACACAGCTTCTGCAACTGATCCAACTGGCGTGTGGTCTTGTTGAGAATTTGATCCTTGAGCTGCTTATCGGACGCCATTTCAAGAAGTGCAACATTACTCTTCTCAAACTTTATCCTCCACTCATTGCGCTCCTTTTCCAGCTTCACAATTTTCTTTGATGTCTTCTCCAGTTCGGCCTTGTAAGTGCCAAAGATGCTGTTACTCTTGGTCAGCGAGTTCTGAAACTCATCGTACTTTGTCGTGTACAGATCCAGTTGCTCCTTGAGGAGTTTCTCTTTTAACTGCACATCCACCAGTTGTTGGCGCGTCTTCTTCAGCTCCGTCAGCATCTCGTGCTTCTCCTTTAGAAGGCCTTCCTTCTCCAGAGCCGCTTCCATTTGTATCTTTGACAATTTTGCCTCGTTGAGCTGCGTGGAGAGATCGATACTCATGTTGATCTTCTCTACCTGTTGTTCGCGCGTCTCCGACTGCTCCAGCAGATACTTCAGTCTCTTGGACATCTCGATGTTGTCCTGTTGCAACTTCATGTTTCGATCGTTGTTCTCCGTCATCAGAGCAGTGATATCGTTGAGGGATTTCTGAAATTTGGCTTGAGTCTCCTTGCGTTTCTCCTCCTCTTCGCGTATTTTGGTGAAACTCTCATCCTTGATGGATTTGTTCTGTCGCTGCAACTCACGGCACAGAGACTCCAACTTGGACTTCGTGAGGATCGCTTTGTTGTACTCTTGCTGCAAATTCTCCTTTTCCTTCTGTATCAAATCCAGTCGCTTCTCCTGCTGCTTCGCCACAGTGCCCAGCTTGCGAGTCTCCTTCTCCAAGTCCACATACTTCTTCACCAGATTGTTTATCTTATCGTCGGGATTTTCCATCGAGCTCATAGATTTCACCAGCTAATTATGAAATAAATCACTCGTATCAATATCGTGCCAATCTCACGGGAAATTTCATATGCTCACTTGCTCCTCCACTTTCATCTCGCGCATTCGCTCCTCTTTAGCTAATCGCTTCCTCTCGGAATCCCTCCTGTCGCCACCGTCGTTCTTTGTGCTCTCCATGTCGCAGCTATATCCACGAGACTCCCTTTGTGGTCCGTATATGGCAAGAAAACCCCCAAAATCTACAAGAAAATTTCCACTTTGAGGTTATACAGGCGAACGGCGTAAACAAAAACCTGCCAACCAGGATTTCACTGATATTTCAGGAGATTTTCAAGCTACACACCAGCAATTGGAAAGGGAAATGCGTAGTCTATCGATTAGAATTACCTCAATGAAAATCCACACGTTTTCCTCGGCTCAATAATCTATTTTTGGACAAATCCTCCTCTGACAAGCTCTTTTCGGCATTTGAAAAAATCAACAACCACCGCCAGTTGGCGATACTATCAGTCTGCGCGCCCTTATCCACTTATTCAAAAAGTTCATTCAATAAACTTTATTTATCATGTTCATTTCTGTACAATTTCGCAGAACAATCAACTTTGTATCAGCATAAATGCATAATATATCAGTGGGAGTGTATAAATGGTGCGTAAAATATCTGCTCTGCGCGAAAACCTCTGAATAAATATTCCTCTGGAAGACACTCTTATCACGATTGTACACTTGTACAAACTAGCTCAAAGGCCGGGTTTTCAGGTAAATATACACAGCAATTAAGATGAACACGACAGCAATCGCCGGCAGGGCTATGGTGAAGAGTTGCTGATGTATTTTTGCATTTTCCTCCCGGCGCTCTTTTTTCTCTTTTCGCGACTCCTTCGTCTGCTTCTGCCGTCTCATTTCCAGTCCCTACAATTGAGTTTATCACTATTGATCCCCCGAATAATTGGCAATTCACAAGTCTTACCAAAAAAATATTCAGAACTCTTCAACTGGTCCAAATCTTTTTCCAAATTTTCAATGACGTGTAAACTCTTCGCACATGATCTTCGAAACTGCGTATCCCAATAAAAAAATTACGCTGTAATCATCCGATTACGCATAGATTGTCTACAACGCTTCACGCGACATGTCGACCAGAAGTGGCACGTACATTTTCGAATTGTATTTCTATATAAATTACAATTTGCAGGATTCACTTACATATTAAAGATTTATCCTGTTCACTGGATTGGAATCTGGTGTACTATTCTGATCATCTGTGGTAATTAAACTCGAGCTGTACTGACGCGTGATGCTGGGATTTTGATTCAAAATCTCTGCATTTTTCTGAAGATTCTCAAGAACAGGAGAAAGAGTCCAGTTCCGTCGCAGCAGGCTGTCCTCGACGCAGAAATGACCACTGCGAATGCACCTGATGGACGAACAGTACGCCACTGTCCGGAGTTCCAAGCCAATGTCGTGTATAAGACTGGCCAGATAGTTCTCGTTCTCATTCAGAGAATGAATTTCTATGGTAAACTTTGGTCTCATCAATTCCACAAGCTCGATGCCATAAATAACGGGTGTATTGCTTGAGGCCGGTCGGATAGTGCCTTGAGTAGCCAAATTGTAAGCAGTTTCTGACTGTATGTCCACTCCGGAGTCCTCAAACATTTTCCTCTGATGGGACGCCTGTACAGATGAGAGCAGAGACGAAATCCTTGTCCTGGACACATGATCATATGACGATCGTGCGATCACTTTGGAATCGGCAAAATGAGTCTCTGTGGCCTTTCCTAGGCGACCAGTCACACGATAGACCCTCACGGATCGATTCATGCGAATCCTGAAGGCGTCCCGTGTGCCTGAGTTGATTCCAAGAAGAAGAACACCGCTGCTGTAATATCCCATGGATATTGCGGGCTGACATTTGAAGTCAGAGATTTGGTGCCTCTCTCCCACGACCTTCACGTTATCTGCAGGATCCTGTACCACTTCCAGCTTGTAGGAGTTCTCATCATTCTCATCCGCTCGCTCAAACAACAATCTTTGTCGGGGCTCTCGAACATTCAGCTGATTCAAGTCTGCAATGAACAAATTTTTGATTCCACTCTTCATGTGCGCTCTATTTCTATTCACCTTTGCAGACATTTGTGACAATGGCATTCATCACTCGCTTCACGGATACACCTGATGGCTTGTATACATTTAGGATTCCACCAAGGGACCTAAAAATTGCGGCGGAATTGCGGGTTAACATTGCAGAGTAAAAATCTTCACACTCCTCGCATGCACTGCACACTGGAAGTCAGAGTGAGGTTATGTTGTTTGTTTACTCCGGAAATTTCCCCACCCCTCCGAAAAGCGGGCGTCAGCAATTTATTTACCTCTTCCAGTGCGATGTGACGTGTAACCATTATCTCTGGGCAAATTAATCACGGGAGAGAGAGCCAATTTACTCAGATATCCTTGAGTAAATGCGGTGATAGCGATTGATTGTGAGAAATTCTGTGTCAGTCTTTTCCGGCGGACTTTGCGACACTAGTGGCGTTCTTTGTTGTGACGGCGAACCTCTGGAAAATCTTCATTGTTGAGAATGGAGAATCCGCGCAAAGGAATGCGTGCTCTTATTCTTGTGGGTGGCTATGGAACTCGCCTGCGACCCTTAACTCTCAGTCGGCCAAAGCCTCTCGTGGAGTTTGCCAACAAGCCCATCCTAATGCACCAGATGGAGGCGCTCGTGGATGCTGGAGTCACAGAGGTCATCCGATCTTATCTCTAGTCCACTCAACGTGTGCTAATGACTGTCCGTTTGCAGGTCATCTTGGCTGTCTCGTATCGAGCTGAACAAATGGAGGCCGAGCTGAGAGAGGAGGCAGAGAAACTCGGCGTCCGGTTGGTATTCTCTCACGAGACTGAACCCTTGGGCACGGCTGGACCACTCGCTCTCGCTAAGGACATTCTCTCCGCGAGTCCGGAGCCATTCTTCGTCCTCAATTCAGATGTTATTTGTGACTTCCCATTTAAACAACTGGAGTCCTTTCACCGAGCGCATGGGAAGGAGGGCACAATTGTGGTGACGAAGGTCGAGGAGCCCTCCAAGTACGGTGTTGTGTTGTACAACGAGGCCGGATGCATTGACAGCTTCATTGAGAAGCCACAGGAGTTCATCAGCAACAAAATTAACGCAGGAATGTACATTCTCAACCCATCAGTGCTCTCCAGGATTGAGATCAAGCCCACGTCAATTGAGAAGGAAGTGTTTCCAGTGATGTCGCAGGAGAAAGAGCTGTATGCCATGGAGTTGAGCGGATTCTGGATGGATGTTGGACAGCCAAAGGACTTTCTCACAGGTGTGAATCATTTTATTATCACAACAAACTATTTTTTTTTATCTGCTGCATTACTTTTCCAGGAATGTGTCTCTACTTGACTTCTGTGAGACAGAGAAAACCCGAGTCTCTGTACTCGGGTCCAGGAACAGTGGGAAATGTTCTCGTGGATCCTACTGCAAAGATAGGAGCCGGCTGTCGCATAGGGCCCAACGTGACAATCGGTCCTGACGTGGTGGTCGAGGACGGTGAGTTGGGCACATTATTGAATTACGGACTCGCATTACAGCGGCAAATTTCCCCTTTCAGGTGCATGCATAAAACGTTCGACAATTCTAAAAGGAGCCATCGTGAAATCTCATTCCTGGATGGAGAGCTGTATCGTCGGATGGCGATCGACTGTGGGTCGATGGGTGAGACTAGAGGGTACCACAGTCCTTGGGGAGGATGTGATTGTCAAAGATGAGTTGTACATTAATGGGGGACAAGTGTTGCCCCACAAGAGCATCGCACATAGTGTTCCAGAACCACAAATTATAATGTAACATCACCAGTCACGTAACAAACACTCTCCTTTTGCAATTACACAAACATTGCACGCTAAAGTGCGGCTTGAAAGAATAATTTTGCTAGAAATCTTTGTACTTTCCCACTTTGCAAAATAAAGAAAATTTTTGAGAGAAATTCAAATTCACTTTTCCGGAACACCTCCCCTCCAAATTCGCCGTGTGCGGCGAAAACATTCCAGCCGTCTGACTTCGCTTCCAGTTGTCATATTGTTCTTCGGATACAGCAGGAAATTGGTGTGGTTCTGCGAACAGGAGTGAAAAACACAAAATTGGACTGCTTTCCGTGTGCAAAAATGGATGGTGAGAAGCGTAAATTGTCAGAGTTGCGCGTGGTGGACTTGCGGCATGAGTTAGAAGAGAGAGGACTTGATATCACGGGCGTGAAAACGATTCTGCAGGAGCGTCTGAGATCGGTGAGTGAAGAAGTACGCGCCGCCATTTTGGGGGGTGTGAATTCTATTCTACAAAATGCACCAAATTCCCATCTGGGATATGTCTGGAGAGCATTTCGATAAAACTGATGGTACTCTTGTAGGCCCTGATTGACGAGGAAGAGGATCCTGACACCTATATCTTCCTCATTGGGACCAAGTCGCCAAAGAAAAGTGACGCTGCCCCTGTGACGCCGCAGAAGAAAGAAGAGGGGCCTGCGAAGAAGCCAGAGGAGTCTGAGGCGAAGGAGGATGAAGAGGAAAAAGAGGAGAGCGGCGATGAGTTGATTCTCGATGATTTGGTGGTGAAGGATGATTTGGACTCGAGTTGGCAGAAGAAGGTAAAACTTGTTTGATTTTCACAGTAATCCATGTCACAAATGCCAAAACAAGACTTGAATTGAAGTGATTTCATGCTTTTTTTCTTGTCATTTTACAGGACGAAGAGGAAGGGGAAGAACAGAAAGACAGTGGTGAGAAGGCAAATGAAGGAAATCAGGAGCAAAAGCCAGAGCAGGTTATTGATAAGAAGGAGGAAGAGGTAAATTTATAAATTTGTGATTTGACTCCCTTCGAGACTAATTTGTGACATTTCAGGCAAAGTCAGAGGTGCAAGAGGAAAAGGAGAAACCTCCACAGGAAGATGAGGCTTCCCAGGAAACTGAGAGCAACAACATTGACAATGAGGACTCTCTCAATTTGACCATTGGCGAGGACGAAGAGAAGCTGCTACAGGATGTTGTGAAGAATGTAAGAAAAAGATACATTTTTCTTTACTATTCAAGTCATCTGCAATGATTTAACACAATATATTAATACATTTCTTACAGGAAAAGGAGAAATCACCACCGAAGAAAGGTATTTATTGGAAGTATTGTAAGTTTAAGAGTGAGCTTACCTCATTTCTCATGTTTCTCATGTTTGCAAAAGACACAATCTTTTGTTCTGAAGATGTGAACTTATGACGCTAATTCGGCTCCGTTCTTATGAATTATTTTCCAACATTTCTTTTCAAAATATCAAGTCAGAATTTGCTTGCCCCATTTTGCAACTACTGTATTTCTATAATTTTATTTTAAATGGCAAGAAGGCAATAAGAATAGTTGGAAATTTTGTGAAAGAAGTGACAAAGTATTTCAGATGCAGCAAAATGTCCAGCAAATAGTGATCATAGAAGCGGTTGAATGGTAGAAGCGTTGGAGGGATCATGTCGTTGAGTGCACATAATATGAGAAAGGGGTGAAAAACTTGCAGCATGTAATTTCTATCACTCGCTTTGAAGCAGAATTTTGTATTACCAAGACATCGATGTGACTGGATGAAATATGAATCGCCTAGAATTTCCCTATAATCTTGACGCGGGGCCACAAGTTATTTGAGAAATGACAGTGATTGTAGTCGAAGATTGACTAATCCTGTTATTTTTCTCATAATGTGAAGCTGTGACGAAGAACCAAACAAATGTCCTGAGAACGTGCAGAGTGATAGATGGTATCTGACAATAATCCTTCCTTCAAACCTGTAGATGTTCAGCCCAAGGTGGATAAAAGTGAGTCAGCAAAGTCTGCTCAGAGTGCATCTGATAAGGAGGCGCAGAAGTTATCGGCGAAACCTCAGAGAAAAGTGGTTGCAAGCAAGCCGAGTGGAGTGCAGGAGAAGTGTAGCGGGGATAATTCAAGTGGATCAGGTGGTGCGACTTCCGGTGCATCGGCGGCAGCAGGTGGAAAAGATGCGAAGGATGTTGGAGATGACAAGAAGTCAGGCGATGCGGTGGTGAAAAAGAAGAGTTCATCTGATGATGAAGAGAAAAGCGGAGAGAATGGCGTCAACACAGCAACGTCTGGCGATGACAGGACACAGAAGAAAGAGAGGTTCGTCTCAGGCTATTATAATACAGCAACCAAGGCCACCAACTTCCTTATAAACACACTTGAAAAGCTCTATATTCTTTCAAATGTAAAAAAAACGAGTATCCACAGATCAAAGGGATACTCATGAGTGTAAATGATAAGAAAGGAAGTTTCTCATATAAGATTTATGAGTCAACTTTTCCATCTGAAAACCAAACTACTCTCTTCAGCTCAGTGCAGAAGATGGAATGAAAAAAAAAGATGAAGTTGCTGTGGACGAAAAAGCTTCTGGATGAAGAAAGACATCCAGTAAAACCCTTATTTTGTGTCCTGTCAACACATTTCATGAGATACTTTTTATTGTTATTCACAGCAGCGATCAAAAGACAAACGCCGGCAAATCATCTACGGCAAAAGATGCCAAAGGTAATTGAAACTTTAGAGAGAAAATGTTCTGATGGGAAGGACAATTATATTTGGATGTGTAAATTCACAAGCGCTGGTCATTCCAGGTGTTCGCAACGACTGCAAAAGATTGTTTTTTAGAATAATTTCTACGAATTATCTAAATTTCAAATATATAATTTCCATTTAATTTAATTTCATTGCACCTGAAATGATCAATGAAAAAATCACTCAAGAAACACTGATAGCTTTCTTACAAAGAAATAAAGTTGTCTGCAATTTGCGAAATGAAGAACATTTCATTGCAGAAAGAAAGCCAAAGTGTTGTACTTTTTAGCCATCCCCAATTTTTTTTTTGTATTTGTATTTGGATTGGAAGTGTTTATTAGGTGTGCTAGGATAATGTTGAATATCTTGAGAGAAGGCAAGGACTTAGTGGCTGGGAGTTAGGTCTCTAGAGTGTTGTGTATTTTTGCAGATATCTTAACAGTAACCAATATCTTTTCTTCCTTTGCGGGGACTCACACATTATGGACACCCTTTTTGCGAATGAAATATTGGACATTTTGGGACGCGTGATGAATTCAACAGAGGAATCTGAAGACAACAAGGCAGCATCAACCGGCGCAACGGATAAGGAGAAGGGCAGATCGGCTAGTAGTGGAGCGACGCCGAGCAGGAATCTCTGGGTGTCTGGACTGTCATCCATGACCAGAGCGACGGATTTGAAGCAGCTCTTCTCCAAGTATGGAAAGGTGATTGGCGCAAAGGTGGTGACCAACACGCGAACGCCAGGAACACGATGCTACGGCTACGTGACGATGAACTCCACAGAGGACGCAAATCGGTGCATCGAGAATGTTCATCGCACTGAACTCCATGGGCGGATGATCTCAGTGGAGAAGGCGAAATCGGACCTGGGACTGGCCAAGACTGCAGCATCCACGGGCAAGGCAGCGGCTGCTGGTGGCGGTGGATCCAAGAAGGATGTCGGTGATGCGAAGGCTGCCGTCGGAAAGGGAGATCGTGCTGAGGGTGACAAGAAGCCGGTGACTTCAAAGAAGCCAGCAGATTTGACCAACAAGGCGAAGCCCAAGGTGTCTCCACCGAAGCGCAGTGCTGACAAGAGGGTGCCGGATGGCGCGGCTGCCAAGAGGAAGCGTGAATCGTCGGAGCGCGGCGGCGACTCAGGTCGCAATGAAACTAAACGTGATCATTCCAGAAGCGGAGACAGCAAGCCAGCAACGCAGGGTGAAGCGGCGCGAAGTGTCAGCAAGGATCGTGAGATGGAGCGTGCGCGCGAAAAGCAACGGGAGCGCGAGCGTGAGATCTTGTCGTACGACAAGATACGGAATGAGCGTGAGCGGGAGCGCCTGCGGGAGAAGGAGCGCGAGATACGCGAGGATGAGCGCCATCGACGCGAAGTGAGGAGACGTCAGCGTGAGGAGGAGCAACGCCTGGAGCGGGAGCGTGAGAAGCTGAAGCAAGAGCGGGAGAGGCTGGAGCGCGAAAAGGCTGATCTGCTGCGTATGGAGCGAGAGCGCCAGAAGCTGGAACGTGAGAAGATCGAGTTGGAACGTCTTGAGATCAAGAGGCAGCAAATGAAGTACGAACTTACCAACAATCTCTTAAATCGTTCCCTCCTTTCTTTCAACGCTTTTTATAGATGAAAAAAGAAATGATCATCATCCGAAGGACACGAGCGATCGACAGACCACAGAAAGGATGGAAACACTCTCTGTCTTTTCTCACGAGACTGTATTGTTGCAACCGAAAAACGTATATAGATAGTTGCTTAGCTGAAAAACGGTCAATAGTCATGCGATGCGATTCGTTGCGATTTTCTTATCTCTAAAATGATATCAACATTTATTTATTTAGTGAAAGAACCTCACCTTTGTTTATATTTAACTTTTTTCCTTCAAAATAGGCACAAACACAGTCCTTTGAGCGCAATATCAAGGGACATTTTTTCTCCTTCTGTGAAGGAAAAGTGTCCTGTATATATGTATACCCATAATATGTGTTTTATTCTAGAGATGAACGAGCATTTCATTATTCTTTTATTTTTTGTGGACATTTCTTTTGTAGAATTGAAGAGACAAAGAGGATCCTAAAGCGTCCATCTAGCGATGATCGTGATCGTTATGCAGAATCTGACAGAAAGCGTGCAGCTCCGAATGATCGTCGCTTTGAGGCTCCGCCACCGCCACGTTTTGACTCTGTTATCAGGTGAGGAAAGAAGGACAATGATTCTCTGCTGCCAGATGTGATTGACTCTATCGCTGACTTCTCCCTTTTGCAGTCGTCCCAGCAGGGAATACGATCGCGTAAACACGGCCGACAAGAAGAGGAATGACGATTACAGCTCCAAGCGTGACGATTATCGCTCATCAAAGGGTCGCGATGGTGGACGTGCTGCTGAAGACTACAGTGGCTCAGCGAAGCGTGATGACTACAAACGCGGCGGCGACACGCGCGGCAATGACTCGCGTGGTGGAAGTCGTGGGGATTCCTACAAGCGCGAAGGGGATTACAAGTCAACGCGCCATGGGTATGAGTCGGGAAAAGAGAGCCGGTACAGCGATCATCAGTCGGGGGACTCGAGGACCGGGGCGTCGTCGTACCGGGGAGGGGGCAACCGCAGTCTCGGAAACGCGTCAGGAGGAGGCGGGGGAGGAGGAGGAAACCAGCCGACGAACGGTGCGAGCGGGCTAGCGAACGAGGAGCGGAGCACGAAGACGCGATACATGGAGAATCAGTACACACAGGAGAGGGCAGTGTCATCCCCATGGCACAACTCAGGCCCACCGCCGATCAAGGTGAGTTACAGACTGAACAGGTACTAAGCAGCAGAATAAATCTGAATCCCAGTCATACTTTCACAATTGGAATTAAGGATTATAATTTAATCTTTCTCTTTGATTTATATTCATTGTTGAAAAGATTTTCTACAGTTTTTTTTTAGAGTTAAAATTGAGCAAAATGTTTATTTTTATAAGTAGTAATTACTGAAGACTGTCCAAAAGAAACATATGTTCAATAAATTCAGGACATTCATGAAGAAATGTCTGAAATGACAATGTGAGAACGCTGTTGAATACTTTAGCATGTTTGATTTAAACCCGCAGAACTTCAACAACATCCAACCGATATCATCAAACGACATATGGAACAAGTCTTCAGATCCTGGCTGGAGAAACATGGAATCCACTAATGATCGATATGATCGCACATATAATGAGCGCAAATCTCAAACTGTGCCATATATCGATCAGTCGCGCCAGAATTCTTCATTCATGAGTCGCCCGCAGGACAGATACAGCAGCTCTATGTCTGCACGCTTCGACAGCAATCGTTTCTAAGGATTGCGCCAGCATATAAAGTCGCATGAGACATCTCACATAAATTATATGCTAGATTTGAAATGAATTGATGGAATGTACTTGATGTTTTACGTGGTTGATGCATAGAACAATAAGAATAAAACACGTATGAAATTCATTAGAGCTTTTTATTAAGAATATTTCTTATGAAAGTTGTATCATCAATAAATGCAGTGGATGAATTTTCCTCCCTTATAAACAGAATTATATGTTACAATATTTCAGCGAACTTACATTGGTCCAATTACAATTCATTCAAAAAAATTGTGTTCAATTTTTTTTTTTAATTCTTCGACGAAAAAACAATGTTTTGGTCATTAAGCAAAAAATTTGCGCTACTCGAAGCGCTAAGAAAGTGACTCGAATGTTTACTAAACAATCTATATTCGCTCGATTACCGTGTAAAGAAAATATAGAAAAAAATTTTTAGCAGTGATAAAATCTCACAGATTCGGAATGTTTACTGTTTTTTTCGTTTTGTTTTCTTCCTAAACTCATCGAGAAATCTTTAGCGTGTTTCTTATCAAAAGAGAAAAAATGGTATGTATAAAAAGTATGACAAAATTTGTCACCTTAATTACAATTACGTGTTTATTTCGTTTTATAATTAGAATATTTGATTAAATGCATATTTCCTCCATAATTTTTCCCCATCGAATTTACCTTTCTCAATTGAATACTCTGCATTTTTTTTCTTTCCTTTTCATCTTATATTTTATGATAATATTTATGGCTTTTTGTATGATTTATAAATGTTTATAAAGACAAAAAAGACGTATTAGTGAATAAAATTCAGCAAAACGAGAATTCTGTCTTCTCGTTTGAACCTCTTGAGGAATTGTGAATAGCTAAGAAGTTTATAGAATGTGATTTTTTTTTCTCTTATTTATGTAAATTGTCGGTTTCTTCTCCATACCTTGGTGGAATAGTTAATTATTTCACTCACATTAGAGGGTCTTTTTTTTAATGCCTTTCGCCTATCTCGCGTCTTTCATCCTCTTTGCAAGAATAAAAGCACACACAATAACACACAAAGCACGAGGAAAATCTCTACTTAGTTTTCTTTTCCATTATTCATATTTGCATTCGATATCACAATAACTATTTCATTTCTTTTTCAATTACTTATGAATGTATAAATAATATATTCCTTATGTATTAATTTAAGAATAGACAAAAAGTTTGATTTCTGTTCTTTCGTGTTTTCCTGTTCTTCTCTTTTCCTTACAAGTGTGCAAATAGACTTTTTTCTTTTTTTTGTAATGTTATCCTTAAATTAACACGTCCTCATCTCTTCTACCAATCACTATTTTAGGTATGTGTAAAAATTCAGGCAGAGCTCAATTTCTTCGTTTTTTTTTCTCCCTCTTTTCCCTATGTATAAATCTTGCTTGTATATAACGCGTAAATGTCATAGAAAAAGCACATTTAATATGTCGCTTATCGTAATATTGTTCCGTATAAAAAAAAACAGACTCTATCAAAAGTTTTATCGGTAAATATTTCATAATTCTTGACTGTCCGTAAAATCTCAATCAATTCACTTCATTTTCTCTCCCTTTTTTCTAGTCCTTTTCAGTTCCGTGCGATTTCTGTTTTTTTTTTTTCTTCAATTATATATACTACAACTAATTTCCATGTTTTTTTTTCTTTGATTCAACATATTACATTTTTCATTACGACGATATTTCTTTTTTTTCTTCTTTTTCTTCATTTCAACTACTCTTTACAGCAGAGTTCAGAGACCTTCTCATGGAATATTCCCATTCTTTTTCCCTCTTTTCATCAACAGGAAAACAAATGTGGCAACTCAAGTGTACAATTAAATTGGATTAAAACACGCCAAAATTTTCATCTCTTGTTCACACACATCTTGAACCACGGCGGCTGTTCACTGTGAGCGACGGGCGTCTTCTGGAAATATCTGTGCATCCAGAAAGTCGATGTCCCTCTGTTAGAACAGTAAATCTGTGACTCGAGTGCCTTCACTCCAGGCCACAGTTTGCTCATCCGTGGCCGGCTTAAGGTACTGCAAACTCTCAAGATCCCCATTGATTTGCTGCTGTTGCTGCTGCTGCTGCTGCGACTGATGCTCAGCGCCCACGCAATTGCCTCCACCTGTGGCACTCTCTGGCGACTCCACCACCGGCGAATTCCTCCTCACGCCCAACTCAAAGTCACTGTTCATGGCACACCCCTTCACAGGTGTGTAGTTGGCCAAAGGTGCCAAGCCTGCAAAAGAAGGACAACATTGTTTAATGAATCCCTCTCATAATGAGCATCATACAGAAACCAGGACAAAAGAGGAAAGTTAGTTGATATTATTACAGACAATCATAATTTACAATCTAAACTTCCTTCTTTCGCCAGATAAAATGGCATAAATTCATTATTCAAAACACTGCATATTGCACATTTTAGATAAACACTCACATTGCATTATCATATTAAGTGCTCTGTCTTGTTTTATCAACACAAAGAGGCAGCTTTCCAGAAGCTCTTCTAAATGCAAAGTACTTGATAATTCCATTTTTACCCTTCTTTTAGTGGTCCATTTCAATAAAAATGTGATGATAAAACAACATTTGTTCTCTCCAACATTATTACTCATCATGTCTTGGCAATGTGAAATCTCTGACTTTAGCAAATAGATAATTAAACTGATTCTTTCTTTTTTTTTCCTTCTGCCTGTCGTCTCACTACATTGAAATTGTAATTCACGCATATTAAATTGGCACGAAATACACACAATATTCTCCCATCTTGTCTCCTCACTCAACTCGTGTTTGTAGACACATTTTTGTGGAATTGAAGACAAATATAAGAAGAATATCTCACTATGCCTATAGTGAGATGAAACATTCCGAAACTCAAGTTCACAAATTAATCAACAATGGAATTGTTGGGAGATTATACGAAAAAAAACATACATATAAAACCAGCCAAACAGACATCAAGTGGTGAATAAAAGTGAGAGAAAAGTGATGAAAGTGATGACAACTTTTGCCTCTGCTAACAATTAATTTAACCTCTGTACTTTTTTCTCACTTGATCTCTTCTTAATCTTCTCTCTTTCACACTCTTAAACGCAGTAACAGCAAAAAAAAGAAATCGTGGGAAATGACACTAAAAAAAAATAAAACAAGACTCACTCCCGACATTGTGCGCGGGAGAAATGAAATAGAGAATATTATAATAGAATAGAGAAAATATGCAACAACTTACCCAGTGGTAGAAATTTTTGATATGCCGGCGAATTGAATGATTTATCGTCCATCAATCCCGTCTTTCCATTGCTCGTCACACTCAGCATTTCATCCCTCTGAGATGATTCCGATGGGTATTCATAAGTCGACGTCAGGGAGTCATCGAAGCGAATTTTCCACTGCTGACATTGAAGGGAGAAAGAAAAGAATTTCTATGGATCAGTTTTCTTCTCACTCACATATTTTTCTTATATCAATTTTTAAGTCAAGGAGAGAAAAAAAATTTCTAAATTTACTGTGTATTTGCAACGATACTCTTGCTTATTATATATATTTTTATATTCCTCAATTCCATTCCGCATTTATTGAGTGAAGTAAGACAAATGAAAAAGAGGTAAAATATCTCCGATGCGTGATGGTATATATAAAATCTTTCTGTCTCACTGAATTTCTCACTCTTCCAAATAGAAGATGCAATGAAAGAAACGGAAACGTTACACAAATAGGTGCAAAAATTCAATTAAAAGAAAATATTTATTCACATTTCTTCTTCAATCATCACATCTAAGAAAAATAGACGTAAAGCACATTATGCCAATCCAACTTATACGACTCTTTCTTCCATCTCTTTTATGGTGCGTCTCGATCAATACGTGTTGTGTGGAAAGAAGAAAATTCTTCAGAAACTTTTCTTCATTGCAAATATCATAAATGCCAAGAATTCATCATCAATCAACAAATTCCATCTCTATCAAGTGTCTTTTTTTCTTTCTCTCACATCTTCTCCACTCCTTTGCCATCCATTATCTTATATAAAAAAAAATACAATACATTTCGCGAATACAACAATTTTCCTCAGCTATCTTCCATATCAAAGAGATGAGAGAGATTTTGCATTCGAACCGCATACATATAGCAAATAATTAAGCTCAACTTTCAATTGCTTCACTTTCATTTTCACAGCCAATGGTAATTATTGCTACTTTTTCGCCGTCGTTGCCACTCTTTCTCAATTGACAAAAAATCACCTTTTCGCTGTGCGAGTATACATACATATATAGTGAAGCAGATAAATAGAAATGTACACATGTTTTCTTCCTGCTCGACAATTAATAATTGATAATTAGTCACTGTGACTGAAGATGAAGAAATCCACAATTTGCTTTTCTCCACCCGCAACTTTCGTACAAATTGATGAAAAGGCTTTGTTCCACCTTTGCTTCCTTTTTTTTCTTTTGTCTCTCTCTCTCTCTCTCTCTCCCCTTCTTGACAGTCACAATATTTTACCCGTTTCTTGCCATTGCTTTTCTTTTGTTAACATTTTCTGGCTCTGTTCACTTGAACAGTGAAAAAACCCCAAATTTAACTGATGAAACCATCAACAGTTACTCACAAGTGCCTTTACACAATAATCCCAAAGAGAAGTGCCTCTTTTTTTCTTCTTCTTACTCTCACATATATATATATATAGAAAAATATTATCTCGTTATGTAGAAATAATTGACAGAGACATCTTGAGTCTTCCTCCTTCTTCGAGTACTTTTAATAGCTCTAACGGTGAATGAAATTATGTCCCATTGATTTTTTGGACAGAGGAAATCATCATCATCGCTCTCAATCCAATTCCCACTAAAATACTCGATTTTTCTCTACGGTTCAATGTTCTGCTTGAGCAAAGTTCACAGTGAAATATCACATTTCCGACTTAATTGCTAATAGTTATATATCCTCTCTTTGTCATAACTAATCTAGGTATTGATAATAATCGATAAATTGCTACAATAATAATTGCACTTATCATTTTTTTAATTATGTAAAACTGTAAGCACCGAGCATGACTGAACTTCACATGACTCAGGCTTTATTATATTGAACGTTGTAATCATGCTAAAGTCTTTAGTCATCAATTATTGAGAAAAATAGAGAATTATTCTCCGATTTTGCATAACTTATTATTGTCCCACTTGCCACATGTCCATAATTATATTTACACTTTCTCAGTAAATGTAAATAAGGACATTTAAGCTAAGAATCCTCGAAGAATACACTCTGATCTTTTCCCTTGTCCATTGAACTTATCTAAACTCTACATCTTTCACTTCACTCAAAATCTTCTACCCAATTGCATTCAAACGATATTAAATCTTCACAAAAAATCAAATTTCTGTATAATTGCAAAAGATTGTTAATGAGCTGAAAAGCAATTTTGTATTACAAATCGAAAGTCTTCCTCTTCACCAGTGGATTCATATTAACAGTCTTTCCTTATCAGGTGCTTAGTGTTGTAAAAAAGCAACACTAATTCACCTCTATCGCGCTAATCTATCTGTGAAATTACCTTTGGCTTTTTTTTACCACTAGTGTCGTGTGCTAAAACACTGGAAGAAAACTATGCGAAGAGGAACATTATTGAGAAAGATTAGAGACATGAAATGAGGATAGATGTTAAAATATGTCACTAACTGTACAACAACACAGTATAGAAGCAATTAAAACCTGCTCTATTCTCTGCCATTTCTCCATTTTTTTCCCCTCATCTTCTGAACTTCTTTTTTTTTCATTTTTTGACACCTCACAACATTGTGTATTTCAGAGCATTTCTCCTCTGTCTGACATGATGTGGATTACACTACTTCCCTCTGTTATTGGTTCACCACGAATTGGTAAATGAACGACTTGAGATATGCATTTTATAAAGTACCAGAAGAGATTATAGCAATTTATTTCTCTTTTCTCTTTTGCCCAATCTTTCACACACTCATCGGTGCCACAACAAATTCTGTCCACCTTTCATTTTGGAAAAAGTAAAATTTGCAAGATATTTTCAGTGATATGAATTTAGAATTATAGTCAGATTCCACAAAACACTGTACTTATTTCAATTTTCATCGAGAAATCTGCAGAATATTATACACTTCTCGCCAGTGAATTCAGTGAAACGTGTTTTAGAAAGGTGAAAATCAGAGCAAAATGCTTAATAGTTAAAGAACACACATAGAATTATTATAATTGCACGAAACGGTGCATTTGAGACATTTTCTTTCTCTCTAACATCTCTTCAACATAATTTGTTCTTTCTCACTCCATTTCTCTTTCTTTTTTTTCCTTTCTATCATGTCAAATTCTCATCATTAATAAGATATTCGGTTTCTATCAAAATAAAGTGAATTTCACACTAGTGGAATTATAGAAACAACCTTTCATTGACACTTTCGCAATTACACATTTATGTAATACGAAACCATTGCAGAATTCACCATTTGTTTTCACCCTCTGTTCGTGTTCAATCAATTTTCTCCATCATTCTTGCAATGTCTCATTAAATGTACTACTTTTCTGTTTGTTCCACCCAAAAAAAAAAACACACAGCAAGAAAAAAGATATTCGTTGCATTCTACTGCCAAGTTACGCGAGCAAAGCACTAAAAGTGACGAAAAACGAGACAAACAGCAACTGCAAAATGGGTCACCATAGTTGATCAATCACCGTTTTCCTCCCCTCGAGCCCACACAATTGCTTCGCGAAAAAATCATTTTCTCGGTGAAAAGTTGTTTGTTGTCAATCAAAAATTATTTTTCCTCACTATTACGTGAAAACATACACATTTCTCAGGTATTTCTTCATACATTAATCATATAATTGTGAATTTATCTATCTTCTTTTTTCCACTTTTCACACCCGGAATGGATCTTGAAGAATTTTTTTTGTTCACTTCAATAATATAATATTCACAATGCGCAAAGGAAGGAAAATATGAGATAAAAAGGTAAAGGAAAAATTCTTTTCACTTTGCATTTTTTTTTTCTTCTTCAAAAGAATGCCAAGAAAGATGTGAAGATTGGAAAAAAAAGAGCGTTGAAGAGAAATATTTACTGGAAAATGCAAAAGAGGCATTCATAAGAGGTGGAAAGAATTAAAAAGCCAAATACCTTTCATATTATTAACTTGGCAGTGAAAGAGAGAAACGATGAAGAAAAGAAAGAATCCGTGGTGAGTGTTATTTTATGCGAAATCAGCGAAAGCACCGCTAAGAACTCGATACATTATCATACCATTATAAAAATATATTGATTAATTCAATTCACGTGGAGTGAGGACTTTTTTGTCTACCTCAACCGTTCTATTCACAGTGACACACTCTCTATGAGATTTACTGTCCAACATTTCTTGGTTAGAAGAGTAAAAAAGGAAAACCCAATTGATTGATTTACAAACGCCCCAATTTTAAATGAAATCTTTCAGCAGTAATCAAATAAATTAATGATCCAGCAATTTGAGAGATCTCCAAATGAATTTCATTTCTCCTCAAATTGTTATTTTGACTTAGTTCTAATGTGAATGTGAAGTTGAAATCTCTCTCAAATAGTCTCATTTCACATTATATGTATTTCATCGCATATGAAAGAGTCGTGAATGAAGCACAAATTTTATGCCTCTCTCCAATACATCAAATCTTAAGAATTCAATCAAGATTCAAAAGATATAAAATCAAATATTCGACATTAAATAAATACCTCCTTGTATAGCACAATATAAAATAGCGAAAATTCAGCAATTCGTTAAAAGATTTAATTACTCTATTAATTAAATGCAATTCACTGAAATATATCGCTATTAATTTTACAATTCTCGCTTCACTTCACTCAAGAAAAATCACACAAACATCGTCTGTTAGGTTTTTTTTTTTCTTCTTCTCTCATTCGCTGCTGTGCGATTTTAGAGGGAAAATTGCACATGATTGATGTGAGGAAAACTTCTGGTTTGCAATAGTGGAAAAGAAATAAAAACATATTGCTGAAACTCACCTTGCTGTCGCCGGGTTTATGTCTCAAACTAGACTTTCCATTGATGATCACGTTGTCATTCGAGAAATCCACGTCACATGGCGAAGGCGGACCCATTGTCCAGGAATCATCGGGATCTGTTGAAGTCTCCAGAGGAGCATCGCCAAGGAGTACAAATCCCGATTCGCCGGGCTACAAAGAGAAGCACCAGATTCCAATTACAGATTATGCCAAGTCTTGAGAAAGAATTTAGCCTAAAAACAATTCCAATTTACGCACATGCAATTATACATTTAGTCACGCATTTGGAATATCGATCAGAAGATAAAATAAATTCAACAGACATTTTACTTCTCTCTTTTTTTTACCTTCCTCATCACACTTCAACACATTGAGTGAATTTTCAATTTTTTCCCCTTCTGCACAATCTTCCTTCTCACCAATTATTTCTAATGTATTGTAAATCTTCACTCTAAATATATAAAATATATGTAGCAATAACCTCTCTATCTCCTTCTCTCTCTGTCTATCACACACACACACACACCCGTCCGTCTCTGGCAACCAATAAACACATATTTGCAATTGGGGCGGAAAGTAATGAATAAATTGTTTACCCACTGTTTGGCACTCACATAAAAATAATTCCTTATATTTTTTTTCCTTTTAATTATCTAATATTTTTATTAGTAAAACCGAGAAGATGGTGTAGCAAAAACAAATTAATTTTTCTAAGACAATAAAGTTTAAATATCATAATTACGATATATTTTCGATCTTTCCCTCTTTCACCAGCCATACAATTTGCAATTAAAACCCATCACCATGATTTCTTCAGCTGGAAAACTAATAGTGGAGAAAATGGGTTTAAATTTGCACTTTCATCAGGTACAATTGGTGAATATTGAGTTTAACTCTTGAATATGCACACTTTTCTTTTAACACCAAAAAAAAAACACACAAACTCTTATCTGCGCCAACTTGAGAAAACGTTAATGCTATTTTACCGAAGAAAGCATGTTTTTTTGGAACATCAATTGCCAATTTTGCCTTCCATCTACCAATTTTCAGACTATTAAATGCAAAATTACATTTACAGATATGATAAAAAAGTCATAAATGTTAAAATTTAGTGATTCAAAAGATAAATGATTTCAATTTGCGTAGGATAAGCAAAGAATCTACTGACGAAAACACTGAATTTTGACACACCTTTGCCGTCAATTTCTCGGAAATACGTTAAAAAATGATTAATATTGTAGTGGAATGACTCAATTCGCCAAATTTGTCGGCAGATGAAAGACAAATAGTAGAAATGACAGAAAGTATATAGGAATCAATTCCAAAATCCATAGATCAATCATTGTTGAATCAATATAAGTGGTTTGAAATGTTTATATAACAAAGAAAACAGAGAGATATTACAATCCAGATATCGCACCAATAACGGTCAATAGACAGACGGAGAAATATATGTACTTCATTATGCTCAATCGTTTCTCGTAATATGTTTTTGTGCATTGTGAAAAAAAAGAAATGAGGAAAAATCCTCTCACTTTTGATGGTCATTTCATATTAAAATCAGTGTTAAAATAATAATCTCGAAAATGCAAAAAGTGTCTCTCTTTTTCACCATGGAAACTTTCTTTTTTTCTGACAGCACGCAAAGTCACTGACTTTTCGATCGATCATCGGTGGTGGAAAACACTTTCCTCCAAGCAAAACAAGTTCATTCATGTGACAAATTCAAGCAGAGAAAAGTCAGTTAGGCAAGAAAACCAATATTTACCATTTGACTGGATAAAAGTGAAACTTATTTTGCCAATAATGTTATAATATGGAAGCGAAAAAAATTGCCCACAGGTACAGACAGAAGTGGATGGAAAATGATTTTCACCATGTAACAACATAGAATTTAACGCTATATATTTCTCTCCATTCCCATCCATCGAAGGCAGACAGGTAGAAAGAAAACATGAAAGAAACATGAAGGAAAATTCACTGTAAATACAACAAATTGTACCTTAATTACAGAAGAAGGTATGAAAAATTGCAATATGGGTAATATTTCTTCATAAAACAAACATCAATTTCTCTCCATCTTCCTTCCTTTCTTCCTTCTATTCAATTTTTTTTTGCATTGATTAAGCAGGTAACGCACAGTCCAAAAGTAAAACAACGCACGATTTCTTCCTCTTTTATAGCGAAAATCTTAGTGTCCAACATTTTAATTACACAATAATTTGTGTGCCTGCAAATTATTTTATTTAACAACACTGTGCTACTTCATCCATTTCCCACATTTTTTATTACTTTATTCACCCACACTGTCATAACTTGAGTCAAAAAAAATGCCAGAGAAAAAGCGTAATTCAATAAAACGGTATGTTTCGAAGCAATAAGGAACAAAAATACACACTTCAACAGAGTGCAAAGAAAAAGCAAACAACAGAAATCTTTTCTGGTGATTAACTGTTGCGTGAACAAATAATTATTCTTCCTTTCTTATCAGGGAAGTAATTTTCATCATTGATAATTGACACCGAATGTCTCTAAAAACATTTATTTATTCTACTCGTTTCCCTTTATCGAGGTATGTTGTGGCAAAGATTGTGTTATCAAAGGTCTAACATGAGAAAATAATCATTGAACATTTGGTTGTAATAGAGAGACACTTCTATCTCACTCTCTCTCTCACTCCCCCTTTTCTGCGTGTCGCCAAATTCGCATCAATATAACTCAATGTTTGTCCTCGTGATTGTATTATCACTGTCATTCTTATCATGTCTCTTCGAAGAGTGTTCACAAAAATGTGACAAAAATCACCGAATATCTTCCATTCATCACCCATCACATCGTCTTCCTTAAACGATTAATCACGACAAATTTTGCAAAATGTTAAGTGGCATTTTTTCAGTTTTATCACAATTCATGACAAAAACATTGGATTAAGATTACCTATTTTAAAGACGACTGAAAAAATAAAACTTCATCAATTCATTCTATCACAATTTGCAGTGATTTCTCACCCACTTCCCATTATTTCCATCTATTTTCTGTTTCACGATGATAAACCATCCATTATTCATGCACAAAATCACACACAAACACACACATTCGCAGTATGAGGATTTTCACTAATGGAATAAAAAAGAGAATAAACGATATCGGAAAATGGGAGCAAATTGAATGGATCAAAAAAATTGTGACTAAAACCTTTCATCACATACACAGTGTGAGTCACTCGTGTGGAATTAATTTTGATTCCTTCATCGTACTTTACTTCTTCTCATGTGATCCATTTCGTGTGCACAGAGAAAAAAAAGCACAGCAAAAGCAGGGAAATGAACGTGATGGAGTGTATATGTGTACATAGTTTTCCCCCTTCAAATTACATGTTTTATCAATGTGAATAGCATGTCTCTTTTGAAAGGGTGAAATAATAATTGCAAAATTAGCATCTAAATAATGTTTCTATATCACAGACAGTCTGAATCGAATATTGTTGATTTCTGTGAAAAAATAAACTCCAAATTGCTCTACAAACTTCAGAGAAAAAAAAAGCAATTGCGATTTAAATATATCAAGTAAAATACATAAATTGAGCTCTTTTTACTTCAATTTTGCTTATTTATAAATTAAAATATCGATAAAGCGAAATATAGCCAAGAGGCTCTCCCGGCAAATTACTTTAATGCGACAACTCCACTTCCTGGATTGAAATACCAAAGGAATATGTACAAGTGCAACAGAAGACAGACAAAGGAGAAGATCCAAGAAGTGAAAGAGAGACAGACAGCAAAGCTGCTCGAGACATGTACGAGATTATTGCCATAAATTGTGAAGTCACTCACCTTGGGCATTTCACGTCTCCTACGAAGAACCACTCCATCGTTCTCAATGTAATCAGGTACATCCTTCCGATTGCTGAAATTGAACACCATCGTGGTGTTCTGCGGCTCCTCCTTCCATGGCTTCTTCTTTGTGGAGGTCCACTTGGGTGCCACCTGTGTCACATTCGCTTCACTCTTCTCCCTATTGATCATATTCTTCTCAATTTCCTGATTTGTCAGCTGTTTCTCACTGCACTTTGTTGTTGCATCGACAATCTCTTTTGACTCCACCACGACCTTGTTTAGAGAGTCATTGACACCATTTTCCGGGGATTTTTCCACCATTTTCACACCATTTACATCAACACTGTCACCAACACCCGCTCCCTTGGGCAGATCCTCCACTGAGTTATCCTCAGGACTCACCAATTGGATGCTCAAGTTGGCCCCATTTGTCAAGGGTGGCAGATAGCTCTTATCCCGTATTGGCGTGCTCGTGCAGCCACCAAAGTTGAACTCTGTCGTGGCGCCGGCTCGGGAGATGTTCTCCAAATCCACCTTCGATATCCTCTTGATGCCACCACCTCGATAGTTGCTCTCGTCCACATCTAAGTCATCGTCGAAGCTGTCCGTTGAGTCCGTGTCGGACTCCTCAGTGGTGGAGCTCACAGTTCCACTCCTCAGTGGCACTTTTCGCACCTGACTCGCCGCCTGACTGGACACTTGGTGTCCGCTTGGTGACTCAATTTTCATCGATTGAATTTTACTGGTCAGTTGTGCAATGGTCGGTGAATCGGAACCCATCGTCACACCATTCTCCTGACTCTCCCTCTGCCTCCGTGGCGGGGAGACATTGATCAAGTCCGGCTTCGGTGACTGTGGCGAAGAAGGTGAGAAGTTCTTCACACTCCTGTAAGTCATGTCCATGCGAATGGCCAGCGGAGATGGTGATCTCTGGATCACACTAACGCTTGTCGTCACACATTTAGGCTGTGCTGAGGTATTATTCACTTGATCCTGAACAACTGTGGCAGGCTTTGCTGTTACCGTGGCGGGATCCCTGTGACTAGAACTTCTCACATTTTTGCCCACGAGAGCCTTCTTGGGGCTCACGGGTGGCTTTGGATAGAGAATAGCTGGCTTATCCTGCGATATGATAGACTTGAAGGATGCCACTTTGGCCGCCACTTCACCACTCCGGCATGTCGGTGGGCGGCCGCGACGATTGGCTGTTGCCTCGAAAATTCTCAGAGTTGTCTTCACAAGATCCGGTGGTGGACGCTCAGGATCATCCATGAAGGACTTCAGTCTTTTTGGTTTCGCCTCGCCACGCTCTCTGGCATTCATGATCTTATCCTCAATCGTTACATCGCAAATGGTCGGAACGTGGGTGTCTGCTGAAACACCATTTCCTGGAATTTCTTCAGCTATAGCATCCTGCGTCACATCCTGATCACCACTCTTGCCATCCCCGCGACTCTCCACACGCAGCAGAGCATCCACAGACCGGGCGCGCTTTAGCGAATCATTTCCACGGCCCATTTGACGTCGTCTCATGATTTCACTGTGCTGATATGTGCCTATCTGCGGCTGCCTGTGGCGATAGATTCCCTTCTCGCAACTATTGCCACTGTTCGTGATGTCCACGGGCACATCTTCTGGGCTCATCTTTGTTGCATCTGCAACATCCCGCTGGACAATCTCATCGACAACCTTCCTCGGAGACGCCTCCTCCTCATTGTCATCATCAAGGAGATTATTGAGACTCGTGGCGCGTCTCATGTTATCCAAACTGGGGCGCTCCTTGGCGGCTGACACCCTCATGGTGTAGCTCATGAAACGTGACACGAGCTTCGACACAATTCCCGCCCCATACTTGAGCTCCTCTGACGTGTCATAATCCATCTTCTCGCCACACATCTCCTGCACGGCCACCATTTTAGTATCCAACTGACGATTATCACAAAAAAAGAAAATGTCTCGTGAATCACTCCAATCACCACCGGATGTACTGCTTCGTCCACTTTCATGCACCTCACACAATTTATCCTCGTAACAGCATTTTGTAGCAACACAGGATGAACCATTGCTGGCTACAGCTTGGGCCACACGCGCACCATCCCTCTCGCAACTAGACTGAACCGTTGCTCTGCATTCACCAACCGTCGAACCGCTGCTTCGTTGCTGGCCTGAGCCGCTGACTCTCGTTCCCGTCGTCGTCGCCGCCTGACGCTGTATTTGTGTGGAATTCGCTGCTGTTGTTCCGTGGCATTGCTGCGAATGCGAATGACCTGCGAAGAAGAAAGAAAAAGAAGAGATTCACTGCTTGTTTCAAATCATTTTTGCACCACATACACACACACACACACAAACACACAACACAGATTCGCTCGCCGCGGCGGATTGAGAAAAAGGTATATGTACATATATGTATGAACAGAACACATTAGAAACGAATGAAGAAGCTCAATCATCAAACCGCGACAATAGACTTCACTCCGTTACTTCTTGATCTTGCTTCTTGCCTTCTTCATTCTCCTTTCTCAAATATGATACACGGAGATCAGAGAGAGAGAGAGGGGAAAGAAAACTTATCAATGAATTCACAGGTGAAAAACGCACTTTTCTCTCAATTGTGGCTCACTAGCCAAATAAGGAGACTTCTCCCCACTCCATCACCCTGTCCGATCAGACATTTCATTATTGCCGCTGTTCATCTTCTCCTCCTCCATCGCCGAGACGCATTGAAATGCCCAAGAGGAGGAAATAGATGAAATTGAACGAAAACACATATATATAACATCTCATAATTGGCATGTTTAAGCACAGTTACTGAAGTCATTGGTGTGTTTCCTCTGCCCGCCTTCGCCCCACGTGCAATTACTCCGAGTGACCAAAAAAGTTCGTGCACAGCCAGACTGTCCCGAAACAGGGTCAGTGAGCACAAGAAAACCCCACGTCCATTAACCACTAACCTGACATGAATTACGTGGTAATTATTTCATGTGAAATATTAAATGACAACTTGCTGAAAATTGCATGCTATCGATTTACAACTCTGTCTGTGCGAAACCAGCGAGAAAATTCCAAACCCCAATGCAATACAACACACAGCTTTGTTTGAACTACTTAATCACAGTTGACATTGGATCTCAATTGTACTTTATCTTGCATAATATTCCATAATGTCTTATCAAATCCACATTCGTCACAGCGATAAGAATTTCTCCAATGATTTTTATCTACAATGTTAATATTTTTCCACACCAATACGAAATAAATGTAGACATTTCACCCAGATTTCCAGAGAAAATTCACATGTATGCAAGATTAGAATTGATTTCAATTCAAATATTTTGCACAAACTCGTTATTTGTTTGCAACATTCTTTTCCTCAATTTGCCTGCCTGACAAGTATTGTATGATTAGTGCCAAAAGCTGTGTAGAAGTAGTCTTTAGAGATATTGAAGCTTGAAATCACATGATTACAATTGTGACGTTATTGATGGAATTTCAGGGTGTGACTTTATAAATTTTATATTGCGCCTGTAAAAGAAGAACACCCACATAATTTTGCACAATATAATCGAAAAAAGACCATTACAAAATAGAAAAAAATGCCTATCGCTCAATGACTATCATGATTGATGTGAAAACAATCATAAAAATTCCACCATTTCGAGAAACTTCAACACGAACCTTCACATCAACCCTCAATAGTTGACTGCCAATGAAAGAGAGAACAATACAGTCGGGTACACAGAAGAATATGAGTGTTGAAGCGCATGAAGAAAAAATCATAAAGCCTAAATATCTACCAAATGATGAATTTTTCATTGTAAAACAGTTATATTAATATGAGTGTAAAATATTGTTGTAAAAGAAGTCATGAAGTCTCGTTTTTTTCCCTCATCCCACTTTTACATATGTATATAACCAGATATTTTGCAACTCACATTGGCCCATCAGAACGGTCAAGCGAAAAATGCACTGAAGAATCCCCCTTTCGTACATACATACATATATATATATAGGGAGGAAATTGAGAAAGAGCAGAAGAGCGAAAAAAAAATTGCAGAGAACAATTTCAATGCAAATTCATAGACCAATTGAACTTTTCCTTTTTTCACTCTACGCATTTTCTTTCTCTTGTTTCTTTTTTTTTATATTTCTCTTGTATTAAATAATTGCTCTGGAGCGCCTACATTTTAACAATTCCCTCGCTTTTTCTTTTTTCTGTAATTATTTCGTCGATGGTCACATTCATTGTTTGATGGAATTCAAATGTGTGCTCTGTAGACAGTGGAAAGAGTCAGCAATAAGCTTTTACTACTCTTGATAACTGTGATTCTGCCGAAGGCCAATCTTGCATATGGTCATAAAATGATTTCATGAGAAGGATATTGTGTGACAATTAGTTACTTTTCAATGAATATCGTACTTCTTATCACATGTATAGCTTCAAATAATACTACATATTTCTCTAACCTTTAGTTAAACACAAATATTCCACAGATCGCACTACATTTGAGCCCATTAGACATAAACTACACACTAATTAGGTAAAAACATTTGCTTTATGCGAGTGTGAGTTCCATGGAAAATGCTATGAAATCATCTCGTCAATTTTTCCCGCGCGCGCGTCGCACCACGAGAGACACGCTCTGGACATGATGGTGCGGGAGTGAATTGACCAGAAGCAGTGAAAAACAGCTTTGTCCCAGCCGATTCTCTTTCATGCCTCGGTCAGGCAACGCATCCGAAAGGCGTGCTCATGAGCGAGAGACAAAGTGGTGAACTTTGGACATGTGAAATATCCGGTCTATATTCCAATTTCACTGCCTCTGCACACACGCCTATGAATTAATGAGTCCGCTGACGGTCATCTCACAGACTCAGAACAGATTCACAGCCACATCAGTTCCTTTCTGAGGACAGATTCCGTTCAGGAAGCCTTTTGAAAGCCCTCTCTCCCTCTTCTTGGCTTGATGATTTCATAAATATTGTGTGAGCATTTGTGTCTCAATTGAGACATTCGGGAAGCACTTTGTCACTGTCTCTAATAGTGCGTCATTGCGCTCCGCTTTGGTCATATTTGGCAAGTTTCCTTGGATTCTCTCAGCTGGCGCAGCGCACGACAGCACGAGATGGAGAGTAGGTGGGAAAAAAAGTTTATCTGGCGAGAATTAGACAACGCATTCCTCTCATTTTCTCACTCTCATCACATGTGTCCATCGCTTGATTGCATCGCCCAGAGGTAAACATCTGTAACTGTTCTCTGGAGTGGCTTCACAGCTTCTTCTTTCTCTCTCTCTCTCTACAAGACATTCAAGAGCGGGCATTGAGATTTCTCAGAGATGCTGCAAGCCGTACCTGCGATCATTGTGGATGTCATGCACTTGGCCAGATTCTTGCGACGCTGAATCAGCTCCTTCTTCCACTCCGGCATCGTCGTCCCTCCGCCCTGGGGATTAAACACGCCGCTTCCGATCCATCTTTTCTCGCCGCCCGACGCCATGTTCGTGTCTTAATTAACTTTGGTGGGTAGTCTTTCAATTCCTCCCCGCTGATTAGAGGCTAGAAGAAAGGAGGGAAAAAACCGAACACGATAGAGATTAGATAGCTCCCGTGTTTTTCTGCCCATTCCCTCAAAATACACCATTTTTCATTCAAGATATCAATTTTCACCCGCCACAGAAATCGATACGTGGACTCAATTTCAGGTGTGTGTTTTCCTCATTCTTCTTAATTAATTGGAAAATGGCACAAGTTGGATGGAAAAATACACACACTCTCTCTTGGAGCCTATTGTTTGCCAGCAGCATTTGAAGAAATCCAAGTGAGAGGGAGAGAGAGATGAGGAAAAAGCCACCGAATGAACCAAATGCATCAAAGGGGGCGCCAGAGAGCAAAAAAAATCAATGGATACTACGCTTTTCCCGAGGCTTTTCCTCGGGCGCATCAACAAAATCTGCCGGCCAGGAAGATGTACTTTCGTGCGCTTGTAAACAATTTTCCGCCACGGCACGCGGAAAAGCTGGCGAAAGAAGAGTTTCACTGATGCCCACAGAGTTTGTTGTATTTAATGAGGAAATGGATAGCGGATGGGGAAATGTGTGACTGAGCGCGACCAAAGCCCAAACTCACCCTGCAATGCTATTTTCCACTCGCTCCACCTGCTGAGGCTGGAATCAGCGACAAAGAGAGGATCTCTAGAGAACAGCACAACACACTCCTCGCAATTACTCTACCGGGACTAAATAATATTTACGCACAGAGCAGCGGAGAAAAAGTGCGACCGTCCATATTGGAGCTGTCAGAGCAACTGTCTGTGCCGAAAGTCGCTCAGTTCTCCTTCGGAAAAACATAGAAAGCATAATAGAAAAGTCTCTTTCTGCGCTCTGGGGGTGCACTGTTTGTGAAAAGTCATGTTTTCTGCATGGAAAATGCTGTAATTCCACCCAATTAGCAGTTCCAAGTTGTGAGTGAGTGTGCAAGAATGAAAAAATCCGGTGCAGACATGTCGTCGTCATCGTGGAACATCTCCCACAGCAGTTCCACTTCCCTGAAGAGTCGGGCGACCTTTTCTGGGAGTGCCACACCTGGCTCAGTCACTATGACCAGCGACCGGGTGGAGAACACCCTGAATCTGGACTTCACACCCTTCGAGACAATCCACAAGTGGAAGCGAATGCTGGAGTGCGATGAGTTCGTGGGGGCGCGACGGAGCAAACACACTGTGGTGGCGTACAAAGATGCCATTTACGTCTTTGGCGGCGACAATGGCAAGAGCATGCTCAACGACCTGATCCGGTTCGACGTGAAGGAGAAGTCCTGGGGCAGAGCCTTCAGCACTGGCATCCCTCCGGCGCCGCGCTACCACCACTCAGCAGTCATTCACGGGAGTTCCATGTTCATCTTCGGCGGCTACACCGGCGACATCCATTCCAACTCCAATCTAACGAACAAGAATGACCTGTTCGAGTACAAGTTTCCCACTGGATACTGGGTGGAGTGGAAGTTCGTGGGCAGAACACCGGTGCCCCGGTCAGCCCATGGAGCTGCAGTCTATGACAACAAACTCTGGATCTACGCCGGATACGATGGCAATGCCAGGCTAAATGACATGTGGACAATTCCCCTGACGGGTGACACTAAGCAGTGGGAGGAGATTGAGCAGAAGGGGGATCGTCCGCCGACTTGCTGCAACTTCCCCGTGGCTGTGGCCAGGGGATGCATGTACGTGTTCTCCGGACAGAGTGGACTCCAAATAACAAATGCCCTGTTTGAATTCAACTTCAAAACCAAAACCTGGCGACGCATTTCCAACGAGCACATCCTGAGAGGAGCGCCTCCGCCGCCGGCAAGGCGCTATGGTCACACGATGGTCCAGCACGATCGATTTCTCTATGTTTTTGGTGGTTCTGCTGACTCCACTCTACCCAATGATCTGCACTGCTACGATTTGGACTCTCAAGTGTGGAGCATCCTGATTCCCGAGGCAGACTCTCAAGTGCCCACAGGTGAGAGCTTCTCATGCACATTCCATGGTCAAGTGATAATGATTTGCAACCTGTTTCAGGGCGTGTATTTCACGCGAGTGCTGTTATTGGCGATGCAATGTACATTTTCGGAGGCACTGTGGACAACAATGTGCGCAGTGGCGATATGTATCGCTTCCAATTCTCCTCCTATCCGCGCTGCACACTTCAAGATGACCTGGGCAAATTTTTGGCTGAGCGACAGTTCTGCGATGTGCAGTTCATTGTGGGTGGTGATGAGGTGAAGATCACTGCCCATGTTGCCATGATTGCCGCACGCAGTCAGTTTCTAAGAACCAAAATCTTGGCAGCACGCGACGCTCGCAATCAGCACTTTGAGAAGATCTTCGGTACCACTGAGGTGCCCTTTGCTGAGCGCCAGATGTTGGAGGTGAAATTGCCCGGTGCCGTGCCAGAAGCCTTTGAGATGGTCCTCAACTACATCTACACGGACCGCATAGACTTCCGTGATCCATTCTCCAACAAAATTGTCCTCCTTATGATGGACATTTACCAGTTGGCAGTACAATTCTTCATTCCGCGCCTGGAACAGGTGTGCATTCAGTACCTAGAATTCAAGATCTCCAAGAGCAATGTGTTGGATGCCCTCTTCAATGCTGACAAGATGAAGTTGACTGTGGTCAAGGACTATTGTCTGGGATTCATTGTGAAGGAGGACAACTTTTATGATATTGTCATGTCGCAGGACTTTGCGGCGCTTGAGAAGTCACTGATGGTGGAGGTGATCCGGAAGAGACTCAATCCCGGGAAGACTTCCATTGATATGAAGGCGGATAAGAGTGTGGGAACGACTTTAGAGAGCGACATGGCAGTTTTTCTGAAGACTGGTGGAGAGTTTTGTGACATTAATCTTGTCCTTGATGGAAATGTTATTCCTGCACACAAATCCATTTTAGCTGCTCGCTGCTCCTACTTCCAGGCCATGTTCCGATCATTTATGCCCTCTGACAATACCGTGAATGTAGGTATTTTATACAATTTTCTAGTTTTCAAATCCTAATCACTTTTTCTTCTCATGTTTCAGATACAAATTGGTGACATCAGTCCCTCTCGAGAGGCTTTCAATTCCCTCCTGCGATACATTTACTACGGTGATACTAAAATGCCACCCGAGGATTCTCTCTATTTATTTCAGGTGGATATTTCCCCATCACATTTATTCTTTGCAGTGTTTAACGAGAGCTTTTTTTATATTTTCAGGCTCCCTGCTTCTATGGCTTCACAAACAATCGTCTACAAGCGTTCTGCAAGCATAATTTAGAGCATAACATTACATTTGACAATGTGCTGCAGATTCTGGAGGCGTCTGACCGCATGAATGTGCCGGACATTAAGAACTATGCTCTCAGAATGATTGTGCATGACTTCACACAAGTGGCTCGACTGCCCAAAATGCGAATGCTGAGCAGGGATTTGCTGCTGGACGTGATTATGGCCATGGCAGACATTCTGGGAGACATTCGGGTGAATCATCAGGATCTCGCGTCGATCAGTATTCACAGTGATATATGAAAGTTGGCTTTTCCCATCCTCAGTATACTCCTTGCTTGGGTCCGTGACAAGGATTTGGGCTAAAATTGATGCCAAAGTTTTATCCTTTGATCCCCTGTCCATTTATATCCTTCCCCCCTTGTCTGTATTCCTGTGATAAGTTGTAGTCTTGTTGTCCATATATATCTGTCCAGCAAGATAAAAGATTAGAATTGCATAAATGTTACTACATGACTATTATATTGATATTGATAAGTAGATTGTTTCATCTATTTCAGAGATTATTATAGAATAATGTCGGCACATTTACATTAGATGTACGTAGACCTCAATGCACATACTCTTTAATGTTTTATGAATGTATTGAGAGAACATCTAGTATATATTTTATGTGTAATAAATATCGTAAATGCAAGAGAATAATAAAAGGGAAATTCAATTTTCCACTGCGCCTTGCGATGATCTGAGCGACTTCCGGAAAATCGATCGTTTGTTTGTTTCGGAATGTCGAACCATCAAACAATACATAGAATTGTTGTGCTGTATTTTTTTTCACTTTAATTGACTGTTTAGCTATTTTATTGGTGTGTTTTTATCTCTCATTGTCATTTACTCGCTGTGGGTCAACGTATCATTCAGAAATGACCGATAAGATGTACTCTACGCTGCAGAATTCGGTAAAGTAGCCACTGGGGCGGAGGGATGCCACACCTAACCTTACATTGTGAAATTCTTTGAGTGAGAAAAAACACAATTTTTACATATTTCCCGCGGATCCCGGACTCTTTTGCAGGTGGACTACACTGGGAGTCAGTTGGACATTGTGGCGAGTCAGCTGTCGGCTGTGGAAAAGAATCTGCCCACTGAGTGTGAGGAAGGAGATGTGGCGTCCGTGATGGAGCTCCTGGAGACTATGACAGAGGTGAAGAATGAGTACCAGAACCTGAAGAAGGACCTGCAGGAGGTGCAGCAACTGCAAAAGCAAATGACCCACTCACTGCGGTACCAAATGAGAGAATTAGCACAGACATTTAGTTTGCTAAAGAAGAGAATCGAGAGCACGGCCCCATCGCCACCCCCCAATTGAAGGGAACGCGAGTGGAGCGCTGGCTCAGTCCTTTTTTCAGTTGCGCGTGACTTAGCTTCAATTTTTGTGTCCTGGCAAATGCTTTATGTGCTCCACAAATTGTTTTATTTTCCTCATATTGTGTCTCATCAAAATTGCATGTTCACAAGAATTTCAGCAAAAATTTGTAAATATCCATCGGCAAACACACCTGACCATGTTTGCCGCGCATATTCTCATTGCCAAAAATCACGCCACAGCAGATGGCAACAGAATCATGTTCACTAGGAAGACACAGTTCTTAGATGTTAGGCTTCTCAGAGACAAGCACTCATAGTGGAGAGAAAGTTTACGATAATTTTAAGTGTATGTGAAATATTCTAATTGAACTGGAAGTGTTTGCGGGACGACGGGGTGAGTGGAACTGTGAATGCCGGGGTAAAATCTCCACGAAAGGAGAAGTAATACTTAGAGGAAAAATACATGTCTGAAACTATGTATTGATATGATCCGTTTTTTTACACGGGATTTTATATCATACGCCTTATTTTTTGACAAATATATTTTTTAGGACAAGACTTCATAATTGAATGTTTAAACCCATTACACTGATAAAACAATTTTACGTTTTAGCCTCTCAGATTACATTGATATCATTTTATGCCAGAGAATCTTTCCGCTGGGGCGTTATTTTGCTTTAAAAGAAATCAGCCCGTGATACGAACGCATGGGATGACTTAGCGATGATCTTTCCGTCTTATTTTCATTTATTACTTCCACTATTGTTTGTGCTGTGTGATTTCTTCACGTAGATTCATTAGCATTAGTAGATGGTATTAAATTACGTATATATATATATATATTGAGTCAATTTTGGGAAATCTTAAGGCAAAATATATAAGATGTAATTGATAAAAATGAATGTTGTGAGCACGAAGGAATCAAAACTGTAAGTATCAGATGCCATGAATCAATGAATCTACTTCAAAATGCCAATAATATACTCTGATAGTAGTTGCGATGAGCCTGTTGATATCTCTAGCGAATATAAATTGATTTTCTCTCAGGCGGAAGCCACAGAGAGAGAAATACTCGTAGCAAAATATACCACTGAAACTTATGGACACTTTATGGACCCACGACGACACAATAATTCTCTCTGAAACGTATTCGAATGATAAGCATAATCACGTTCTTATATTACACATTTCGAGTTGAAGAACAGTTATGTGTTTGATAATCGAAAAGTAAAAAAAAAAAATCAAAAATCGTCACTTTTTACCACACATTCCTAAACATATCCAAATCGATATGGAAGATGTTTTGTGAGGGAACTTGTTTTTCACTTGATGTTGGTGTTTTTCTTATAATAAATTTAATAGTTGATATAATAGAAATACGTGAGTATGCTAATGAAGAACAGAATTGCTGTAAAGATACCTGAATATAATGATGAAAATAAAAAATAAGTTACAACTCTAAGAAGCCGTTTGAATTTTAAAATATTAAACTCAGCGACATTTTCCGGAACGCCAAAATTCATCGGATTTTGTGTCTCCTACAGAAAAACAGTCGCAACTGGGTACTTGGCAAGAGCAGACGTGTGGTGTTCGCTGCAGCTGGCTTTTTGCGCTAAGTGCGCATTGATGGCTCAACAGTGCTGACGCCACGTGGGGGCCCCCGTGGAGGTGGGCGCACCGCCTGGAGACCCCTTTGTTGCATCGGTGGATTGGAAGTGGCTGGTAGACGCGAGGAATTCCCGTTAGAAGACGCAACTACGGAAATGCTGAGCAGAAACAACGCTTCAGGTATTTTGTGGGATCTTTCTGCAATGGCCAAGCGGACGAACCTTCAAGACGCCCTTTTCTGGAGAGGAGTACTGGATTTACTGGATATATTGGATGAGAAGCGGTTTTCAAATTGTTCAACGGAAGCCGGTGCCGACAACGGCGGCGTCATTCGGATATAGCGGTGACATCTAGCGATTAGTAATTAAAGTATGAGTAGAATTTTTAAATGTAAATTTTTAACGGATACTGATTGCTTTTGGAAAGATTTAAAGTAATTGAGTAATTCATGAGGTGAACTTTGAATTTGTTGTTGAGAACTACTGAAAGGAACTGTTTACATAAAAATTTTGAGTATATTTTGGATACTGAGATATATGTTTGTTAAATGTTTAAATACGCTACTGGTTACGATACGTCTGAACTATATTTTGACCCTTAGGGTGTGATAGTTCATCGTAGATAGGAGCCTTTGGCTCTGTTTTCTAAAAATCTTGAAGAAAATAAGCTGTAAAAACAGGAAGAGGAACGAAAAATCAAGGGATGTTTTGAATCGATTTTTACCCTTTGGGGTGCGATGGTTCATCGTAGAAATGGGCAGGTAGATTGTCCCCGCATAAATCTATTGAATATTTTCTTATGTATACTGAAAAACGCTACTGGTTACAAGACTGTTAAAATTAGATAGAGTGAAGAAGGAAAAACTGTTAAGATAAATTCAAAACTGTTATATTAAAATGACAAGCAACTGTATAATGCTACTGGTAGTGGCGAATGGCAGGAGCCCGCAAGCCACGATAATAAACTATTCATTCATTCATTCCTACAGAAAACACAGCTATTGCTTTCAGGACACTAAAAAGTACCAAAATTTAGGAATTCTGATGAAAATTAATACAGATTTCTGTGCTTAAGTATATGTATTGACCGCAAGACTTTTGTATGCAGTTTAATTCTGGAAGTTCTTGAAGAAATCTGGTATTGATCTGAATTCCAATTCTTTCTGTGTGAAGCTAAGAATCACAACTACAGTAAATCGACTCACATTTATCTTTCTGTGTAAACAAGCGGTGTTTTGCCGGGTCAGGATTGGTGTGTTTGTCTCTTGTATTTTCTGGCTGGATATTCTCCTGGGCGCCTTGAGAAATGAGTGAACTGAAGAAAGTGGACTGCAAGTATGGAGCTGATTGTTATCAGAAGAATCCAGCTCATAAAGCCAAGTACAATCATCCGGGGGACGCCGAGAAAGAGCCGGCAAAGCGTGACAGATCGCCGGAAGAAGAGGCAACGGGATCCAGCAAGAAAGTCAAGGAAACACCATCAACTTCTGGAGAAACTGCAGTGAAAACGACAACAGAAGATGTTCCTGGATCGACAGCAACGGGAGAGGAGAAGGAAGCATCGGAAACGCCTCAAGGAAACCCGCTAGGAGGCTCGATGTTCAACACGGAAGAGAATGAAGATGATCTGCCTCCGGATATGGTCGATCCCTGGGCGCACCGGATACGGTTCTCTCAGATGCAAGAGTACAAGCAGCTGCTCAGCGATCCTAAGCTTTTCTTCAAGTACAAGTTCTGCGTGGACATGCCGGAGGACTTTTACAGTTTCTGGGAGTTTTGCAAGTCTCAGACGAAGGAGGGTGGGAAGCCGGAGTGCGTGTTTGAGCAGGTGGGAATACAGCTGGTGGGACCATTTGACTACATGGCGGGCAAGTTCCACGATGCTCCGCTGCGGGAGCCCGGAGATTACTTCCGACATTGGCGCTTCTTCTACGATCCGCCGGAGTTTCAGACTGTGATGGTGAAGAAAGACACGGGCATCCACTACGGCTACTGGCGTGACGTTCCCTTCGCCCAGCAATGCTTCCTCGCCCGCAACGACGCCGCCAAAGGGTGCCAATTCAGCATCATCGACACTAACATCTTCAATGCATTGAAGCACTTTCTCGACAAGGATGCCGACGTGACGCCCTTCAATCAAGTCAAAGTGGGGGCATTGAAGAAGAGTCTCCAAGGCTGGGTTGTGGATCACGGACTGGAGGTGACGAATGCGGCGGAGTTGATGAAGGAACGCCAGAAGAAGCTCGTCTGCAGAACATTTCACACGGCCGGACTTGTTGTGCCCGTTGATCCCAAAACAAAGGTCGGCTACAGACCACTCATGGAAACTGATGGTGAGAAGATGATCTTCCTGTGACAATTTTCTTGATGGTTCATGTTGGATTCCTATCTTTCTCAGCTGACCTGAAGAATATCCTATCGAAATTGAACTCAGGAAGCAGCATTCAATCACTCATGGAGGAACTTCAGCCAGTCATCACAGCCGCTACGATTGGTAAGATTAGTTGACAGGATAGCCTCAATTTCCAGAGCTTGTCTTGACAATTCTTTCCCACAGCCGTTGACGAGGGCGATTATGGCACATCTATCGAGCTGGCCATGGATTTCTTCTGCCACGGATCTCCTGATCTGCACAATTTTATCCGTCACCTTTCCGTTGTGGGATACACAGAAGCGGGACAACCTCAGTTCCTGGCAATCCTCAAGGTGAGCTTCATTAGATGCACTTTCATCTCAAGCCCATTTTAACTGTCATTTACTATTTTTCAGGCTCAGCTCGATAATCGCCGAAAAGGTTTCAAGCTTAGCATTCTCGAGGAAAATTGAAGTGAAGATGAACATTTCATGAGATGTATTTTTATTTTAATAAACATTAATTGATCATAGATTTAAAATATCAGTTAACAATCCTAATTGTACTTCTAGTGCTCTGGCAAAAATTTATTCTGGATGTTTTCAACTTTCTTTCTCGCAAATTCACCTCTTCTGACGAGAAAACATATTTCCTCGTTGGAAATAATTTACACATAGTATTGATGATTGCAGTGCATGAAATTCAATATTTATACGGATAGGAAAAGAATTATTTCAATTATCAATAAAGATTATAGGTACGTATTTCAGCTATTTAAGTTTAATATACTTCAGGTTTACGTAGCGTGACTTCAGAACATTATTCAACACTACATTTATTTAACTGAACTCAAATTCATTATAATTAGTATACTTCATATAAATCATGTGATACTTCTCACCTGAAACATCATAATTAGGTTTTATGTGAAAAAATGTCGTATTTCAAATAGTTATGACAAAAAATTCATCATCCTCCTACAAAAATCGATATTTTGCCAACATCAAGGATTCATATGATCCTAGTACGAACGCATTTCAAAAGTCCTTACTACACTCAGTGCACTGGAACTTTTCCAACTTGTGAGCAGCTCTACATTGCGTACAAAGGGCAAGGTTGCTCGAAAGCACCACCTGAATCCTGTTGTCAGTAGAAAAGGATCGAATAGTATCTGAGTATTGATCCTTCTCCACCCACAGAAGAAAGTCAACCAACTCCTTGTGCGTCAGCAGAGTCGGCGTCTCTCCACAGGAGATCAGCTCCTTGACAGTCATGCATGGGAATCTGATCAAATAGATCAGCTTCCCGAGATCCTTCCTCAGCCTCTCCCCATGATGGACAACGTTCTGCTCCAAACATTTCATCTTCAAGATGGCCTTGTACAGATCGAATTCAGAGACCGGAAGAAACGGTGATTTCAAGATCATCTTTAGAATTCGCTTGTGAGGCGCAGATATTGTCAGACTTTTGATCACATCTAGAGGAAACTTGACGAAAAGCCGCTTCATGTAGTCATTCAGCATTTTGATGTTGAACTTCTCTATGAATTCGAAGTGTTGAACCACATTTCCGGAGTCCAAGAATCCTTTGAGAAACTCCACAATCATGTGCGTCAGATCATCCACGAAGTACTTGGTGGAAGCGTACAGGAGCTCCAGATAATTTTCCTCGTCAATATCGATGGCTGTTCCATAAATATGCTTGACAAACTTGGCGAACGTGTCGACAGATATCTCCGTGATTGCAACACGCTCGCTGGTTGCATCGATCTCATTGCGCGATGGAGGAAATTGCTTCTCGAACAGTTCACTCTTCTTCGCCAACGCAAACTTTTCCGCAGTAATAATGGCGCCGCCATGGTTCGGGAAAATGAAACAAATATCCGGAGAGCTACCAAATTCAAGACGCTTTCCACAGCGAGCTGAGTTAACGGATGATGTGCTGTCCATTCTGTAGATGTAGGTTATCACTAAATAATGGCTTATAAATTCCGCTTATACGTACTTACTTTAATTACTTGCGCAATCCTGTAAAACGAACAAAACACGCGATGCCAATAGAAAATTTGTCTGGAAAGTAAAAAGATGGCGCTCCAAATCGGAAGTACTTTGTCGTTTCGCGTATAATTTTATAACGAAGTTATTAAATCGCGCTAAAATGATGATCGATAATGATGAAAAATATGATCTTTATTTTAAAAAATATTTTTTTTTTATAATTCCCATGCTTTTTTATCGTGAAAATTATTTGTCGGTTTTTCTTGACCTTCCAGTATTTTCCAGTTTCCACAATCTAGCCCACAAATGATTCCAGCACGGTGCTTTTGCGGCCATTAAGTATTCTGAGTTGAGTTTTGTTGTAAGCATTTTACGCTTTACGTAGGCTTTACGTGTGAATTATTATCCACAGAAAACTAGGTAATTACCTGAACTTAGTGTCTCAACATTCAATCTTATTGAAAATTGTAAAAGAAATCAAGAGTAAATCAAGCTACAATCGCTTATGCTAATGGAAGTAATTTTTTTCTTTTCTTACTACATTGATACAGGGATTTTGGGAAAGCAATTAGCACTAGAGACGTAGAGATGGAAGTCTTGGAAAATGCTTCGAGTAACTCTGTAAAGCGCGTAGATCTCTGCAGTCTACCAGATATCATGTTCATTTTCCCGGACGACAGCGGTGCAATTGTTACTGCGGAGAAATTTACTTTGGCGGATAAAAGCGAAGTGTTTGAGAAGCAATTTCCTCCGTCTAGCAGCGAGATCGAGCGTGTATCAATCGCAGACATATCTTTCGACACGTTTGTCGAGTTTGTGAAGCATATTTATGGAACAGCCATAGATATTAACGAGGAAAATTATCTGGAGCTCCTGTACGCTTCTACCAAGTACTTTGTTGATGATCTGACGCACATGATTGTGGGGTTTCTCAAAGGATTCTTGGACTCCGGAAATGTGGTTCAACACTTCGAATTCATAGAGAAGTTCGACATCAAAATGCTGAATGACTACATGAAGCGGCTTTTCGTCAAGTTTCCTCTAGATGTGATCAAAAGTCTGACAATATCTGCGCCTCACAAGCGAATTCTAAAGATAATCTTGAAATCACCGTCTCTTCCGGTCTCTGAATTCGATCTGTACAAGGCCATCTTGAAGATGAAATGTTCGAAGAAGAAGATAAGGAGCCGCCGTGGAACAAGACTGAGGGAGGATCTCGGGAAGCTGATCTACTTGATCAGATTCCCATGCATGACTGTTAAGGAGCTGATCTCCTGTGGAGAGCCGCCGTCTCTGCTGACGCACAAGGAGTTGGTTGACTTTCTTCTGTGGGTGGAGAAGGATCTATACTCAGATACTATTCGTCACTTTTCCACAACACGGAGGTCGAATACTTCTAAGAATGTTCATTTCTTATTGCCATCAGAATAGAAACCGAGAAGTCTGAGCATGAAATTAAAAAATAAGAAGCAAATAAAACATTGAATTTCCTATGATCGGATATCTTTTATTTATCGATGGTATCGGCTGAACTACAGAGCGAGAGCGTGATAATTCAATTTGGTAGTTCTGTTGCGAGACGCATTGGAATGGACTACACGAGAAATGGGCGAAAGCAATCTCGCCATTTCTCAAATTTTCATAAAAGAATGAACGGAATAAATTAATTCAAGGTTTTTTCAATTGAATAATTATGCTAGGAGAACTGCAATGTTTGAGATTTCAAATGCGGCAAATGATGCAAAATTCTACGCAGTGGTGCTGAAGAAGTGTGCCTGCGTGGAGTTTAGTCCACCTCCTCAATGGTCGGTCCAGAGCCGCCACCGCTGCCAGGAGCGGCTCCAGCTCCAGCGCCACCCGGAGCACCACCGGGGAATCCGCCTGGGAATCCGCCAGGCATGCCACCAGCGCCTCCAGCTCCGGCATAGATCTTTGTCATGATGGGATTGCACACCTGCTCCAGCTCCTTCTGGCGGTGCTCATACTCCTCCTTCTCCGCCAACTGGTTGGCATCGAGCCACTTGATGGTCTCATTGCATTTCTCCAGCACTTGCGTCTTCTCCGCCTCCGTAATCTTGTCCTTCACCTTGTCATCCTCCATTGAGGCCTTGAGGTTGAAGCAATAAGACTCAAGAGCATTCTTCGCGGAGATTGTCTCCCTCTGCTTCTCATCCTCGCTCCTGTACTTCTCCGCCTCATTCACCATCCTCTCGATCTCCTCCTTGCTCAGGCGTCCCTTGTCGTTCGTGATGGTGATCTTGTTCTCCTTATTGGTGGACTTCTCGAGGGCAGTCACATTCAGAATGCCGTTGGCATCAATATCAAAGGTCACCTCAATCTGGGGCACGCCGCGCGGAGCCGGTGGGATGCCAGACAATTCGAATTTGCCGAGCAAGTTGTTATCCCTGGTCATGGCACGCTCACCCTCGTACACCTGAATCAGCACACCGGGCTGGTTGTCCGAGTAGGTGGTGAATGTCTGCGTCTGCTTGGTGGGAATGGTGGTGTTTCTCTTGATGAGCACACTCATCACGCCGCCGGCAGTCTCGATACCCAGCGACAGAGGTGTCACGTCGAGCAGCAGGAGATCCTGCACCTCCTCCGACTTGTCTCCGTGGAGAATGGCAGCCTGCACAGCGGCGCCGTAGGCAACAGCCTCGTCGGGATTGATGCTCTTGTTGAGATCCTTGCCATTGAAGAAGTCCTGAAGAAGCTTCTGCACCTTGGGAATACGCGTTGAGCCACCCACGAGGACGATGTCGTGAATGGTGCTCTTGTCCATCTTGGCGTCACGCAGCGCCTTCTCCACCGGCTCCATCGTGGAGCGGAACAGATCGGCATTGAGCTCCTCAAAGCGGGCACGCGTGATGGATGTGTAGAAGTCAGTGCCCTCGAACAGTGAGTCGATCTCAATGTTGGCCTGAGTGGACGATGACAGTGTCCTCTTTGCGCGCTCGCACGCCGTGCGCAGACGACGCAGGGCACGCTTGTTGCTCGTGAGATCCTTCTTGTGCTTCCTCTTGAACTCCTGCACGAAGTGGTTCACGAGACGATTGTCGAAATCCTCACCGCCCAAGTGGGTGTCACCGGCCGTGGACTTCACCTCGAAGATGCCATCGTCGATGCTCAGGATGGACACATCGAAGGTGCCGCCGCCCAAATCGAAGATCAGCACATTCCTCTCGCCACTGGCCTTCTTGTCCAGCCCATAGGCGATGGCCGCGGCAGTGGGCTCGTTGATGATGCGGAGCACATTGAGGCCAGAAATGGTACCGGCGTCCTTGGTGGCCTGACGCTGGGAGTCATTGAAGTAGGCCGGCACCGTGATGACGGCATTGGTCACCGTCTTGCCCAGGTACGCCTCGGCGGTCTCCTTCATCTTTGTCAACACCATCGAGCTGATCTCCTCGGGGAAGAAGGTCTTCTTCTCATCCTTGTAGAACACCTGAATCTTGGGCTTCTGCTCAACGTTCACCACCTCAAAAGGCCAGTGCTTCATGTCAGCCTGAATGGCCGGATCCTCGAACTTGCGGCCAATCAAACGCTTGGCATCTGTAAAGAAGAAAAACAGAGAAAAATCATTAATTTCCTGGTAATTTCACGACTGTTTATTTAAACAAATTCTCTATCTCATATTCAATTTTCCAAGAACTAGCATGACATGGAATTATCTCATCAGGAACTCTGATTTATTTATCTTTCTGATAAGCATGTAATTCCCCGAAATTCTACAGACAAATTTGCTTTAGACAACTCAGCTGTTATCGGATCAAGAGATTGAGATATTCACATTTTTTGACTCATGGTCAATTGCAAAAATCTTTCATCATCTTTTATCAAACCAATTCCCAGACAAAATGAACTTTATGCGGTTTCCTGTTTAGCCACATCATGACAATCCAACTTTTTTTTTTTTTGAAAAGTCATTTTCTCCACGAAAAACGCTTAGCAACGCCTGAAATAAATTCACTCGTGCGTTTGTGAATAGATTAAAATAGTCGCTCTTGATGTAATTTATGACCTTCCTAATTTTAGCACAAAAATTACGCTATCATTCATAACTTTCCAATAGCTTTGACAGCGTTGAAATCTGCCCAGAAATTCTACACGAGCATGTGTGCATTTTTTTTTTTGCTGACGAGTGTGTGCAAATAAAGGTGTCCGCCAATTACGCAACATGAAGACAAGTTTTCGTTCTTCTTTTTCCTCCTCTTTTCGCCATGCCCAAGCATTTTGTGCCTCTCTTGCGCCTTTGTGTTCACTTACCAAAGATGGTGTTGGTCGGATTCATGGCCACTTGATTTTTGGCGGCATCGCCAATGAGACGCTCAGTCTCCGTGAACGCCACATAGGACGGCGTGGTGCGGTTTCCCTGGTCGTTGGCGATGATTTCCACCTTTCCGTGCTGGAAGACGCCCACGCAAGAGTACGTGGTGCCCAAATCGATACCAACAGCTGGAGCCTTTGCCATTTTTTTCTTCACTGCAAAATGCCCAAGAGAAAGGGAGAAAATTTGTTAGTCAATTTGCGTGGAAAATTCACATTTTGCATTCTAGCGCAACTGCAGTGCATGCAGTGAAGGCGTGAGGAAAATTTCCAGCACGCCGCTCAAGGTTTGCCTTATCGAATGTTCTAGAAGCTTCCAGCCACGCTTTCCCACGTGCTCCCAATTTCACGTACCAGCAACGCCCTGATTTCCCCATGGAAATCCCCCGATTTCGATAAAACCCCACTGGCGACAGCATTAATGCGAATTGTATCCATGATAGAATACGCAAGCCATTAGGCTTTTGGAGAAATTCGATGAATCATTCATGGAAATTTCTAGAAAATGGCCTCGAGGTGAAGCGCTCAAACTTCTCTCGGCCGGCACATGTTCGCACTCATTTTTGCTCAATTTCATGGTATTTCCGAGAAGGGGAAGCTAAGGATTTCTCCCTGTGCCGAAACCAGTAAAAATGCCCCAGAATTCTCAAGTATTTTCCCATAAATCCATCACACCACGACGCCCATGAAAAACCCTGAACAAGACCTCGAACTCATGGAGAAATACAGAGTGCATTTCCACACATAATCTATGGGTTTTTTCCCCGAATCCCATGTGAATACATACCTTGTGCTGAAGAACTATCGATTACACAGATAAGATGAGCAAAATGGTGAGTGAACACTTGAGAATTGTGAGGTTTTCTCGACAAATCTACACTCCACGACGCTTCGTTCAGAACTTGAGGAGGAAGTGCCTTCTGCGCCTGATTTTATAAGCTTGCGGTGTCATGCGGCGGAACTAGAATCTTCGACGACTCATCTGCCCTCTCGCAGAATCGCCACGAAGCCCATCGATGCTGTCAAAAAAATGCTGCGAGTTTGAATTTAGTCAGTTGACGGTATATTTCATATCTATCTAGAGCTATTTTCATAACTTAATACATTTATATTTAGTTCAATCATTAAATAATTACTGCGGAGGTATGAACATCTCGAATGGGTAGCCGAGAAGATCTTTAATTGAAATTCTCTCCCTTGGATTGTGTCTCAGGCACTGCTGGGCAATCTGTAGGTAGAAAATTGTTCAATTAGTCACCTGTAATTCAATAGAATGTCGTTTTTATGTGAATTATACTTCGAGAAACATAGCTGGGTATATTGAAGGAAGAGGCGGATAATCGATGACAGTGTCTGGATTGCAGATGGCAATAATTTTGCTGTGCATATTCTTAATGTTTCCAAACGGTGTGACTTTGTAGATGAACTGGAAGAAAATGCACCCCAGAGACCACACATCCGTCTTTGGAGATATCTTAATTTTGGGCACTCCGACTGATTGTGTGTCCTCATCCGTTGATATATCAATGAGGGCTTCGGGACTGATGTAATTGTAAGTGCCGGCTTGTGTGTGCTTAATTATGCTCGTGGAGTCCGAAGAGATGTTGCTGGCAATGCCGAAATCGATGAGCTTCAGTCTTCCGTTGACGATGAGAAAGTTGCCCGGCTTTATATCACAGTGAATCACGTTACACGCATGAATGTACTGAACACACTTGAGCATCTGATGCCAGAAATCCATGATCGTGTACACAGGAAGACTCTTTGGGAACTCCTTGAGAATTGCACTGAGATCTCGTTCACCCCTCTCCATTACAATGTACAGAATGGAGTCATGTTGTGAGTAGTAACTGCAAAATTGGAATTGATCAGGAGAAATTCCTTCACCAGCACAATATTTACTTACTGATCAAAAAGTGTCACGATAGATTTTCCTTGCAATCTCTTCAGCAACTCAATTTCATGTATGTTGTCACTCAATGCATTGGCATCGCCATTGAGTCTGATCACTTTCAGGGCACATTCCAGGCTACTGCCCACCATGTGCGCCAAATAGACCACACTGGAGCCCCCGTGACCCAATTTCCGCACCACATTGTAGTCCTTTCCATTGATCTGCACAACTCTGTGTCGCGGCTTCTCATCATGTACACTATTGTTAGTTTCCAGTGCTGTGCTAGTACAGGATTCCGATGAAGATTTCTGTCTATCCTTAATGCTCAGATTGGCAAGATTGCGATTATTCTCCTTCAGGTGCTTTTTGTAATCCACGCTCAAGATAACTTTCTCCTGTCTCTCCCGGCAATCTTTCGTCTTGGGCGTGGCAATCGTGGCAGTGCAGGGAAGTGTGTCCTCGCCACCATTCTCTGGATCCTTCTTCCCAAGAGTCTCTTCTGAGATAGGTGTCAACTCCGACAATTCTGCATTCTCCTTTGGCATCAACCCCGTGGGCAGCACTGCATTTGATCTGGAAAGACATAAAAGCACAATTAGACCACTCATTAGGTTAATTATCATATCAATCTCACCTATTAACACCTTTTTGCTCCACGATGGTCTGCAGAATTGCTGTGATGCTGTAAAATTGGGACCCAAAACAAAGCCAAACTTTTGCAAAACATCTTGAAAAATGTGTAAATGAATCAACAAACCTCTTTTCCTCGTTTTCCACCGAATTATCCGACTCCAGATCAATTGGCGGTAGATCCTTGACACGTTTTGGTAGTGGTTTTCGCGACATTATGGCCAGAGTACTGAAAATTCGAGGAAAAATCGTTGGAAAACAACCGGAAACGCGTTTCCCGTATAAACAAAAATACGAAGCGCAGCCGTCAAATTTTGTGGCGATCGTGGCACACCTCGCGGAAAATATGTGGTATCACAGTTTATAAACTTCAATTTCGATTAGGATTCACTGCATTCTCTGGTGATTTTTTCATTGATTTTCTCAGTGTAAGCATGGAAAATCTGGGATCAGAGATTGGTCAGAAGATGAGGGTAAGATTGATTAATCGATTGCATAAAGTGGCAGAATGCGAGGGAAGGAACTTGTGCCTGAAAATTGATTTTAATTTAGACTTTTGAGGTTATATTTACTGAAAGGACTTTTCTCCTCTTTCCCTGTGTTTTTCATCCTCTTCACCAGCACGCCGTGAAGGCGAAGCTTCTGGAACTAGGCACGGGATCCTCATCGGGTTATGTGGATGACGAACTGCCTGATTATGTGATGATAATGGTGGCAAATAAGCGTTCAAAGCAGCAGATGATTGAGGATTTGACACTATTTCTGGGCTCCAACACCGGAGAATTCGTCACCTGGCTGCACCAAGTCTTGCAAAAGCTCCAGGAGGTGTCCCTTCCTGCGACACGTAAGTGGGCATGTGTCTCTTGTCCGGTGGGAATGAGTAATAATAATATTTGACTTTGCAGTGCCTCCACCAAAGACATCCAAGAGAAAGGCTTCCGAGAGTTCAGACACGACTCACAAGAAGGAGAAGAGAAAAGAGAAAAAGTCAAAGAAGCCCGGAAAGGGTCCAGCTTCCAATAGCTCATCGAAATCCATGGAGAAGCCAAAGGCCACATCATCGGCTGCTCCATCAATCACAGATGTCTTTGCCGATCAACTGATCCAGAAGGCGAAGAAGACGATGCAATCTGAGGCTACAGTGAATGTGAAAAAGCGAGAGAGGACACCGGAGGCGATTAGAGCGCAAGATGAGACACCGGAAAATGATTTTGATATTCCGACAATTACACAGATCGCAGAGAATACTGTGGAGCAGACTCGCCGGAAAGAGTTGCTGGAGTTGGAAGAGATCCAGAAGAAGATCTATCAGGCGAAGCGGCAGCTCAGCAAGCTCACATCGGACGAATCGGAGGATGAGGATTTTATCAACTTGAAGGCGGATGGGGAGGAGTTTGACGATCCAGATGTGAGACAGACAGAGAGTATCGTGGACTCTACGAGGAATCAGGCAGCGTATCGTAATCCTAGTCCAATTGTGTTTGATCTACCTGCCAGAAGAGTGTCCAGCAGCAGTGAGGGTGAGCCTCCCGAGAGGGAGAAAACTCCAAAGAAAACTTCTGTGAAGGAGAGGCTGGGCTCGAAGCCCACTGCTGAGGTGGGAAAGAATGTCATAAGCTTATCAGCGAATCGACGTAGCGAGCAGGAGATCTATATTCCAGCTTTTCGGCGACGAGAGATGGAGAAAGCCAAAGAGATGGCTGTTGTGAAGGAGCCTCTGAAGACACGTCGAATGCAGGAGAGTTCTGTGGAGGTGATCCGCCGAGAGAAGCGCAATGCGAAGGAGCCGAAAGTATCTCTCGTGAAGGAGTTAAAATCCTCTGTCCGCCAACGAATTGGATCGCGCGTGATTGTGGCTCCGCCAAAGCCAGAGTTCGATGAGGATGCCGTTGATGTGTCTGTGAGTAGTGTGGTGAAGATCAAGCCACGTCCTGTGCTGCCCTTGGGGAAGCAGGCGAACAAGAATCTGCTGCTACGCGCCATGGCGGAGGCGCAGAAGTCCACTGCGGGTGTCATGACACAGCGTGGCATCGAGAAGAAGGGCAGAGTTGCGGGGAAGGCGGGAAAGGTGACTGCCAATAAGGCAAACATCCTGATCGAGGTGCCTCGTGGGAATAACGACAAATCGCGAGAAGATGAGTACGTGCCCACGCCAGTGACTCACCATGAGCAGAATGACGAGGTTGTCTATATTCCTCAAACATCTTGTGAGGAAATCGATGATGACAGTGAGGCGAATGCACCAAATAGTGGTGAGGATGAACAGAAGAGACCCCAATTTGTCGTGACTCTTGACGGGATTTTCAAGGGAATAAAGGCCGACAATATTGCAAAGAAGAAATCTCTGCCTAAGAATGTGAAGGAGCGAATTGTGGAGAAGAAAATTGTCTCAGTTGAGCCAAGGACGCGCAGCACTAGGAAGGCATCTCCGGAGAGGAAGAAGGAAACACTGGAGCCGGTGAAGAAAGATGAATTGACACCTAAAAAGAGATCTGCTGAGAAAGAAGCGCCAAAAGATGATGAACCGCCTAGGAAAAGACGAATTCGTTGTTCGCCAATTCGATTTGATTTGGATAGTGAGAAGAAGGACAACAAATCCCCAAAGTCTCCGTCACCGTCAACACCAAGGAAGTCTCATAAGACGCCCGAAAGGGAGCCGGACAAGAACACAAGGATTGATGGAGATGGTCATACAGTGACAATAAGGAGAATTGAAACGAAAAAATATGAGAATTTACCATCACGTGAGTTGATTTTTTTCAATTTCTTCCCTATTGAGAATATTTATAAGCCTCTTTTTCTTTCAGTGCTGAGCTCAGTGACTGTTCCGCAGGCATCGGCAAAGCCCAAGGATCGCTGCAAGTACTTTCCAAATTGCACTAAAGGTGACTCGTGTGAATTTATTCATCCTTCGATGCCCTGCAAATCATTTCCCAACTGTAAGTTTGGCGAAATGTGCCTCTATTTGCATCCCAAGTGCAAATTTGACCTCACTTGCTCTCGTCACAATTGCAATTTCTCTCACACACCGGTTATCTCAGCGGCTCCGCCTCTAGGTAAGAGTCTACAATCGCTTCGATTTTGGCTATCAGTTGGGATTTGCATGGAAATCGCGTTATCACGGGGGCACGTTTTTGCGAGAAAAAAAAATCATGTGCACGCGATATCAGAAATCTCCTAATCTCTGCTGAGAATTCACTTGCTGACCACGGCCAAGAATTTTAACCCTCTGCTCACTGATGTGTGTGTGTGTTGTTTCCTCAACAGCTTCTCACGTAGTTCCTGTGCACAACTACAAGATGATCACGCAGAATTTACTGCCACCGCTCTGCAAATTCTATCCAAAGTGCAGCAACACTCTGTGCAACTTCTACCATCCAAAGTTGTGTCGCTTCGGGAAGGCTTGCATGAACAAGGTGGAATGCAATTTCTACCATCACGACATCCCGGCGGTGGATAAGTTCAAGTGGGTCTCGACGGCGCCCGGAACTGGATCTGGGCAAGCGACGTCGACATTTGTCTAATAACTATCCCGCGTGCGTCACTAATCCAATTAAAGAAGAATGACTATATATTGAAGAGTTTGCCACATTTTCATGCATTATTTATATTAATGATATCTATTCGACTTAGAGAATATTTAATTACAAAATGTACAGCCAATGTACGTGAATGTAATCACGGGCAGATACTTCGAGTGAGCTCTGAATAATAAAAGAAAGAAAATGATGAATTTGATGAAGAATTTAGATGACAACACAGTGAAAGAGATATGCAAGTTTCACGATTTGAATCAATAAATCGATAGATCATGCAGAGTATGGACTTTTAACAATAGGAAAATGCAGAATAAAAAGAGAAAATCATTTTTTTTTTTGGAAATTAACAAGACTTTCTGTTATCTTTTAAAACTGACAGCTTCCTATTCTCCAAAGCGAAGCGAGATCACCCCGTGGCAAAATTAGGAAACCCCTGACATCCATCTTTCGTCTCCTCCAGAGGGTTAAGTGAAAAAGTTTTCTGTACGTGAAAAACAGCAATTTCTCTGCAATCATGATGCAAGGAATGACCCCATCCACCCTGAAGAAGCACCCGGCGGTAAGTGCATCACGCCAACAGTGGAGTTAATGGATTAGCTGTGATATTTCACTCCAAAATCTCCTCTAATCTCTATTACGTCACAAGCACAATGGACTGTATTTTTCTCTTCCTCCTCCTCGCAAATCCACAGCTGATCCCGCTGTACGTGTGCACGGCACTGGGAATGTGCGGAGCTCTGTACTACACCCTTCGCCTGGCCACCCGTAATCCCGATGTGACCTGGAACCGCTCCTCAAACCCAGAGCCATGGCAAGAGTATTCGGACAAGCAGTACAAGGTAGGCACATTTGGGTGGTTTCCGCAGATGAGCAGTGAATGTTTCATTTGTGCCCTTTTTCTAGTTCTACTCACCTGTCCGGGACTACTCCAAGTCTCACAGCCCGGCTCCCAAGTACACTGAGTAAAGGACTACATCCCAAATGATAAATCTCTCGTGGGTTTAATCCACTTTTCAACTGTAGTCAAATGTCGGAGAGAAAATAGTGAAGCAAGATCCATTCAATAAAGTCTCTTAATGTGACTATACAAGAAAAATGCTGGATAATTTGGGATTAGCGATCAACTTAACTTGAATAGAGGTTGAGTTGCCAAGAGTATGTGTATAAATAAATAAGGCGTCAGTACTTTAGTTTATTTAATCGGTTCATGAGAAGTCTAAACACGTTGATTTTGTGCAACAATACCATTTATTTCGAAGTATAATGTTCTACGTCAGAATTTCTGCTTTCTTCCACGGAATCCACGTGAGATGCTTCACTATTTCTGACACGAACCTACTTTCGAGATACTGTGCTGATAGCGAGCAATATCATAATCTTACAAGTGGCTTGGAATGCTAAAATTTTGGAATCAATTCAACATTGACTAAAACACACACACGCGCGCGAAAGCGATTGCAAATATTTTCACTAGAAAATTGACTAGAGTTTGAGGCGATTTAGCTGATAGATTGCAATTTGTGGCAGTGGTTGTTGAACACACCTTCAATTGAGAGATTCATGAGGGGAAATACTCTGTGCTGTCCTCAGATGACAGAGAGATTTGGGCATTCTCGTAGAGAATTGTGCCATCGAATGCCTTCACCGACACAATTGGTGTCTTGCAGTAGAAGCAGAGCTTGTTGCTGAGCAAATGCTGAACAATGCAGTTTCTGCAAAGCAATAATCAAGGATCAGTTCACAAAGAGATATTGGAAAAATGTTCTGTACGATGTTTTCTTACCCGCAAGATTGATGTTGGCACGGGAGAAACTCACAGGATATGGCTTTTGCGTAGCAGATGGAACAGAGGGAATCTTCTGATAAGATTGTCACCTCAGACATCATGGTTTGTCGCTTCTGAAGAATCTTGATCATCTGTCGCACCTTGATCAACTCCTCAGCTGTGATGTGTGTGGGATAGTCAGCCAGATTGAAGGTCAATACAGGAGGATCCTGGTGAAATTGCTCAGGACTCTGGGCCGGATTGTCCGGTGCAACATCTGCTGGCCACACTTGTTGAATTACCGGCGGCAATTTAGCCTCTCCCAAGGCAAACTCAAGTGTGATGCACTGAAAACTTGGCTCAATGAGAAGACAACGAGACACTCTCGGAATCTTGCTCACGACAAAGTCCTCTTCCTCAATTTCATCCTTCATGAGTGCCAAGAGAATGCCCAAAACCGCCGAGATGATGGCAAAGTGAGTGACACTGCTCAGATCTGGTAGACAGAGATCGAGAACATACTGAAAACACCCCGGCGGCGTTGTGACTCGTGATAAGACTTGACTGGCCAGTTGACACACACGCCCCAGCAGCAGATCACTGTTGGCACGTGAGGGATCCTGAAAGATGCCCGGTGCAATGGTGATAATCATCTCCAGAGCGCGCATTAGCGATACTGTGAGTTCAAAACACATCGAGCAAATCTTCAACTGTCTAGAGTCGATGCTTTGATGCTGATCTGTGCGTCTATTGGCAGTCTGAATCTCCTGCAGCAGCAGAATAAACTCCGAGAATGCCCAATTGAGCTGCGACAGCAGAGAGTTGAGGAAAATTGTGCAGTATGGCTCATCAGCCAGTAGAATGCGACTGATGATGTTCTGGAAGTGACGCGATGGACATGCTGGTGCTATGTGATGAAGAAGTCCTGTATGGGAACCATTCTTTCCGCGACTCCTGAACAGTCCCAGAGCCGAAGAAGTCAAATCACCCTGTTGCCAAATACTGGTAGGTCGAGATTCCCTAATAGAAAAACATTTTCTCTTGTCAATAACCCCGCGAAAACATGTAATGAGCAATCGCACTGACCTGTAGGCAAATCCTTCGCCCAGCCAGAAGCGCAAGAGGAGCCAATTACTTTGACCCCAAGCGCGATTTTCATAGGGACGCAGCAGAGAGTGCACCATCGCCAATTGGCTGCTTGCCGATGTCTTCTCAAGCGCTCTGATGCCCACCTCGTGGCACGTAACTGTCCCCAATGCCTGCAGGAGGGCGTCCTTGCAAGAAGCGAGAACCACTCGAGGATCCGTTGAGTGAGCAGCAAGAAATTCCGCCGCACTCATCACAATGTCCATCGAATCTGTGAGATCGTGCTGAAGATTCATGTCGTGAAAGCTAAAATCCAACACTGTGTCCAGCAGAATCGGCAGGACATTAATGTAAGTTTCAGGAACAAAGGAGAAAAGTACTCCTTGACTCGAGGATGATTGGAGAGTGTCAAAGATGAGCTTTAGAAGCCAACACAGAAGATCTCGTCGATGCGATCCAAGAGCCACTGAACGATACCATGCTTGTTTTCTCGCCAATTCCATCGATCTCTTCGCAAAGATGCTCTTCCTCTGGCCAAAACGCTCCTGAATCTCCAGGAGAATATCATCGTGCGTATTGGACAAAGTCCCATTGACATCTTTGAGCTCCTCAAGAGTCTTCAACACTTCATCTGAGCAATCTTTCGTCTCTGAGAGAATTCCTGACAACATTGCAATGTTATCACGCAAATCAGCGATCTGTAAGATGAAGAGGCAGAATATTTTGGCCATTCCTGGGAATTTTTCTTGCGTGAATAAACTCACCATTACAATGTATTTGTGAGCCACTGCGTAGTAGTAGAAAATTGAGCAATCCAGAAGCTCATCAAGTGACTGATTACTATTCCTGTCAATGCCTCTCCTCACGGGACTTCCCACCTGTCGCACTGGAAAGATGTTTCTGGGCAGATTCGCTGGGTAATTTGGATTCGGCTGATGTCCAGTTATCATCAGCATGGCGGAATCTATTAGAAACAAATATCACGAATTGAAAAACATATTTTCTACTAAATGTGCAACGTGAAATACTCACAGAAATCCGCAGAATCTTGTCGTGCAGCAACGTCAGGGGCCAGAGGAATTATTGCGGGATGACTCTCTCCCAGAACACTGATCATTTCACTGCGGAACACCTTTTTCAGATGCGATAGAACGCCACCGAGTCGGTCAAAGTGAAAGTACGTGAAAGCATCGTTGTAGAAATTAACTGGATCAACTTGGATGGGCTTTTGGGGCACTTCCGTGGCGAGGAGTTGGCGACTAACGTCGAGGAGGATACAGAGAAAGGATAGCGCCACAGCGGGTTGTGTGGGAGTCGCGTAGGTATTTTGCATTGAGAGACTCCGATGTTCCAAGCTGTTCTCCATTACGTAATTCCTGAACTTTGTGAGGAAAATTCTTCTACTCGATGGATTGTCTGGTCGCCCATCACGGTGATTGAGAAGGACTGAGATGAGATTCTTCTGGAGTGTGTAGAGAGTAGTTGTGCAGGCGTTCAACTTCTCACAGGCAGCCAAGTAGAGATCCTTCCGGCCGCCAATTCCCTCTGTCCAGATGTGATCGTCTGGCAAGAGACGCTCCAGCGCCGCCTCGTCGGGTGGCTTGATGTACAGGAAGAGTGGTAGACAGTTTTTCTCGAAAAACCTCTCAATTAGGAGATATTTTCTCGTTTCCGGATGATTACAGATGCACGTGAGAATAACAATGACCATCCTTTGCTTCTCATACTCCAGATCAATTGGAGTCTCTTTGTAGCTGCTGCCAATTAGACTGATAAGCTTTATGAGCACGGCTTTAATCTCATCGGACTCCATGTATGTCCACAGAAGAGTGAGAAATGTTCCCAGTGTAGAATCTGGCAGTCCCGGATGGATAACAATATTGTGACTCGGATCACTCCGGATGACACACATGCTTCTCAAGTAGGAGAACAGCTTGTCTTCCACGACATAAGAATTAGTGAGCAATGGTGCAAGTTCCTCCACCAGAAGCGCCGCCACCACCATAAATACCGAGTCTGTGGTGCTCTTTTCATGCTCTGCGGGCTTCTTGGAGCGCGAAATGAGCCTTGAGAGATTTGCCAGGTACTGAAGAAGATGATCCGCGTGTTCCAGCAGCTGCTTCGGAGGCAGCTGCAATGCCCTGTACCCAGGAATGGGATGTCTAAACGGGGATCCTCCGAAGTTAGCCGTGAGACTGTCGTTGTACGAGAGCGAGACAGCCGGAAAGAGTGCCAATCCTGGGCCTCGCTCGATGTCCGCGAATGCCTCACCAAGGCTCACGCCATTCCGATGGTATTCAATCCTTCCCCCATCCATGTCCAGGCACACGCTGAAGACATCGCCGCTGCGCCAGTAAGGTCCGTACTTCTTCGTGTAAACGTGCCAGATTCTCTGCTTGCTCCCATCCAGGCCATAGCTGTATTTTGTGTCGCCCACGCCAGTGTCTGTGGTGAACTTGCACTTTGCGGAGCACCAGCCAATCTGCATGACTCCCTTTGAGCGCAGCTGCACTTCGTACATCCACTTTCCCTGGAGTGAAAAAGAGTTTTTCTTCTTGAGGTCAAGGCCTTGGTCAGATGGAATCAAAATTGACTCACTTGAAAGACACAACAGTTTGCTCGTACTGTTGAGAAGGGACTCTGAGACTGTACGGTGAGTCGATCAGGAGAGATGGACACCAGAGGATTGCCCGGATCCTTGTCAAAGATGGTCTTTGCTGGTCCCAGTCGACCATCCTGCTCCTCAATCTTCTCATCATCGGCATTCACGTCGTCAACCGCCTTCGCCTTCAACCACTCCGTGACCTCATGAAGATGCCTGCGACATGGAAAATCAATTATTTGGCCCAACCCCAAGAGAGGTAAAATGAATGGAATTCATTGAACTCACTCAGAAAGGGTCAAAGACTTCAGTTGCACCCCCGATTTGTAGGTTAGAGAGGGATATTCACCGAAAATTTCCACTAAAACACTAGAGATTTCCATTGCACTGCACCTTCCGCCACTTGTGCACACTCACTGGACAATTTTCTTCATGATTTCGAGGCCAGGAGCAGCTCTCTGATGTGGAAATAGTCCAAGGAAACGAGAGTGCTCCTGCGTATGTTTTTGTTTGCACACTCTCTCCCCCACTCTCTGACAGCAGCAATCATTTGCGCGCCATTTGTCTCTCCAGCCAGTCCTCTCTCTCTCTCTCTCCCTCCCATCTGATATTCAAGGATTCGCTAATTATCCCCAGCTGCACGATATTATGTCGCAATTTTTCACTCACTCATGTAGATTGTATTTTAATTGAGTGGCAAGCAAGGATAGAAGAAACGCCAAAACAATTATGCGAACAAGCATTTGAGAGAAGAGCTGAATGTTCTCTCGATTCATTCCATAGCGCTTTGCATGGAGTTTCAGTATTCGTCCTGAATAATAAATGAGCTGTGGAGGACATGGGATACGCAGAAGTCATCAAGGACGCGAAAATTTCATGCTGGAAAGAGGACAAGGTGGAAATTTTCTACAATCTAATTTTCTCCCAAACATGCTTTTTCTCTCTTTATCAGTGGTGTTAGTGTTCGTCACGTATGGCGCTACTTTCTACGCAGAGCAGTGGAGACGCCGGGTGTTGACCTGTTGCTAGAAGCGGGAAAACTTCTGGAACACTCTTCTGGAAATACTCCCCATTTCCGATCACTTTTATTAGAAAATACCATAAACATTGATGTTAGGTTAAATCTTTTAATCAATTATGCCAAAATACATTCAGTCCTCATGGAATAACCACACAGAAAATACTTTTTAAATGCTTCCTGTGGGAATATATATATATATAGAGAGGGGGGAGAGAGAGAATTTTCAATATTAGTTTAGATACCCATTTTCTGAGGCCGGGAATTGACTGACGAATTGCACACCGGGAGAGAGACAACTATTCACAATGATCCGTTCCACGTCCACACTTCTCGAGGTCCTGGTAGTCCCTGTAGAGATCCATCAATTGCTTCCGCAGGCGTACAACCTTAGATCGCAGCTCCTTCTCCTCATCCACGAGTGACTGAATTTGATTTCTGAGCTTCTGTGCTTGGTCCTGGTCAACCACCCATCGCAGGTACAGCTCCTTCCACACCACGAGGCTGATGGGGGCGACAGAAGGCCAGATGACGGCTGGATTGGGCTCATACACGGGACTGAGGAAGTTCCGCAGCACTTCCGGGCGGTTGAGGTACGACCAGAGGCTTGTGGTCTTGGTGGTGACACCGAGTTGAGTGCGCTCGCGCTCGGAGTCGGCGAGGAATGTGCCGAATTGACTGCTATAGCTGTGCTCAAAGAGCATCACCAGGAAGTTTGTACTGAACTCGAAGCTACAGGTGAACTGGGCATGGAGCTGGTGAACGCAGTCGAGGAAGAGAACGAAGCTGGAGCCAGAGGTTTTGGCGCGCACGTGAGAGGGTGTGTAGCAGGACTGCCGGTGGCGCGTGTGAAAGGGAAATCCCGCCTGGACCCACTCCCTTTCTATTAAGGCCTGTAATCCGCGCACTGTGCGACAGTCGGGATTGAGGATGATCTGCACCAGCGACGTGACGATGAGAGTGGTGTCTAGACCCTTGCCGCCGTGCACCAGCACCGGACTGCCATCCTGGTCGAGACACTGAGCCACCACGCAGGCAGTGTTGAGGGCGCTGAGGACATGACCCAGCCAGTTGCTGTTCTCCAGTCGCGAGAGCCATTTGTCTGGTGAGCAAGTGATGTCATTGCATGCTTCCACGAGGCGACTGAAGCACTCCAGAAGCTGGGAAATGTGGGAAAACGTGCCCACAGATCGGGTGGCTTTCTTCCACTGCGAGTAATGCTGATCCGTCTCCGTTGTGGCTTTCCCCTTCACGCCCCACGTGTCCACAATGAAGCCCTTGCGGCTCTTGCCCAGCACACTGTTGAGGATGGCTTCGTCGGCACGACAGCGCTTCCCGCTAGACGTGGGCGAGGGTTGGGCACTTCTCAGCATCACAGCACCATTCTCGTGGCGATAGCTGATCAACGGAAAGCGTCCGCCATCTCGGAATCCAGCAGACGCAATGATCTGCTCATCGGTGATCCCACGAGGAACTACCACAGCAGCAGGATAGGAGGAGCACACAGAGAAGTCGCGATTCACTGAGCTAAGGCGCCACTCCTCGCTGGCCAGCAACTTCGAGAACTCCACCTCAGGCCTGAACATCTCGTAGCCATCCTCCAAGATGGAAAACATTGGCCTGTAGAAGAAGGCATAGAGCAGATTCACGCTGTCCAGCGTGATCAACTGCTCAATGGTCTGGGCGACATTGAGAAAGTCCTGAGAAGCAGAAATCTCCAGTGCAATCACTCGCAGATCCTTGCATTTCAGCACTAGCGTCCCACCCTGAAGCTGATTGTTCACCACATGCGGTTTCCGCTCCAGGAAGTCAATGTTCTGGTGCAGCAGCTGCAAATACATGGAACACACGATAGTCTTCCTCTCATCCGCCAAAGCACTGCCATTCAGTAACTCACCCACAATTCCTGCGTGTCCTCCTTGCGCGTGCTGAGGATGAGGTGGTGACCAGTGATGCAGAGTGTGCCCGCCACGGGGGGCTGATCCCCGCCGGCCAGGAGGACAACATTGTCGAGCTTCGGGGTGAGAATCAACTCGGCGAACTCCATCGTGTGGGTGGCACTTTTGCATGCACGCTTTTTCACGTCAGAACGCCTATCGCTGCGGGCCCCAATCGCCCATTTGGTCAGGCACTGATCTCCCTCACGCCTTATCACCAATTTGTGTGCACTTATACCCGCCTAGGGCTTATCTGAGCGATGGGAAGTGAAAATAACTATGCCACAAGCAGCACAATGACAGTCCAAAGGGAGTCCAAAAGAACACAGCGTAAAGGCAAATTGGTCATGGAAATTGTGATTCTGTCACAATGCCAGGCAATGTTGACATAAATTCAACATTTTTACCTACAAAATGTCCATCTCGACGTGGAGTCTTACTGGTCTGAGAATTGCTCTTGATTAGAGGGCTTGTAAAATTAAAATACTTATCGTTGTTGCTTCTCCCGGCTTTACTTTCTTACAATTAGTGGAAATCTTTGTCCAATCGATGGCAATAGCTGTGAACTCGTCACAGTGAAAATCAAATACTCACAGGATGGTTGGTGTCCATGGTGACAGCATTGTTAAATGCCTTCCCTCCGCCGGCTGGCCGTCGCAGGCTGACTAAAGCAAAGTAGGATAATTAAATTATTTAAATCAATTCTTATCGATTCACTCTTCGTCACTTTTCGCACAGTGCCTCGAACATCACGCTCAGCAGTCCTCAAGGGACTATCGATATTGTCGTGGGACGAGTGTGGGTGGTTTGGCGCCAAAAGCACCCTTCGATGTAAATTTCAAGTAGGCCTGCAAAACACGCGGTGTCAAGGTGAGACCATTGATTTTTGTGGATTTTATCACAAAAATACATTATTTTCAGCCTTCTAGTGGATTGATGGGTGCAAAGGAGTGAAAGGAAACAAATTTCATACGTCTCTCATCAATACATATTTTATTCCTATGTGAAAAAGTCGTGGAACGGTATAAAATTACATGAATAGTTCTGAATGTCGATAGAAATGTGTCGAAATTAATGATTGAAGCAGCGAAAACAGAGTAATTTTTCAATATATCTTTACACATATTTATCATCATTTGTATTTTTTTTTAGCAGTATTTAGTTTAGAGGGGTGGCATGTGCACAAATTTAACTATGTTCACCTTCACTTAACAATATTACAACTTTTTTGTTTATTTATCTAATTAGAAAAAAATCGGGGAGGAAGTGAGATTACACATTGCTTTGAATATTTCTTGAAAGTTCTCTTTTCGCCTTTCCTTTTCTTTTTATTTTTAACAAACTGTCATTTCACTTATACAACTACTAAACGATATTTTTTCCTACTTTGTTTTCAAAACGAAACAGAAAGACTTTACAATAGAAACAAAAAGAGAAAGTTTGTCAAAGAAAGATGTAAGAAAAAAAGCATTTGATTGTCTTAATCCTTCCTTCAAGAAAATAAAAATCAACTTATCTTTCCCGCCCATGTGGAAAAGTATTCATTTTCTTCACGCTTTTTTGCATTACATTTTCCGTGTGTGTGTTTTTTTTAATTTGCTTTTTTTAATGGCATTTTTGTACTTGATTTCTTCACCTTTTATTTCCACACCGAGGAAAATTTTCATATATTTTTCATTAATTACATTAAAAATTTGTACTTAAATCAGTACTTAAGGGATTTTTTTTTGCGTTTCTTTTCTCTTTCACTCCTCAACGAAAATGGGGCCATTTTCCTAACTCTCTCTCTGCTTATCAATATAAATTTCAGTAAATTTGTGCCAATTTTTCTTTCTTTTAAATGTTTCATACTCTCTGGTTCAGCATTGTCTCAAGAGAACGCAATCATATAGTAAATTTTATACACTTTGAATCGTTTCCATTAAACTTATTAAAGTATTACATAAATGCTCTCGTTTTAATTTTAAATTCTCGTTTTTTACCGTGTTGTTTTGACTTTTACTTAGTGGTGCTTTTTTCATTCTTTTTTTCTTTCTTTCTTCATAAACAGACGGAATATTTAATTGAGATTAATGTTCATCACACACTTTTTGAGCACAAAAATGCTCACGTGTTTGTTCTTTTCGCATTTTAAATTGTTCGTTCTTTCTTCTCATTTCATGCAGACTCTCTTTTTGTATTGAAGAAGGACTCCACAATTAACAAAATAACACTCATTGCCTCTTAGAAGAATGTAAAAAAATAATAATAATTAGAAAATAGAAAGTAACGTATAAATCGCTTTGTTTTAGAATAAAAACTTTTAGTCATCGAAAGTTTTCCTTCTCCTTCTTTTATTATTACCTACGAAAATTTTTAAATTGCTTGTCAAATGAGCATTGCATCTTAATAAAAATATTCTCCTCTACAATCTCTACACGAAAGTCATTCAAAATTGAAATTTTGAACATTTTTTCTTTCTCCTCGAGAATTTCACTTCCCACAAATTTTTTGGGGGAAATCATCTCTCTATTCCTTATACAAAATACAATCTATATCTGTCTCCCTACGGGTTCTTCTTCTTCTTCTCCTCTTCTCTCTAAACTTGATTCACTTTCTTCATCTTCTACGATAATATTTTACTAAATAAAAAAAAACAAAAATAATTTAATTGGAATGTTTCTCAAAATATACAAGATATCACATTTTGCAACACCGAAAAAAGTTGAATGAGCCCAAAACATACACATTTTCTGTCCCTCTCCCCTCATCAACCCCCTCCTCCCACATTACCTACTCGCAACTCCGCAGGAAACTGGGCCGAATAGTCCGCAACTCCACATCGCCACTCTCCTGCGTCGAGTCCCGCGGCGTCGGGGTGACTTTGAAGGCTCCTCCGCGGCCACCTTTGCTCATGTGAAGGTAATTGTCATCCCCAATTGGCGCCTGGCGACTGCCATACTTCACCTCCATGGCCAGCTTCGTGCGATGATTGCGATGCACGTGATCGAGCGCAATCGCGACCTCCCGCAGTGCCTTCAGTGTCTCGTGGCACATCATGAATTCACTCACTTGCTGCGGTGTCCCGGAGTACGCCATGGGATTCCCCATTGACTCCAGACACTTCATGTTGGACATTATGAGCGTGTGAATTCGCTGAAGATCGCGAGCCGGATCCAATGCTGTGCCCAATTCCATCTGGAAGGACTTTGGTGACACCGCCGTGCACCCATTGGCATTCTGATCCCGTGAATTGCAGCTAAAAAGTAAAAAGAAAAGAATGCAAAATAGGAGAGAGAATTTAGCTTTTCATCTCGCTCAAAGAGATTAACAAATGTGTTTGCAAAATACTCGACAAATTCACTTTACATTCCTTTATGCCAAAATGCAATGTTTTTATCAAATATTTACACACGCACTGAAAAAATTGCACAATTGTTTTCAGCTTCTGGTGTTTGTCGCTTTCGTAGAAATTTGTGTTATATCAAGACGAAAAAAAAACAAACAAAGTTGGAAATTGATTGTTTGCCCACGACAATTTCTCAATTAGTCAATGCATGCATTAAAGAACCATGTCTTACCATGTCCACACGTTGTTGATATAGGCACATGGATGATAGTGTTCAAGACGCTCAGCATTTGATTGACAAATCTTCCGCAACAGATCCACCCACTCCTTCTCCTCCACGCAATTCGCCGTCTGCACGTACAGCGGGCGATCCTTCCTCACGATCTGTCGACAAAAAGCATATACAAGAGTGAGATTACACTTTTTTTTTCTGCCTTCTCTGAGTGGTGAGAAATGCAATGAAAAGAGTCCATGGGAGATCGAGAAAAGCTTGTGTGGAAAAAAAATGAAAATGTTGTGGAATCGTGTGATGTAAGAGCCTTTTTTTCTCTACGGCTACACATCTCAGAGATCTCAGTCTGTGTGCGTCCACAAGAGGAGTCAATGATTTTGGATGATGGGAATAGTGTGAAGAAAACAGAGACGCGCACTCTCTTCTTCTCCCCCTCACTGTGGCGCTGAATAAACAATTAAGTTGATTTGCGAAGTCTTCCGACTTGAATTACAAAGTACATTTTTTACACTTTTCAACTCTTGCAATAATTCAACATTGATTACATTGTGGGAGAAACAGTGTTTTTGCTCAGCAGCAGCTCTTTTTCTGCCATTTTTTTTTGCGCGTCTCTCTAAGCCACACATTCTCTCGCCTCTTCCACCGTGAAGTCCATGTGACCGATTTTTAATACACCACACACAGTGTGCAATTCAGAATGAGCACAGAATGTGTACAAGAGAATAAAGCAATTAAATTCCACTCAGTAATATTAATTCCACGCGTTCAAATGACACATAAAACTCACATTTAGTGACTCTCTGAGATGAATAATAAATTAACTCAGTGAGAGAGAGAGAGAGAGACACGGGCAAAAATATGTGAAAAGTATAAAATACAAAAATGTCCCAATTCCCATTATTGTCTGCTTGTCCCCTCAAGAGCAGGAAATTGACGTGAACATTGGAGAGATGACCCACAATTTTCATTATTTATCCACCTCTTCATAATTACGTGGGGCGCGCTCTTCAATGGAGCCATATTTTTTCACCTGTATATGACTCACCTGGAAAATGTTCTGCATCTTAAAGCTACACTCGTTTAACCTCTCAACAGCTAAAATGTCCGACAATGGAATATCACAGCTGGGTTTCTGGCCCTTAGATTTTGAATAACTCAGCGATTGGGTGGTCAAGCGAAAATATCTCTGCTTGAAGTTTCTCTGCTTGAAGAAGATTTTCTTATTTTGAGCTCTCTTTGTCATCATCCTGCAAGACAAATGCCAACAAGAAGAATGACAATAAAGTAATCAACAATTGCAAGAAAAGAAAACCATTTGGAATCATTATGGTACAGAGAGAAGTAAAAAAACAGCAACAACAACACCTCCACAGCTAATGTCTTACCATTCCCTTTAACAAACCAAATCCACAGCAAACAATTGTGATTGTTAGGCATTTCAGTGTTCAAGAGAGAATCACACATGTTAGATGGAATCTGCGTACAAGTGAATATAAGTAACGGAGGAAATTACTTACCCTTCTTTCAGTAAAATTGGCTCTTGTTCCTTGTTTCCATCACAACTCGCACCGACTGTCGACACAACCTCGAGGAAGTGCTTAACAGCCATCATGTGCTTCTCAGTGGAAAATGCCTTGTACAATCGTCCAGTGTACTCCTCCTTGCACAGTTGCTGAGCCGATCTTGAGCTCACCAGGTTTCCAAGAGATTGAATTGTCTTTGAAATGAGGGTGAATGTTCGATTTGTTTGTTCGTCCTGTAAAACGTAAAGCAAAAAACACACATTAGAAATATTGTAGCTTCTCTAATTCCAAAAGACATGCAAAGGAATTTTCACAAGAATCTGGCAAAATGGCCATCATTTCTCTCGTCATTAATCTCACATTATCTCAAAACGGGATGAGACAACGTCATTTGTGGAGCCTCGCGCCACGTGTCACCCATAGCACAGAACATGCGGCAGAGCTGTGATGAAACACACCACAGTGTGAGGGATGATTGGGGTATAGATTTAAAAACCCCGTGGCATGGATTTTTAATGGAAAAATTATAATCACATTACAACCCTCCTCCCACCACCCCTTTTCCCGTGCCCCACAATGTCGTATACTCTATTTTTGGCTCAAAAAACCCACCATATCACATCCATTGAAGTTTTACATGAGAGAAATGTGGGGTTGATTCATCTACAAGCCTGGGATGGGGAAGATAAATGTGCACTCAATGGATAATATTACGACAGTGAGTGGAAGAAAAAACGTGTGTCCTGCTCTACGTATCGATGACGTCAAGTCATACTCTTGTGGGAGGCTGTGCTTCATTGTTCTCCCTGAGATTGACACAGAAATAGAGACATATACGTATAATGCTATGGATTTAAACCCTCTCCCGTTGTGCGGTTACAATGTGGAATTAAACACAAGAGAATCTTGTGGCTGAAGAGTTCTCTATTCTATTGTTAGACTTAAGGCTCTTTTTCCTGCACGAATAACCCCATATCCCCATGATATAACTACTACTCACCAATGGTTCGGTGGTTAAGTCAAAGAGCTTCGGTCCGAGAATGGCTGGTGCGAAGAATCGCAAAAAGATGAATCCAGACACAACTGAGTATCTCACTTCGCGGTTGTCCGGGAAGAAGTGCTTGGCGGACTCCTTGAGATCATGGAATATTTGGCATAGAACGGCGGGACATCGCACAGCACTCGTAGTGATGGCATTGAACACCCTCTCGACGTACTCCTGCAGATTCTGAAGGTTACCATCAATGGCGCTGGTATCCTTGAGTCGCGATGGATCAATCTCGCACGGCTTCTTCTCCTGCACAATATCATCCACCACCGGTCGCAGTGTCTGATGGAGATACTTAATCCCAGTCAGTCTCATCGCCTCGTCCATCATCTTGGACACGAGTGTGTTGCCACGGAAAATTGTCGTGGGATCCGTGAGCTTGGAGATCTCATAATCGGCCAGTGCTTTGATCATTGGCGCTATCTTGTTCTTATACGTGAACAGTCGCACCAGTGGCTGCGCCACATCTGTCTTGTTGGACACCACCTCACCCAGAATATGAACAGCTGTCGTTGTCACAGGACGCTGTTCCACACTCTGCAGCAGGAGATTGAGCAAGGCGTCGTACGTGGCCAGTGGAAATACATGATCTGCCGCATAGTGAAGCCGCAGTCTGAGTGTCCCCAGAGAGCTGTTGCAGCTCAGTCTTGTGCCATTGGGAGTGGCACACGATGTCACTGGCCGAGAGTGGGATGGCCGTGGCTGCAGGAAATACCACGCGTCCGCCTGAATGGCATTCTGCTCCTGACGCCCGCGTAGAGGCAGTTTCACCTGACCCAGGAAGACATCCTCGCCCATTCCGCCACTGTGCCACACACCCACAGTAATTTCACAGAGATCCGCTCCGCCCAGTGGCACAATCGTATACGCATTGTTCCCATCGCTCTTCGAGTCCCCGTCCACACTCATGTCGAACACCACAGTTTCATCGAACACAGGATTGATGGTCTTCTTGCGGATCTTTGTTCGCTTCTTGATCACACGATTGTTGGAGTACATCGCCGACAGGACAACGTAGGGATCGCAGTTGCCATTCTTCTTCGCCAAATTCCCACACTCCACAATCCTCACCGCCACGCGTCCTCTCATCTCACCACGAAAGGGACTCAGAGTGTCCAGCATGTTGACACTGGTCTTCTTGGACTGCGTTCCACTCCAAAGCGTGAGATCCGTGTTCCCAAAGATGCTCTTTGTTTTCGTCAATGTATTGCTTGTTCTTATCGCTTGCCTGAGACTCTCATTCCGTGTTACTCTCTCACCACTCCTGACCTCATCCACACTCTCTATGTCACATTCAACACTACTGGCCATTTCGTCAAAGTCCGACTTCCTCTTCAGATTGCCCGCACCATCGTCCACAGTCACCTGGATGTGCGCCAATCCTTGCACCTCTGAGTCCGCGTCCACTGGCCTCAGCGAGAACCAGTAATCCTTGTCATTGTACTCATGCAGATCCTCCCGCCTGATCGCCACTTTTCCCACCGCCTTCACCTGCTTCAGGTGTCTGTCCCGATCCCACACATACACCGACAAATACCGGAAGTACCGCGGGATCTCAAATTGATACTCCTCCCCGAAGAAAGGCGTGAGAGTCCGTTCAATGGTTGGCGTCCGACAGATCTCCTCCTGATCAAGAGCAATTGTGCAGAAGACATCACGGACGCCGGTGGATCCATTGGTTCCTCCATTCCGTCCAACGAGGTCCTTTGCATCGCCTGGAATACAAAAAAGAGGGAGAAATTGCATAAAAATCATCAACCACACAGCACAATTCACTATGACTGTCATGAGAATTTTTTTTTTGGATGTTATTAATCAAAATCCAACACGCCGCGTACAGAGAGAACAATTGGTTTACGAGGCACTTTCAGCAATCCAATCCATCTTAATTTTCATGTATTTCAGCTTATTCATTTGACTGAAATTTAATGGATTCATTTCTGACCACATCCAATTACGTACATACTTTTAAAGACAGAGAGAGAGAGTTCCCCGTCGAAAAAAAAATGTTCAGACTGTTACGAAAAGCTCCCAAAATGCGTGTAATCGTGCGAGAATTGTTGGCACTTAAATACCTAAAGACCTAATTAAACAGACATTCACATGACTGATGAGATCCAAAATGTAAGATTTGTTTTAATAATTTAAGAGAATACATATTTTTGATTGTGAAATTGTAATGCCGTAAACAATTTGTTTTTATGTAGAGTTCGCGTGGACTTTTATGAATATTTTATTAGAGTAATTTTGAATGAAGTTTTACATGAATAACTTTCTTCATTCATTGAATCTTCCAAATCTAAAAAAAACCTTGAGTTTTGCAATGAAAAATCTTCACTGTTTCACATCAATATGTAATGTCCCAGAATGTCCATGGCTTCGAGACGTCATTCATTCATTCCATTGTGCCTTTGTGTATACCTGAAAATGCCTAATAGTTGCATCAAGGTTGACGCTAAGGCTCCTGTCTGCCCAGACGATAATTTCAACCCTTTCTCCCAGTGTGTGTGTGTGTATGATTTCTGAGTCACTTTTTTATGTTCTCCTCATCCTGTCAGACATCAAGAGGAAATAAAAAGTCTCCACAGGAGCAATTAAAAGCCAAAGAATCCGACATTTAAAATAAATAAATTGCGTCAGTGTCGAAGAAGTCGCTCTTTGTTTTGCATCCGTTACAAAAAGACAAGGGAAACCCGGCGAGGAAAGAAGTCAGTCAAGTGTGAATGAGGTGAAGACTATAAAGAAAAAAGACACTGGGGCACAACATTTAATATTTTATGACACCCTGATAGTCATTATTAGCTGCACACACACTCCAAATAGTAATGAGAGTGACTTGAATATCGTGACTCTCTTTAGTGTTTGCGCCTTCCCCATTTTTTTTTTTATTCCATTGTATGAATTTTGCACAACTTGAAGCATTTCTTGTGAATCATTTTCATTGAAATTTAAATTTTTTTCACTTTTTCCTCTCTCACGTCCCGACCGTGTAGGCACTCTTTCCCCCATTCCCATTCTCGCTTTTTTGTCGCGTCTCCCAATCGAGAAGAGAGGAAGTGCGACAGCTATGAATTAAAATTGGGGTCTATGCTGAACTTATGCAAGGCAGCAGCGAATTTTTTTCAATATTTCCAACAAACACATCAAACCTCTAGCAGTTGTATTTCTTCTGTTGAAGATTCACAACTCAGAAAAAATCATTAAACATTCCTCTCGAGCGTGACTTCAATCAATGCGTAAATTTGGAAAAATTCAGCAAAAATAATAATGCAAAATGACTTCCTCGGGTGAAAACCCGTGTGAAATTCATCAAAAAAAATCTCTTGAGACAATAAACATTAAAATGTCTCTCATGCAAATATCAAGTGGGATTTCGGCAAATGATGATTGCCAGACAATTTAAGTGTAGTGTCTCGAAAGTAGAGACTACTCAAGGGGTATTATCAGTACAAATAAGCACCTTTTGTTGTCAACTCGTCACTCATACACCCTCTACATATTCACTTCCTCTACGCTTCGCCATCAATTGACTTCAGTCTCAACTCTCTGTACACATTTTTCTATACAATATAGCAATACAGCGAAAAACTACGAAGTTTTCCAGAGATTCTTTCATCTCTGAGAAGAAAAAAAAATACCAATACTTGGCTGAGTAGCCAAAACTGCTCTCCAGTGTTGAAGCACCTAAAGTCTTCATCGCTCTCAAGGTTTGTTTGTCGAATTACTGTGCAAATGAAAAGTGCCATTCATGCGAGCTTCCTTCCCTGATAAATACTCAATGAAATTCTTCCACACAGTCTTGAAGTATGGCAAAAAAAAGCGATAAATTCCCCCAACCCTGGGCACACCGCTTAAGGAAATCACGTAATCAGTGAGATAAGACACTTTTTTCGCATGTCAATTGATTATGGGGCCGCTTTGGGTGGCCATGGAAGAAGGAAAGGCGTCACAACATGCGCCAACGTCTTGTCCATTCATGGAAAATGTCGCCAAGAAAATTGGCCAAGAGGAAAGTGTGACCCCCTTCGTAGGAAGGACACATGGTGTCGGTGGAAGCCGAAGGGGAGAGACATAGCCGAGTGGTGGTGGCGCGACCACACAAATGTACAATCATCAACCCACATTATACAAAAGCAATACAGTCTCTCTCCTGCGGGGAAGCGTAAATGAATCATTCATGGAGGCAAAGCATGAACGAACCGATTCGACTCCCATTCATAAGCTACCCACAGGTCGCACACACTCTCTCGCGCTCGCGCCTGGCACTGTGTGGGTGAGAGAGAGAGTGGTGTGAGTCTCGGAATTGGTGGCGGCAGCGGCAGCCATATCGGAAATGGAGAAGCACCCAAATCTTCAATGAAGTCACTTTTCTTCCCCTTTTCGCCAACTCTCCACAGCAAATTTCCCCGTAGGGCACTTGTTTGTGGTCTCACGGAGGCCCAGAGATGGATTTCACGATGCCAAGAGGCAGGCAAAGGTCCCAAATGAGGGAAAATATCAACACCTGTAATTCCTCTCCGGGGCGCTCGATTCACTTTCGATCCCCCCACTTTTGACACTCAACACACACTTTCTTGGCCCATTGAACACTCGCGAACTGTGCCTGTTTGCCCAGTTTTCGCCCCCTTTCGCCCGGTCACCGGCCCGGAGGGCATCACACTCTCGCGCAGCGACACTTCCTGTCCCCTTTGTCACACAATTTAGGGAATTTTTAGGTGAAATACATACCTATTTTAATTCTCAATTGCTCCTCAACACGAATTTTGCGTGTGTCGTCCGCCATATTGAATCCATAACTGGTTTCCACCACCATTTGTTGTCTCTTTTCTACTTCATTAGGCACACAAGATCGACACTTGACTCTGTCCCTCTCCCACCAGTTTTTCACGAGAGTCCAACAGAAGAATGATGCTCCACTGCTCTCATACATGCAGAATCCACTTTTCTTGCTCGGTCGCTCTCGCTCTCTTTCTCTCCCCCTCTCACTCTATCCCGATGTACGCACGCACACACCTTCAAAAGTCGGCTCCTCTGCTCACTCTCTCCGGAGGAGATTCTCAAGAAAGGCGACGTCTCCCCTTTTCGTTGCGAGTGTGAACAAGAAAAAAGCGCAGTCTTCTCCCAAATCTAACTGGATTTCACACTGTTCGGGCACACAAGAGAGAACACGAAGGGAAGGTTTCGTCTTTGCCATGAATTGGTATGGGTGGGATGTGAAGGAAAATGTGCATTCACTGAATTTCACAAGTCCTACGCAAAAATTCAAATATCTTCCTTCTCCACTCCACCACACTTCAATCTTTCACGATATGCACACAGATTATCCACAAGATCACACTATTAATCACCCACATTTGATCTTGTGGGTTTTTCCAGCCGATGATTTTTCTGTGCGAGAGGAAATGGCTTTTTTTCACATTTCCTCGTGCATTCCACACACGATCGTGTAAATTTACACTATTGACTCGATTCGTCCGATTTGCCCCCTTGTTTGGCACTTTTCAGGAAGCGTGCGAATTGCGAAAATGTCCAAAGAATGCCTTCAGATTCACCTCAGTTCAATTTTCTCGATTCAAGCACACTTCCGGTGGCGAATGAAGTCAAAAGGTTCGCGAAGAACACTCAATGGAAGCATGAACGGTTGAGAATTCTCTGGGGAAAACGTCCTCCATGCTCACGTATGCCAAAATGCAGAGAGAGAGAGTGATGAAAAGTCGCAACGACAGCAAAACGATCCACACAACACAAAAGCTCTGCGGGTACTGAATGAAGTGAGGAAAGGCTTCAATGGAAGACACTCCAGCTGTTGGTTTCTCCACGGCCTGGCACATTTCCCGTCTCGCCCATGCAGGCGAATGAGATGCCAGCGGAAAGAGCGAGACGGGCAATTCCCTCATTTTTTTCGGGTGCACGGTGTAACGACGCAGGAGAACCCAAAGGCCTCTCGGAGAGACACTGAATTGGGCCTGACAGAGTGGCCGCCAAGTTTCACTAATCCTTCCCTCCCCCCGACAGAGCGGAAAGGCGCACCAACTTGTGCCGACACGGGAACTCTTTGGGGTTTAAAGACTCTGTGTTCTCGCACGTAGATGCCTCCCGAGAGCGATGTGAAGTAAAATCAGCAGAAAAGTTTCAACTTTTGATATGATTTCCAGTTGAAATTTTTTGCAATGAAAAGAGGAAAGATAAGATAAAATAAATTTGCAGGAACAATCTTAGAAAAATTTGAATGTGTTCAGGTGTGCTTTCAATTGAGTGTGCGTGACGGGATAGGATTTGTGTTGGAATTGTTTCTTTAATCACTTAGTTGGAAAATGAGAGATTCTTAAATTTCACTTTCTGAGACAAATTTCTGACCACGAAATGTTAGTGTCAATGTCTCATGTCTGTCATGCAAAAAGATCTGAATTGCCCTCTTCCTGGAAAGTAGATTGACTTTTGGAGAAGACAGGTAAATGCAATATCTCGCCCGTCCAAATGCTCCCACGTGAGGGTTGACTGGCGACAGAAGGCGCACCAGAGAAAGTGACCTGAATTTGGTGGGATTCTCAGGGATCATTTCCTCTGGTCTCTCTCTCTCTCTCACACACATTTCCATGGACTCAATGGCTATGTATTTCCTTCGACAATCCGTTTTGCCTGTGGCGAATTGGGAACTTCCTCTCCTACCTGGAAAACAATCCCAACTACAGATGCATCACTGAAGGTTTTCCGGTGTTCTGGAGCGAATTGTGGGATTATAAGATTTTCTCACACTCCTTATCGTTTTTCTTGCCTTCTGTGGGGGAAAAAAAATACAAACTTTGGGATGGAAATAGGGCATCTCGCGGACAAAAAAAAGGAGGGAAAGAGAGAGCAGGAGGGGCGGCTGTGAGCGGCGCATGCGTGGAAATTGCACACGTGTGCGGAGAAAAGTGTGTAGGCGCGAAAAGTGCATTAGAGTGAGAGAGAAGGAGTGAGCGGATGAATGAATTCTTGACACTCTCCATATTTTTCTCCCAACCTTCTTCTCCTTCCTCTCCAACCAGCAAATCCATCGCTCAAACCTTTTCTCTCTCCTAAATCGCCTCCAACGCAAAAATTTTTAGACGCCACAGAGAAACCTCATCTTCAACGCTCAAGCGGAAAAAGTTACGAGCAAGAGAATGCAAAGAGGGAGACGCCAGATATCAATGATCCGCTTCCCAAGCTATTCTTCCACCCATGGTGATTTTCACATGAAAGAATTCACAAAAAGCCCACAAAAGAATTTATTTTCTCATAATGATTCTGACACCGCAATATTCATGCTCATGCCGTAAATGAGGAAGTGAGAGGCGTGAGTGAGACAGCGTCATTGGAGGCATCAAAGAGCGAACGAGATGGCAGGAATGCATGTGAGTTTTAAATTTTAACGGAGGTAGAGCGAATTGTTGGATTGTAAACGCACCACAGCCTGATTATTACACATTTTTAGTTCAATGTGTCGATTTTCTGAGGTTCTTGTTGTCAATTTGTTCAAGGTAGAGTATCAATTTTATCAAGTATCATTTCCTCGTGGCTCTTTTCATTCTCTCCGGTGAATAAATAGCGATAAATGTTATCAAAAGTTCTCTTTCGCTCTCTTTGTTTACTATCGCATTTCGTGTGTTCGATACCATATGGCGTTGGCTTCCAGTTTAAATGTCACAATACGTTAGTAAACTTTTAATTGCAATTCTTGCAATTATAGTGAAGATTCCAAGGAAAATTCCTATACAATTATCAAAGTAAATTAGGAGATTTAATTTCCATTCAGTGCCTGATTTACAAGCGAGAATTCTATGTATCGGATTTCACCGCAGAAGTCAATTTTGAAATATCTTTTAACATAAGAGAGATGTACTTGTATGATAAGAACACCACACTTGTTGATTCATCAATGGGCGCTTTCAGCATTTACTGGCAATTGTGTAACAATATAATCATTCGAAAAATCTATCATTTTCATGACTCTTTCACTACAACTTTTCTTCCTGTCGCATCGCAACCCTTGGAAAGCTTGGGAGGCACTCACTCGGTTGGTCGACATCAAAGGCAAAAGCGTCGGGGGTGGGGAATTTATTGGAATAGTTGCATGTTCATAGCGTGTTCTCCGGCTTTTTCACATCCCTTTGGCTGTTCTGTGCATTCATCAGACGGCAGAAATAGCATACACTCATGGCTATAAAATTCATGACCCATTTAATACAAATAAGAGGTAAAAATGATCTCTTTCATGCCACATAATCCAACACCCGGGAATCGCATTGTAAAAGGCCATCCTCGGTGGGGACAAAAATAGACCCAACATGAAGGATTTCAGCTGACAAAAGGGCGAACTGCTGTCTCTGGAGGAGTGTGTCTAAGGGCAAAAGAGGGTGGATGTCTTTCTACGTGGATTTTCTCACCTTTTATTTAATACTTTAACACTTTTACAAACATTCAATATAATTTAACTAGACTTTAGGGTCCTTTAACAATCTCATTTTCTACTCCCCAAAAATGACACTTTCCCATTACGAAAAATAATAATGTTCCTTCTTGGTGGGGAGATTTCCGAGTGCTGCTCGGCATCAGCACTGAATCACTCACTTAGATTACCTCTCGAGGAGAGTAATGCTAAATTCCATTGCTCTTGGATGGTCTCCAAGGCATGAGCCACTAAAGATCTGAGCTTGTGTTGGTGTCATTGAGATGGAGATTCCGAAAAGTGGGAATAACGGGAATGGCACTCAAATTGGCACTTGCTGGTGCTGAAGATGATGACGTGAGGGATGCTACTGTTATCTGCATGACGGGATAATATGTCTTTAGATAAGTGTATTTAAAATATGTTGATCAGTCTCACCTTCTTCTGATTGTAACTTCTGCCGCGAACTCGCGTGGTGTTTCGCCGAATGGGATTAGACGGAACTCTCTGGGACACCCTCACTGAGCTGAAGGTGCTTCCCCGGCGACCGAATCTCGTTTTGGGCGAGGGAGTCGCGGTGGCTGTTGCGAGAAAAAGCACGCTTTTAACATTCTGGCTGTGAATATTTGAATAAGTAGCTAAAAATTGGAGAATTTCATGCTTGAAATCATTCAAATATTTGGGAAGACATTACCAGCATATCTTCTTTCCGGATTAATTGTCACATGTTCACGTTGTTGGTGAGAATTGAGGAGTTTTTTCTGTTTGTGTATGTACAGTTTGAGTAAAAATTTATGCAAAAATTCAGGGAAGTTACTCAGGAATTTACGTGAAATTTCACAACTTGTTGAGAAAATGTTACATTGCTTTATTCAAACATGTGCAAATGGAGATGTTTTCATATATTGATGGGATATTTCGTGCAAACTTCATTCTCAAAAACCTATTCTTCTAATATTCTGCAGATATTATCTTACAAGTTGTACTTTTCATGCGCGTTAATCAGATATTTTTTGGGGCTGCTCGCATTTTTCATCAATATTCGGATTTATAAATGGTTCGAAGGGGTGTAATTGCTGGAGAAAAAGAGTGTTGAAAAGAAATTGTGTAGTGGAAATGAGTAAAAACGAAGTGTACGTACGCAATTATAGATGAAATAGTTAATTTTTTAGCACGACTCCAGCCTTGAATGATTGTTAGAAATTTAAGCAAAGGTTTTTTGAAGGCGTGTACTTAGATATATAATGTCTTTTGGGTCATTTTGTAGGCAACATCGAGGAAGGATGTGTCTTGCTGAAGCAGGACCCACGACGAAGTGCTCCCTCGGCAGAGAAGGTGGGAGTGAGTGTGAAGAGGTGCAAAGTGAAGGTGACGAAGTGAACTTACGTGTTGAACTGTTGATGGTGCTCCTCTTGGAGGCCTGCATCATGCCAAAGACAACGGCTGCGAGAGAGCTGTGATGCGACGTCTGACGCTGCAGTGACGGCGTCTGGGCCTGAGGGATTCCCGCTGGCATTGGAGTGGGAGACATCAATTGACTGGCAGGCACATTGAGTCCCAACACCCAATGTGTCAGCATAATGCCCTTCCCCTTCACGTTTATCTCTCCGCGCACCTATTGAAGGTAAGCAAAATCACTTCATTAGCAGTTGTTTTCGACCGTTTCAATCACATTTCAAATGCCATCATTTTTTTTAATCGATCGCCCAAAACTTGAGTTTGTTTGAAATGGTCAATTTCAGCATTTTACTCACCACGCAAGTGTATCCTTTGGCCTGAAGAATTTGAGCTGTGTAATCTGGCACTTGAATTTTCCAGTTCTCCCCCGTGGAGTCCATCCTGGACGCCACATTGACGGTGTTGCCCCAAATATCGTACACAGGCTTTCGAGCCCCAATCACTCCGCTCACGACTGGCCCACTGCTGATGCCCACCCTCAGTTGGAAGGTGTTGAAGGCGTCCTTGTTCACCTCCTGCAGCTTCTGTCGCATGGCCAGGGCGAACTCCACGAGATCCGACACGCTGTCCTCTGCGGAGCCACCGCGCTCGATCTGATACTTGGGATTGAGTCCCGAGGCGGCCATGTACGTGGCGCCGACAGTCTTAATTTTCTCAACAGATGCAAAACGCTCCTCTTCGAGAAGTGCATCAAAATCACAGATTATTTCGTTCAAAATTCTTATGCACGCCTTTCCGTTCTCAATGTCCTCAGAATAGAAGTCCTGGAAGTTTGGAATGGAGGCAAACATTACACCACAAAGGTTGTGCATTTGGGCGTAAAGTTCATCGGTACGCTCCTCGGAGAGATAATAGCTTGCCACGTGATCGGGAAGGATGTTTTTGATGAGGAGATCATTGAGAACACGATTGGATTTCATATTCGTGAGCTCCTTCTCCGCTTGCTCCTTCCAGATGAAATCCAGTCTGGATGTCACCTCGACAAGGCGAGCGTGATAGCACACCATGGTAAAGAAGACACCCAACATTATGAGCATCTGTGCTGGCAAAGGCATTCCCACATGCTCTAGCTCGTACTTTATGTCCTTGATTATGAACACATCGGAGAAGACCACGAGTATGAGGATGGCGTAACAGGTGACCATTCCGATGGCCATGAGAGTCTTCACGAGATAGTAGAGCTTGAGGGCGGTGGCGAGGGCTATCAGGCAAAGCACCCATGTGAAGACAATGTACTCCGGATGCGCACATGGGTCATCCAGATCATCGCTTGTGGAGTCATCGTCTGTGGTGTTGGTGTCAAATGTAGTGGCATTGATGTCCTTAAAGGTCCCGTCGGAAATGGAGTTTCCTGTTGTCGATGACTTCCTGATGTCTCGTGGTACTAAATGGTGGGATGATGTGGAGTTGGTTGGTATTGTAGGTGTTTCCATAACTGGATTGATTGTAATGTTGTGGTGAATGGTGAGAAGGACATTGAGGTGGATTTGCGTGGGCTGGGCCTGCTGGAAGGCCATCACTTCCGGTTCACCAGAGGATTCGGTGAGATTACAGATTCCCAGTCCGATGGCACTTACCGCCGACATGAGGACAATGATGAAGCAGATGAAGATTGTCCGGCGATTGCGATGGTGCACAAGAGAGGCGGAAATACGCTGTAGAATACTCGGAAGCCGGGGAAATTCTTCAGCCATGACAATAATCCAAGCGAGAGTCATGAGGAATGTGGCAATGGAGAGGCAAATGATAAGCACCACACAAGTGGGCAGGATGATCACCTGACAGAATACTATAAAGAGCCACACCACGAAGACACAGAGCATGTTTGATCTGAACATATCTTCGCGAAGTTGGCAGAACTTCCCTTCTTGTGCACTATCCTTGAACTTCAATGTCCAGCCATAGAGGAATTCCTGTCGCATCTGCTTGTTCGTGTTTATCTGTATGTTCTGGTCGATGAACTCATCCACCTCCTCCGTGGCTGACAGGGATATCCTTGTTTCTTGCTTCACATAGTCACTGGCCATTACGGAGTCTGTGCGATTGAGACCATCGCGTCCATCGAGATTCTTGAACGGAATCTCCGGTGTCCAGTCAGTGGTCGGTTCATCCTCATGTATGGTATTTCGCGAGCTTCTCTTGGAAGCACTTTTGCTGTCCTGACGACTTGTAACGGAGTTCTGGGCCTGAACACTGGGCTTGTGCTCTGAGAATCTCTGTGGTGGCTCTTGAAACTCACTCCCGCGGTGTATCAGACGTTTGCGAGGTCTGCAATATTAATAGATGCAAGTATATTTCATCCCTAAAATCAATACACAACAAATTACCTCAAGGGCTCAGTCCTCTTAATTAAAAACGTTTTAATATTCATCATTTTCAAGTGATTGTCGCGACTGCCACCATCTCCGGGTTCCACTTCATATGCATCATTGAGGCAATTGAGAGTGGCTTCGGAAATGTGAACTCGCCTGCAAAGGGAGAAATTGTCACAGGAAGATTAATTTCACATGACAAAAGCATCAAGGTCGCTATTCATTTCCTGGCCCCACCGCCTCCCCCCGGCCACATTCCGTGTGCGAATTCACGTCACCCCAAATTGAGGCGAAATCTCATGAAAATAGCCCATTATAAGCTGCCTTTTATTCGATTTTTAGTGGAGCTCTTAAATTTCACTCACTAAAGGCCACATTGTATGCTGCGTATAGTCGGGATTTGGGATTGGAAAGGACATTTCAATCTGGCATTCTAGTGAATTGTATTTTAGTGAGCTATCTGTGTAATGAATTGCATGAGCTTCTGTTAAAATTTATTCTATTCTTAATTTATTACCCTTTCGGTTGGCTTAATTTAAATAATATGTAAAAATGTATTTCTATAGTTTCATTTCAACACTGAGTAATGTGTTGATACAAGAGACTATGATGAATACTTTATTAGAATAGAACTTAATATTGAATGCCGCATGATACAATATGCTGAAGGGTCTGACAAGACAATATTAGTGCCCCCACAAGACTCCAATGCTTATCATTAATTTATTTGTGCTCTAGCTTTCATCTCTGATAACTATGTAATTTATTTGAGATATTGTCTACACAGGCCTGTAATTGTTTACCCTCACTGGAATCCCCGCGCACAAATTGGGAATGTTGGGGTATTAAATAATCGACAAGTGACTAAAAACAGAGCACTTTTGGCCAGTGATAAAGAAGGGTGAAAATGTGAGAAGTGCTATATGTTGTCCAATCAACATCGTACAACTCCGCTTGTAGCCCAAACATTTTGGGCAAAAATTTATTGATTGTGTTGTGTGGAAACAAGTGACTCCGATAGACACCGAATGATTATCCAATTTTTCTGGGTGGTATGATATTGATAGAGTGACGAAAATAGCGAAGGGAGACAGAGAAAGAAAGATTGCAAAAAAATATTATTGGACGAGCTATAAATAATGGGCTAAGACATGTCCTGGGTAGTAAACAAAACTCACCCAGGTATTCCGCCTGATTCCATGTGATTAGCGATAATGACGTCATTGGACCACACATCAAAGTGCCATTTCTTGTCGCCGAGCACCCCACACATCACGGATCCGCTGTGGATTCCTATTCTCATGTTGAGGTCCACATGTGTGTTGTGACGGACATCCTTGATGGCGCGTATCATGTGGAGTCCTGCCTCGACGGAGCACACAGCGTGGTCTGGCCGCGACTTCCAGCTCTGGCTGTCGAACATGGAGACGCAGTAGTAGCAATCTCCCAACAGTTTAATTCTCAAGCAGTGGTTATCCTGTGCGTCAGAAGAGAGTAATTGAGTTGTATGTGCTTTTTGGAAATAATCCACAGCGTAACTTCCTACCTCGGCTATTCGATCGAATCTCGCAAAGAGATCATTGAGGATTCTCACAAGTTGTTGGGCTGATGTTCTACTTGCGAGTTCCGTAAATCCTTTGATATCGGCAAAGAGGATGCTGACATTTTCCATGTAGTATATAAAGAGCTTCTTAAATTGGGCATCAACATTGGCGTCTGCACCTTTGTACATCTCCTTCCTTATGTCATTGTTGACAAACATGGGTAGAACTGTAAGAAGGTCGTCATTCTTAATCTTTGGGATAACCGAGAGTCTTTTTTCGATAGGAATCTCTGCTGTGAGATGACAAGAAGGAGTTGGGAAACGAGTTGAGGCAAAAAAATTGGCCACGTGTGTGCCAAAATGTGAAAGAGATCCAATGAAAAACTTGATGGATGGATTGGAAATGATTAGTGATTGTCCCACATATTCCTCTCCTGACTATTCCTTTTGTAGGACATCCTGTGGGAAAATATGTGCGATATTTGGATGAGTCATCGAGATAACTCGTGACCTGTTTTATTTTTATCGTCCTATTTAATGATAACTACAGGACATGAAACCGTGTTTAGTGAGCACAACTTATTAAATGGTCGGTTGGCAAATGGGTAAATTGTTTTCACTTTAATACACTACCACACAAAGTGGTGGAGCCGAGCGAGTATACTTTTTCCTATGGCAACATGTGAACTGGAGTGGATGATAATTCATAGGGAGGTGCGATGTGTGGCTCGATAATCGCACATAACACGATATCATTTCACCTCTCACACCCCTTTACATATATGTTTTAGCATAAAATTGGAAATTGCCAATACCATTTAATAAATTGCTTGTATTGGTGATGAAATTGGAAATGTACAGATATGATGTAGACACATTATTCTTCCTCCTATTTCTCAACTGAATCACATTTATGATAAATAAATTCAATATGTTTCGACAGGTTTTTGGGGGTGTGTGAGAAACGTATGCATTTAAATTCAATAGGATTTTCATATAAAACTTGTCATTTTTCCCATCTCTATCAATTTCATTCACATTTTTCACCCTCACCGGTGGAAAAGTCTCGCGAATAGGCAAGTGAAGCAAAAAAAATTGTTGATTTTCTCTCTGTCGAATCGGTGGAGGAGATATGTATGTTAATATATGTACATAGTTATACTCACTGGAATCGAGAAGTTTTTGTGTTCGCTGATACTCCTTTTCGGATTCCTTCTTGTGCTCCATTGCCTTGTGTGTTTCTATAAAAGCAAGTCTCTGGCCACGATCTGTCAGGTACTTTGTGTACATTCCCGCAAAATTGATGGCGAGATACAGGAGAGAATTTGCTCCTAGTTGTCTCAGAAGACAGGCCTCATTCTATAAAGAATTAGAACGAAATCAGATTGTCTTGTCAAATCACACTCAAACCAGAGGGATTGTCGTGAGGTGTCTTACCACATTCTTGTGAAACTTCTCAATAGTCATGACGATGAGGTGGCACATGGCTGACACGGATCCGGCTATCATGCACCACTTAAGGGGAAGCGGAAGCATGGCGTATGGCACGAAAATGATGAAGAGAACATACCACACAAGATATTCTCGTTCAGCGAAGCCCATTCCTTGTCCCACGAATCCTTGAAGGTTAAGCAGGAGCCATGTGCAAGTAGCTGCCCAGTGAAGGTAATTGTTGGCGAAGCATCGCCAGCAGCCGAGCAGGCAGATTCCTAGATTGGCGATGATACAGCATATGGACCAAGTGATGGCCTGGGCAGTCACGGGAATGTCTGGTGACCGACGGGTGATCCAGACCACGGCAAGGATGAGCTTGAGCAGGAGATCGACTATATTCACTATGATGAGAGATTTTTGACGCTGGCGGTGCGAATATGTGAGATAAGAGTGCTCCAGAGAGCGCGCCTTGAAGGAGTTCGTGAAGGATGGACAGAGAATGCCTTTCATCACTGTGCCACGCTTGAAGGCGGCGTATGTCTCGTTGCCGAAGGGTGGCGGTTCGTCCGAGGCAGGTTCAGGTGCACTCTGCTCACCTCGTCGATCCACAAGTTCAGTTCCATTGGCCGGTTTTATCACATCTTGTTCAAATGGGGATGTCTGAAGTTTCACGGCGGTGCAGAAGTCACCAGGAACATCTTCAGCTTGGGCGCCATCGCCCGGAATGCGGGGAATTTTAGATATGTCTGTTTTGGAGAGTTCCTGCATTTGTCGAAATTCCCATTAAACATTCAAATATGAAAAGACTTATAAATTTATGAACGGATGAAATCAACATTAAATTTTCACCATTATTCTTAATCCTATAAAAAGCACATTCTTAATTGGCCATTTCACCAGCGTTTTAGCTAATGATTCACTTCACGCGTCGCGTCTGCTCCCATTCAGAAAGTCTATTGCAAACAAGAGTTTATGCGGAGAATATGGATAGAATTTCCGATACTCACATCCGCTTTGCCAATCCCACTGTCGGACAGATCGTCATCCATGTCGGCTGTGGTGCCGTTGTTAACGAATCCATTCTGATTGAGGGATGAATTGGAAGCAGTGGCTGGTCCGGTGGATAATCCACGCTCCTCTTGGTGATTGGCATCATTGGCAATTAGGCGATCCATAACACGAGACCACAATCTTGTGGGTTTGGTCGCCCTGCAATGGATTTAACACTTTTTTTTCAACTTTTAATTAAAGCACACACGTTCTCGTGAGTATAATCTCCACACGCCAAGGCGCCTTTCACTCAGGGAGGGACACTCTCACGGGTATCTCATGACAAAAGGTGTGTTCACTCCCCTGTGGCACTTCTTTAATCCATGGCATGGAAAGTGAGACGGGGAGGTTGGGCGGGAATGCAAGGGACACACTCACTTTTGAGATAAGTACTAGCACGAATCGCCCAAAATCACTTTATCCCCGGTGGTAATTTATCCCTTTTCTGTGTGATTCCGGGCACAGCATCAAATAAATCTCACTATAACGATGCACTGCAGAGCCATGGGGGGATTTCACAGCAATTGTGCCGCTCCGAGGGTGACTGATAACCGTTGGCGCGGTGGGTGATTGGGTGAGCGACAGTTGAGAAGACTCTCTGGGTGAAAATGCGTCCAGTCGCTCCAAGCCACGTCCCGAAACTAAAAGAGGAGCTCTTGAGCGACGCTCCAAAGTGTGTGCGCGCGGATAGCACGACGGATGATGACGAAGGTCAGAGCGGTGGTGGACGGAATTTAGTGGCCGGAATGGGTGGCGTGGAGTCGCCTGGGTGTTGAGGCATCGTGATGATGAAATTACAATAATTACTTGATATATACAATGTGTATGCTCGAGAGGGAGGGGCGTTTTTATCATATTGCCGCGATAACATCAACGCGGATGAGTCAAAAGTGATTAGCATGCTAGGTAAGGTGAATTTGCAGAGTTTTCTCTCGCTCTCTGTTACAGTCGCAACGAGAAACACAAGTACATAAATCTATATTCTGCGGCCAATAGTTTTGCCATGAATCATTTATGCTGTCGAGTGTTTCTGGGTGGTTTTTCCTCCACCCACTTCAGAGCATCCTCTTGCCTGCCTGGCGGGCGGAAAATCTCTGAATTAGCTAACAAAATTTCCACTCTAATAACTCAAAAGCATTATACGGTGAGGAAGAGTGAAAAAAATTACTCAATTCCTATCTTCTGACAAACTCTGAATTTGATCCTTTTTGTGAGATTTTTTTTGTCGGAAGTCAAAACTCGCAGTTGATTTAGTGAGATAAGTATTGCGATTTATTGTATTGAAACTATATGATTGAATTAAAGATATCTGACAAAAATAATAATCAATACGAACATCCAAAAGCATATTTATTTGATTAGAGTTTCAAAATCAAATCCAACACATGACGCAGAATTGTTAAAAAAGCGGGCATTCTGCTGATATTTAAAGCCATGGATCAACAGTCTATGATGTGGGAGGAGAGCTTAAATGAGCCAAAAAACAATTGTATATAAATTAAAAGGTTTTTTGCCTGTTTTAAGCTCCCCAGAGTCCAGTGCGAAATACTGTTTTCTGCTAGTGAAAGCTTGAAGGATTTGTGGAAGATCTATTGGGGGAGAATCCCCGCGGATTATGTCTGCATCAGACAATTTTCCACCTGTTCCAGCACCTTTCGATCTCAACGTATTTCTAGCAATGTGCACTGTTTGAAATTAGACAGAATCCACTCGAAGTGTTGACGAAATTTGGGGTGGTAATGTTCAAACATCGACGGTGTAGAGCTATCAAATCACTTCTCCATCTGCTGTCCTCATCCATGTCTCTAGTGTTTTCGGATGAACGCGAAAAAGGGTTAATTATGGGTTGTTGAATGAGAAAATGTGTCGTCGTTATCGGAATCTGTGACAGAGCCGTGTGTTATCAATCAAACAGAGTAACAATCAAAGTGGCTAATAGTGTAATTCACACCATATGGCACGTTTCTCTCCAGAATACTCTTTTTTTTCACCATCGTGTGATATTCTCTCTCACTGTTTCTCTTGAGATGAAAATTCAGTACCAGAGATTGAAAATTGTCGTTATTCGACCCCACTTTGCATCCATTCACGCCTCCACGCCTCTGATTTATTGGCTTCAACGAGGCGGACCAGCACAATTGACCATCCTTGACAATTTATTCAATTTTTTCCACGTTTCATCCTCCTTTCTCTTGCATTAATACGCAGAGTTGGATGTCGATAAAAATGTCTCGAGATGCTTCAGTGGTGTGCAAGGATAAAGTGGAAGGGGAGAAAAAAATACAAAGAGTAAGAAGAGATTCCTTGTAACAGTAGAAGATGGGTATTTTCCACGCAAAATATGTACATGGAGGAAAACAACAGCACTGTCTAGACACTTAAAGAACTCTATTTTATATTAAATTTCTAGAATTGTTCAAAATTAAGATCTCTGCATCGCGTTCTCTGTTTTCTGTCACTTCAATGCGCAATCCAAAGCAATTGAGAGAATTCATAAGAATTGTTGCCGAATTCCCTGCAGAAAATAATTTGATGTAAATTGTTGATGTTTGTGCAGAAAGTTTAGTTTAGTCTTAAGTGCAGTACAAGGTGCAGTTTAATTATAAACGGGATTAATGTTACTGAGCTCATTAATTGCATGATTCCATTTTCTACATACAAAAATTTAGCAACTCAGTGTTAAGTATATTTATAAGCAAATTTACTATTTCCCTTGATAAACGTAATTAATAAAACAAGCCAAGAAGGCATTTAGTTTTACGTGGTCATATATAATTTCATTTTGAGCATAATTTTTTTTGGCACATCCACAATACAACAGAGAAAATAATGGCAATAAGGTTTCATGTTTGTGTTCACTTTTCTCGGATGTTGTTGTTCAGAAATCCATTTTGGCCGCAAACAAAGAGATAATTTAGGGAACGAGAGAGAGAGAGAGAGAGAGAGAAAAGGAGGACAAATTTGGTGCATTTCAATCAATAAATTGACTGAACAAGAGGAAAAAAAAGGACGCGAAAGAAGGGATGGAAAAGTGCATAGTTTCTTGTGAGTGAGAAAGTTAATTTTAACGCTATAATTGCTTGCAATACGTGCAAATGAGGTGGAAGAGAAGGTGCAAAAGAATCGAGCCAATGCACCACCTTCAGAATTACCATCAAACACTGTGTGTTTGAGGGTGGGAATGGCTTGAAGTGCTCAGCATGCTCATTGTGTCGCCTTGTAATTAAATTGCATAGAAAAGCGAGTTCACAGTCTCGCTGAAAGTTCCTTCCACCACCGCCGAGGCATTTACACTCGGCAAATAGCTATGATTCACTAATCAAATTCATGTGTATTGGCATCGTGTGCGGCTGCAGATGGGTTGGCTTGAAGCATGGGTTATTAAATTGCGTCGCCCATTGAAAGCTCTCAGCGTGAGACACACATTAGGGTTAAAGCTCTCGTGCTCCTGTAAGTGGTATCGTCGGGGCCAAAGTTCAAAGAAGGGTAATTTGCAGATGATGATGCTGTATGCTAGAGGCGTGCGAGATGAGAGAGAAAAAACCTCACTCACAATTGAGTGAAGCTTGAGAAAATCCGTGTGGTAATTGTGGTGAAATTTTCATCAACTTGGGAGGTTCTTCTAAAATGTTCATTTCTATGGTGAATTAAATTCTTTGACTCTTGCTAAAATCTTTCTTCTCTCGAGTGTCGACCTTTCAAGTTGAAGTGAACGACAAGAGGAGTTTAATGTGGATGGGAAGAGGGAAAAATATGCGAAATTAATGCTCATTTTGTGACACAGTTCGTGACAAATCAAAAGGGATATCAAAGAGAATATCTAATTTGACTGGGAGAGGCGCATTTTACACAAGAGCTCAACAGAAAGAAGCACACAATTCTGGACATGAATATGATTGACATTTAATTTGTGGAATAAAATGTATTTTTATGAGTTGAAGAAACATCTTAAATGCTTTACTATCTCAAAATTAATATTCATGATAAAACTTTGGGAGCCTTGAAGCATTTATAGCCAATTCAAGAGGTAAAATACATATTTGCCAGAGGACAATCACACAGGAGGATCAGTTCGACTGTACACAAACACTCAGATAGATTGATGATAAATTTCGTGGGTGAATGAAAACTTATATCGCCCGATATGAATAATAATTTTCATGTCTTTTGCCTCTGTGGGAATAATTTTTGCCCAGAGAGTTTTTAACCCTCTCCCGGGGGGCAAAAGGATTCCACTTTGTTTGATTTTCATGTAGTTTATTTGTCTACCTGGCGGTATTTGTGCACATTACATTATATCAAAAGGTATAACTTTGAGGACAAGACGTGAATTTTCAATAAACCCCACAATAATTCCACCTTCATCCTCTGTGATAAATGATAGGGCATGGCAGATAAAGTATGAAATTTTCTCCTAATGACAATTAATTACATGTACGAAGGGAGTGACTCGTAAAAGGAGTGAAGCTTTGTGTTTAAAAATGAGGAATTGTTATGTGAAGCAAATTACTTCAATATAAACAGGTTTTTTATCCTTCCCAATTGGAATTTCTTCATCCATTCTGAAAATAAATTCACTCAATTTACTGTTCAATGTTTGATTTAATTCTCTTACGATTTGTACAAGCATCACACCAATACTAATCAAAATTACTGAACAAATTTTTCAAATGCAATTGAATTGAGAGTACGAAAATCAAAGCACAGCATACTTAATTGTTTTCATCTTCATGGTTCCCGAATTACAATTTAACAGTGAGAGCCATAAATTCTCTTAATTTTCATGTGAAACGCTTAAGTGAAAAGCGAGCAGTACTTCAATTAAATACGGTAATAAAATGTGTAATGTGATCGGCGTAAGATAAATAAACACACATTTTGTTGGGCAATTTTCCTTGTAAATTTGGAACTCATGGACGAGACTTTCTTAACAATTTTGTGTACTTCTTGGTATGTCAACACTTCTTTTTTTTCCGGGTAAAATTGCCATCAGAATGGTTCGTTTAATTGAAGATTCTGTAATTTGTCGCGCTTCTACATTTTGTCCATGAAAGTCAATTGGAAAGTTTTTCGGTGAGAAATTTGACAGAAAAAGGGAGGCGCACGAGTATTTGTGAGATGTAGGAGTAATATTGAGGGTGAGCACTTTGAGCGGAAAATGAGTTTGAATGTTGGTGAGTCTGTTTGAATTTTCTCCTAGTTTGTTTCACCTTTATTTTGCCTACAGAGCTGTAATTCTTCATCTCCACACCATGATTTGGTGTGGAGAGGAATAAATAAAAATTCCTCACAACTTTGTTATCAAAAGTCATCTTACAGCAATTCTATTTGGTGTTCTCATTTTCCTCCATCTTTCCATGTCACATTATTTTTGGGTGAGAAGCGGTGTAGGGAAACAGAATGAAGAGAAAGATGTAAAGAGTGGCCAGTGTAAGTTTGTGTATATTTGGAAAAATGTCAAAAACAGAGAGAAAATTGAATTTTTCCCCCATCCCAATTCACACTCTGTAAACTCTCTTCGGGTTGCCCACCGATTGATACGTTCAAATAAATGTGTTTCACCTTTCGTGGCCACCCTTTGGCGTGTGTTTATAAGGTGAAACTTGTAATTACTTCACCCTCTGGTTCTAAATTGAAAAATTAATCAAATAGAGGTATGAGTATTGGAGTCTTACCGCAAAGTTGTCGCCTCTCCATTAATATTATCATCCAATGGAACATTTATCGTAACATCCTCTGCTCCATCATCCGGAATTTCCACTTGGTGATGATGAGACGACGTCATAATTTTCCACTTCCACCTCACTTATTTTCAATTATTAGACACCCACACCCCAAGCCCTCGGCGACACCCAGATGGTGTTGTTCTTCGACACAGACACGAGGCACGCTCCCGATATTCCAGCCAATAAAAGTGTTATTTGCCAATCTATTTGTGAATTCGATTGATATTCGTGTCTTTTACATTTTGTTTTGACTTGCAGCCCTCATTCTCACTTTTCCAACCACAAAACTCACCGCTTGCAGCGCATAAATTTCCCTCCTACACTTTGCCGGATGATCGTGAAAATCTCAATGGGGAGACGATAAAGGTCCGCATTGACACTACACTTTACACATGCACCATTTGATAATTTGTGGAGCACCTTTCTTATCGCACCCACATAATATTTCGTCTCTAAACTCGTTCGGTTCCCGCCAAGTTGCGTGAGAAAGAGAGAGGTGAGATTTCATGAGCAAAGGTGTGGAAGAGGCACGAATTTACGCGAGGGGGTTTCATTTGTGATTTTTCCTGTACATAAAATTCACTTGAGAAGTCGTTAAAGTGCCAAGAGCTTTTCTACCGCGATGCGGAGGAAGTTTTACAGGCTTCAAGCCTCACGATGGCTGTAACATCCTTGTAAATTTCAATCCATGTAATACCTTTGCAAAGATCATAAAAAACGAAGAAGATGCAAAGTTTTTTTTCGTCATGTGCACTCAAAATAATTTGAATTTTCTTGTTACTTTTCAAGACAAACACGATAGAATCTTATGATTTGGACACTCCAAAGCCTCTCCATTCTTGTACCTATTCTTTACGCTTACATAAACCTAATTTATCATTCAGGAATTTAATTTAATGAATTTCGGTTGAAGTGTGTTTTCAACAATTCCTCAAATTCTAATTATATCTTCGTTGATTCAATTCTGCTAGAGTGAATTTAATCGAGGGTCATTGATTGTAATTTAATATATGGGAAACTCTCAGGAGATTATATCCCAGAAGTCCTGTTAATTTTCAACTTAAAACCTTGTGTGAGCTTTTCATGTATCGCACCAGCATTTTGTATGCCCCTCACGATGTTGCGCTGTAGCATATAAATAAAATCTCTGCATTATCATGGGCAAAGATCATTATACATATATGGTGGTGAAAGACAGCGATAAAGAGCGAGAGAGATAAACTTACAGTTCACTATCGCATCTTTGGAGATTTATGTAAATATTGGATTTTCTTCGGAGGAGAGCTTTAAAAAAAATGTATGGTTAAATAAACGGAAATTCTTGTATGGAAAAATGCTCTCGCAAGTCTTTTCTGCTCGAGAGCAGCAGGAAGAAGTGTGGAAAGTTTTCATCTCTGTGTGTATTTTTGATGAGGAAATTGATGTTTCTAGGAAGGAAAAGCCGCACTCAATTTTAACAGTGGTAATGAAGGGAAAATTTCTCCCGGAAAATGTTGGTTTGTGGCGCAATAAGGAGTGTAGGAAATTTGCTGGGTTGTGCGGTGAATGTCGAAGAAATCGTTCAAGAATCAGCACGCGAAATACAAATATGCGTGAAAGATTTACAGTATCCTTCAAGAAAAAATCTGCAATTAAAGCTTTTCAACAAAGTCGAGTGAGATGAGAGGAAAAGCCGTTGTTGAAAATGGCGTTCTGTGTATAGAAGCAACAGTTACAATATATTATGAAGAGACTTTGTAACTTTTAATCCAAACTGCAAAACAAATTAATGACATAATTAATTACGTACAGTCAATGTATATAAGCTTTAAGGGCTTCTTTTCATCATTTTTTATGTAAATGCACTATATACATATAAGATATTATCCGGGGGGATGAAAATCTGTGATAAGCTCTTAACCAGTTGAGAAATATTCATATCTGTATTCCAGCGTTATTAATATCTTCCACTTGACACTCTATCTTGTGCGCTTTTTTTTTATCTCCCACCGCCGGACAAAAGGATGGATAAAGAGACGTTTTAATTGAAATCTCTTAATAATTTCATTGTGACTAAAGGGGTTTTCGCATGAATGATGGATTGTCCTCAAGGAACAATTGTGTGGAAAATGGGCTGTGCTGAAGAACGTCAATAAAGAAAGTCGAGTGGATTTCAAGGATTCCGAATGAGTTACGATGGATATAAAGAAGAAAACCCGGATCATCAATTTTGATTGGATGCTCTTTCTCACCTCTTGATTGGCTTTCTATACACTGGCGTTGTGGAATCAATTAGGGATCAAATTATAAGCGTGTAAATTAATCCAGTTCCACTTTTGTCAGGAGTTTTTTTATATGATTTAAACAGTTGAAAGACCATTTAAGTGAAATTTAGCCGAAGAAGCTTTCTTAAATATTCAACTGCGACTTGAGTTTATTGCACTGCGTAATTTTTGTCGTCTAATTGCAAGGGTAATTGTGTGTGCAAAATATATACAATGGATATGGAGTTCGTCTTCTTAGGGAACTTTGGGAGTGAGAGTGGATAAAATTAAGGGGAGGTCGAGGAATTTGGTCTGCTTTGCGTATATATAAAAATCTTTCAATATCGAAATTCCTGACTGGTGAAGCAGTGGAAAAGGGAGACGAAGTGAAGGAGAAATTGTCGCAAAGTGAAGAAAAACGTCTGTTACTTAATATTCTCTGGGAAAAGGAGGAGAAAATCGGGCCATGATGAGTGACGAAGGAGAGGAAGAAACGGAAGAAAAGACAAGGCGAAGGTTCTAATGGAATAAAATTTTGGTGTAATGGAATTTAGCTTCTCGGAATTATCCTCAAAAAGTTGCCAATTTTCTACTTCACCATCTTTCACTTCTCTCTCGAATCCACCACCCTCGCCCGCCCGTGCCAGCTTCTTGGCGGGTGTAATTTACTAGCCTTGTGAGTTCATCTGAGCTGTGTGTGATTTTTTCCTCCGTCTCCTGACCATTTGGCTGTGGGATGAAGTTCCTCAACTCACTGGCCATCATCTGTGTCTGTTGGAAAATCCAGATATCCCATGCTCAAATTTCTCGCCTCGAGACTGGCGATGCCTTCGCCCCGAACGGCTTATGTGGGCTATTTTCGTATGACTTGTAATCACTGATGGAGTGAAGAATGCCAAGAAATTCTTCATAATTGAACCAAAGCTGTGGGGCAAATGGTGTGCAATAAAATCAAAAACAGACTAACAATTCAATCAAAATACTCTCTTTCTACGTTCAAGTTCCACCCAGTTTCCTTATCATTTATAGACTTTTCTGGCGGTTTTTGTGCGCTGCGGGAAATTGGCACGCACGAATTTTCACGCAATAAATTAACCTTTCAACACCTTTTCATAATCAAATATCCTTCTTTTCATTCGAAATAAATATTTAGCTATCCGTTCGTTAATGAAAAATTCTATAGTGCATCAAAAGGTAAAAAACGTGATATTTTTAGGAACTGGCTGACTTTCGACGAAATATTATGCATTTTTTTTTATTGAAATAATCAATAAATTTGTTATATTTCCCTCATTTCCGAGTATGGAAAATGTGAAACACCTACAATAAGATATAAATACAAATATTTGATATTGAAAACTTTGGAATGAACATTAAAAGTGTCGACAGGAGTTCCAATTCTTGGATTTATCTGCCCCTCAGTGGGCAATCCTTTCTTATTCTTCTCAATTGCAGATGGCAAATGGAAAAATATGTGAGAATTAGCAGAGGAGAATAATAAAGGAATTAACACGTGCCATATAAGAGGATTATCTGGTGAAAATGTGTCAAAAAGGCGCAATTTGGCGAGTGTGGTGGCGGAAAAAGATTGTGTGGGGCAGCATTTGTATCACTGGAGTGGAATTTCCACGTCGGTCGTGTAAACAATTCCATTGAGTGCTCGTCAACAATCCACCCAACTGTGATGTGAATATTTAACAAGGCTTCTGCGAGACAGAGAGTCAGTCAACATGGAAATAAATAATGTGAAAATGCGCCCCAGTGGATCCCTAATGACTTCTCGGGAAGAGATGGAAATGCAAGTGGTGGAATGGGCGCACTTTGGCGGATTTTCTCCTTGGGCGGGACAATGGTCAGTCTCAATATGAGTGGCGAGGATCCGCCGTGAGGGTGGAATATCCATCCCTGATCCCTTGCTATGTACAGGCAGCTGTTATGTACGGTGGAAAATCTTGTTGAGGGAGGGATTGTTACTTTCTAAAGAGGATTTTCACTTCTCTTCTCTTTTTCACTGCAATACTGAAGAGCTTCTCATGTTCACTTCACTGCCTTTTTCCCATCGCAATTTTGCTCTCTTTCGTTTTTTTCCCTCAATACGCACGCTTTTCACTGAGCTTAACGGCACGAAAGTTTTCTTCGCTGCGAGGCGCAACTGTAGCGGTGGAAAAACTCCGTCTGACTGACTCGCATGCTTGAGACGAACTAAATACAAATTTCCACGCTACAGACTTTTCCTCATTGACCCACCACGAACACAGAAGCATCCTCGTGGCGCAAAGGATTGACTACACAGGCATCGTGTGGGAAAATTGCTCTGTCAAATGTTGTCTAACATTCAACCGTTTTACTCCCTCAGGCTTGCAGGTATTTGTGTGATTTTCTCTGGCTTACAATGAAATTTTCACCACATTTGTGCGATTTGCAGCAAATTGTGAAATTTTCTCGAGTTTCTGATGAGATTTTCACCACATTTGTGTGATTTGCGGGAAAATTTTTAAACACATTGAGAACTTTTCCGAGGGAATTTTCTACACCTTCAGGATGAATACAGCATAATAAAACCACACGATGCTTTTGTACTTCATTAACAAACAACGTGAAAGCCAAGGATGGACAATTGTGGAAAGGATAAATAGAGAGAAAATTGCCGTTATTACCTGTCATAGTAAAACTCAGATCAATTATATTTTCACATCATTTCGATCTTCTTTATTTCAATATCCTTTAAAAAAAAATTTGTTTAAACGGTACTATAAATATTCAAATAAACTTAACAAATCTCTCAACAAAAATTCGCCTTTGAAGCAAAAGAAAAAAGCTCAAGAAAATTATAATTTTCAATCCATAAAATTTATGCTAGTCATTCTTTTTAGAAAACTTTATTAAGATTTTCGCAAATTGCTACAAAAACAACAACTTCACTTACATCAGTTGCACTCAGTATAATAAAGTAGCCTCAATGTGAAATTATATAGGTGAAGCTCGTTGAAACATTTCATGATTCTCATCACGAGTCTGTAGTTTACAGAATATATTTCACTGGGAATTATTTTTCCTGCTTCTCTTCCGTTGTAAGAAGCAGGATAATCACGCCCATTGAAAAGTACACTGAGAGTAATTAGGAAACCATATAAATTTTGAGAAAATATTTTATTTTTCACTATTTTTACTTCTTCCAAACACAGTTCATGGAGTTTTATTTCAATTTTCTTGCCATGTTTTTCTTTTTCGTTACAATTTTCACAAAACACTTAATATTTGTTTTTTCAATTACGCACTGAACGCATAATTGAAGAGATTACCAATTTATGCATTTAAGAAATTGATCAATTTCAATGCGAATACATCATGAACTGCCGTTTTAGATTTTGTGAAGGCCTCGCTTTTTTATCATCTTTCGTGGGCTACTTTGGAAAGCTCTCAGAGGCAAAGAATGTTAACTTAGCAAAATATGTGTGTTTCTACATCTTTTTTTTTCCTTTTCGGGTACAACAAATAAATTATTACAATCTTCATCTTTACTAAAAATATTACACCTACAAAAAGAGGAATCATATTGTTGTGTTGCATTCTAAAGACAGTTTATCCGACTCTCATGCTCTCCTCATCGCACTAAATACATGTAATTTTTTAAAAAAAGAATTTCGTTAACAAAAATACACGCCTTCTCCAGGTTAAGGATTCGCTGTTACTCTACTTCTCTTTAGCACTTTCTTCGCTCGCATCTAGTTTAGAATGTCTTTTATTCTCAGCTAAAATCACGCTTAAACTTTTACTACAACTGTCAAAATTACTTTAGTATCAATTAAGTCTAATCAAACATTTCTAATTTATCTTCTCTCTCTTTTATTTTATCATTTCTATGCTTCATCGAATTACATTCATATATCAAATAATCATATTCCTTTTTCTTTTTTTTAAGCAGTAACTTGTAACCGAGTGTAAATTTTGGTTGAGACGCAGCGATTTGTGCACATGTTGGACGCTGCGTGAGAACGAATGGATATATAATGCGTCTAAATGGAAAGGAGAAAAAAGTCCCGGAGGGTGGATAAAATGAGAAAATGACCGAGACATTTAGTGTCAATACATGTGGGGAGGGAGAGTGCGGGGAGAAGATTAAAACTAATGCCCTTCCATGTCCCCATCCTCCTCCGAGTCGGAGAAGTCATTTGGGCGACGATATAAGTGCTGAGCACGCTTCTTAGTCGGTGGTGAACTCGGCAGGGAGTCGTCACCCTGTTCAGGATCATCGTCATCCCCATTGACGGATCCAGAGGGACTCCCGGGTGGACTAAATGCCTGCATTATTCGCCCCTTTGACTCATTCCAAATATTCGACAGGCGCTCGCGTCCGAACAACAGCAAGAATGTCTCGATGAAGTCTCGTGACTTCTCCTCCCACGAGCGCAGAATGTCCCCCTTCACCTCCTTCGCCTTTCCCTTCAGCTCGTCCATCTTGTTCTGCAGCCGGAATTTCTTCTCATTGAGAAAGGAGACATTGAGGTCCTTGGCTGAATAGCCACGCGCCAAATTCCGACGCACATAGATGTCATAGTCCTTCACGATGCGCGCCACGATATCAGACGTGGACACACCTTCAGTCCTCTCGGTGGCCACAAACATTCCGCGCTGCTTCAGTGGTCCGTAGATATCGTTGGTATCCTCAGCGCCGTACGGGATCTCATCGTGCGCCACGAAGTCAATCTTGTGCTTCTCCAAATACTCATCAGATATCTCCCATGGTGCATCTGAGATGATCTGCAAGCAGAACAGGTCTTTGTCACTTTTTGTGCCATTGTGTCACAAATCAAATCCACATTTGAACATCTAATTAGTCTGAAAGGTTTTCAAAGCAAAACACAGTCATTTGAATTTGCTATTGCGAAACATTCATCAATCGAATTGAGTTCAATTTCAGAGGTCAGTCTTTTTTTTCTACAAGTTTAATTTAGTCCATTATTTAAAATGTGCAAGAATTGAGGTGGTTTATCTAATATGGTTTTGGCAATTTCTGTGCCACCAAATTCTCGTGCGTTTTTTTTTTCTTTTTCACTGAACTCATTCGCTAGATAAGGCATTTTTATTTGCTTCGACTTCTTCATGATCCCATTGAGTTTACACTATGTGATGTGTTGACTTCTATTTCAAGTGCAAACTCGCCACTTTTGGTCGATTTGCACAAGACTTTGCGAGTCTTGGTTGTGTACAAAAACCACCAAAGAGACCCCGATGAGATGCAACTTCAACTCACCTCATCCACGTAGCGACAATGTCGCACAGCCTCATAGCGCTCGCGATCGTTCATCACGGTTCGTCCCTTTCGACTGTGCGTGAGTTCATCACTGCAAACACCCACGATAAGGTAGATGTTGGGAAAGACGTTCTTGGCCTGCATCAGCTGTCTGGCGTGTCCCTGATGGAAGAGATCATAAATGCCGTCCGCATACACACGCACGCGTCGCGGTGCCTTGCCACTTCGTGCCATGCTGTACGTTATCTTGATACTGTAGTCACACATCTCGCGCTCCAGACACGCTTCTGGATCCGTAGAGAAGGGGGCCGGCTTGCAAATTGTCTGCAAAAAGTAAAGAGAAGCGGTGAGTCAGGAGAGTAGAAAGACACCATGATTTTTGTGTGTGAGGAGAAAGATAAAATTTAGATCTTTGCGTCATGACCTTCAAATATTTGTAGAAAAAAAGAAAAGAAAACCACACACATTCTCGTCTCCTACATTTTGGGAGAATCGTGCGATTTCTCTCTCTACACGTTCCCATATATTTCATCCAACATCCAATGCCGCATTTTCTGTCTACAATATTCTCTGAATTTCACAGCTTTTGTAGTCACAAGACAGTCAAATATCACTGAAAATTGTCAATCTTTGTAGTTGATTTATCAATATTCTGACCCATAAAACACAAGTTCATTCTTATGCTGTTGACTCATTTCTTATATTTCATGAGAAAAAGCTAGAATTCTGATAAAAGTCCACATTAAATTGAATACATTCAGAGTTTCCTCATCGAGAATCGTGAGCTGTGTAAGATTTGGCTGATTTTCGCAATAAAATCATCCATCTCGCTCTAAAAACTCTTTCATTCGCTCATACACACTTCCATGAAGAATTAAAGAGTCAAGCGCACTTGTCATGAAATAAAATCACCTGATTTTCTTAACTTCTCACTCAATATCAGGGAAGTACTTGCAATTGACATTGCTTTTCCCACCTTCGTCAATTAATCAATGAGTGAATAATACATCAAACTTGTCACTCTACCAACATAAATTGCTGAATTTACACCAGAGAATAAATGTCTGGCAAGACGAAAAACACACTTTCAAAATATCTCCTGAGATTCTCTCACATTCTTATTAATTATACGGGTCATTTATTCTCAAGCAAAATAGCATACGTAATAGATAGATAATATTTTAAAATATCTTTTCTTCTCAAGAATGAAATTAGGGGTAAATGGGGCAGTTTCAGATTGGGGCAGCTTCAGATTTCTTAATTTTCTCAGTGATTTTTACATGAATAAATTCCTGGTCTTCACACAATGTTTGTAGTCGTTAAGGACTACAATTGACGAAAATTTGCACAGGATTTGTCTTGACTGTTTAGATAAAATAAGTGAAAATTGAAAATCACTCACAAACTAGAATTTTGCTGCCGAATTGATTGCGTGTTTTCTCCATTAAAAAAGCCACAATTCGCGTGAAACACAATCAAAGGTTATTGAGAATTAAGTAGAGATTCTAAATATGCCCGAACTTTTCCTCCTTGGCACGGCCTTTTCAGTGGGTGGTGGAAAATGCACAAACACTGCACACGGGGCAGTTTCGGATCGCCACGGACTGACAACAGCGCGCTCTGACAGTCTGACGCAACATCACGGTCGAAATTTTCTTGTGGCAAATATTGAAGATTTTTCACAAAGTGCCGTTCTGTGCTGCATTGCTTCATCACGTTAAACGACTTCTTAGTGGAAAAGTGAGAAAATACACGCGAAAATCACTGATTTGCACTGATTTGATTTGTGGTGGCACTGAAGTTGCCACCACTCACGCATGGTGGCGTTGCGACACAGGAAAAATGACGGGCAACTTGCTTTTCGCTCAGACATTTTGACAGTGCGTGCAAGGGTCCAGAAAAGTCGCGAAAATATTACTTTAAAGGCGATTCTTAGGGAATTAAACAGTTTCAGTGCGTAGAAGAGATATCAAAGTGATCATTTGTTCGCGATTCTACAATTCCACAATGGAATTTAAGGTAAATATCAGTGAAAATCTGAAGCTGCCCCAGAGCAATCCGAAACATCCCCGTGCGGGGCAGTTTCAGATAAATTACAATATTATTTTTATTCTCCTTTAGAGGAAAAACCATCAGTTTTAATGCCCAATGAAAGGCATTTTCTGAAGCTCAATAGACGAGAGTTTATTTGAGCGTTGGGATCATTTCAATATATTCAGCCGATTTTTCAAGAAAAAATCCTAAAGTTGGAACAGCATTTTGAATCTGAAGCTGCCCCACTTACCCCTATATATCTGTGCTTAGTAAGAATCATGTCTGGATATTATAGTAAATATTTATATAATTCTCTGTGCTCTAATCTGTCTGCGTGTGTTGCAAAAGGCATTTTTCCTTATGGAGTCTCTAAACTTTCAATCAGCCACTGTACATCACGCGTTTTCAGCCACATTTTCGATCGCGTCATCGGAACGGAAATTATTCCAGGAACATTTCCACAGGGTGTTGATAAATACACTGTCGCTCGAACAGAAATAGAAAACACAGTCTCTCATTCTAATTCGTCCTCTGCCTTCCCGGAAGTCACAATGCCAGAGCAAAATTACCCACTGAATCCGAGGCAAAAGTGTGATGTAATAAGGGAAAAACTCATGTAAAATCAAGCGTATAAACTCACTATTTCGTCAGGAGACGTTTTCCACATCGTAGTAATTTCACTTTGCGGTATTGGTGCCATTGTCAGATGATTCTATATGAAACAATTCAATCCACAATCTTCCACTGCAAATCAAGATGCGGAGAGATAGTGCGGAAAGTACACTTCCTATATTGAATTTACAAAAAAGAAACAGCAAACGTTTGTCGTTCAGCGGTGGAATTTTAATGGAAAAATTTTCCCTGAACGTTGCGCTTCTACACTTTTACACAACGCGCACCACAATCAACGCGCACAGCTGAAGAGACACTGTATTGAAAATTTTGAAAAGAATATCTCATGAGTTGGGCCACAGAAAAAATGTCTAATATTTGATAATTCAAGTGACGCGCGATCAAGCGACTTGAGAGTTGTTCGGCGCTCAACACACGACTAAATTCACGCGGATCGTTTCTAAAAGTGCGGCCAACGAAACATTTTTTTTTTTACAGTTCTCGAAGCGACCTTTTTTCTACTCCTTTTACTAGATTTTTTTTTGCGATTCACGCAAAGCTCTTCATTACATGCTCTTTTTCGCTCCTCTACTTTGCACAATTGGAATTTCTTTCGCTGAAAATTGCTGAGTATTCTTTGATTGTTCACTCGCTTGGCTTCTCTTCTGTCGCCTCTTTGCTGTGTGTTTGTTCTGTTACAAAATTAAATCTCGAAGAGCTTTGACCCTTCAGTCGATTCATCCCAGTAATTTTGCAAATCTTTCCATACATTTCAAACACTTTGCCAACTCTCAAAATCCCAGATTTTTGCTTCGCATTTTTCTATCTCTTTCTCTCGCTTTTCCCCATCTTAGCAAGAAAATTAGTTAAATTTACAACTGTCAGTGAATTGTGGCATGATAATTGACATTCTCCTTCCTTGCCTCGGTGGAACTTTTTTTACATGGATTCTCAAATACTTATGTTTCAGGCAAATTTTCTCCCTTTTCCCATCACGAATTCTCCCATGAACTTGATCCTATAAAAAATCTACATTCACCCATGATTGATGCGTCTCTTATTTATTGCTCCAAAGAGACTGAAAGAAGACACTAAACTCACACACACACAAACGCAATGGAGAGAAAATTGACGCAACCGCGAATTTTTATACTAAGAGCAAAAACTCTTGAGACGTGACGACAAGAAAAAAATCACACAAAACTGGTTGTTTCGGCATCGTACGATCGCTTGGAGGTCAATTACGTGACTCTGTCCAATAGGATTGATCTCAAGTGATTCGTCACTTGATGACGCGAGAGAGAGTAATTTTCTTGCCATTTATGACGTGTCTCACGCCACGAATGTGAACATATTTCGCCTGCCAAGAGTGCCAAAATCAAAAAGACAGCCAAAATTCAATTCATATCACATCTTCAGATCACTTGAGACATTTTTGTGTGCTGCAAATTGGCTTAATATACGATTTTGCTGCTGAACGAGACAGAAAACGGGTCACGTACTCGTGGTGACTATGTGCTAATGAATGATCCCGGATTTTATATACATAGGTCATTTTTTCCCGAGCTATGAAAATTATCTGAGCAACACTCGAAGCGTATTATCTTGCACATGATGAGTAATCAGTGATTAGCCCAATGTAAATACACATATTTTTTTACCCTCTTTTACAATGTCTCTGATCGAGATTTTTCATAATAGCAAGTTTACCAATAAATTGTGCGTGAAGTCCAAACTGTGCGGTTTTTTCTTCATGTCAAATCGATAACGTATCATAAAATTGATAAAGTTTAGCCGTGAAATTTCAACAGAGCTTTATGATAGATCTTGCATAAGAAGATAGGCATTATCATACGCTTTAAACTTACAATTTATGAATGATTTTTTCCTCCTCCGGCAATAAGGAAAATCTTTCTTGTGTGGACTTTAAGTTTAAGTAAAATATAAACATTTCAGTTGAAAGTGAATATATTCTCTGACACAAATCAAAGCCTCTTAAGCTAGTCATTATATAAATATCATTGGAGGATTTGTTGACTCAACAGTTTCAGCACACAGAGATTGACATAGTTCACAACTGACCTCCGAGGGATTTCATTTGCAAACCACCTCCAGAGCCAGAGTAAATGACTATTTAATGTGGGAGATAAATCACTTGAGTAGTGTTTGGATGGCAAATGAATTTTTAATGTGAATTTCCAATTAGATTTTCTGTCATTTGCAATTTGCCAAATCATAAAATCCATTTTCAGAATTTGTCAGCAATGCTTTATCACTTGATAATGTGATTTTCAGTCATGAACATGTTTGAAGTTGAAACAACACGGAAAATAGGACAAAAATAGGTAACAAAATGTAAAAGGTGTGTTTGCAGTGAAACATTTGTCTCCTGTTACGAAGTAAATTATTTAACTTGACTTGCACAATAACAGTTATTTGATCAATCTTGCTGTCTTGATAAGGAAAAACGGTGATATTTCACCACTTTCAATTTGTGATTACAATTTATTTTTCAAATTCACAAATCGGAGAAACTTTTGCAAAAGCATTGATGATAATGACAGTGTATAAAATGGCAATAACAATATTCCTTCACAATAAAAACCCTTTTTATTGGCTATTTTGCCTATTCTTCCAATGTGTTTCTCTCTTTTTGTTCCCCTATTTGCTGAGGAAGGTGAAATTACACCTTTCTTTCTCAACTTGTGCTACATTTTTGCTGCTTTTTCACAGTGTTTTCTCTTTCTGTATATTTTTTTTTCAATTCTTCAACCCATCAGCCATAAAAACTGCAAGTGAAAGAGTTATAATTTTCATCTATGAAATATACACACAAAAAAATAAATAATTACTCATTTCACGTTTACGTGGACTGAGTGTGGCAAAAAATCCCCCCGCGATTGTCGAGCCTCGTCGCGAGTCATGCTGAAAAACTGTACTTTGATCAGCGATCACACCACAAAACACAGTAACACCCAGGCAGAGTGCACAATGTATTCAACGACTTCTTGCCTATCAACCACGGTCTTCCCATATCTCGAGAGTATTGAATTTGATGAATGTGACACTCACATTTCCTCTACGCCAGTGTCCAATTTCTGATTTGATTTTACGCTGGAATTTTATCAATGCGGCGCTTAGCATGACGTTTTATCACATTTCACGGGCGAGAGATTTTATTTTGGGAAAATCTTCACTCACACACACACACAAACTGAGCTGAGGAAAGCTTAGGTGAAAGTTCACGTGACTACCAAAAGTAGTAAATCAATTAATCCATGTACGAGGCAGAAGATAAAGTTCAATTAGAACTGTACAAATACACACCCGTTTTTCGATCACTCGAATCTCCCTCGTCAATCTGTCCAATGTCAGTTCATTTGACCCAGAAAAATATTTCTTCTATTATCACATCCCAAACAGAGAGGGAAAAAATTGTTAATTTCAAAAGACTCTTTGGGATACGTTTCAGAAATCACACAGAGATATGAAAATTGCGTGGCCAGAATTTCCAAAGCATTACACAGAGGGAATTTTTTTTTTTTTGGGAAAGTCAATACAATATTTATACGCATCAATTCTCTGTCAAATTCAATATAGTGAGTAAATTTTTCAGCAAACACCCACCAATTTTGCCCCAATCACACAAAAAAAAAGTTCCACTTATCGCGACATGGCGCAAAAATATGAACAATATTGATTTTTACGATAGTAATCGCAGTGAAAGCCCCAAGTTCAATACATAAAATCAATTATTATGGAATATTTTTCGTCGAGTGCGCAAAATATCTCAAGGTTAATAATCTAATCACACACCCGAGCGATGATAAGATTTCTCCTCGCACAGGTTCAAGTGGGTTTTCCTGCGAGAGTGAAATTCTGCAGTCAAAGAATTCATAATAATCATCAAAACTTGATGAATTATTTGCCTCAATGCTTTGTATATATTGGGCGTCAAGCGATCGATTCCCTCTCAGCTTGACAGACTCACCATGTGCTCAATTCTGTTCCCGGACGCCTCCTCGTCCATTGCCGCCGGATGGCTGCCATTCTGCTGGCTGGTCGCGGCGGCTGCAGCCTCCCTCTGGGCAGCACTCTCCTGCGCCATGTGCACATTCAGCTTGGTGGACAGCGCCTGATGCAGTCCCTGATCAATTGACGCCGCAAAGGACGCATCCCTTGGTCGTTTCCTAGTGCTGAGCGATGTCGCCGCTTGACTAGACGTTGATGCACTCAATGTTGCTGCAGACATATTTCTCTGTATCCCTGATTCGTCTCTTTGGAATTCACTTATTCTCCGGGATTAGAGCACACCGTGTGAGATGTCCTCGGTTCTCGTTTTGGTTGTCCACTTTCCTCTCACACCCACACACACACACAATTTCCGCAATTAACTCTTGTTGGGGGTGTCACTCAAGAAACTCGTGTGCATTTGACTTGTTTGACCTGCAAGAGAGAAGACGATTCAGAGAGAATTAGAGACACAGAGGACAAAATCATTAATGTCATCTGAGATTGGTGTGAGCGAGAGACAATTGAGTTGAATTGATATGCGCAGCCCAGAGTAGACAAAATAAACCTCCTTCGGGGTTGCGCATTCTCAATAGATTCTGCACTATCTTCCATGTAACTTTCTGAATTAATTTTCGTTTATTGTTCATTTAAAGTGATTAAAGTGGAGAAAGGCCAAGTGACTTTGAAGCAGTTGAACATGTGAAATTTATGTGATGTTAACTGCAGCCAATTTGACTCGGAAAGCACGTGTTGTTCAACTCCCGTTGAAAATGTTTAAAAATTAATGACAAACATTTTTATTATATACTGCGCCTAAACATTCAGTCAAAGTCGACAGTATCGTTGAATAAATGTGTCTTTTCTATCATTACAAAACTGGACAATTCTATAAATGTTTAATTTCTCTTTTTATAAAATAATGTAAAATATTTTCTTCTTTATTCTTACAACTCAAAATGCCTGCTTTTAAACCCATTTATTAAAAAGTCAGACAGATTCCGGGAGATATGAAAACTAATTGACTAAAGTCTCCAAAATAGCCATTCAATTTAGACCGAAATTGGGCCAAAACTTGGGGGAAATGTTGCGTGTATCATTAAATAATAATAAAATTTCACTCCACTTCAGCCCAAACTTGATAAAACGGGCTTCTTCACTTGCATGTTTCATGAACGGACAACACTCTTGGTATCCCTGGAGTGAGTCAAAATCTTCACACACTGAATATCCCTTCTTTTCGGGTTTCGATTCTCTTATGTAATCCGTCTGGCAAAGCTTCTTCGCCGCAGGATTCTTTCACACTGACTATTCTTTCTTATTGGTTGTTTTCACAGAGATTTGGAAAAAATTAACAGACATCCAAATTCTTTATTGATACTCTCAAAATATTGCTAATTCGATTAGATTGCCTTTTATCATCTCTCTCTCTCGCTGTTCAGATACAACACTCTGATGGTATAATTTGTGTGTTTGAGAAGATGTTTTTCTTGGAATCTCACGGCAGAATTTATGCAAATTCGGCATGTTTTAGCGTGATATTAAAATTTTACAGCATTCACTTGGTCACGAAGGCACGGTCGAATGCATTTCCATGCTTTTTTCTCCTCAACTCTCTCGTCTGCTGATTGTGTTTCACAGCAGAATTGCGGCCAAATGATTTATTCACGATGTTAATTTGTCTGATTTTTTTCGTGCCTTACTCTTGAGTCCATTTGCAAAGTTGATGATCTCCTGGGAAGACTGGTCAATAAATTGAGGTGTTGCCCAACAACCAAGAGAACACACAACACACTGGCCTGGACGAGTGATGAATGCAAACTGTGGGACACCGGCAGTACCTTCCGCGCTATCGTCGATTTGGAGTGATTCAACGAGTGGATTGCGTCACTCGCACGATGATTCCGAGAAGTCAGCTGATGGTGTCCCCACATCACGCCTGCGTGGAACTGGAACTGCTCGCTTGGGAGGTTGATTATTCCTCACTACGAGCCGCCAGAGGATCTTCCTCGAGCCCCTCTGCCATCGAACCATCGACAGAGGGTCAAATTCAGACGACTCCTCGGCAATCTCGTGGCATCAACATAATGGATTTGCCCTTCGAGGAGAGTGTTGTGGTGGAAAAAGGGGGCAATTTCACTGGCTCCAGTTCGATTGGCTCTCAAGCGAGACTGCCAATGATTTCTCTGGCGAGGCTTTCAGCCTCGTTTCCCAGCTCCCAATCAGCGCACAGAGAATTGCGTCGCGCGATAGGGCACCGGAAGTGTGTCTCGAATCGATTGTATCTCCACGTAGGCAAGAGTGTGAGGAGCACACACGGGCTCCCTGGGCTCAGAGTGTGACTGTATGCCAAGTGGGTCACAAAGGGCCCTCGGCTCACGCCACTGCCTGACACCAATCTCTCATGCGCCAACAGTGACGTAATCTCCACGTTACTCACTTCTGGTCACTTCGTGGCAGCGATGTGGCCGCCGTGCTGGCGCCACGGCAGGTGGCGATGCCCCGCTGAAGCCCGTGCAGTGCCCCCGCGGACCCGGAAAGTCTCACATCACGTGGACAGTCGCCTGATAAGGCGGGAATCCAGATAGCTGGCCAAGTGGCCCCGCCAGACATCTCCCAACACAACCGCCTAATTATAGCAACGACGAGGAAGTGTTTCTACGTATCTGACTAATCAATTATATGCAGAACTTGCTACATTTGCCCCCTAGGTGATCGCTGAAAGACGTTACCTCGACAATATTGCGCTTTTTTCTCCTCTTGATCGCTGTTTTCCTTCACAAAGGTCACTTTGGAGTCACAAGCAAAACATCACACAACTTTCGCAATTCTCACTTGTACGTGAACACTCATGGACAAGTTGAATAAGAATTTTTCTCCTTCCCTCGATGTGCCTGGAAAATCTGCGATGTTGTTGCAATTGTGCAAATTCTTGACTGGAATACACCACGCTGAATTCTCCGCTGATTATTTTGACAATACAAATGTCAATTTCCTTTCAACTTGTCGTTTATACACTGAAAAACTCGAGGAAATCGGATGTCTTCTCACTTTGTCAATGTCACTCTTAATGCTGAAGAGTTAGGTGTTGTCCTGAGTATTGAGTACACTTATTAAGTTCATTGAGTTTTAATTAGCACGTACACTTAGTCACTGCCGTTTCTGGTACAACATTATTTTGTACAGAAGAGTGTTTATGATTTTTGAAAGACATGTATGTTGGCTGTGGTGTTACACAGATGGCGCAAGCTTCTGACGCTGTGCGTCGTATAACAGTTGAATAATGGTATAACAGTGTAGTTGCCGCGCCATACATATTTGTCAGCACTTTCCTCGGAGTATATGAGGAATGTTTCCGTGTTTTCTTCTTAAAATATATTCGGGCTGATTTAAGAAGAAAAGTTGGAGCTCTTTCTGTATGAATTAAATTAATGGGAAATTACTAGACATATAAGCAGAGGGAGTGAAATGCTGGTGTAAAGAGTTTTCTTACGCGTACTTGGTGTAGTTGTATGCCGGGAATTCTTCAGCCGGGTCGTGATGGTGGCGCTAGTGTCGGTAAGCTGTGTGTTTTGTGGGGACAATAGAAGAGATTTTGTGGGCAGAAAAGTGGCTGAAAACTTGTGAAAATACGACCAGGAGTGTGTGTCCAGTGTGGCAGAGGTCGTGAAATTATCAGTTTTAATGTGCGCACGAGGCGATGTCGGCGTCAATAGGTGTAAATCTGCGGGTAACGGGCCACTGCAGCCAGGGCGGACGGAAATACATGGAGGACTTCTTCTCAGTGGCGTACCAGCAATCGGAGGATGAGAAAGATCTCGAGTACGCCTTCTTTGGCATCTACGATGGCCACGGGGGCTGCGAGGCGGCCACATACGCCAAGGAGCACCTGATGAACGAAATTGTGAATCAGAAGCTGTTTTGGTCTGAGAACGACTCTGACATATTGAAAGCCATCCGAGAAGGTTATCATGCCACACACAATAAAATGTGGCGTGAACAAGGTACGTACGTGTGCTCGCACACATTCACACGCCCCATGGACGCAATATCGGTGCGCGAGTGTGGAAAAGAGAAATCAAGCTGAGGATTCCAAAAGGGGAGCGTCATTTGTGTCTTGTTTGCCCAAGAACATCAATGAGTGACGCGCGGGCAGGTTCCGGGAGTTTTTCTTCTCGGAGACATGGCCGAGGGACTGCTGTGGGGAATTTCCCAGGGGCTCAGCAGATTCATGTGTAGTGGTAGGATGATTTTGAGTGTGTGGCTTTGGGTGGAAATTCCCCAGGAACTTTCTAGATTTTCACGTAACACACAGCGAAGAAATTGGATGAAAACACTTTCCTCAAAAAACAGCTATCAAAATAAGTCAATAAATCATTTGTACTCCTGTTTTTGATATTGATATCGTAATTTGCTGCAGAAGCTTTCAATTTATAGTTGTTTTATGGCCCTAAAACTCGATTTATGCAAAAATTCATGAATGTTCCATAAGTTCTGTCGGGTGTTTTTCACAATTTTACTCGTTGCGCTGTCCCTGAGTTCGCGAAATGCGGTGCCTCTTGGTGGATTTGGCGTGCGGTCGGTCTGAGCGAGGGGTCATCGAGTGCGAGAGGAGTAGAGGCAATCCCTTGTGTGGGACTGTGTGTGTGTGCCTTACGGCTGCACTCAATTTCCGCGCGCAACCAAAGACTGTGGGAGAGACAATCAAATGCGGTATAAAATGTGTATGGATTTGAATTTTGGGCGCCAAGATGATGTCGTGTGGCACGTGTAATTGATTTTCCCGCCTTTCTTGCACGGTTCTCATCGCAGGTGTTTTCTCTCTCTCTCTCTCTCTCTTTGCAGAAAAGTGGCCCAAGACGCCAACGGGATTGCCCAGCACTGCGGGAACCACGGCGAGTGTGGCATTTATTCGTCATGGGAAAATCTATATTGGACATGTGGGAGATTCAGGCATAGTTCTCGGCTATCAGGACGAGAGTGAGTATCTCGTGTCTTTCACCTTATTGTGAAATTCTCCACTCTCACTTGCGGCCCTTTCTTGGAAATGTGGATTGAGTCACATTGTGAGAAATGCACTGTATAGCGAGAGAGGGAGAGAATGGAGTTTGGTGAGTCAGATGCTTATTGGATTGTTTTGGTTTCTTTCTTTTCCCACCAGACAATCCTCAATGGAAGGCGCGTCAGCTGACGCAGGAGCACAAGCCGGAGAGCAATGTGGAGAAGACGCGAATTATGAACTCTGGCGGGAAGGTGGTGACAAAGTCCGGCGTGCCACGAGTTGTGTGGACACGACCGCGATTGGGGCACAAGGGTCCTGTGCGACGGAGTACGCCAATCGATGAGATTCCCTTTCTGGCCGTGGCACGAAGTCTCGGTGATCTGTGGAGTTACAATTCGGAATTGAATGAGTTCGTCGTGAGTCCAGATCCCGATGTGCGCGTGATATCCATTGATCCAAAGAAGTTCCGTTGTCTCATCTTTGGCACTGATGGCTTGTGGAATGTGCTGTCGGCGAGTGCCGCCGTGGAGACTGTCCACGGTGCTGAGGTGATCAATGAGCGCAATATGTTTGCCAATGCTCCAAAGAATTGGATAAATCCGAGCAAGTATCTTGTGGACAAGGCGCTGGAGAGGTGGAGCAACACCAAAATGAGGGCGGACAATACATCCGTGGTGACAATTATGTTGGATCCGCCAGGACCACCCAAAAGGGATCTCATCAGATCTACCTGTCCGAGTGGAGCGCATATTCTCGATCATGTGCTATACATTCAGAATGCCGGTGAGAAGAGCATGCTGGGACGGTGTCAAGGAGATATGGAAGGCTCCGCAGTTCCGCCGGTTCTCGCACAAATGCGTCCGCCTGATCCCTACGCACCTTCCACAAGTTTCGACGTTCAGCATGGCCTGCATGGCAGCAATCCAACATCTCCAACTTCCTCAGGATCATCCTACATGAGCAGTGGCTTCGTGGAGTCATACAATAGTCTACTGGAGGATCACGAGACTCCGTATCATCATGAAGCGTACACAGATGTCTTGCAGACGCCGCTGGAGTTGCTGCAGCATCAACAGTCCACATCACAATACGTAGTGGCGGCCTGTGAAGAGACATATTCCCTCACGAAGCTGGAGACTCGCACTGAACAGCTTTCCGCCATGGCAGCGGCATTCTCTGGGGACGCCAGAGAGAATCATCTCATGGAGATTGACTCCTTCCACGATTATGCGGGCTTCGGGGCGTCCACGTCGCAAGCGAGTGCGCATGAGATATCCCACCAGACGCTGACACATGCCGGCAGTGGACCCACCACTGAGGAAATCCTCGCCTACTGCCGTCGCATGACCGACAGGAATGCCCAGATGGACACTGTGGAGCGATACTACGCCACATCGGCGTCTTCGCCAGGCAATCCGGGCACTTCAGAGACTGCCGCGGACATTCAGGTGATGAACATTGTGGGCGTTCCTCTGTCACTGGACGACTCCGTGCAGATTCACGAGATCTCATCGAGCAATCTGGCGCCGTGCGACAGCATTGGGAGTCCGAAGGCGGGCGTCAGTGGCCAGGCGACCGGGCAATCCCACCAGATGGAGGAGGAGTTCAAGGGATGTGGCAAGAAGGACGATTGTGATATGACTATGCATGATGAGGGTGTGGATGCAGCAAATGTGCCAAGGAGAACGCTGAGAAGACCACAGCGTCCCAGTGCCAGGCAGGGCGTCGTGACGCGGTCGCAAGACGCCAAGACGCTGGTTGGCAAGGTGAGACAGAAGGAGAATACCAAAGCGAGGAGTGAGGTGAGATTCTGTCGCAATCTGACACTCAGGAGTGGAAAGATACTGCATGCCGGCGTGGGTGGGAGGCTGAGGAATGTCCACACGAGGGCAACGAATCGCCTGAGGATCCTGGCAGTTCACTAAGTTCTGGCAGAAGTCATTGGATGTCGCCGCACAATAGCGCCACTATTTTAATGTTTTTTTTCTGCATCATATGAGAATGATGATGCGAAATCATACACTTTCAAATATGATAAGAGGACATTTCGTACAAAGATATCTGTGGATGATATAAATCTGTAGCTGATAGAGTTATACTGACAAAGAGATACACATTTTAAGAGGAACATAAGGTAGAAATGTGGTAAAGTTTACAGAGATTTATGGTGAAAATTGTAAAGAAAACTATTAATGAACAAGTGCCTCCTTTACTATAAGAGAGAGTTACCAAGTTTTTTGGGGGAGTTGCACACGCTATTAGAAATTATACATACATATTCATCGATTTTATTTTATCAATTGACAAATCCTTTTTACCATATTTTTTAACACCTTTTATTGATAATGATATCATTGGAAACATATGATAGCTAGCCCTTCTAGTATATCGTAGGTGGCATCATCCTCATTAGCATTTACAAGATTACGTTCGACATTGTTTGCCTAAAGAGTTTCTCACTGGGTTTATCAAGAATCAAGTTGGAAAAATATGATTTTATTAGGAGTTCGCAGGTGACCTTCTTTTGTACTGATGCAAATGATCATCTAATGGCGTGAACAATCTTCTGTGTAATATTTACATAACACATTTGTCAAAATTGTTACTATAGAAAAAGTCGAAAACAAGAATAATATATTAGCTATATTTACGATAGTAAATTGGTGTTTTTCTTTCCTATAGTAAAATTTGTCTTTTTGAACTGGTTGTGAAAAAAAGCGCGAATCTTGCAAATTCACTCGCCGATCACAGCGCCTCTAGAAACGAACACCGCGCTGCCATTTATTGCTGTCAGTGCGGGAGTGATTTTTGTTGTAAACAAGAACGAAAAATGACTTCTCCACTGGATTTGCTAAAGTTTGACGAGACGAGGAAGCGCCCTTGGCTCAACGACAAATGGGGCTTCATTTTGGGTGGTAGCATGGGCTTTGGCTTGGGCTGTTGGGTGAATTTCATGCGGAGTCGTCCAATTCTTAGTGGTGAGTTACGTAAGTTTGCCCAGCTGATGATGGATTTCTCATGAGAATCCCTTCCAGGACTTCAGAGACACATCGGCTTTTCCTTGATTGGCGCCACCGCGTGTTTCTTCGTTGATCGATACCGTGACAAGTACATGTCGGAACGAGATGCTGTGTTGAGACACTATATTGAACTCCATCCGGAAGATTTTCCAACGCCGGAACGCAAGAAGTATGGCGAGCTGATGGACAGATGGATCCCAATACGCTAGAAGCTATGTGCAAACACCTTAAGTTTGTATAATTTAGCAATAATTACCAACATTTATTGAAATCTACATCACATGTTTCCGTAAATGGTCTTAAAGAGAAGCTACAAAATGAATGAGAAACGACGCTTCAGGACGAATGATCCCTATAGTTTGTGCTTCTGCTGTATAGTAAGTTATTGTCAGGGTGTACATATATTGAGGGTAATAATATGCAGAGAAATAGCAGTAACAAGTAGAGTTGAATCTGGATAATATGGAAACTATTGGGCAGCATGAAAAGAATTGTAACTTTGCAGCCCAAGAAGTTCTCTGAATACAAGTGCTTCCCGGTTTCCCTGGATGTGTCTCGTTGGCTCCTCAGTACTCCTCAATGGGGTATTCCTCGTAGGAGTTCTGCACATAGATGCCAAATAGCTGGATGTCACCCTGGATGTAGATGGTGTCCGGCTGGAATGCTGGAATCTTGACTTCAGACTCGCGGAACAGGTACTCAGAGATGAGACTGCCGTCGAGGTACACGTGGTAAGAGTTGTACGTGGATTGGATGCGCAGATCGAATGTTTTGCCCGGGACGAACTCCATGGGACACTCGCTGCGCTCCTCGCGAGTCCAGTCGCCTGCCATCCACGAGTTCTGGCAGATGATGTGTCTGCCTCCGGTGCCGTGGAAGCGTGGATTGAAGTGAAAGTGGATCAGTGGATGTGGCCAGATCTTGTTGCCCACTTGCAGATTGATGTAGAAGGAGTGAGGCAGTAGCTTGAGTCGCGCCCGGATGTGGAGCACATGGCCACTGCGGAAAGGCATCTCGAGACGCCCGAAGAATGGCACGTGGATTCGTGTGTCACTGAAGGCCACCGAGGGATCTTCATCGTCTGCAAAATGTCGCACATTCACCAGCCTGTTGGAGTTCTTCACCTTTTCCGGGTAAGTCTCGGCATACACCTGATCACTCTGCACATCGTGAACGTCTCCCTTCACTTCTACACAATTGACTTTGCTGTACGGGAGTCTGTGCTGGAAGGCAGCGACGTGACGCCCATTCACAGAGATTAAATAGGCCGATGTGGTGAACAAGACTTGGATGATGAAGCTGGAGCCTCGATGGAGACTGAATGGCAGCGCTGATGTTCTCTCTTCATCGCCCCACACGCCGCCAACTTTGCTATTGCGCACGATGTAATTCTGTGGCAAGCGGGGATTTATGTGCAGAGCCACATCTCGCTCTGGAGTGTTGAGTACCAAGTTGATGGAGAATCTGAAACAACAAGACAAACATTTCTTTAAGCTTCACAGCTTGCTTGAGTACACAATGAAGACCGGTGACGATTGAAAATTGACGAACAAAAACGAAAACAGAAAGCGCGAGATAAGAAAAAAACGCACTCTGAATTTATTTATACACATACACACCGCAAAACCATTGAAAATACACTACTGGCGATCTTTTCTGAATTCTAATGAAACAGAGAGGTAAAATGTTATCGTCGCACTTTATCCACCGCCTCGCGAGGCATGAAAATCAATCGCCCTATCAAGTGATGAGGGTTTAGGGCGATTTAGGGGGATTATTTGACATCATTTACCTTTCGCACGTTGGCAGAATCTCGCCTAGAATGCGAACACTGAGTCCATCGCGTGGCTCGAGGATGATTGGACAGCGATACACAACATCTGCGTCCGTCATGATTGCATTGTCCTCGGAGAACTGAAAGACAGGGTGGAAAAGAGGACAGAGAGTGAGTTTAATTTGAGCCGTGACTCATCCGTCAGCGCACTGAAGCCATACTTCAGTGTGAAGACAGACAAGGCAGATTGTGGGGAGAGAGAAGTTAATGGAAAAGTGTGAAGAAATGAGGTGATATTTACCACGGGCTCCCTCTCCTCGTCATTCTCATCTGTGGCACAGAAGCAGTCACAGATCGCGCACATTCTGATCACTTACAACTCCCCGGGATTCTCGCGCTCACCCAGTCCGGATTCAGGCAAGCACGGACTGACTTGGGTGGCATTGAGTGACGACTCAGCTAATTGTTCGCACTTGACGTGCTCATGGCTGATCGGCGGCGACAAAAAAAAGTGGGAAAACGAACGGGAGTGCTGTGGCGAGGAGGTGCGGATGGGAGCTAAAACCTGAAACCCCGTGACGCGGGTGGGAAGGGATGTGCCTGATAATGCAGCTCTCTGCCTATTTCCCCATCAATAGTACCATCAAATTTTGCGTACCTCAGCTGCATGTGCATTCAAATAACAGTTGATGGTGGAATTGGATGTATCGAGGCCTGTGTTACGCAGGTAATGATAAATTTGGTGGTTTTTCCTCTGGACAATGAGGAAGTATTTCAGGTGGCGCACAGAGCCGCCACTCTGGACAAAGATGCTCGATAATTGGTACACTTGCGACAGCGTATTGTACAGAACCGCTGCCAGAGCAGCCATATACTCTTCACTACACTTTCATTCGCTTTTTTAACTGATTTCCGACAATTTTTCACAGTTTCATCAGATCCAGTGATGATTTTTCATGGACATCGCAATCAGCTGTTTTGTGAGTGAGGTTAGAGTGAATCGGGAATTGGCAGAGCGCGCAACGGCGCAATTGAATGGGATTTTTATGCATGGCTTTTCTTTGTTTCTTTTTTGCTCCTGGGAAATCACGTTATTCCATGGATTTGTGAAATGAATTTAAGGATGATTAAGACACAGTGTTTCACTGTGGTTTTCAAATCCACCCTTGTGCAGCTTAAGGAACGCGAGGAGATATAATATATTAATGTAATGGATGGAATGAAATAAAAGTGCAGCTTTCCTGGGTAAAATGGCTAAAATCTATCCTTCCTGCGAAACCCACAAGAGCCAGTTGTATAAATAATAATACGGTGGAGTGATTTGAAGGATTTAGCATGTCCTTGCCGGGTTGTCATTGTCGTGATTTCATTGACGCACTTGTTAGCTCCACTGAATGGGTTGCCATGGCATCAAACACAACAGTCAAAGGAGTCCAGGCACTCTTTCACATCCTTTCCGTGCGACTCCTGTGAGGAAAAGTCACCCAGTCTTCGTGGAAAGGTGATCGATGTGTGTTTGAATGTGATAAAATGGGGATTTTTGATAAGTTGGCGGGCATGTTCCGCGTGCGCAAGGAGGAAGTGAATATCCTGGTTGTGGGACTCAATAATAGTGGCAAATCTACCATCGTTAATCACTTGAAGCATCCCGATGAAAAGTCCACCGTCACAGTTCCAACAGTTGGTTTCAGTGTGGAAAAATTTCAGAGTAAGTCAATGCGCATTTTCCGAAGAATGTCGTTCTGACTCCTGGGAAATTCCTTGCAGATCAGGGCGTCTCGTTTACAGCATTCGATATGTCTGGAGCAGGACGATATAGGAGTTTGTGGGAGCACCACTTCAAGTCATGTCACGCAATTGTCTTCGTCATTGACTCTAGCGATAGGATGAGGCTAGGTGAGTGTCTCAGAACCCTTCAACTTGATAGTCTTCTCTGCAATTTGTGGTTCTTGCAGTTGTCGTGAAGGATGAACTGGACATTCTCACTCATCACCCTGATATTGCTCATCGAAAGGTTCCCATCCTGTTCTTCGCAAACAAAATGGACTGTCCTGACGCTCTTTCCAGCGTGAAAATAGCGGCAGGTGAGTGTGTTCAGTGTTTCTCATGTCCCTCGCAAAATACATCCTATCGACCTTGTTTTTAGCCCTAGGATTGGAGAAGATCAAGGACAAACCGTGGCACATCAGTTCCAGCAACGCTCTCACGGGAGAAGGGCTTCAAGACGGCGTGCAGTGGCTCGTTAGTGAAATCCGGGATGGATTATTGAACAGGAGAGGCAGCCAGAAGGCTCTTCGATGAGAATCTTCGTGAGAATATTGCCCTGAATTATTTTATGCAATTTATGCGCTTGAATAATAAATCCATTTAAAATTTAAAGGGACATTTACCGATAAGAATTCTGCCGCAAGGTGGCGTTAACATAGGCGAAGAGAGTTTACATAACCTGATTTCTTTTCACTTGAGTGTGGAAAGAAAATAAACTTATAATTTGTGGTGTTTCTCGTAAAAATCATGAATGCGGGGCGAAAACGAGTGAATTGGCTTCTCTATGGATTCATAGGGACTGTTGCAGTAGTACTATATCCGATAGCTGTGGAGCCAATGCTGAACGTAGACAAATATAGTGAGTGATCAACAACTTCAAGATACTGATTTAATGGGATTTAAAGGATTAATACTATAAAATTATTGTTGTTTTCAGAGAAAATTCAAAAGAGAAACAGAGAAGGGGTCAACCAAGCAGAGATACAACCAGGAAGTAAGAAATTGATTAGAAATCCTGTGAGGATTACTTATTGTGTTTATCTCTTATTTTTTAAACAGATATGAAAGTGTGGTCGGATCCGTTTGATAGGAAACACGAAGGATAAAGATGAACTCTCCAGTCGTTGTTCTTTGGTTTAGTTGATATTTGAAGAAAATACACTATTTTATCAGTGGAATATTTGGTCATTTTCATTATCAATCCCATCAATCCAATCAAAACACCGTGAAGCATATGCTTTAGCGCGCTTGGTGCATCTGCATTACACCTCTGACAGTTCAGTTTGCGAGAAGAGCCACAACACGAAATTTTTCTCCTCGTGAAAATTAATTCTAATTACTTTTCTTTTGTGTATTTCCCCTTGTATTTATCACAAATATGGCCAACTACGTAGGAAGAGTGTCGAAATTATCCAGTGTATTGCCAAATATCTCCTATGGAAGTGAGTTTGCAATGTCGCCGGAGTGATCAAAGTCTGTGACCTTTGATCTCTTTCGTCACTGATGCAAAGGTATGGGATTTCAGGGCTCTCTGATCAGTTCACATGTGATCTTACAGGTTGGCGCACACTCAGCACTGCACCAGTTGCGTGGCAGAAGAAGAGTGTGGCCGACAAGACAGGGAAGAATATCGTGTTGGTGGATGGTGTCCGGACGCCCTTCCTTACGTCCGGCAGTGACTATGCCCGTCTGATGCCTCACGAGCTGGCGCGTCACTCTCTCGTGAGCCTTCTGAAGAAGACTGGCGTGGACAAGGAGGTGATAGAATACATTGTCTACGGCACGGTGATCCAGGAAGTCAAGACATCGAATGTTGGGCGCGAGGCTGCGCTCAGTGCGGGCTTCAGCAACCGGACTCCGGCGCACACGGTCACGATGGCGTGCATCAGCTCAAACCAGGCCATTACCACGGGAATTGGGCTCATTGCAACAGGAACGTATGATGTGGTGGTGGCTGGAGGAGTTGAGTTCATGTCGGATGTGCCCATAAGACACAGCCGGAAGATGCGGAGTCTCATGCTGAAGGCCAACAAGGCAAAGACTCCCATGGCAAAGCTCTCTCTTCTGTCAACTCTCCGACCTGGTCACTTGATTCCCGAGTTGCCGGCCGTGGCGGAATTTTCCTCTGGCGAAACAATGGGACACTCAGCGGATCGTCTCTCGGCGGCGTTCAATGTTTCGCGCAAGGAACAAGATGATTACGCTCTGAGGAGTCACACTCTGGCCAAGGAAGCTCAACAGAAGGGTTATTTGACTGATCTTGTGCCTTTCAAAGTCTCCGGAGTGGACAAACTTGTGAGTGAAGACAACGGAATTCGTGTCTCCTCACCTGATGCTCTGGCCAAGCTTCGGCCAGCCTTCGTGAAGCCACATGGAACGATCACAGCGGCCAATGCATCCTTCCTGGTGTGTTTAAGTATTATAAAGAATCTGTGTGGAAATCTTTTTGACAAGGAATACTTTTCTTTCAGACTGATGGAGCTTCAGCTTGCATGATCACGACGGAGGCGAAGGCAAAAGAGCTGGGACTTAAGCCAAAAGCATACCTTCGTGACTTCATTTATGTCTCCCAAGATCCCGTGGATCAACTACTTCTGGGTCCAGCCTATGGAATTCCTCAGGTTCTCAAGAAAGCCAATCTAAAGCTGAACGACATTGACGCATGGGAGATTCACGAGGCCTTTGCCGGACAAATCATTGCAAATCTCAAGGCGATGGACTCTGATTGGTTCTGCAAGAACTACATTGGTCTGAATGAGAAGGTGGGCAATCCGGACTTGAGCAAGTGGAACAACTGGGGTGGATCTCTGTCCATTGGACATCCTTTTGCCGCCACTGGAGTGAGGCTTTGCATGCACACGGTGAGTTATATGGGAAATCATTGGGAATTTTTACTAAACATTTCTCACCATTGAAGGCCAATCGCCTTGTCCGGGAAAATGGACAAATTGGAGTTGTGGCGGCTTGTGCAGCTGGTGGTCAAGGTGTTGCAATGGTCATTGAAAGACATCCTGATGCAAAGGCTGATTGAGGATTTCCCGAATAATTCGAAAAAAAATCATCACAAAAATCCATTTTTTCATTGCATTCTGTTTCTTTACTTATGGAAAAAAATCCCGAGGTTAAAATTTAAATTGAACAAAAGTTTATTTGTATCAATGTGTGGGGAATAAAAGTGCATTTTTAGTAAAGATAATATTTTTCTGCAAGTGAGATTCAAGTGTGATTTGTGGAATTACTCATTCAAGTCAATTTGCAGCAAATTTTCTACAATTTCATCCTTTTCCTCTTCAGCAACTTGAATTTCCGACTCAATTTCCTCTCCTGGCGCTATACTTGTGTTGGTAGAGGAAGATCCTGGTTGAATTTGCAGCTCAGCCACGCTTATTTCGCAATCTTCACGAGTGTTTTCGAAGCGTGCAAAAATAAACTGGGAATTCCAGGAGCTGAACAAGGAGCGCAATCTCTGCGGCGCACGCACTGGAATGGACCACGTGAGGACTTTGAGTTTCCCATCTTCCACTCTGTAGTAGTATGAGTAGATGCTGTAGAACATGGCCAGAACGAACAGGAGTGGGAAGAAGACAAAATTCCAGAAAGATCCTCCTTTGCTGGGCTTATAAGGTCTTCCGGAAAAGGATACATTTGCCGTCTCTGCAATTTATGGACAGTTTAAAGGCAAAATTATGGTGTGAAGATATTGAAATTGTCTTACCGCGTTGAAAGGGATGCATTATGGAATCTTGCAGGGCTTTCATGAGTTTCGTACTCTTCTCATCGTATTCACCAACATCCGTTATCACGAGTTGAAAGTACATTTTATGATTGACTTCCACGGAACCTAAGAAGTAATCAATCTCATCAGACTCTCCGAGTCTCCTCAAGTTTGGTTCCAGCAAACCACGCAGTTTCTTCCCATCAAAGTGATCTGGCTTTTCAATGAGAATCATGGCTCCGCAAATCTCACAGCAGAACCACACGGGTTTGATGGGATTCAGGCAAAGGGGCACTTCACAGAACTTCTTCTCATTGTAGCAAATGATGGGCTCACAGTAGGCGAAGGAAGTGTGACAGAGAGCCTGATCTGCCGTGAGATCAACTGTTGATATCACTCGATGCTCGGCGAGGAGCATTTCTGTGTTCTTGAACATCATCTGACCCACTTCGGTGGCCAGGAAGTGGTCAAAATCCTCAGCACTCACGGATTGATCACGCAATTTCATATGTGCCAGATCTAAGCAGGGTGCGAGCTGGAGATCAACCGCGAAATTCCTGTCTGGTGGGAATCTGACCTCGTCGTAAGTGCATGGAATGCGATTCAGATGGGGTTTGGCCTTGTTGATCCTCATGGGGGCTCCGTAGGAGTCAATTTCGCGCCAGTTGTGCGATAAATACCAGAAATGAGTGTCCGGTCGTTTGAATCTCGCCACGGAATCTCTGGGTTTGTCTTCGCAATCACTGGAAGGGTTGAGATTGAAGTCTATGTGACCGTTCCGAGGCAGGGCCACGGACCCATAAGAGGGCAGAACGACACCCTTGGTGGTGAGTGTCGGCGGCAGGTCAAGGAGCGTGTAGAAGTAGGCTGGGAAGAGGATTAATTGATCGGCACAGGGGAGGTGAGCCTGAGTCCACATTCGAGGGTCGGTAAACGAGAAATTTGGTACCCATTGTTTGATCCCCGAGGAGATTGTCGGGACCATGAAATTGGAAACGAGGCACAACAATAGAAAATCTCTCAACATTGTCACACCACAAACTGATCGGGAATTTTCTCCTTCATCAATGGGTGAGAGCGAGTGTGAAAAAAGGGGCGGATTTCTCTTTTATCTGCTACCAGCTTATGTTTTGGGTATTCTGCTCGGATTAAAGATCAGGCCTTGTAATTTGTGCATGTTGAAATATTCCCAAAATTGCAGTCATAGTGAAATCGCTGAAATTACAGGAAATTTTCCTACTTTTCAATTGAAGATTTCCCGTTTTAATCCCCCATGCGACTGCTGGGAGGGTCGCAGCATGGGTTTTTCCTCTGTTTCAGTCACACAAAAAGTGTCGTGTTATGCTGAAAGTTATTCCAGCTTTCCGCTCAACAGGGATTTATCGAAAAGTCGATCTCCTTTTTTGCTGTCCTCTCGTCGGTTCTTATATATTTTGATTCCTGAGGGCTGAACATTTCAATTTCAGGGGTAATTTTTCATCCGCCTCTTCGGCGGCATTGTTGAGCGAGGGTTTGATGATTTGTTGGCATTGTAACAAAAGTGTGCTGGTTTCCACAGAAAATTCTCTTTATTTCACTTCACTGACAAATATTAGAAAATAATATTTACAATGCTAAAGTAGAAATGGAGAAAAATTAATATATATAAATTTCTAAAAATTGACATATAAAATAGATGTGTGATTTGTTGAGTTGACACTCCGCGTCTTTAGATGAAATTGATAAAAGTATGTTGAATTTTGGAGGAAAATGGGAAGTTTTGCGCAATGAAAGGGGACTTGAGGGGGAGTTCAGTTGCTGTTCTTGGCGGTATCGTTGGCCTTTTGGGCTTTCGGATAGACAATTTCGGCATATTCTGTGGGTGTCTTCTGAGGTGGTGCTTTTCCCTCTTGCGAGGGCTTCAACATGAGTTCAGCGTACACAATATTGGGCTTCGAATCATCCTCCTAGAATGTTTCGTGGTTACATTTTGGGCTGGGAAATTACAATCTACATATAATTCGGACAGCACAATTTGGATATAAGATGGAAAACCTCACCTTCGGTTCGGTCACCTCGTCCGTGATGATGACAGTCTCTTCGCTGTCGCGCGGATGCTGATCGTCCTCGGCGGCCGGTGGGGCTCCGGTCTGCTGTGGCTGGGACTCCAACGCTTCGTGCTTAACTGTCGATGGGGATTTGTTCCTCTTGAATATGGCATTTAGTGACAAATTCGGTTTAATTAATTTCTGTGGCGTTGGGCGCGGTGTGAAATTCTCCAGTGGCTCACGACGATTTTCCACACTCTCTGTGTCACTTCTAATTCATTTTCGTTGGGGTTTTTTAATCGCACATTTGGCAAAAGTCAAATAGCCGATAAACACGAAATTGATGGGGTGAAAAGTGCCAAAATGGAAGAGAGAGAAAAAGGAGGGAAAACATTAACGAATTTCCTATGGGAAATTGTTCCAATTTCATTGCTAATAATTTCATATCCTCTTGCCTTGGGAGTGTATCCTTTTTCATGTCACTTTGCGTGCAGTAAGATTGCTAAATTGTAACACAATTAGACGAATTTATGGATGAAAAAGACATGGAATAGTAAACACTCCCTTCGTGAAGAATTTTGCTTTTCTACTTGCCCAGACCGGAGAAAAAACTGGAAAGCAACTCGTGCATCATGCAATTTGTAAAATTTCCACTTCTATCAACCCAGGAAAAAAAACTCCCAGAAAGATTGTGAAAAAGAGGTGTTTTCTTTTTATATGTGAAAGAATAAAACTTTCTTGCTACATTCTATAAAGTCTTAAAGCTAAAATTAAATTATTTACGGTTTGTGAATTATTTTTATGCTAATACATGATGGTATTGAAGGACTAAACCTCAGAAGATCGCGTCATAATTCGGTGTAAAGGCCTTTCTCAATCAATGTTAAGACGATTTGACTGTGAAAGAGAAAGACTTACTTTATGTACACTTGTGAGGAATCTGAGTGAAAATCCAATTATCGCGGGATCATCTGATAAGACATGGCTGAGGTTTAGTCTTCAAATTCCGTGCTGGTGGTTATAATAGAGCGTGTTGGATTAGAAAATGTCGGTGCTCTTGCTCTCGCGATTGATAAATTGTGGCTGAAAGTGATCCGGGAAGCGCCCAGAGACGGGTGAGGATGCGCTGGGCGATGGACTGACGGGATATCCCGCCGGCGGAAGCGCCACTCGTGGGGACATTGTGCCGGGCGGTGGAGTGCTAACGCCCTCATTCACCGTGGAGGAGTCACTCCTGACAGACGACCTACCTGGCATCACTTTGGCCATGAGCGTTGTGGGCGTCATGCGGGAGAGGAGAGATGTTCTTGCTTCGGGTTCATGCTCCCTGTGCGTAACAACCAAATATCCACCAGGGTTAGTTACAGCTTTGTGATGTGGCGGGCAGGATTTTGTGTGCATTTTGTGATAGAAGGAAGTCAAGAGGCAAGAAAAGCCATGAAAACACAACAATAGCAAGCCCCTTCGGAAATCCCTCTCACCATTAACTATCACCACGAAAAAAAAACACAATCCCTAAGCTCTATTGACACTACTCACGTTTCTGAGGCTCTGGGAGCGGAGTTATCTGCAAAGAGGGGAGAAAAGAGGAGTTTTTTCTTTGATAATTGATCACACTCTCGAAGGATATTTGCAGAATGGCGATGTTTTGGAATTGAAATTCCATTTCTGTTGTATTAACAAAAATTTATTTGTTTATAAATAGCTTGTGATTAAGTAGAGTTCTCTCTTCACAATAGTCATGAATTTCTTGTCTTTTAATTGTTTATTTTCCCTACATTTCATTTCACAATATGTCATTGTCCATTAGAGTATAGAAGTGAGAATATTCAAAATGAGATTCCATCGTTTACAAGAGAACTGCTCTATTCTTTACATGAATAAAAGAAATGCTTTTTTTTCGTTTAAAACTATCGCTACAAATTACATGTAATATATTCCTTATATTTATTATAGAAAAAAAATATGGTCCAAGATCACGAGAAATAATTTTATAATATTATCAAAAATTGTACATTTTTCCTTTCACGTCTCGCACACTAAAAAGTTATTAGAAAATATTGAAATCTTTCATAAATCACTTATTGTGATTAGAATTGAAGAGTTTAATAGTTGGTGGAAGAGATTCATTTGGGAAATTATTTATGGTCTCTTTTTGCTCTCAAAAGCGATTACTACCTTAGTACAAATTAATCATTTTTACCTACTTATTTTTTTCCTCTTCTACGAAAGAGAAATTATGGACTCGTTCTTCGCATTTTTTTTTACACACACGAATTGTTGTACACAAAAGAAAGGCAAATTAGAGACTAACATTTTCGATGCTTAGCATTGCTACAAAAAAAAGAACATCATTGAACACGAACTACGCAAAAATTCATCAATTTGGATGGAATTAATTTTCAATATAAGAGATTATAGCGTCACTTCTTATCGAGTTTCTCCAGAATATGCTAAATGTGGTTGCCTTTTTCTCTTCTGTTTCTTTTTTTCTTTCTTTGCAAATCAGACTGAAGTGTTGGTTTTGCTCTCAACGGGATTTCCATTTCTTGTCTTATCATGGTCGTGTTCTTCGACCTCAGCTGCATCTGGATGGTGCTTTCCCTCGTCGTCGACTTCATCGTGATGCGATGGAGCAATTTGGGCCTCAGAATCAGGACCAATGTCAGTGTTAAGTGAACCTTTAATTAGAGAAAGATCAAGAACTAACTTCAGTTTTTCTCGAATAACGTCAGTTAACAAGATTCATCCAAAATAATTATACAAATATTCATCTTAAAAGATTTCTTTTCTCCTCTTTCTTTGTATACTTTTTTTGTGGAAATCTGAGTTAGTTCACTTGCAAAAGATGACAAAACGACATTGCAAAATGTGAAAAGAATGTTAATTCAGTGGAAAAATTAATTAAAAATAAATGATTTATACAAGAAAGTAAAAGTTAGCTCTTGTTCTTCTTGTACCACTTTTCCTTGCTGATTTATTTATAAAGTACATAACGTATGTCTCCATTGGTTAGACTTTGCCGATGAAATTTCCCCTTTCCCAATAACCATTGCAGTTTATTGTAAAATTGACTGCATTTTTCTGTAGTCACCCTTTTGTGACGCTGGAATCTCATTTTCTCTCTACACATCCAACAGTGTAGCTTTTTTTCACAACAACAACAACAAAAAATGAACCAAGAGGTGCAATGGAAAATTCAATATATTCCAATTTCACGCCATGAATCGCTTCATTGGCGTTTTTGTCTAAATTTGCATTCATTCTGGGGTGTTTTTTCTCTCTCGAAAAGCCTCGAAATTCAACTGTTTATCATTTCAAGAGTTTCGAAACACTTCGAGTCTCTCGCCTATGCAATGAAATTTTCAACTTATGTGAATAATTGTGACATTAGTACATGTGATATTGATGATGTTCATGCAAAATGAAGCACCCCAACTTATATTTTGGGATGATTTAAAGTGACAATAAGTGGGATGCATGAGGGAACAATTTATGGGGATGAAATTGCGTGTATGAGAAGAAGAGAGTGACTAACCTGAGAAACACCAACGTCCTGTTGCACGTGCCACGACAATCAAGCCAACGATGATGAGGATAACGAGCACTCCAACAACAATTCCAATTATTGGTCCGACACCCAGTCCAGCCGCTGCAAAAATATGATGTGTGTGTTATATTCAATTATTTGCCCTTGGAAGCACTTTCAACCCTATCTAAAATCTCTGTGCGGTCGTTAATTCAATTTCCCAGAGGGGTTCGGGGAAATTTCCCTTGATTTTCATGCGGAAACACATTCGATACAATTCAATTTTCTCGCCTAACACTCGCTATGCACATAAATGAATGTATAGTGAAATATTACGAGAGAATAAAAAAAAAAATTCAGCTTCCTCGCTCGCCGTGAGATTCTGTACAATTTAGAGGTCTCTGGCTCTACCGTTGGACTATTATTGAGTAACCTTAGTCACATTTTGACCCAAAAAGTCACCATTCATCCATTGAATATACATCATCTCAGCTGCAGACCAATTTGGCCTCAGCGTTCTCTTGCGCGATCACGTTCTTGAAAGTGTGCATTTGAAAAGGTTACTGCCCAGGAAAAAGAGAAAGAGAGAGAGAGAGAAAGGTGGCTTACCGGGAGCGGCCTCGGAGGAGCTGATTCGCACTTGGTAATCCTGCGCGCCGAAATCATTGCTGGCTCTCAGGAGGTAGTCCTTTGTCGTGTCCTCGAGCGTGAGACCGGCAATACTGAGGGCCACATTGAATTCACCACGTCCGAGATCCTGCGGTTCATAGGCTTCATATCGGCCGTTCCTGGTGCCCTGCGGGATTTGCATTCCCGCCACATGCCACTCGGTGATGGGCCGAGGATTGGCCCGGATGGTCACGTTCACAGTGCCCGTGCTGCCCAGAATGAGTCCATAGAGCTTGACGAGGGGAAGTGGCTGAGGTCGGTCTGCAAGAGGTGAAGAGGTTTCCATATAGTGAGAGGTTTGCGAAATACAATTTCTAATTGGCCAGATATCGAACTTATTGGCTTTCCCATTCACTCTCCCTTGATGCACACAAAATTTCACTTCGTATTTTTGATTTCACTTCATCTGATAAAAACCTTCCTAAGCTCAGAAATTATATGTGTTGGTGTGCGTATTATATAATTTGAATCTCTATAAGCTGCTATTTATCACTTCTCTGGCGCTGTTTGAGGTTTTCACATAGTGAAGAACCCGTGAAACACATCAGAAAGATATAGTATCTAAATATGTTGAAATTGAAATCTCTTTCTGGGGATTTATTTCCCACCGAAGACAATCCAATTGAGAGAATAACCATTGACTCAAGAGGCACTCTTGGCTCTTGCACACTTTGGTATTCTATTCGTTGAGAGATCTCTTCTTCGAAATTTCATCAAATGTTTATTTGGAGGGTTAAGCGCTTTGGTTTAATTGCTCCGCTAAACTATCTCTTTGTTTACATTACAATTTCCTTCTATTTATTTTCTTTTCGCGATAATTAAGTTTCTGACTGTGAATATATTGGTTGTGTGGACTGTAAAATGGGGTTTGCGGAAATGCATTTTATGCGATAAATTTAGTATTCATAGCTTGGTAAATTAAGTGTTGTTTCCGACCATATGCAATGTTATCTTATCAACGTGATAAATTAAATAAATAAATGAATAGCAAATTGTTGTGCAGAATAAGGCGATTGGTTCTAAATGAGATCAAATTCACGGTTACTCACATCTCACGAGGAGTTGTATCCTGGAGTCGAGGTAGCCTTGAGGGTAGGAGAAGTGATTGGCACGGCAGATGAGGTTGCGCCGATCGTCGTCGACGCGAATGAAGCGTTGGATGCCCTGAACAACGGTGTACAGGGTGGCATTGTTGCGATCATGCGTCTCCACCACCTCGGGCATTGTGAGCCCATCGAAGAGTGGCTCGTCGTCCAGATACCACGTGATGTTGGACGGTGGCCGTCCGTCGTGCGAGATGCACTTGGCCTGGAACTCCGTGTCCACTTCGAAGGCACCGTTGACGCCCTGCGACAGGATTTCCAGCTGCGGGCGCTGTGGCTCCAGGGCGACAATCAGATTGGCATATCCACTGATTTCGTCCCCTTCGACGCCCAAGAAGCATCTCACGGGTCCGTGGTTGGTCGTCTTGACGCGCTCAATTGTCACGCCGCACTGACCCGCTTGCAGACCTTCGCCGTTGTACGTGAAGCCAGGCGGTTGCTTCCAATTCGGGGCCAAGTTGAGCACCCTCTCGCCCACAATCTCAATGCGACAGTACTGAATCTGTCGTCCGGCACGACACAGAATCGATGCAGGTTCACCCACGCGTGCAATGACTTGCTGTGGTGTCACGTCCACTCGCTGGGCCAGCGTCAGGGAGCCTGAAAGAGCGAAAGAGAGAGAGAGAGAGCATTAGGGCCAGTGAACAGGTGCATTAGATCGTTTCATCTTCCGCTCAAGGGTTTCCCTCATGTTCCCCACCGTGTGTCGACAATGGAATAATTTCGACACGACATCCACTCAAGTGTGAACTCTTCATCGGAGGTTTTCATGGGATCAAATCGCATTCAGTACGCTTCGCTATCAATCTGTTGCGTTTCTGCGGAAGAAAGAAGTCACTCTAGATTCAGAGAGGAAACCCACTAACATAAATTATTGCCGAGTTAATATTTTTGCAATATCGCTTTCTGCCTTCTCTTTCTCTAATTGTGCCCCAAATGGCATCAGACTTTCAGACACCTTTCGATGCACACTGATGGGAAGTGATTGTGATTCAGGTATGATTTTTGCCACAAAGTTGAATTTCCGTGTGCGGTTTCGTTCAATGGGAAGATGCATTTTTTCGGCATATTGGCAAAACTGTGTCACAAACTCATTAATTTTGGACTCTTCATGTATGGCGCGGCTTATGAATTGGAATTGTATGGAAAATTGGTTAATATTTCACAGGCTTTTGTATGGCTTGAAGGGTAAACGAGAGATCCTGTGAATTAATGCCATCTCATAATTTATATAGGAAAAAGATAAAGCATAATTTCAGGGCTTGAACCCGTGAGGGGTAAAAATATTGCATTTATGAAATGAGTTTTGGCTTCTACAGCGGATTACTATTGTTTAGGGGGAAGTAGAATTCAAAGTTGTTCACTATATAATAACTTTACAGGGTAATTCCATAGAAGGGACTCATAAATTTTGTGAGATGAAAAAAAAATGATTTTTTTAAAGGATATAAACTGTTAATTTGATGTTACATAATGAACTTATTTTTATTTCTTCTTCGAATGCAATTACTTACTGTCTAAGAAAGAAGTTTTATTAGTGTTTTGAAATAATAATAAAGTCATGTTTTGCTATTATAACTGGAGTAACAATATAAGACTTGCAGTGAATTCATTCAAACACCCTGTTTGCTCATTAAATTGCTATGAAAAGAAGTTCTGCACAATTCTGGGCATTCTCATGAGATTTAGTAGGGAAAACAGAGATTTGTCAGTTAACACGTGTGACATGAAAAGAAAGCCAAATGAATGTCGTGGTGTCGAGTGAAACATGGTATTGTGAAATGATTTCTTTTTCAGTGGAACTATTTCAATTTCGAGGAAAGAAATACGCAAGAGAGTCACTGGAGATTAACATGATAATTTTCCTGGTGGTGTTAAAATCTCATGAAGATTTTATTCAAAAGGAAGGAGAAACAAAAAGTATAATGAGTAGTATTTATGGCTTATTTACCAGATCGATTTTCTTCACTTGAATAAATTTACAAACACGCGAAAAAGTGATTTCTCAGACCGAGAAGCGCTTTTGTCAACCCTTCTATATAGAGAGGTTTCGTTAAGTGGCTTCACAAAACTGTTGAACCTCTTCATGTGTGCAAAGTGGACAAGGTAGAAAAATGTGGGAAATCGTTCAAGCCCAATTGCATCACAAATTACAGTGGGTTGCAGTCAGAGGAAAATTCTACTTTATGACACTTTAATCAATGGATATTGTTCTGCAAATTGTGTGATAATGCATGAGTGTTTTCTTTTTTATGCCATTCGGCATGTCCGCAACATTGTGAATGAAACGACAGAAAGATAGAATTTATGTCGAGGGCAGATTGAGTTTAATGAACTCTCTCCTGAGGCATTATCCAAGGTGTAGCCGAGGATGGTTGTGTGTTACATTGTAAATTGTGATGGTTATTTAGTGGTGAGACCATTAATGTGTGGTTCTAGTGTGAATTTCAATAGAGGAGAGTTTGGGGGTGTCTATTTAGACTATGTGCGCCGGGTGTTGAATACAGCAAAAGCAACCCTTGGAGCGCGCGTGTGGAATTTTCGCTATGCACGCAGAAAATTCACAGAGAGGGTGAAAACGGCACGGAAACATGAAAATCTACTTGGTAGACTTTCATTTCCCGCCATAATTAATATACACATTTCGTGTTGGGAAAATTTAAAGGCTCTTATATTCGAAAAGGAGAAAAAAAAACCGTTGAGACACTGTTCTGAGTGGGGGTGGAAAAATATATTCTATGGAATTACCGCAATTAGGAAGGTTTAAAAGAGAGACATAGTGAGGAAAGTGCATAAATTAGTGCGTTAGGGTGGCTTTTCAAGTGTACTGTAATTAGTGATGTGAGGCAAGAGAAGAGAGACAGAAAGATGGATGGAAAAACATTATAAAACTCTTTAGTGATTTTGCGTAATTAAAGATACACTTTTGTGAGTGGCGGGTCTGTTTTTTTGGGAGCTCCATTTTGAGGCCACGATGATTCACTTGGTGTGTATGAGAATTCATATTTGGCTCTGGCGAAAGTTTTTTTCAAGATTAATTTCATCATACGGAAGTGGCAGAAATTATACCTTCATCTGGATCTTGTCTCGCGAGAAAAGTATCACTCTTGAGAGACACGAAGACGTTAAGGAGGAGAAATAAGAAGAAGAAAAAAAAAATAAGAGTGAGAGCCCAGACAAATCCAATTGTATTTCGCGATGATTAAAATTCATAGTATCACCGGAAGATATCTCGCATATGTGACATTTTTCTCCAGCATGAGACTTTCTGCATCTCATTGTGACGGCCTTCCTAGTCAATTAGAGCGATGGAAAAAGAAGTGGAAATTGAGGGAAACTCGATAACGAGCAATTTATACAGATGCATTGCTGAGATCAAGCCGGAGTGTGTAACCCCGCATTTTTAGTGACAGTGAGGCGCTAAATGTCCACAGAGAGATGGCTTCTCACCCCAGAGAGTCAGTAGCGGGTAATCATTGCGACTCATTAGCATGAAGTATTGAGACATTGTTTGGTGCAATTTGAGTTGTTGTTGTGTTTTTTTTCAGTATTCTCCACCACAATTCTCCAATTTTGTACAATGAGAGATGGAGAGAGAGAGATTGTGAGCGTGTTGTGTGTATTTTGTAATGTCGTGAGAACAATATAAAACGACAAGAATTGAATGGAATAAAATCCATCGAGTGAGAGCAAGAGAGACGCGCGCGCTCACATAATAATGCCAAAAGCACTGGTTTAAAGAGGTCGAGGGGATTTTCTATCGTGTTTCATTCACAAGAATGACTTTTCCTCTTTGCAAAACTCCTAAATGTCAATTTGGATGGGTAAAAAAGACTCGTCAGCGATGCCTCTTCGCCCATGGTAAATGCACTTTGTGTGGCTGAAAAGGTTGAAATATTCATGGGTGTTTTCCTCCTGTCCTTTGGTTATTTAGTACAGCTACATTACATATAATTATATTTTTTGGAAAACAAGGGGGATCGTGATATTATTCCCCCTTGTCAAGCCGGCACATTACGCTCAGGTAAGAGTGGAAGAGAGACAATTGGGTGTGGTCGACTTTTTATTTTGTTACACAGACACTTATAAAAATATGCTTCTATCGCGCGCGTTCGAAAAAAACCAGAAATATTAGCTACAGCGTGTTAATGCTGATCATCTCGCGATCGCTTTATGTGTCGCACACTGTTACCCGGAGGACGTGTCGCGCTAAAATTGCCTGTCATGAACTCACTGAGAGGTCAGCAAAATCCAGATAAAACATATCCATTAACATTCATTCCTGCCACTCGCCCAAAAATAACGCGAAAAAAGAGTACACATTGAATTTGGTGAATGAGAAAGGGGGAAAAAACACTGCAAAATTCTCTTGTTTTGGCCATTGTTAACGGTTCTGTTCCGCCAAAATAAGTTGACTTTTTGTTCAGATGAAAGAGTGAAAAAATTTGAATATTTTCCACTTTAGCGTTTTTTTTTTGTCTTCCTGCTGCTCTCAAATTACTCTTTGTTGCAAGGCCAATTTATTTGCAAATTCAGCGATCAAATTGGTCACTTGAGGAGAAGAAGAGAATCAAAAAAGATATTGGGAAATTTGACGAAATGCTCGGCGATATTTCCCAATTGTACATCGATAACTGTCTGTCATGCGCTATCTCTTGCTTCGCGCACTTTTGGGTGAGTTAATCCTCTGTTTGGCTGAATCTGCCGCTTTAGCTAGAATTTTCCCTAATGACTCTTCTGGTCTATTTCTGTGGCTGAGCATGGAATTCAAGCTGGGCAATTATCTTTTGTATGTCAAGCAAAATGCGTCTGTGATTCATGCCAGTGAACAACTCTTGTGTGTTTCTTTTTTCACTCTTTACCATGAAGGGAGAGATAAAAATGCAACTAGCATAAATTGCAGTTGAGAGTGAAATAGTGAGATGATTATAAAAAGTTGCTGATCGAGTTCTTTTTCCCGCCAATCTTCCTCCTCTCTTGGAGGCCGTCATTAAGGAGATTGTGATTATTATGCAAGAGAGCGATTAATGTATTCATGGTGTTTGGTCGACTCTTTTCCAGATATACCAGATGAGGAGAAAAATGCAGCAAAGAGGGACAGGCGGCTGAATAATGGGATTATTGACGATAGAGAACATTGTGAGTGTGTGTCTCTCTGAATTGAAATAATCACTCAAGTGAGAAACTTCTGGCTTTTTTCCATCTCACTCGATCATTTTCTTTTTCTTTTTCTGCCCCTTTGACATGAAATTGTCACCGCAAAACCACACAATTGATTTTACTGACTCTTTCTCTCACGAATTTTAGGAAATGTAGGTTTTTGACCAATTTTTTCCACAGCGACGCACTTCCAAACGCTCTACAGAGAATTAAGAGAGAAAGACTTGACAATATTTGCACTCTTTTCCGGGCGCTTGTTGATCATTGAAGTAGGGCTTAAATGAGTGGAAGTGAAATGAGATGGGAGTCAACACTTGAGATTGATGGATTTTAATCTCAAATGTTACCCACTTAATTTTATAAGGCGATAATTTTGATATTTTCTCGTCAGGATGAGAGAGGCAAAAAATGCTTCCATCGAAGAGATTAATAGCAAAAATCTTTTCAAAATTGAATATGGAAAATTATTTAATGCGTTTGGCGCCAAATTCTATCGTCATCGATAGCTTTGGTAAGAATTTGTATGATTGAGAAAAACCTTTCCATTATCCATTAGTATGCATTTCATGCGGCAATTTGAGCTGTAACATAGGAGTGGCCATAAATTTCCTGGGACGCATAAAACCCTCATTTTCGAAGCTATTGAGTTTCTTTTGGCTTCTCTTCGAAATCCAGGTGAGAGTTTGAGGTAGTTTCTTGTGCTAAGCAACTCAATACACGGGTTTTCTCTCTATCCCAAGAACTCGGCAACAAAAGAGATTCGAGAGAAGAGCGTGAACTGAAGAAGTACACAGGTAAAGTGCAAAACACCTTATAATGCTGTGTGTTGGTTCTGTTTTTTGTTCTTGGACCTGTGACAAGAAGTGTAGAGCCGCATGAGAGCGGAAAAGACGTGAGAGATGTATGTATTGAGAGATGAAGGAGTTTTCGATAGCATCATGAAGCTCACTCGTGGCGATATATTGTGTTGGATGTAGTATTTAAAAAGGCGTCTTTTTAATACTTCCAGTTCAACTCTCAGGTGAAAGCCAAAACAGGTTCGACCAGTTTTCTATTGTCCATCTTGTAAAATTATGCTTCTTGTGTGCGTCCACAACACACACACACCAGCGAGAGGAAGAAGTTGTTTCACGAGAAAAAGAGTTTAAGGCCGGACTTGGAACTCGCGCGCGGGAATTTATATTTCTCAATTCAACATTCAACATGATCCGTGGCGAATGTGTTGAAGAGGGCGTGCTGTGGAGGGACCTGAAAGGCGCCCTCAAACCCCGTTTTCGCGTGTTGGGCTCAAGCCATTTGGGAGATTCTGTCTGCAGTGGGTTGAGACGCGGTGATGCAGTTTTTTTTATTTTTGGGAAAAATTCAATTATTCAAATTGCGGTAATGGATTCGTGACTCAGTGGATTTTTTTGAGCTGAATTGAACAAGGGTTTGCGGTCCCCGGCGTCCAGCTGCAAGGGCAGTTATGACGTGCTTGTCGATGGGATAGATAAAAACTAGGGGTCGTCTCGACGATGGAATCGCGAAAAAATGCGGTTTTAAACAGCAGAGAGACAGACAAGACAAGCTGATCTTTAGATGGGCGTTGGTGCGTTTTTGCTCCGGCGTCATTCTCGCTTGTATAACCACTTTGGATTTGGAGAAAAAGTCTCTCTTGCGTTTTCTATTCAATTAGCACTTATTCAATTGTGCCCAAAATTCAGCATTTATCGACTTCTTAGCGGGCAGAATTTGGGAGAGAGAAACGCAAAAAGAGCGTTATGTAGGTTGATTTTATTGATGTTCTATTATCATACGTGCCAGTTATCGCACGAACCACTCTTATCTCCCTTACGACATAACGAGTGGCCAAATTAAGAATGTTTGTGCAAGTTATACTTGAAAAAGTAGTATATGAAGACTCACCTGCTAACATGATAAGGTTTATCAGGAATTTAGCGAACATTTTTGTATCCATTGTTTCGGCGACTGTCGTGAAGGTTTTCCGCACACGAAGCGTTCACTTTTACAAAATATATTTCACTATATATGCGAAATTATATAGTGTATTTCTGAATAACTGTTTTGGGTGGTTAAACTAAACCACAATTCACACACACGGGAAAGTGGCGCTTTCAGCAATGCTGGAGGATGATGAAAATGCTGGCCTGGGGAGGGGGAGTGTGTAGAAAAGAGCCTTATGTGATGACGAATGTATGAGTGAATCACATAAAAGTTCACAAGAACATGAAATCACGAAAGATTTTCCTCTTCTTCTGCTTTTTTTTCTCTCTCTCCGCACTCTTGAGACACAGTGACACGCTAATTTATTCACCTTTTACAATCACACTCGTGTGCACACGGGGTTCGGCGTGATTTTCACCCAAAAAAAAAATCTTCTCTCGTTCAAACGTTTGGCAGTGGTGGAATGGAAATTTTTCGGACTGCTCACAATTTTCCGCCTTGATTCACATTCTTGCAAACATTGCGCCTAGTGCACCTAAGATGCGAGTAAGGTGGTAAAATTCCACTGAGGCGTTTGTAGTCAGAAGTGGGATATCGCACGGTATCGTCGCACAAGACACACTGAAATTGCCTGTATTGAGCTCGTCTTAAAGGCCACAAATTGATACTAAAACCGTGCGGTTGGAGCACAATGACGGCATCACTTTGCGACTACTCTTTGGTTGTACCGTTAAAAAGTGTTGATCAAAATGAACACTCTTTTGCCGTTTTTGTGAGTTGGACTTTCGAGAGTGCAAAACTACACAAACACTTCTCCTTTGTCCATTTGGCGTGACTCTCGCGTCGCGTTGGGGGCCTTTTTGCCTTCACCAGAGCTCCACTTGATGTGTTGGCCGTTTTCTCGAGCCGCGCCAACAGCGGGAAATAAGAACGGTCAAAATTTTTCAAAATTTCCACGAAAAGAACACAACTTTCCACTTGACCGAAATTCACAGCAATGTTATGCAGTTGTGCAGAAATGCACGGAATATTGCGAAAATGCTGAAATAATTTTCTTGATATGCACTTCCACAGCGATGAAAAGCACAGCCGTTGCGAGTCGACAACTCAAATGGAATGAAACTGCCGAGAGGTTCACACAGCGACAACTCCCAGAGCTCTTTTTGGGCGCCTTTCGCTTCGACACGTAATCTCACTCACTCCCTCCTGGCCAGAGTTGCTCACGGCAGCCGTCGTCCGTCTCTTTCCACCACAGAGCGCGCTTGCTGGCGTGCTTGGGAAACCAGGTAAGACGGTTTCTTGTCTCTGTACTTGAGTCAACTTCTTGGAGCTGTTGGCGTCTCGCAATGCCGACTCCGGCTCTGTGCTCCCTCCACAATTCTTACCGCGCCCACCTGTGGTGTGACTGTGTGCGTTTTCGGGGGCAATCACGTTGTGGCTCGTGAAGATTTTCAGCAGAAGAGGGACTTTTTGTGCAAACGACCGAGAATAGCGGTGAGCAACAAGCTGGAGATGCTCCCAAAGGTGTTCTGTTTTGCCGAGTGAAAAACCTCTGCCATGGAAACCAAGTCCAAACATTGAGTTCTGGGCGAGTTGAGAGGCTCTCACAAGTAATTATCTCAATTGGAGGCACAACACACTTTGGTGGGCGAGAAAGTGAAAGATATGATGCACAAGATCGAGTGAAGATCGCCTCATCTGAATGGGAATATTGTCAGCACGTTGTGTGCTCTGAATAACTCTCGAGATCACTTTGTGCGCTGCACCTAGAGTGGGAGAGATCATACAAGCGAAAGGGTTCGTCATTTTGCACTTTATGTGGCAAATTTGATCTCTTCGCGAGACGCGCTTTGTTCGTGCTTTGCAAATTCAAATGGATTCAAGGCTGGATTTCTCACAGTTACATCAAGATCGGTGTGTATTTGACGACAGAGATTCTCAAGCTTGGATTAGAGAATGCTTCTTGTAAATGGGTTGATCACGATATGATCTTTAGATTGCGAGCAGGTCTTTGTCACCATCCAAAGATCCATTATCTTCAATGATACTCCTAAATGCCTACGATGTGAATAAGACACCCTAAAAAATAGTTTTTTCAATCTGAAATTCTACTGAAAGAAATTAAAGTGATCGATCAGTTCCGTCAATGTGAGATCATATCTTGCACAAAAGACCCTTTTTTCACTGCTTCTTGGCCTAATAATATTTTTCTAGGCAGAAAGGATGTTCTTTCGGCCTTTCCTTTGGTGGCAAAAGGATATTTTGTTAGAAAACTACCATCGCAGGGCAGTTTATCCATTCTTATCACTCGCGGGTACTTCAAATGCAGAAATAACTAACCTTTGAGCGCAGTGACAGTGTTTATTAAATTCACTAGTCCAAGATAATTTATAGAGATGGGATCTGCGAGAGTGTGGAACGGGTTTCCTCTGCAGAATTGGCAAAAAAACGTTGACAAGAAATGGTTAAATTTATTGTGGAGAATCTGTTGGAGAATTGGCAGTGAAAACTTTCACATTTCGTCTTGAAATTGAATCTAAAATTTTCTGTGTCAGCAGAAGCTCACATACTGTCTCACTTTGCTTCAATCAACAATTTGATCTTTTCAATTCGAGTCCATTAATGGACTTGAATTGGTCACTCACTGTGAAGTAAGAATGTGGTCATATTTCTCGTAAACTAGAGATTTATTCACTGCACTGAGTAACAGCATCTTCAATTGCTCCCCAATCAATATTGTGATTCAATGTGTAATGAGTGGGCAATGAGTCACTAGTGTAATATTTGTCACTCTGTCATTTTCCACATCGGCCAGAGTGTGCAGAAAAAAAACATTAATACAACATGCATGGCAAGAAATTGCATGAAATGCAATGTCAAAAGAAGTCTTTGAGAAAAGTTGTGAGGAGAAAAAAAAGATATTTTTGCAAAATGGTCAATTTGATTCTTGTTTCACTCTCGCGAATTTTAACGACCTACCCATAAATGCACATAAATGTTATATTATGACTCGGCTACATTGCTTTTGAATGCTCCCAATTGTATGTGTAAACTGAGAAGTGGAATTAAAAAAAATATCACCACTGAGTGGATGCAAAAGAAAATTGCAGCTCACAATGTGACAAAGTAAAAGCGTCTTGACCGTTCGATGGCCAAACTCTTTGGTGGAGTTATTGAGAAATTTAATATTATTGTTCTGAGAACATTTCGTTTCTTCTCGCTCACATTTCCAGTCCACTTCTCAGAAAACATCTATTGCTTCCATCAATTCGCAAATCGCTTCCGATGATTCATGGCGCATTGATTAGCTCTCTCGTGAGATTTCTAAAATAAACACTGCCAAGGATAAAAGTGAGATCATGATAAAGAAATTAGACAAACATTTTTGAAGTCTTCAGCATAAAATTCCTCGCGTTCTATTCGTGAGAATATCACGAAAAATATGTTGTAAGATATATATTTCTGTTCCAGTCAGCTGACTTTCTTGTGTGGGATCACAATAAACCAATTTTGTACTCGTGTTTTTCCGCGTGTTCCAGCTTTCTTGTAATCATGCAAGAAAGAATTTTAATATACATCAATTTCGATGAATATTGCCAATTAAATTTACATCGATTTCTCTTGATTTACTGTAAAGATAATTTCACAATATTTTATAATACGCGTCCTGTCGCATTTGTAGTATTATTTCAGCTTCAAATTGAATCATGGTTCTCATGAGCCCAACAAGACACTGGCTTATCATTTCATTTTTCTTTATTTTCCCTTTCTTGACATATAAAATTCATTGTTTCCCAGAACGAGGGAATTTGTTATTTCTTTACCCACATTTAGCCTGAAAATAATGCAGAAATGTCTCTCTTTTTTTTATTGGCAACAAACCAAGCAAAAAGTCGCGATGTTCCCAGGTGTTTAAGTGAATGGAATTAAATAATAATAATGTGGAGTTGGTGAAGTTGATAACACAAACATGGTGGGAGAAAATCGCTTGACTAAAACATTTTCATTGCCAAAAAACACACACCAAATTGCAATAAATTTGCATAAGGAAGAGTCTTTTCTCAATGTGAATTTAAAATGTCACGCGTGTATAAATGCACAATGCACTGTGAGTCGCCACGACGAATGCGCGAGACACTTAACAAATGGTTGGGGAGCATATTTAGAGGAGAATGAATGAAGAGTGGAGTGATGGGAAAGAGTGGCATTATCTCAAGAGAATATCGCGGTAAATAATTAAATTTGTACTGCGAACAGTCTGTAAGATCTTTAAAGATGTCTTTTCTTCCCTTTTCGAGAGCGTATATATCATATTTTTGGTTCATTCAGACAAATAGAGTGGAATTGAAAAGCATTTGTACAAATAATCTGCTTCATCATTTCCCTTCTCTATTGCTCCACTTGTTCTATATTTTATTTTTCCTCCAGTCTATTTTATTCTATTTACATTTTATCGGACACTCCAGCCGAGGCGCGTCTCTTGAGGGGACGCGAACGATCGCACCGTCTCCAGAGTGAAATTTAAGATGTTACTCGTAGTGTTGAACGTATTTCTCGACATTAGATATTTGTGCATGATCATCAGAATTTGATGTTAATTTCTCTTTCTCTCTCTCTCGCTGTTGTGCCTTCGCGCAAACAGTGATTTCGTGTGAGACGATGGAAAAAGGCAACTATTTTAAATATTTATTAATAACATACAGGCTCTATTCCATATATGGCGATTGGAGTGTGTTTTGAGACTGTTCTTTGTTTTATTTACCCTCCGTTTCTGACCACTAAAGCCTGAAATTTATTTGTCGCTAAATTTGGTGCCTTCTATTTCACTCCGTGTTTTGTAATTTCCCACTGAGAATTGAACATAAAGACGCTCTGAATGCGTTCTTTTGGGGGCATGAAAGGAAACACACAAATTTTTATCCACAGAAAAATATTTTTTTTTTTTACTTCTCTACGATATACTCAACAATATTTAACATTAATTGCTATACATAGTTAATTTTTCTTTTGTCTCAAATCACATGCCTTGGAGTTTTACCTCTTGTCTGCGCCAGAAGAGTATACAAAATCAATTTACACATATTTTCCCGCTCTCTAACAAACCTCCGCAGCTGTAAGCACTCTCAGTTGCTCTCTAAACTCACGCTCTAGTCATCTCCTCTAGACTAGACTGGGCTCTAGGTGTGGCGATGACGATTGGACAGCTTGTGTCGCCATCTATGGCAGATTGATGGGTGTGTGTCAGTGCTTTAGGATTCGAATGCGATGGTCATAAAAGCCATGAGTCCGATGCCGAAGATCAGCGCGGTGAATTGCTTCAGTGATTCTCGGGGATCAGATTCCTGGAGGAGATCCGGCAGGACAGTCACGAGGGCAATGTGAAGGAATCCACCGGCCGTGAAGGGCATTATCCACGAAGTGCGAGTCTCCACAGCTGATGTGACTGAGGAGCCGAATATGGCCACAAGAGCACCGATAAGTCCCGCGCCGGCGGTGAGAAGTTGCGCCTTGGCGGCGTCCCAGCGACTGAATCCCGAGCGCAGGAGGATGGCAAAGTCTCCCACTTCGTGCGGGATCTCGTGCAGGAGGATGGCAAAGGTGGCCAGAACACCGTGACGGAAGGAGACGAGAAAAGAGCCCGCCACTGCCAGGCCGTGCGTGAAATTGTCAATGGAATTGGCCAGGAGATTAAGGTAGCCGGCTACTTTGCGCTGTGGCTCTTTGTCTTTGCGCTCTTGTGCGGCCAGGAAGCATCCATTTGGCACATCTTCAATATCACACTTCCCATTCACGGTGCATTTGATGACCTCGCCATTGGCGGGCAGTTTTCCACCATGCTTCCTCAGCAGACAATTTGCAATCTCCACACACTTTGGCTGTGGATTGTTCTCGTCGGCATTTGTGTAGCCGGAAAAGATCTTCTCCACAATGGTGAAGATGAGAATGCCACCAAGCACCCACAGGCCACTTCTCATAGACGGATGCTCTCCGGGTGCGGACACATCGCCACTCCAGGCCTCCGGGAGCAGATGGAGGAAGACATCACCCAGCAGACCGCCCACAGCGAAGCTCAGGAGGAGTTTCAGAGTTTTGGACTCAGAAGCTGAAAACGGGGAAAAGATAAACACAAATCAATTTCTTTCCTCATTCATCACCTTGTAAGTCATCGAGATATCTTGTTGTCCTTCATAACTATTTTTTGTACGCTTCTCTCTCTCTCTTTCTGCCTCTTTGAATATACATATTTATCGCGAATGCTCGCAATATCAATTCTCTCGTGTTTCACTATGCGCTAAGGGAAATCATAGTCTGTTATAGTTCTTGATAGGAAGAAAATTATTGTTTTTACTTCAGTTTTTTGTTCTTGCAATGTTAAATATTGTTGTGAAATTCACTATGACAAATAATGTGATTATTTTCGAGGTTTTTTTTTAGAAGGTACTTAGTATTCAGTGGATTTTTGCCTTTCAGATGCTTGTCGCTGGCCACGAGACAACAAATTGAAATTATATCAGCAATTAATCTATAGATAGATAAATTGCATAAAAGTGTAATGTACGATTAGAGTAACTACGCGTGAATGATAAGACATGACAGTTGAACAAGTCAGAATTAGATTTGAGTTCCACTTAATTTCCAAGATCATCTTTCGCACGGGTCTTTTTTCTCCTAGTCATCCCCCTTTTGCAAAGCGGATAAATTCTTATCTCTTTCTCTCTTCGCCACTAAAACAAAACAGCGCAAATATTTCACGAGATAACAACATCGTGAATCATATTTAGAAGTTGCATTGAAATAATGTGGCTCATTAGCCCCAGTGCTTTGTGTTTTTTATTCACTGTTCTCTTATCAGAGTCTCTCTGGTTTTCTGTATTCCTCCTGACATGGTTTCTCTGCGTATCTTCCAGTTGGATAAGATCGACACAAGCTTCCTACATTTTTGTTCGGTTTTTGCCGTTGTGTACTTTTCCCCAAATGGTCGTTGAGGTGTGCAAAATCACAAATCGATTAAACAAATCAGTTTTGTTTGCCTGCACGTAACATTCAGTCGTGATAAGACGACAGAATGGCTCTTATAAATGTCCAATTTGAGAGTGATTTATTGCACTATGACTGAGATTTACTTACGATTGACTCCCTTCTTCTTGTCGTCCTCCGACTGAATGGGGATCAGCAGGAGGGGCAGAATGCCACTTAGTCCGATGAGAATGGAGCCGAGAACGGAGAACATCCAGGGTCTGTAGGGCATTGTGCTGATGAAGTCTGGGACATAGTTGTCCACGAGTTCCTTGCACACGAATTGGAGGGTGTCATCGAAGAAGACGCTCGTTATGTTGGCAATACTCATTATTGTTGCGTTCATGGTTGGTGTTTTTCAGTTGGAAACGGTCGTCATGTGAAGATTCAGATCGGCCCTGTTGGAGAAGACAAAAGTACTGGGTGAAATTGTCTGCCCTTATCTCTCGAGTTGGGTGATAACGATTGGAGAAGAAAACTAGAAGTGTTTTTCACTCTCTACAATGAGTTAGGCGATTTTGTAATTGAATGGTCGCTGATAAGAGATTGTATCAGTGGTTCTGTTATCGGTTATTGTGTCTCTGGAGTTGGTGGAGATGTTCCATGGAATCTACAGCACAGATAGTGATATCGCTTTGGATGATCCTCTTCATGGAAAATCTCACGCCAATTGCCAGAAGGCTTCGCGCATGTGGATCGTGTCATTTTTTTCTCTCACATTGTCCTCGGATTGTTGAGCACAAAAGAAGCCCAAATGGAATTTTATGCCGACTCATGATAACATTTCTCTGTTTGTTTAGGCATTTGTGGATAGTGAGAAAACCACCCATGTCCACTCTCTGTGCTGTGCTGTGCGTACACAAATTACATTGAAATTTCTGTCCCTGGCACTCTCACGGACTGGCGAGTGTCTGGAGGAGTGAGACGAGGCACTCTCTGGCGCACTCCAGTGCGTATTCCAGAAATTCCTCCATGCACTGTGGCGTGAACTCTATGAACTTTCCGGAGTCGAGATAACTACCACCTTTCACGATCGTTTCCTATTGAGATTTGACTCACATTGTGCAATAATCTGTTGCCAATATCAATTCACAGTGTTTCTCAGTCGCAAAATGAGACGCAAATGGTTGAAAAAGCGGCGGAATTGATAGAAAAAGCGAGACTCTTTGTTGGTCAATGGGTGACACACACTACTAGTTATTTTCCATTTGCACACTTTTCACGCCAAAACCTGTAAATTCCCTCAGGGATTCTTACCGAATAATGCCTTGTGGTTGACTGAGAGGGGATTTCGCTGGGAGTCTCTTGGCTTTTCACCAGCTCTGAGACGTTCTCCCTTCGGCACGTCCCTGTTGACTAATCTGCCCTGAGATTGAGTCAAGAGTACTGGATACGCGAGTGGGCCTCTCTCTCCTAATCACTCTTTCGTCACTACCACTCAATTGTCACGAGTGATCTCGCCTGCCAGTCGATCCGGGATGGATACACAATATCGATGAAATTTGCTCCAACGAGAGATTTGATAATGTTGCAGAGAAAAGGCGCAGAGCTTATTGTTCTCCGTCCATGTGTGCACTGTTTTTGCTTTTCGCCTCCGCACTGAAAAAGGGAGTAGTGTGCGTGCGTGTGTGTGAGTGGCTGTCAGCTCGTGTGGAACTTGTCCCAAACCCACTGTGGAATGTGTCCTACACGACTGACACACGGTGAGTCTTTAAGAATCTTTGGGGCTTTATGAGAACTGTGATTTCTCTGATGGCCACGAGAAGAGAATCGGGCAAATAAACATTGGACAACACAAGAAATCCCTTGTTTTCTATTCTCATAATTTTTTTCATATTCTCCACATGCAAACAGACATGAAATTCTGATCAAAACTCCACTAAACTCTGAAAACTTTCCATTTGCAGAGTCAATCTTTCCGCATTGAGTGCAATATTTGTGATCCTCTGAGGTGACAGTCGGGTTTGAGCGTCGACGTAAACACCGAGCGATTTTCTCTTCGCTATTCCGCAAAATATCCCTGTTTTCCCCGTGGAAATGATGAAAATTGTCATTAGATAGATTCGTTTGTGTCCACAGATAATGATAGTGAATATTTGGTGATCAATTGAGTGCATTTTTAGTGTAAAAGTCGGTGATAGTGAGTGCAATGTCTGGTGTTGAGTGGAAAAGTTTGTTCATTCGCAATGAATCTGATGAGGATTCCGCCCCCAGCGGCGCCCCAAGTCTCTCCCCATCACTCTCATCCATAGCAGAGTCCCTCACACGACGTCCGGCCAGTAATTCCCATCAGCCGCAACCGCAGCTTGTCACTTTCGATGGGAAGAAGATAAGAGGTAAGTGTTTGCTTTACTTTTCAGACCTTGTCTTTCCTCGTCCGGCATTCTTTCATCCCCTGATGAATCTGGATGAAAACCGTTTTTTCCAGCATTCCAAACATTTTGGCACACGATTTACCGCGTCTTTCGCCGAGAGATGTTTTCTCTTTTGCACGAGTGTGTGTGCTGTGTCTAAGGGTCCTGGGGGGTGAGGATGGGGGACGGGAGTTCGAGCCTGTCACAAAGAGGGTGGAAAAATCAATAATGTACTAGCTGAAAAGTGTTTAGTGAAGAACGTAGAAAAGTCTTGAGGCATATTTTTATCACATTTCTCTCGAATTTCACCGTTTTACACCCTCAATATCTGTCTAGTCGCCATCTCTGGGACTCCTTCCGGCTGGAGAAAGTGTCTCCTGCTGAGGATTTCACCTAGTTGCAGTGGGAAAATGCTGGAAAATTGAATATCGCCCAGAAGGTGAAAAAGTTGCGGTAGGGCTTGTGGCAAAATTCAACACATTTTCAGCGTGAAGTGTGTTAAATTGAGCGCTAAATCAGCACTTTTTCTCGGCAGAATGCAAGAAATGAGAGCTCTGCATGGGAACAGTGAGTCCAATAACAATGGAAGCCGCCAAATCCAGCTGCCGAAGACCGGGAAGACAATGGAGGAGATGGTGGGGGCGCAGGACACCATCTATCTCTGCAATTTCCGCGTCTCCGTGGACGGGGAGTGGCTGTGCCTGAAGGAGCTGCAGGATCTTGACATTCAGGATGGGAGTTCAGCGGCCGCGAAGGAGAACGGAGTTGTGTTTGTGTCCGGAGGGGGTGGTGGAGACTCCGGTGGCAATAACTGCGTAATTGGTCGGGACTCATCAGGACGATTCACAAATTTCAATGGTAAAAAAACCGTGTCTTTAGGGAAGAACGCATTTATGAATTATCTTGAGACTCTTGAGGTAACAAAGCATCTTTGGAGGAGGATTCTTTGAGTGACTGTGTCTGCTCTGGTTTGATCCTCTTCTCGCTGAGAATCTTGTATGCTGGAGTGGAGTATTCTCGAAAGATCTTCCGTCTTGGACTCGTGTGAACAATTGTGGCATTTTCCAATCGGAGCGATTCCACAGAATCACTCTCCATGTTCCCAACACTTCTAGAGAACAACTCAATTTCCTCTCCGTCACTGTTATTCCATTTTCCTGGGGAAATTTTCAAACTATTCTTTCTTTGATAACTCGATGAATTCCTCAATTTCTCGTACGCACCCTGAATCGGAGTGGATTTTCTCGCTTTTCTGCAGATGCAGCAATAGATTGTCAGGAGGAGAATAGGTATTGTCAGCACTACTGATGCGACGACACTCACGATTAGAAGAGTGTTATTTGGGATCTCCGATCCATTCGAGTATAAGTTATTGATGGAGACTTTAAGATCCTCATTATGAACGGTAGCGTTGATCCGATGAATTGCTCCAAATGCTGGAAGGACTTTTTGGGAATGACTTAAGATGGGTAAAACTTGGTGGTTGATCCACTTGAGGAGTCTTTCGTTGAAGTGTGAAATCTTTTCTTTCTGAGATTTCAAGCATTTGTGGCTTTTCGCGTAAAACTGCACGAGAGAATTTAAGGATTCTGGTGAATTAATGTTGTAACTTCTTCCACTGGGATATGCGATCTCTAAGGGGGATTTGTGGTTTCGTACGACTGGAATTTCTCCGTTAAAGTCCTCACAATGCATGCCATTGAAATTCCCCTCAAGTTCTTTGGGAAAGAGAGGAACTGCGGGTGTTTTCCGAACAGATTTTCTGATCATCCAAGTGTTTTCGGGGATTTTAAGATTTCTGTGAATGTTCTCAAGCAGTGACTGCATTTTCAGGATGTTCTCCAAATTTTCTTCTCCTCTGTAGAAGCTTTCTCTCTTCTCCACGAGTTTTTCACTGAAATACTTTCCAAATTCTTCGTCCACAATCAATTTGGAAGCTTCTCTGAACTCTTCAGACACAACAGTGTCGATATGTTTGGAGATCGCGTTGTACAGTTGACATCGGGAGCATTGCGTGTCTTCCGGTGTGAAGAAAATGCTATTGTATGTCTTTTGTAAGCTCTGAAGGCGTTTCAAAGTGTCTTCTGGGCAACACAATGTGAATTTTCCTTTAGGTCCGAACAGAACACTTCCTGATGTGTTCGTCTTGTGATTTTGATGGCCATTCTGGGCTGATATCGTAATGAAGATCATCAGTGGGATGACGATGTGAAATTGAGGAAAAATAAGCATTTTGTCACTGTTTATTGTTGCACAGTCGCCTGTGATTCACCTCCGATTCTTTCAGCTCGTGATCCCGCGGCTATCGAGAGGAGTAATCTGGTGAACATCTGCAAGTTGGTGGTGAAGGAGTTGCTGGAACAGTCACTGCGCTTCGGCCGGATGCTGGATTCGGATCATTTGCCGCTGCAGCACTTCTTCATTGTGTTGGAGCATGTGTTGAGGCATGGATTGCGACCGAAGAAAGGACTGCTGGGACCAAAGAAGGAGCTGTGGGACATTCTGCAGAGTGTGGAGAAGTATGCAGTTGAGGCTCAAGACATTACGGCGAGTGTGAGAGATTTGCCCACGGTGAGAACGCAGATTGGTCGGGCGAGAGCGTGGCTTCGGCTGGCACTGATGCAGAAGAAACTTGCCGATTATCTTCAAGCTCTGGTGGACAATCGCGATGAGGCATTAGCTGAATACTATGAACCTCATGCTCTTATGATGAGCGACGAGGTGATCCTCATCATGGGCATTCTCGTGGGGCTCAATGTGATTGACTGCAACTTGTGTGTGAAGGAGGAGGATCTGGACTCTCAGCAAGGTGTAATTGATTTCTCCCTGTACCTTCGCTCAAGCACACGAACGAGTCCAGAGGATGAGGTGCACACGATTGTGGAGACGGGAAGTTCGGAACATATGACGGCGGTGCTTGACCAGAAGAACTACATAGAGGAGCTCAATCGACACCTGAAGTACGGGAATTCATGTCAGTCTGGTGTGTTGTTAGCAAATGATCCACGAAATTCCTTCGTTTTTCAGTGCAACTGTGGCAAATCTGCAGGGGAAACTAGAATCACTGACCACCACAAATGCCCTGATGAAGGAGGATCTCGCTATAGCTAGGAATAGTTTGTTGTCTCTTCAAGCGGAAAATCTCGCTTTGCGCCAAAGTGGTCACAATCCAAATGCAAATGCTGGAGAGAACTTGAATGTGCACGATAGAATTGATCCGGAACTCGAGAGGGCGTTGGGTGATGAGAAGAAGAAGAGGCAAGAATTGGAGCGAGAATTGGAGTTGCAAGTTAGTTCGTGGGAATTATATTATTCTACCCTCTTGAGCATGTGACGAGAGAGTGTGTCTATTTAACTTTTACATCCTCTTAGGTTTCCCTAAAGGCTGAGACGGAGATGGCAATGAAGTTGCTGGAGAAGGACATTCATGAGAAGCAGGACACGATTGTATCTTTGCGGAGACAATTGGAGGACATAAAGCAAATCAATCTGGAAATGTACAAGAAGCTTCAGGTAAAATTGCTCACCCTTTGAAAAGGGGTAGAAATCCTTCAAAACCATTTCATGTTATCCGCACAATCTCATGATGATCTCATGAGAATTATGATTTCCCTGGGTTCCTTAAGACATCACCAAATAACCATTGATTGCCCTGATGATGGGATAAGATGTTGATACATATTGTGAAAAACACAGGAGTGCGAGGGAGAACTCACTCAAAAGGGTGAAATGGTGTCGAGATTGCAGGCAAAGGCATCCCAGATTGGCAAAATACTCACAACACTGGAGAAGAAGTATGAGGGATCTGACGCATTGGACTCACCCTTGGCCACAACACCCTCCACGGGGGTGCCGCCGGTGAAGCGGCCACACTTGCGTGTCGATCCAATACCGCCATTCAATGCCAACAAAATGCGAAAGTCACCCTCTGTGGAGACAAAGTCTGCCAGGACTCCGATGGAACAGAACACTCCGTCGGTGGCTTCGTCGTCGCTTCACGTCACGGGGAAAGCGACTGATTGAAAAATCCTCGTCTCGCGAGAGCATCTTTTTAGAATAATTTTCCAAGCTTTCACTGTTGAGCGGAGTTTAGTTGTTCATTTGACCACCATGCTGTTGAACTTTTTCCTTTTCTTCATTGGATTTTTCCTCTCTGGACGACGATTCTCCCAATGGTGAACGGATGGATGGGAGGATTTGTTGTCTGTTAAGTCAAAGGGTGGAAAATTCACGTGATTGAATATATTTTATAGGAATGCGAATCATCCCTTAAGCACAAAACTGAGTTGCTGTCGAAGCTTGAAGCCCAGAAAGAGGCCATGGCAAGTGCTTTAACGCAATTAGAGAGCAAGTATGATCATTTAATACTTTGCCTTTTTTGTATTTGTGTAAAATATATTGTATTGATATGAAAATCCAGAAAAAATACAAGACACTGTGCTACGATGAGTAAATTGTCTCCTAATGGAATTATATTAACCTTTAAGCTACTCCTTAAAAGAGAGAAAGAGAGAGAGAGTGAGTGAAGAGAGAGAGAGAGAGAGTCACAGAATGGTTTTCAGACTCTATTAAAAACAATGTGAACTCAAAAAGTCATTTAATTATGTATAATAAACTACAAAAATAAAGATCAACAAAAACAAGGTTTTACGCAGTTTTAATTGCTTTACTTTAGTGTTACTTATACTTATTTTTAATTATATTTATCCTAATTTAACGTATAATTTTCATTTTGACAGATGTTTTTGGCAAGAAATAAAATATGTAAATTATCATTAATTAAGTTTTGTGTGGTACTTTTTCTGGATTTTCTTTTAATTTACCCGCATTTCTCTTTTAATGAAGCTCTAAATGATCTAATTGTCACATTAAAAACTTCCCAGATACTCTTCAGAAACCACGAGCTTAGCTGTTCTGCAGGACACGTCGCAGACTCTGTCGATTCAGATGATGGCTTGCGAGGAGCGAGCAGCTCGTGTGGAGGCGGACTTGAGGATTGAGCGTGAGTGGAGGAATTCTCTGCAGGAGAAGGAAGTGAAATTGAAGGAGCAGATTAATGCACTCCAGCTGAATGTGAAGGAGCTGCGAGACGACGCCCGGAAGCATGAGAAGGTCGTGACGGAGCTGAATACGCTGAAGAGGAAGTGGCAGGAGGCACAGTACACACTCGAGGAGCTGGGCATGCAGCTGAGCGTGAGCAAGCTGCAGATATCGGAACTGAAGGAGAGACAGTCTAGCCACGATAGCAGTCTCGCCGCCAGCACAACGGACATCACGGGCAGCGGAGTGTGGACGCCGGATAAGTTGAGCTCAAAGTGTCGCAGCTGCAGTCGTGAATTCAGCATCACGCGACGGAAGCATCACTGCAGGAACTGTGGCGAGATTTTCTGTCACAACTGCTCAGAGCAAATGGCACCCTTGCCAAATGCCCAGGGACAGTTGGGGAAGCCCGTGAGAGTGTGCGACGGGTGCTGGGAAGTCATCAATGCCACTCGTAATTAATACATCGATACTTCGTGGCCTTAACATGCCTGTGAGTTTTCCTTCCTCTAGTTTCTACCCTCTTATTGTTGGTGGCTAATGAAGATGTCTTTCTTTCAGATCAAATGATATTACAGATGAACTTATATTTTTCGATCAAAATTACGCTAATCACACGAGACGAATATCGATGGATAACCCCAAGGAGAGTAATTTGTACTGTGAAGAATGCAGATGAAAAGACAAAGATGAGAAGACGGTTTTATTGAAGGAAAATATGTGGTTTTTTGAATGTTATTTGAGATTCCTTTTGCACGATGGGATATCCTAGATAATATCCTGCGAAGGTGTTTTTAAGAACAGTGCTGATAAATTTGGTGTCTTATCTTGGGCAAGAACCGTCAGCGATTGCCAGACACTTGACTGTGAGTGGAATGAGTCGCGAGGATTCCCCAGCGTCTGCCGCGGATTGGGGTCACAGACAGGAAAAGAAGTATCTATAGAGGTAGAATTTTTCTTAATTAATTACGGCATATTCACTTTCGTTGTCTCTGTTTCACTTTCTTCCGCTTGGCTTTTTCCAGTTGCGTGAGATTAATTGCATACAACTGGCGCGGGCTTTTCATCTTTCGCGGCGAATTCAGGTGAGTGAGACATTTTCCCTGTGAGAGTAATTGTGCGATATACTTCTGGCTGGCGGTATTTTCAATGGGAATTGGTGGGCGGGTTGCGAAGGTGCGATCGAATGGGCCCCTCGGGTGTCCAATGCTCACAGAGTAATAGAAAAGTACCTTTTCGGTGCTGCGAGGGTTGAGAATGACGGTGTGGGGGGTTTTCCTGCTGACAACTATGAATAAATTGCATTTTTCCCTTTTCCTGGTCGTCGCCACACATATGTTTATATTTTATACGGTCTGCTCGCATGTTTGGTCCATGTGGAATTTATTCAATACAATTTCCAGGCATCGTGTGCCTCCCACTTTCGATTCCTTCTGTCTTCCGTCTGCCCTATCTGCAAGAAATTGCAAAATTGAGGGAAAAGAAGAGAAATTAAATCCCAGGAGAATCTGACTTTCTCTTCCTTTTGCCAAGGCGGAAGGGGATTGTTTAGAGAGAAGAAGAAGAAGATGAGGTAGGAAAGAAACAGAGTCCATCTCAACTGTCTTGTCGTCTTCTCAAGTGCGTGAGTGGTTACGAGACATGCTCTTGAGCAGTTTGCGTGTATTATGATTCTAATGTTGGCCATCGACGAAATCTTTGTCATCTTGTCTAGTGTTGCGTGGCTGAAAGTCAGGCTTAGCAAGATTACAACATCTGTTCATTCTCCACAGTGAGTGTGAGTGATGAAAAAGAAACTAGACCTGGAATTATCCCCGTTTCTTGTGAGGTTTTGGGCGGTGAGTCGGAGGGGGTCAAAGTGAATCAGCATTTGTTGTTCCGGAACGAAGCCGGAGGGCCCTCTAAAACCAATCCCTATCGACCGTCCGGCATGAGAGGAATGTGGGATGATGAACAATATTGTGTGCGACACACGTCGCAGGTAACTTCTGTGTGAAGCCCGGGGGTGGTGTGGGATGGCCGAGGGAGGAGATCATGACGAGTTTCTCTGTTGCGCTTCCATGTCTCCCCAATGGTGAGGCACCCTCTCCCTGTGCCGGTGTGTACTATGGCAACCGTAATAAAAAGAAATAAAAACCATAACGACCCCATTCCGACCATCCTTCGACTCTCTCTCGCTCTCGCCATCGCCCTGGGATTCCCTTGGCCACACACACACAGTGTGGGGTGGGTGGAAAGTTTGGAGACAACACACGTAACTCCAGCGTCCATCGTTGCAAAGTAGGGGAGAAGAAGGAAAGCTGTATGTCCTTAGGTTCCTCGGAATGCATCACATTTTCCTCTCTTTTCTGCTTTCATTCACATTTGTCGTGTTTAAAGTATTTACATATACTCGGTAAATGAGCGCTGTATGGCCTACAGACTCAAATTAGATCTCTGCATTTAAACAGAGTCAAGGGGAAGATAATATGGCCAGAAGTGGTGTACAGCTCATCGGAAGTATTGGGAAATGTTCAAAAGCTTACAATATTCCTTCACTGAATGATTTTTTTTATTACCAAATTATCATGATTTTTAGGCTAGAAAGAATTATAAAAATCCTTTTCTAGGTTATGTAATTTGAATTAGAGAATTTGTGTGGAAATATTGTGTATCAGGTATTTTTGGAAGTGTTGTACAGATTTAAGGCATATTATCTTCCCCTTGAGCAGAGTGAGGAAAGTAGAGAAAAATGTATCTCTGGCAGTTAGTAGCGAAAGGCTCTGCATTGCTCACAAAATTGCCTCACTATCAGTTCTTTGCAACACAGATGCCCTTGTACCTTAAGTTTTCAATGTGTTCAATGTTGTAATGATATTGCTAAAAATTGCAGACTGACCAAAATTAGTGCGTGGGAAACTTTTTGGAACACTGCTCTTGAAATGTACAAAATATTTTAACAGTTTTCAATGAAAATTTCCTACTGCAGTCGTCTATTTCTTTGAGTGTATTTGGCTGAATTTATGGGGTGATGATGATGCATGTGTGAGTGTGCTTGAGGGTTAATTTTGTTGATGTCCAACCCTCTTTCCGCCCAGTTTTCACGACTATAGTGTGTGTGTGTGTGGAAGGGATGTAGTGAAATGTTTTCCTGCTTCTCGAACTGTGAACTCCTCATAATTCACTCTCTCGCTATCGATCGCTGTGATCGCGACAAGGATCAACAAGAAGACTTATTCTGGTGGATAAAAATCGATGTTGGCAAAGTGACTCTTGTGATCGCGCGCGTGTGCTCTTTTCGCTTAATTTGATGAATTTCTCAAATCGTCATTTGCCGTGGACAAAACATAGTATAAGAGACACAGCCGTAGAAAGAGAAGATGATTAAAGACACCGGTTTTTTTTGTCTTCAACCATGTCTTGCATAATTTTTACCTTTTAATAGTATTTCAATTTTTCTTCTTCATTTCTCTTGTGATTTATCTCGAGGCAGTGCTATGTGTGTGTTTTTTTTTCTCGCTCTGTCTGAAAATCTTTCTGGTCTTGAGGAATTTTTTGGTGCTCTGTCAACAAGAAATTTCATGTGCGAGAGAAATAAATCTGCATAGTCCAAAAAATTAGTAATTTCTTTTTAAGACTAACATGTACACACTTTTGGTGAGAAGTGAGAGAGAAATGATGAAAAATTGTCGTTATGAATTTATGAAATTACAGTGCGGCGGAGAAATAGAGAGACTCATTTTGAAAATCAACCTTGAATAAAAAAAATTTATTTACAATTTCTCATGAATTTTCATCGGTGTTGCTGAGAGGCAAGAGTTTCTCAGATGCCGTAAATCTTTTACAGTTTTGTTAAAAATTGTGGAATTTCTTTTATGTTTTCAAGATCATGCTGGGGATGTCGCAATTTGACCTTTGACAGGAGATCTAGTCGGAGTCCATGGGATTTTCTAATTTGCCGATATCGCGGTGCGTAAATTGGGTGTCGAGGAACTTTTGTTAGCAAGTGTGGATGTTAAATAATACGAGGTACTTGTAGTGTTGCGTACGCCGTTAAATGAAGATGGTACCATGGTAAAATGTCTCTGACTACCTCTTCCCACATGAGTGACCGCAGCCTAATAGAATCCACGAGCAAACACTTGAATTAGGGTCAAAATTTCCACATTTCACATGTTCATTTCTGGGTATTTGCAATTGACCTTTTGTGCTAAACATTTTTTGTGCCCTCTCATCCTCATCATCTGGGCTCGTCATCTCAGAGTTGAAGCACCACAGTAGCTCTACTAAAGGCAACTAACTTTTTTCCTCTCGCGCCACCATCAATTATAGTTTTATTATATGCTTGTGAAGATGAAAAGTTTATCGAGTTTTTCACCAAAACATCTTTGCAATTCATCTTCAATTAACGATCAAATTGCATCTCTTTTGGGTGAAGAGAGAGATTAGAGTCAGAAATATTTGGCAATTGCAAAATGTAGCAAGTGTATCTTTTTAGGCAATCCCCATGGCTGAGTGCGAGAGTTGAAACTGAAATTGAAGATGTTGCGCTGTGTGTCAAAAAACACCCAGAGATGTTGGTCAGGTGGAAAATATTTCATTGTAATTCTTACATGACATTCGATGGATAAATGTTTAAGAGAGACGTTTTGATCAATGATAGAGAGTGTCTAAATTATGGTTTTTTTCCTATTGACTGCGGAGATAATGTCGAAAAGTGGAGAAGAAAGAAGAATCACGGTGGAAGGTCGCCGAATCAATCAATTCCGCCAGTTGCATAAACCTAATCAATTAATTAAGTTAGTAGAGGTGGTGGCACAATGACAACTTCTTAACAGACACACGAGAGATATTCGCCAATCTTGAATAGATGGCATTACTTTGATCTTGGATTAGTCCAATAATAGATAATTTTATGCAAAAGATATGCAGAAATTAATGATTTATGTGTCAACAAAAAGGCGGTCAATATAGAAATAAAATATGTAAAGTTTAGCCGAAGCTCTCTGATTAGAGTTACATCCTTAGTCACTTCCTCTAGAGACCAATTTTCTCACTTCCATTATCTACTATGATTGCCATATTCTGATCAAATTGAACTATAATCGACTAATTGTTTTGGTAGGAGGAAAAACAATGGTGTTTTCCTCTTTTTTGCTGCTTTGTCGCCTACTTTGTACCGAGGAAAATTATAATAATTTATTTTTTGTCACTTAACATGAGAGGATGAACATGAAATTGAAGATTAGCTGGAAAAAACGACGTCGAGATAAAAGTCGAGGACTTCTTTTTTATTGCTTCTCTATCTCAATATATATTTTTTTTAGGTAATGTTTTTTATTTCCTCCATCATTTTCTTTTTGATGAGGTTGTCTTGGGTCAAGTATCAGTTTCATAACAGTTGATGCATGTTCAGCATCCACAGATGAAGTGAGAAGAATTTGCTGTGATAATTTTGGTATATTTGGTAATGCTGATAACGCCGCAGTATTAAATTGACCATTGAATGTTCAAAAAGATTTCTTCGGATTTTTGACCACAAAGAGATTATGAAATATGTCTCTACCTTTTGCATAAATCCATCATTAATTTTGCAGTGAATTGCTTATTGAGGTCTCTTCAATATTTAAAATTTCACGCTCAAGTGAAACCCCACGAAGATGTAACAATGAATAATTGGGATGAAGATGAAATTCACAGAATTTCTGCTTGGAATGGCCAAATTCGTGTCTCTCTTGAGATTGAAAGTGAGAGCTCTCGCTTCATATGTTAAATGATGACCATTGAGTGAAGAGTCTTCTTCTTCTTCTCTATATTTGACCATTTCTTATGAGTCCATCAAGGCGGAGAAGATCTCATCGAGAAGTGCATAAGAATGAGGAAGAAAATCGCAAGTGTGGATTTTTTGTTGTGGAAACCTTTTAGATAGACCATGTGATGAATATCAATGAGCTTCTGAAATTGTGGCGCTCAAAATGTCCTCCTATAATTACTTTTTTTTGCCTCTCCAACTACCGTAATTTCCTCTTACCTCTAGAATAATTTTTTGCCCAGACTTGGCTGGGTGATTATTGATGGACACATGTTGAGATTCCCCAGAGAGTGGCCTTGTCTTGTCTGGGATTGCATATCAAATCTCGCGGGGTTTAGAGACTTCTGGCGCTGAAATCCCGCGAGAAGAGTGTCGTGAGATGTGCAGGTGAATTTTTGAGGTCATCCAGCGATGTCATTCTCTATATGACCTCTTCGCTCTTCATTGCTGCATTAAATTTTGTTCAACTCAAGCATTGCCGAGACATTTGGAAATCATCTTTGACACTGGTTGTAAAAAATTACCCACATTTTTTTTTTCAACATGCAATAATTAAAATCTCACGTTCTTACCATTTTTGTTTAATTAAGTGTTTATTGTTTATTTTTTATTCATGCTTGGTCTCTTTCATTAATTATTATATAATATTCCATAGTGGTCTGAAGGTGCTACAAAAAGTGTGTGACATTTAATAAGTGATCTTCACAAGCAAAATTAACTGGACCTGAAGAGAATACGGCAGAAATTTCACTTTCTCATTAGAAATGTAATTGTTGATTGCGCTGTTGGAATTTTCTCTTGTTCTCTCGCGCGATGCCCCATAAATGGTGTCATCGTTCAAAAGTCTCTCTGGCCGACTGTGGATTTTTACTAATAATATTTCATAATATATTTATTATTTTTTCTCTATTGCCTCCGGTGTCTTCTTCACTGCGTGCAGAGACTTCCATAGGCGTCAATGAATGTTGTTGGTTTTTCTCGACGTCTCTCGCGTAGTACAAAGTCTCGCGCCGCGGAGGTGATATTTTATTTCGATGGAGTGTCTGAAAAAATCCACCTCCCGAAAAATTGTCTAATACTTGTGCCATCCCACTCTTGCAAATTTTGGATGCTCACCCAAACTGGCGGGGACTTTTTTGCCGAAACGCACGAGAGTTTTTTATGCTTCTTCTCAGCTGCTTGGAAGGTGGCGAAGATGGGGTTTAATGAATTTGTTTTGGCCCACTATATAAGCTCGGTGAGATGATTAGATTTGCATCAGTTGTGATTTCTTAGGTGATTCAGTGAGTTCAGTGGTAACATTTTTCCTATTAAGTATTCCCTCTTAGTCGACAAAATATGAAGAGCTTTGTGATTGTTCTGTCTTGCGTTGTGGCATGCTGTTTGGCCGCTCCTCAGGGTCCACGGGATCCCAATGAAGTGCAGTTGGTGCGATATGTGAACAATCAAGATCAGGATCAGGATGGAGGATACCAATTCACGTAAAGTTATCGTTTCTCTGCGCTCTTTCCTTGATTGATACAATTATCAGGCTATTGATAACTGACTTTGCTGTCTCTGTGACATCCGTAGGTATGAATTGAGTGACGGACAGATCCGCTCTGAGACTGGTGCGCTCAAGGATGTGGGAGAGGAGCGTGTTATTGTGGTGCAGGGAGCCTACACCTTTGTCGGTCCTGATGGACTCATCTACTGGGTGAACTACACCGCCGATGAGAATGGTTAGCGCCACACTTGCAGGTCTTCCGTTTTACCCTGAGAATTGACCATGTGCCTCCTTCCAGGTTTCCATCCTGTCATTGGCACTGGACCCGAGGGTGGCATCAAGCCAGGCCAGGATCAAGGAATTGACCCCAATGCCCTGAAGTCCCTCGTTGGATAAGAATGTTTCAGTCCCCTTCACATCATCAACCCATTCCGTCCTATTTAGAGGAGAAGACTCAGAATTAACCAGTATTTAGCTGTCTTCAGTTGTTATCCCTCCCGAGACGATGGTGCTCTTGGAAGGGATGTCGAGATGTCACTTGTTGAAATGCAATTTTTCTCCCCCCTCTGACCATTTTTTACTCCAAATAAAAAAAACCCAAGTGAATTGTTAATTGTGTGTATTTTATCTCTTGCCCTCCTTGTGATCCTATTCTTCGCAAGTGTCCGAGAGGTTGAAAGGTCCAACCAGTTGTGATCTTGTAATGATTCCACACAGCATCCCCTTGCACATAATGTCCTGGCTGACCCTAGTGAACATGTGTGTGGTCACTTAGTGTCGTAATCTACTTTTCACCTTTGAGATCCAGTTTCACAGCATCCTCTTTGACCTCTGACCACATCCAGGGTGATTCTCCCTTTTTAGAGGCTACAATAGAAGGAAGCAAAGCACTCTGCGGAGGGCAAAAAGTGACCTACAAAACAACATCTCTATTGCCACTTAGCGTGATGCTCAGAGATAGAAAAAAAACAAGAAAGATGAATAAAAAATGTCAATGAGAGTTGTGGTTCCTCAAAGATTTATTATTGCTTCGGCGCTTCAGGTGTTGAACCGCACAGCGATTGCCTAACTCTTTGATGGACATGCTGCGAAAGTTGGCATTCATTGTGTCTCATCAATTGACACAGAGATGATTTCTCTGATTATTTGGAACTATCCAAAAGCACTTGCTGCGAAAATCTGTGGTTTATATCGTGTTAAGAGGCTCTTGCATCACCCATTGTGGGTGAAATAATCCTACAAAATAAAATGCCTATAAAACACCATCAAATTAATCAATCAGGATTCTCCCGCATTTTTCATTAAAGTCTCGTTTTTCTACATTAACATAATTTGTGTTGTGAAATGGTTGAAGAAAAAAAAAGTTTTATTGCGGAATTCTTCAAGATAATTTTTGAAATAATTTTCTCACCGATAATTAATTTAAAAATAATCACATGAAATGAACATAAATCTTAACGAGAAGTGTCTTTTTTATTCTCGTCAACGTTTTTGTCGGCTTCTCTGGGTCTTTCTGTCTGTTTTCCATCTCATACGCATTACAATTGGTCTTTCATGAATTATTAGTTAACAAAGAGGCTCCAAGAAACTCTGTGTTAAACCTGGAATTAGATTTTAATTAATTCACAACTCTTGATAGGATTATGTTACTTTGAATTAAATAATTTTTGAGTGTCCGTCAGTGGTTTTTTTTTATTAAACGAATTACTGAAGAGGATTTAATGTAGATCTTGGGAAGCAAACAAGAGCGATGATTCTCTTTGCTGTGTGTCTTCATAAGCCTTTTCTTCCTCAGATGAGAAAAGGGTGTATTGAAGAGGGAAGGAAATGGGCTTTATGTAGTGAAATTGCAATCTCACGTTGGATGCAACGTTGCATCGAAAGAGGAAATCTGTCACCCTAATCGATATTCCGCATATTATAAAATTCGATGAACATCTGTTCTTCCGATCAGTTGCATGTTAATTTATGCAGGGAAGCCTCTTCCTTACCTTATTATGTAAGCAACAATGAAAGGATTAAATTTGATGCTTGTAACCGACATAGGAGAGAATAAATTCAATCCTTTCTCCTCTCTTCGTGTCTCCTTTTTTTATCTGCTCATAGGGGATGCAAAGCACTATTTATTTTCTACCTCGTTGCATTGGAAATTTTAATTTTCTTTACCCTTCTTCAATAGATGGAAAGAGGAGTCTTTATGTTCCAATACGGGGACTTTCATATCAGAAGTTTTTCCATTTTCATCCCACTTTTACAACATTTCATACTGAGAGAGAGAGAGAGAGTATTGAGAAAAGTCTCCCAGGTCTTCCGTAGAATTGTAGATAAAGATTGTTCCAGTTTTTTTTTTGCAATGCTAAAAATTCTGCCAGAAAATTCTGTGATCACAAATCCTTTTTAACGGGCGGGGGTGTCAATAGAGTGAAGAGGTAATTTTACATTCTATTTACAATGTGACGAGGGTGTGGGATGAAGTGTAAGACACAACAGTTCTCGATGGCGTGAAATTCCGCGCCGAGTACACAATGGCAGAGAGAGGGGTTGGGGGTGAGTACTCATGGCGAGGAGGGCCAGAGGAGTCGGTGGGATTTGTCAGGAATGTCTGATGATGGTGGAGATTGAATGAGAGGAGGACGCAAAATAGCAAAAATAAAATTCTCACTTTTACAACTCTGAATCTCTTCGGGTTGGAGAATGAAACCGCCAAGGTGGAATAGCGAAAGGGTGAAATCCTGGCGGACAATGAGATCGTAATTCACACGCTCTGGCTCGTAACCAGGAGCGACCTGAGCCAGGAGAGATGTGGAAAAAAGAAAATTCAATACTTTGGGAATATTTGTTCGATGGGTGAAAATGCATTTCGATGGGTGAATTTTACTATTGGCAATTTTTTCAGACTCTGTCTTCACTTTTGGGGGAATTCAATCTGAGAAATATGGGCAGCTCTCCCATTCAAGACTTCAATGGCTAACAAATTTCCCACCTAAAAGGAATCCACCCATTCTTTGTGTGCGGTCTGGAAGTTTCTCGGTGCAAATCTCCATGAAAATGAGATGAGTTTCTCACATCGCAGAGGTCCACGAAGGATTTATGAAGTGTGACATCACACAAATTGTCTGATAATGCAGAATAACACAACACATCACATTAACGGAAAAAAACGCTCTTATCATACTCGAATGACTTGATTCAAACGGAAATTGCAATGAGAAAAAAAATGTGTAAATCATTCTTGTGATCCATGAATACAAACACAAGAGAATTCACTTATCGTTATTGCCAAGGAAAAGAATGTCAGAGAGTGAATTTGATTGTTTCTCTCTAACAAATAAAATGTCAACTTGTCACAGATGAAAACTGAAAGACAAATACTCACTGAGAGTGCAATTAAATTTATAGAAGAATTATGTCCCTGAATTACCCTTCTACTCAATTGCATAGCCAACATTTTCTCGTACGAGGGTGAACTTTCATGCTATGACGCAATGACAAACAAAACCCTTCGGACAAGAAAAAGCATATTCTTCAAACGAACGCGAAATTCAATGAGAGAGAGAAAGAGATTTTTGTGCATGAAAAAGACATTGTTCACGAGTGTGTGTGTGCTGAGCAAAAGGGTACAAAAAAAGACTCCCCAAAGTTTACTTTAGTGAGGACGAGAAAATAGAGGAGAAATTCATAGAATTGGTAAAACACATCTGTTGCTCAAAATATTCTTTCCCATGATTTTCCAGTGAGACACAAATTTTAAGTGGATGTGCATTTTTAAAAATATTATTTGCTATCGCTACACGAGAATACGACGAAATTGAAAGGATGTTTTCGGTTTTGCTATTCGAGAGGACCAAATATTAAATTTCTCAACTATTTTTCCATTTTCCATCCATGCCAGACACACGAGAAAAGATCACTGAATGGAAAAATTCACAATTCAATTGTGATGTGTGTTTTTTTTCCTTTCAGCCTCCCTTTTGCGTATGGGATTTCACGTGGAGAAAAGCGAACGGAGAGAGCGAAGGACTTCTCGAGACAGGGGATGGAAAGAAAATAAGCCAAATGAGGAAAATATGGAAGAAAATAGATGGAAAGAATCCCATTCACGATGATATGGATAAACAAGGCATGATTTCTTATTCGACAGATTTCCCTTTGCCTATAGGGTGGCCTCACAGAATAATGTAGATTAGCTAACATTTAAAAATAGGGGGTGAATGTATGAAAGTCTGAGGGGTGAAGACGTAGGGAAAATTACAATATATCTTCGATGGTCTCTGTGTTGTCCGAGAGAAAGAAGTTTTTGGGCCATTAAGGTTTATCGAACTGTGGGCAGACCTTTGATAAAAACTATAACTCAAGTCCATATATTCTCCTCTCTCTTTTTTCACGACCATCTAATACAAGTAGATATAGGAAAAGTTCTCCTTCCAAGAACAAGCGAGAGAACATATTCCACGAATCAGCATAAATGGCATTGGGGTTAACCCCAAAAGAAGGATTCTCCCTCACTCGCAGGCAAACTATACATTGTGGGGAGAGCCCGAGATGCTCTCGTTCTCCTTCTCTTTCTCGGTCAAGGGAATCGACCGTCCATTTGGGTGAGCATCCGAGAGCCCGGAGGGAGTGATGGGGTGTGGGTTTTGTCGGGTGGATATGGAAAATGTATCTCGCCCACCAGTATGGTACGTGCAAGTGGAAAGTTTTGCACATACAGACACACCATGTGGACGAAGGCTCATTTGCATAAAACCGTCTTCAAACCACCCACTGATATATGGGTTCCGATATAAACTGGACATATAAATAACAAGGGTAGTTTATTCAGTTGGCATACCAAGTAACTTCTCACACACTCTGCATCACTCGCCCCCAGAAAACATAAATTTACTGACACTTGCTGTGGAGGAGAAAGATGTGCGTGGTGAGAAGAATTCACCATCATCTGTGTGGGTCTTCTTGCCATTTTCTCCACTGCACCACCGTTGAGTTTGTTTTGAGCCGAAGCTCTATGGGAAAGAGTGTGAGTCTCTTAGGGGTAATGCTCCACTGAGGGTGGATGAGACGGTGAATAATGACCAGAAATTACACTAAAGGTGACTCTACATCCCCACTCAACCTCCTGCGCGGTCACCCCAGCCTCGCAGTGTTTTCTCGCAGGATAATTTATCGATGCTCTTTCATCAATTGTTGCAATTGAGCGTGGAGAATTCTGGGTCAGGCAGGCCAAAAGAGAGAAATAATTC